AGCCCAGTTCATCTGGGAGGGCAGGGTGACTCACCTCCCCTCCCGCTGGCTCTACCTCTCAAAATACATTTTGTTCTCTTTCCACTTTCTCACCTTCATTCCTGCCGTTCATCTAAGCTCTTCTCAGCTCTGCTCATGACGTCAGCTTTGAAGTGACTGAAGCACAGATATGGAGAGTCAACCTCTTTTTAGGGGTAAACAGGGTGATTTGAGCCTGTGGGAAAGTTGGGCCAATGTAAGTCATGTGATCACACAATTTTAAAGAGTCATCTGTTTCACTCGCCCTGTGATGGAGAGAGTTATGAAACAGGGCTACTGGATAATGGCAAAGATCATAAACACAGTTATTCTCATTGATATCTATTGTTGATGATTGGAAAATGATTAATCATGATTTGACATCTGCATAAGTCATATGTGCCTCTACTGAAAGGGGCGATTTATTACTTTTCTTCACTTTGAGAACTTTGGTTTAATTTCAGTGATAAAACTCACTGAAGAAAAATGTCAGATTTCACCTCCAGTCTGGTATTTTTACATTAAGTAAAAAAAAAAAAAGGGTTTGAGTTCTTTTACTGCTTTTAAAAAAACGACCTTTATAACCTCAAGACTTGGGCTGGTATTTTATCATGATCCCGAACAATGTCTTACACTATTAACCCTCCTGCTCCTCTCCCTGCTCTCCTCTCTCCTCCTGTGGCCTTTGATGGCTCAGCCTCCTCAGAGCTGTGAACACCTGACAGATTATGTAAATGCAGTTAAATGTGGGCGGTTATCATGACCATCTTTGGCCAAATTGAGTTACATATGATCACACTTTTATTTTCTTCTCTGCAGTTTATATAAATGACATTTGTTGATTGATCTTGGTTTGGTTCTAGTTTAGATGTGGACTTCAGTGAAGAAAATGTGAATTTGAAGTAGTAAATTTTTCCTTTGAATAAAACTAAAAGGTTTTCTAAATTTGTCCCTCTGTACATTTCTAGCATGTGAGGTTAAAATGTCCGGTTTTACTTTAGCATCATAAGTGGAGCAGTTTTCCTTTCAACTTTCTCTTCATACACCCTTATTTTAACATAGCTCTCAATTTGAACTTTTTAAAAGTCGATTCTGAACTCATTACATTTCCTTCAAGTATTTTCTGTGGAAATCACTTCACTACATTTTGCAAAGGATCAGTTCCTGATGAAAAAGAAAATTTAATACAAGCATTCAATCTTTTCCTCAACTGCACGACAGCCATCTGATTAAATGAAGTCTACAATCAAAACAACTCAAATCCAACTTAATGAATTTGTCTCATTTCAAGTCAAAATGTCTCCTTACACTGAATTTGAGCGACATTGACCTTTAAATTTGAACCCCCAGCATAAAGTATTGTCATACTCTTTCCACCTCTGTTGAAATATCTGTCTCTGTGTTTTTCCTCTCAGTAACGAGCAGGCCGGCTGAGAGATGAGCAAATCCAAGGACAGATTTATTCTGACAGAGTCTCAGACGGAGGATCTATGAGGCAGAAACACACTCTGTCTGCGCCCGCTGACCACCATCACCTCCTCTGTGTGAACAGCAGGGGGCTTAAGAGGCCACTTAGCTGTCCATCCTCAAACACTGGCCCCAGTTCAAGGACACTTCACTGAGGCCTGTTGGTCATTTTATTCAAACAGCTGAGCTCAGATTGTAAAACTGAAACCCTCTCAGTGGAGTGACAGTCATTCAGGGTTTGTGGAGAATATCACTCCACAAAGCGGTTTATCCTTAGAGCAGAAACCGAGTCTGCATCATAAATGTCCTGGTAAAACCTGTTCAGCCGGGGTCTTTACAGAGACACCTTCAGTCTTCCCATAATATGAATTCATTAGTTAGAAACTGGGATGTTCAATTCACAACAGGGTCATAGTTGATCCTCCAGTCTGAGTCAAGTCCACATTACTATTATTATTATTATTTAAAGCAGCGGCTCTTTTTCTCCAGATCTCTGACCAAATGGACCTGGACTTACCCTCAGGATGTGTAGGAGAGACTGAATTCAAATAAATCTGGGCAGCAGGTTTGAATATTTGGATTATCCACAAAGTTTTAGCACTCTGTGTCAGGCAGAAATGTGCACCTTCCTCTCTTGTTAAGGGGGATTCACGCTTCTATTCTGCTGTAGTGAAATTGCTGCAGGTATTCAACAGATCTTTGTTAAACCTTGATGGTTCTTTCACGTATTTGACCTGCTGCTCTGCTCTCACCTGCATTCAATGTTACATCTTTGAAAGCCAAAGGTACTATTTGTTGGGTCTCTTTATCCCCATGAGAACTGTAGCTAACAAGAAGGCACATTAACATGCATGCAGGTAAACAGCCTCTCTGTCAACTGGAGACATGATCAGAGTCTCATAAAACACTTTTACACAAATGTCAGAACAATAGAAGAGATCCCAGTCCTCATCCACATCTTCTGAGTCCAGCTGCGGTGAGAGTCTTACTGGGGTAGAGAAACTGGTGTTTAAAAGAGTATTTGTATCATTCTGTGTGATTTGGTTTTGACAAAATTGTGTCAATTAAAGTTTCTCTTCAAATCAATTTTTAATTGATTGAATAATTTAGTGTTGAAGGTTGATGACAGCCAAATACAAACGTGAGTTGAGTTTATGATTTTTGGCAGTTTCATACACACTGTCAGCTCAGATCAGAGTGATCCAAGAGTCTCTCTCTCTCTCTCTCTCTCTCTCTCTCTCTCTCTCTCTCTCACTCTCTCTCTCACACACACACACACACACACACACAGAAAAGCCTTTGGTGACAGAGATTGTCAGTGTGTGTGTATGGGGGGGGAGTTGTCTTTGCATCAGAGATGAAAACAAACAGAGAGGAAAAGAGGAGAAGGAGGAGGAGTAAGCAAAAAAGTGATGAGGAATGATGAGGGGACACAAATAGATTGTGTGTGTGAGTGTGTGTGTGTGTGTGTGTGTGTGTGTGTGTGTGTGTGTGTGTGTGTGTGTGTGTGTGTGTGTGTGTGTGTGTAACCGGGGGGACTCCAGCTGTGTGTTTATCCTGCACCAGGGAAGACTGTGTTGAGCCAGCTGAGATGACAGAGCAGACGGAGGCTGTGACACACACACACACACCACTGCATTCAAAGGTGTGTGTGTGTGTTTCACTCTCCGGAGAGATAGAGAGAGAGAGAAAGAGAGAGAGAGTGTGTGTGTGTGTGTGTTAGTGCATTACCCATGATTCATGCTGAATAGATGCATCACAGCAGATCCGTCTTGAGGAGGGGGTGAATTTCTGAGGCAGTGATGTCTACCTCGTGTTTTTCTGCGGCGTTTGGCAAAATCAGCATCCAACTCATTACACCTGTGTGACCCTCTGTGAAACAGACAAAATCAAACACACACACTCATTCACTCACACACACCTCCTCTGACAGCATGTTGCTGATTTCACCTCAGGGCAGTGTTACAGTAAACAGACGTTTGCAGGTGTATCAGTGTGCTGCTTCACCTTGGCAGCAGCCTTTTTTTACAGGGTCAGGAGGTTAGGGTTGTCGTGGGACCTTGATAAACCCCCTCACCCCTCCTCATCCCCATGTTCAACCCTGGAGCCGCCATCTGGCTACCTTACATAACCACACACAGGCTGCAAAGTGCTGCTGGGTTATGCAAACTGGCAGAGTAGGTTTTGACCACGTCAGTGAGGCTGATCTGAATGGTCCTGACCTCTGTTAACATGCTGAGGAGATGTCTGACTCCTGCGAAATAAGATAGGAAGAAAACATGAGCCCAGTGTTCACAGCTGAAGACACATTGTTTTTATACCAGTTTGGTACAATAATCTAAAAGTGAAAATGGAACAGTTCACTAAGACAGCTGATCTCTGAAGGATCCAGTGAAACACAACTTGTTAATTACTGGGTGGCTGAGCGACACACAGGTAGGAGAAGGAGAGGACAGAGTGAGATCAGTTGTTGCTGATGTGCTGAAATTAATTTGTATTGATAAAGTTTTAATTGTAAACACTTAACAAATGGAGGAGCAGACTGATCATGAATCACAGATACATGAATCAGATTGACTCTGAGTCTACGTCCAAAAAACAAAAACATGAAGTCAAACAAGATCAGGACAGGGAATAAAGGTCAACAGAAACATAAATCACTGTCCTTTAACTCACTACAATACTCAAAGTTCACCAAAGATCAGCCTCATAATGCTGTTTTGAACAAGGATACCACATGTCTAAGCTCTCTGCTCAGTCTATTTAGAGTCCTGGTCTGAGGACACTTAGGGACACTTTTAGACGGAAACGGTCTCCATAGAAAACAGAAAAGTGCCGTTTCATTTTCAGTTTTTATGCTGTGTTTACACAAAAACGCAGTGCTGTAATGTGCATGCCAGGTCGCTAGGTGGCGCGTGTCGGTGTGACCACGCTCCCATATAGACCAACAACACATACATAGAACAACTTCCGTTCTACATTAATTATTTGATGCAAATAATTCAGACACCTCCTCTGCTGAGCAGTATGATCCATGAGGATTCTGTACAGGTCGAAATTGAGCTCCTGCCCGTTCAATAAAAATGACAGCGCAACTCGAATGTCCAGCATGGCTGTTATCGTTATTTTCAAGGAAGCTGCGCATGGCTATGATGTCATAAATGTGAGCTGACGTGAGCCATGGCGTCACAGGTTTGACCTGTAAGCAGGTATTCCAGCCCAGGATGATTGGACAAAGGCCCGAACTACACGAATGCGGATATATTTCAAACCGCACATATTTATGTCCGATTAGGCCTCCCTACCACACCAAAACGGGAGTTTGGAACACTCAAACCGGATAAATCTGAATCCGGAAAAACAAGTGGAGAAATAAAAAAATATCCGTTTAAGTGGATTCGTGTGGTTGAACTTTTACGGATCGATGACGTCAAACCGCAGCTCGCACATGCGAATTAAAAAGAAAAACAACAACAACAACGATGGCGGACATACAGGATTTTCTTTACGTTTGTTTTGCCCTTTTGGGGCTAATTTCAGCCTTGCAAGTGAACCTTGTTTTATACAATTACATCCACCAGTCAGCCAGCTCACAGAAGCGTCTGCTGCGCCCAATACTTTTATTTGTCACATGGTCCGTCACATGGACCTGACGCACTAGTGTAGCTTCCGCAAACAATGCATGACGCATCACGCTGTTACGATTCATCGGCCAATCAGGTAACTTTGTTCCTGAATTTTTTTTAAGCGGCACCAGATAGGATTGAGTTTGAAGGCTACGTGTGGACGCAGATATTTTTGAGAACTAACACGTGTGGACAGATACATTTATTTAGACGGGAGTTCAAAAATATCCTGATAAATAAATATCAATATACGTGTAGTTCGGGCCAAAGTTCTACAATTCTTATGCATTTCTTGGTTTTGCCTCAGAAACAACAATTTTGATGTCGTCCTACAAGTTGTCTATCAGGTTGAGGTCTGGAGATTGGGCCGGCCAATCCATAACATCAATTTTGGTCTGGAACCAAGTTCTGCTTACTGGTGTGTTTAGGGTCGTTGTCTTGTTGAAACACTTATTTTAGGGGCATTCTTCCTCAGCAACATGACTTCTTCAAGTATTTTGACATACTCAAACTGAGCCATGATCCCACGAATTGTCTACCGTGGCTTGAATTGTCTCTGGCCCCGAGCACACATAATGTTGGGCCGTTTCTCTCCAGGCCAGTCAATGTGTTCTTTTGCAAATTCTTACCTATTCTGCAAATGTTATTCATTCAAATATGGGACTTAACAGAGGCTCATTGCCAGGGAGATCTTCTTTGATCTCCCTGGAGCTGATCATTGGATGAGTCTCCGCCACTCTGCACATGTTGCGATCCATTCGAATGGTAGTTTTCTTTTTTATCAGATCTTTCTGGTTTTGGATGCCATTTTAAAGCATTTGATATCATTTTAGCTGAGCGGTTTTCCCCTTTCCAATCATCTTCTTAATCAAAGCACGCCATTCTTCTGAGCAATGCCTGATACGACCCATTTTACTCAGATTTTCAGAGAGAAATGCACAACATTTACTGCCTTCCTCCTTGAATAAGATCCACATGTTAAACACTGTTTTTGTCACAGAATGAATGACCTCACTGATTGAACTCCACACTACAGTTATTTTGCACACGTCTTTTCAATTAATGCTTCAGTTACACAGAATCAGTTGCATGCTTGTTACGATTGTTGGGTCTGTCAGTTTTCTATAACTCTACCAAACCTACTTCTAAATTATTTGCCATGTGGAAATTATTTCTGCAGAAAACAGTGATTGATCTGGTCAGTGATGTTGGACTGCTATTATTTTGAACACAACTGTAACTGCACACACAGCATTCACTGGTTAGAAAGGTATGTTTTTTTCCTTCTGCTCACTGCTGACCATCTGCATTTCTGTTGCTTTGCGCCACCTCACATGCTGCATTAATCTGATTGGCTGTAGGTCTGAACCGTCCCTTCGAGAGGCACTTTCATTTGTGACCATGGGAACGCCCCCCCAGAAAAATAATGTGAAAGTGAAATTTTAAGACTAATTCATCTGTGTGATACTGATCAAAAACTGAGACCATTATTATATGAAAAATGACTAAAAATGGTGAGGAAACACGCTTGAGCAGGCTTCTAAGTTAGGACCTATGTGTGAGAAACACTGTGCTGATGTGGCAGCAGGTGATGAGGTGAGGCTGCTCATGCACCAGAAGTGGAAGATTAGATAAGAGGGAGTGGTTCTGAGCTCCTCTTATTACTGAGACAAACATACCAATGTGATAGATTAACAAAAAGTCCCAAAGCTCAGTGAGCTCCACGAGGCTGACGATAAAATCTGCAGACACTGCAGGCAGTCCCACCAGTGTGGCTGCTGTTAACAACCCCCTAAATTAGAACACCTTAACCCATCCTAAATGACTGCAGGTCAAACCTAAAACAGTCACACGGTAGTTTTTCATATCTACTCTGTTATGATAGTTAGAATAATGCAATTCAGTATCATTTTGACATAAACATCAGTCATTATCTGAAATCCTATTTGTCTATTTATTCATCAGAATTCCATTACAAACATGTTACTAGCTTAAAAAAAAAAAAAGAAAAGAAAAAAAAAGAAAAGGTTGGATTGTAATGTGCCTGGAGTTCTGAGCATCACTAAGAACTTTTTTACCAGATGCAAAAGAAGAAAAAAACAACAGTAACATATCAGCATTATATATCGGCTCTCTGCTGACTTGATCTGGAAGTACCTTATACTTTGATTAAAATAAAAAACTCAACCCTGACTAATCTACAAATTATTTGTTTATGGACAAAAAAGGGAACATTTAAGACCGACAAGGTCATCCATGCAGACTGTCCCTGTGTGTGTTAGTTGACCTCGTCCTCTACAATCATGACTGTGATCCATGACAGCTAGATGCTGAGCTGGGAGCTTTGAGCTTCTCTCTCTCTGTCTTTCTGTCTGTTAGTCTGTGTGCAGGCCACTCAGCCTCATTCAACAGGCTGAACACCAGCGCTCTGAATAGAATAGGCCTTGACCAATCACAGGCAGGGGAGGGGTGCTTTGTCCTTCTGATAAAGTCACCCAGTGACAGGGCCCTCTGAGTGGTTCAAGCACACCACCTGGTGTTGACTGAGAAAACTGTGCTGGGTTTTCAGGGGTGAGGCTCGGTGTTGTTTAGAGAAACACATACCGAGTTGGAGAAATTAGTTAGACCAAAATACAGTTGACAGGCTTCCTCTGAGCTGAGATAGAGGGGCTGGATCATCAAAATACACAAGACCTACAGGAGTGAGGGCCATGATTTCCATACTAGACAAGCTTCAACAGGTTGTTTCGCACTTTCAGGCATACATACTAAAATAAATACTTAACATTTATACTGTGTAGAGGTATAAGAATGTGCAACAGTCTGCCTTCAGGCAGTCCAAGTTTAACCATGTGTAGGCTTCTGAATCAACATCTGTGTGTCAAGGCTCTGGGAGGCCAGAATGACAGAGTTGGTGTTCATCCTGCTGGTTACTGAGCACCATCACTCTGACTGCAGTTTCTGTACACTGCTTGTGTGCATCAGTTTGTCCATTTAAATGATGACAAAAATATTTTAATTTAGTCTACAGAATTTTTTTTTAGTTTTCACTTGACATGTTTGTCACCACAGAAAGCAGCAGAGGTAGAAGAGATGAACATAGTATTGGATTTAGTAACAGGCTAACCTCCATCTGGAGCACTAGAAACGAAACATTCAGTTTTCTACAATTGTAGGTATAGTGAATAAATTAGGCCCACAGAAAGTGTAATTTTCAAGACACAAAGGTCATCAAGAGCTGAAACTGAAGCTCACACATTAAGGAAGTTTTGAGTCAATACGAGGCAGCAACTTTGACAATCAAATACCAAGAAGAAACCACCCTTGAAAAGGTTTTACTCTGCAGACTCAGGTTTCATTTCCTTTTGAGAAGTTTGTGGAGAGCAAATTAAAATAGAGGCAACATTTTTACTTCTTTCCTTTTTTGCGATTCTCTACTCCAAACCTTACACTTGTATGGCTTAAAATGCTAAAGTACAAACTTATTTTCAGGGTTTACATTATCCTGCCAAGAACGTTTTTTCAAAGAGTATTTTTCGACCCCCAAAGCCAAACAGCCCTATGTTGGGGTGGTTATGTCATCCTGAGATGACCTGTTATGAACTAACCAGAAGAGTGAGAAGAAGTAGAGATGGGATTTATGGCTCTTCAAAGGGAGCCCGATCTTCAGGAGCTGTTCCTTTCAAAGGCCTGTTCAAAAGACTTGCTCCATGTTATATTTAAATTTTAGAAGTCAGCCAGGGCAACACAACCACCATATAAACTTTTTTTGGTGAGAATTATTCTTAAATATTGATTAAAAATTCATTTGGCATGTGTTTTTATTGTAAACAGTCCATACGGTGGTGCCATATCCTCATGCCCTGACAGTCTGATCACTTTTCTGAAATTTTCCCTTACCTAAACAAACTTTGTGGCACAGTAAAAAACTATGCAGGCTACAGATAACTGATAAAAATTAAGACATTATAAAAATGTGAATGCAAAATTTGTAATTCCTACCTGGTGTTTGGGGCTCACAGGTGACACGTGACGGCAGAGTGGGCAACTTGCATAACAAGAGCAGCTCACAAACGAACAGCTTGTTACTGTGAACAGGTTCTCATCATTCACTTAAAAGAGCCATTTAGACGACTGACTCTAAGCGAAGGTCACATCTCTAGGAAGAAGGTAGCAAACAACATCCTGAGGACTGGTCCTGACTGAGCCTTTTGGGGGTACTCCTTTAATACCCAATTATGACCCTCACCTCTTCACCTGTGGAATGATCCAAACTGGTGTTTTTGTAGCAGTCCTTAGTTTTCCCAAGACTTTTGTTGACCCTGAACCAACTTTTTATGAATGTGTCTCAGACATCAAATTTAGATTGAGTGAATATTTGCAAAAGGAAAAAACAATGAAATGTGTCCGTTTGAACATTGAATATATTTGTAGTGTATTCAGTTGAATTTGGTAGAAAAGGATTAGAAAATCATTGTATTTGTTTCTATTCATGTTTTACACAAACGTCTCAACTTCACTGAAGTTGGGGTTTGTAGATGGAAAATATTGTACAGTAATAGAGTAAGAAATCACCCTATTATTGTCCATATTTCCTGTGCAGAGCCTCATGTGTAACATGCTCACCAAAAAATTAGGAGAGTTGTGAATCATTTGTAATGAAGGGGAATAACACATGACAAGGAGACAGAGTGCTCACAAAAGTTTCTTTAATTGACTGTTAAAAACAAGTAAGGCTGGAGATGTAGGACAAGTACAACACAGTGCACTCAGACCTGGAGGAGCAAAATCTTCACCAAGTCAGCGACATGTTTGAACATGAGAGGGGGTGAGAGAAACAGACCTGTGGAGGAGGATGAGATGACTCCCCAGGATGTGCTGGGATGAAGATGCTCGCTGACTTTAGAGTTTTAACTGCAGCGTTTCTATCACAACAAGGTGTGAAGCCCCTCCCCTCAGTGCATAGCTGAATAAGGTCATCCTCTACAAAACATCATATTAATCCAACAGCGTTAACTGCTGTCAAACAATAAACCCAAGCTGTATTTAATGCTTTATATATATAATCATATATAGTTTAAATTCATATTCAATGTACAAAGTTACATTCTGAATTGCAAAGGCTCAATCAATTGTAAATAAATACTGACATGGCTACACTGCAGTAACCCCCCCCCAGAATAGAACACACATTCACCCTCTATCTCTCTTTCTCACACACGCACGCACGCACACAGATGATGAGGAAAAGCCTCCTCGTATTGCAAACACTTGAACAGGTTGTGCACTGAATAAAAAGTTCCTAAAACAGACTTTTAGAAATATGGGATTGAATCAGGAGCAGATACCATGGAGTAAAAATGTGACAAACATGATGATCATCTGTACAGAGGGAGCAGCAGCTGCAGAAAACCCAAATGTCAATGTTACAACTCCGACCTCTAAATGTCAAGATGGGGGTTTGATGGGGGAAGGGGATTTATGTAACTCTCACTGCTGCTTGTTTTCTCCCCTCAGTCACAGCCTGAGCTCTTCCTCTCTCTCCCAGCCCATGAAAATATCCTCCTTTCTCAGTATGAAAGTTTAAAAATATATCCTATCTTCGGGGTTTCTGTTACAAAAGCTTAGCTTTTATCTAAATGAAGGCAGACACACACACATGCTGCTCTAAAGGAGACGCTGCTTCACTCTCTATCAATCTGTGATTCCTGATCCTTTGGTAGCAAACACATTCGTCTGAGAAAAATAAATATTATGTCACACCTGAAAAGCCACAGAGACGCTTCTCCGAGCTTCTGATACATAAGGCAGAGTTTAAAGTGTCTACAAGCTGGAGCCGAGGACGGAGCCAATCCTCACATCAAATCTGATCAAACACAGAGTCAGCGCTGAAACCCAGGCTGACTTAAAGAAAAGAGGATTTCAATGATAAGACAGTGCATAAAGTATCAGCTAATTCCCCTTATTTCATTATTAAAGGATTCATATGAGGGAAATTTCCACCGTCTGTTATTGAGCCTCCGGTTTGTGCCTCTTTTCATATACATCAGAGGGTCAGGGCTACAAAGAGGATAAAAAAGGAGAGTTTTAATGGAAAAATCAAAACTAAAGAAGTTGTATTTTTATGACTCAGAAGGGGTGACGATAGGCTAAAATAAAATATCGAACAGGCTGATATCAGATGGCTGACTGCAGTGAAACCAGGACCATGGAGGATCTTGTTAAGTTGCTTCTGCAGGTGCTTTAACTCAGACTGACCACTCTTCTGATCCTTCCCTTTAAAAAACAAACAGGCGAAGCATGGATTAAAACAATTTTCTTGGGAGTTTGCATCCTTATTTTGGAAATCTGTTACTTTTTCTGTAAGCCAAAGTCCGTCAGTATAACTTATTTTTGGTTTTTCTTTAAACCTGTAAATTTTCTATTTCAGTTTTGAAAGTTTTACAACTTTAAATTTTCTCATCAGTGCTCTTACGCTTACAACACTTGTCTGTAATTGTGGCTTTATTCTTGCAACACTGTACATTTACAACTTTAGTCTTTTTCATTTACAACTCTTTACTTGAAAACTGATCATTTTTTCTTCTCATTATTGTAAAGCTGAATAAATCTGATCTCAGACTCATTAACTTGACATTTTTGTTTCTGCAAGTCTGTGAATTTCTTTCTAGTCAGATTGCATCTTTATTCCCTTCAGATTACAAGTTTTTGTGAATCTTATAAATTTGTGACATTATCCTTTTGAATTGATAGCCTGCGTCTTTAACAATAATCCTTGATTACATCCTTTCATCAAATATTATTTTTTGCCAACAACATCTTTAGTTTATGACCAAATTTGTGATTTTTCTCATGTTTGTCAAGGTACATAAATCATGATTATTGGTGAGTTTATTCTTGTAACTTTGAGAATATTTTCTCAAAATAATGTCGAAATTAATTAAAAAATAAATTATGTTTTATCCTCAGCATGTCTTTAGTCTTCTGTCATCATCATGACGTTTAAGTCACCGAGTCGAGCTTCTCTTCTTTTATTTCAATTAACACCTGATCTCTGAACATGTCCACAGTCATGGTAGAAATTATTATTCTTCAATACTCAACCAAGCTCAAAATAAAAGTGCTGACATGTTTTGAAGAGGTAACGTTAATCATGTTTACCTTCTCACTTTAAAGTGTGAAGATACAAACATTTCATAGTAAGTAAAAAACATAAAGCACGCTGGATCTGATGGAAACAACGTTAGAGAGTCCTAAACCGACAAGTCACGTGCAGTTTTATTTTCAGCCATTTTCCTCTGTTCACTATCCATATGGTTATCCAAATTATCCAAACTGGCTAAATGTGACCTTTGAACTGGGGTCTGAGAATTAAGTCTAAACCAAATAGGTGGACAGAGCAACACTAGCTGTTATGCTGCAGTGATGCATCAACATTTAGCTTCTGAGGGAAAATCTACGTCTAAAATGAGTCAAAATCTCCAACATATGAAATCAAACAAAATATTTCTGCATCCAGACATGAAAAAGTGTGGAAGAGGATTCACTGTCAGGTTTCATGTTTCTGAAGATGGGTTAGCTTAATGTAGTTTGTGAAATGAAATAACTCTGTGCACATTAAGAGGCAAAAACTAGGGCTCTTTCTGATCTAGTGTTTTTTCCCTCAGGTTCAGGTCTCCACATTCAGCACTCAAAGATGCTAAAAACAGAAATCTGATGGACTACATTTGACCAGAACAAACTCAGACCTCCAGACGACCAGCAACATTGTGCACAATCAAAAGCCGAGATCTCCAAAGACGGACACAAAAACACCACGAGACACCAACGACAGTCAAACCTGGCTGACTCAGACATGACTGACCAGGTCTCCCATTAGAGGCCGAGGATTTCAGGTTTAAAGATGATTAAGTGAAGTTCAGCATGAGCAGACAATGACTGACTTAAGTGAGGGGAACCTGCAGACATCAGATGGAGGATCTGTTGGGTTTTCTGATCGATTAACAAATAAAACAAATGTTTTCCTGACAGTATTACCTCAAATATGATTAAAAGAAAGAGAGAGGCATTATAACAGGATGAAATTTAAATTCATAATAAAAAAGAAGAGAAAAAAAAAACTCTGAGTGAAACAATAAATGCAGTTTTTGCGTCTGTTTGCACTTCCCCAGTGCAATTTATTACTGATAGTGCCCTCTGAGCAGTTTTTGCTTGTTTTTCAGGTCTGAGGAAGTCAAAAGTGCTGATTGAACTCGTGCGTGCAGAGCAGAGTCATCCACCTGAACTCTTCCTGCTCGGCAAGAGATAAAAAGGCAAATCAGGCCTCAGGATCCTGAGGTCAAAGTTCAGTCCTCTCCTGACAGGATCTGCCAAACAATGAGGTGGCTGCGCTCAGCTTTAGCCAGGAAGGGCTGCAGTTTCATGCGGGAGTCATCACCATCTTCCCCCTCAGCGTCCTCATCACCTGAAGATGAACAGATCATATGAGTTTTCTCACCTGCTGCAGAGAAGATCGGCTGCTTTTCTCTGTCCATGCAGTAAACTCACCCATCCTGAAGTCAATGTAACCTTCTCCTCCGCTCATCACCAGCATGGACTTGGTTCCTTCCTGAGCTGAGGCATCTGTCGCTTTGTCACCTGCTGCTTCTGCTCCACAGGACGCAGATGGAATGGCGTGACCTGAGAGCACACCACCACAGACTGTAAATAACACCAAACAAGTCCAAAGTGGGTTTTTCTGCTGATCACTTTTTAAACAAAACAATTAAGTTTTGAGCTCTGAGAATCATTCAACTGTGAAATGCAAAAATATCATTAGAATGCAAACAGGTTTTCTAAACATATGTACAGTACGTTGACTGTAGACGGTGTTGTATCAGTTTTTATTGCACAAAATCATTTCTGTTTCTGTGCAGAAAATCTGCTAAATAAAACCACAGCTCTTTAGAAACCCCATCACTGGTGTTCCACTGTCACTCCTCTAAATCTATGTCTCTGAATAGTTATCAACTTTCTCAGTAGCTGCCTCAGTTATGCATTCGGGTTGTCAAAGACTTAAGAGAAACTTTAGTCTCTCTCTTATCCTGTCACTTCAGTGAGGGAACTGTGGTCAGCCTGTGAACTTGACTTTCAGCAGTTATCTGAAGCCTCATCAAATCATACCTGGGACAGCAGTGAAGAACTTCACAGCATCTCTGTGACCATGAAAACACAGCTGAGCATGAGCCATGGAGCAGTAAGGAACAAACGTGCCGGCTGTCACTTTGTCTGAGGTTTCGTCACCGTAGACTCGGACTACACTTCCTGGATGGTTTCCTGCCGCCTTGGTCGCCTTGTTGGCCGCTGAGGGAGCAGAAAAGGTGTGACAGGTCAGACTTTTTAAACATGCACTTAAGGAAACTAAAGCAGCACGACTAGAACAGCTTTCTGTCTATGAATCACTCTGGCTCCATCACTCACTCTCAGTCAGAGGGATGGAGATGATGACTCCATTCCCAGTGCCGATCCAAAGACGATTACTGGACACGGTTAGAGCTGTGATCCTCACAAAGGAAAAGCCCAGTTTACCCGTACCTGAAAAAAAAAATCATATTCATATTCAGAGCTGAATCTGAGACAAGGAACCAGAGTCTGCCAATCCCTGATGAGGAGTCTGAGTGCTTCACCTAAGGATGGACCCATGGTGTCATGATGTTGGGAATCTGATGAGACCCCTAAAGCTAAAATGTCTCAGAACCTTTATAACACAACAGGTGCTGAGTGTAATAAGTGCAGCTTTGTTGTAGTTACAGTGGATCAGCATGGAGGGTAAAGGGAACAACAGAGACCCTCATCCACATGTGCCCATCACTCAATAAAGATGTACAGCAAAAACAGAGGACACTATAGTGAGTGGCGGCACAGATGTGATTTTGAAATAGTGACGCTCCAGCAGCTCCTGAATTTGATGTGTGAAAGCCAGGCAGTATCCTTGTGCTCAGGAGTGACAAACACAAAAAACAAGTACACACTGCCAGGCTACACCTGACAAATCATCACCCTGAAAAGATTCAAGAAGATGCCAGTCGGGCCAAGAGACTCTAAAAGAAGTCTCTACAACCTCACTTTCCCACAACGGAGCTCAAAAGATCACAAGATTTATCTCTGGATATCCAATGGAAAACTTGCAGACATTTAGTAAACACGATGGAGACAAAATAAATTCCCATCATGGCTGTATTCAAGTCAAACGCTGTTAGGAAAAAAAGAAAGAGGCTCAAGGACTAAACATCCAAGTCAGAACCCAGCGTGCAAACGCTTGAGCATGTAGAAGTACTGACAGAGGTCCAAGCACACAGAGAACAGCTCACTCTCTACTATAGACTGTATATATTATGGACAACTTGGTTCCGCCTTCCGCCAGTATACAGATTTAAAGCTGAAAATCTCTCAGAAATTCCACCTTTTTTCTCCACTTCCTGAAACCAACATTGCACAGTACACACTCCACCATTTGTGCAGTAGCATTGTGCGCATTTGGCAGGAGAGCCGCTGTGATGACTCTCGGCTCAAACAGCGTATCCCCTGGTTGAGCTACGCAATCTTCGTACGCCCATAGGCTGTATCAAGTGTCAATCATAGGAAACATGAACCCTTTATAACTTTTAAAAATGGTGCTATACAGAAAAAAAGAGGACTTGAGCACAAACCAGTCTTACATTAACCACATGTCAGCTTCACAACTAGGAGGGAGAAAAATTTACAATCTGTCAGAGCTGTAAACCTTAATAACTTGTTGCTCTTTTTTCATCTCAAGTGAATTCTTTACTGTTGTACGAGCTTCTCTGAGGTCTCTGAAAATACGATGATCTTCTCTGTGTGATAGGAAACCCACGGAATGTTTTAAAAACAGGGCGTTTATCACCAGAAAGCTACCAGCCTCACAAAGAGAGTGGCTTTTACAGTCAAATTGAAAACATTGTACCATTCTGATAATGTAAACACAATCCTGTGTTACTAAACCTTTAACTTCAAGAAGAAATACTCTGGATTAAGAAGACAAATGACATTTTTCTCCAAATATCAGGATAAGCATCATACTGTGGACCTGATATTACACTATCATGGTTTCATAACATCCCCAGAGACTGAAACTTTGTCAAAAGAGAAAAGCATACGAACCAAGCATCTTGCTAACGTAGGGCTCGATGTCGACGTCCTGAAGGTGCTGGAAGGTGTGAGCGTGGAACAACCTGAGAGTGGAGTCCAGTCTGATGGAAACCCAGATCCCATCGCCGTCCCAGGCCAGCTGACGTACCTGACTTTCCTTACGAGGGTGGGCGTCAAATGATTTCTGTGAAAGACACACGTGATGCTGATGAGACAGGCTGAAGAGAAGAGCAGGAGAGAATCATGATTTATGGTCCATAAACAAACTTAAATGAAAATGGATGTTGTATTTATTTTATATTTAAACTACAGTATTTATAAAATCAGTAGATTAAATCTCCTTAGTTTGGATCTTTGTCTTGTTCCCCTGAACAACTCCGAAAAGGTCGCTCCAAAGAAAACAATGAAGTGAAGAAGAACATTTATTTCACCTCTATCTTCATGGCTTTGGGCTGCACCACATAGATCTTGTTCCTGTAGCCACACCACACCTTGTCGTGGACAACAGTCATGCAGCGGATGGAGTGGTGAGGTCGGCCCAGGTCTAACAGGTGGTAGTTTGTCAGGTCCCACTGCCCATCTAAAAACAAAGACAGGAGTCATGGTGTGTTTACAGATACCGCCAACATCAGGAGGGTTTGAGATGATGGTTTATTCTCCTCACCCTCTCCTCTGTGGAAGATCGCTAAAGTGCCATCAGAGAGGCCGACCAGCACACGCCCTTTCACATGTCTGTCACAAACAACCAAAGACTTTCAAGCAGCTGTTCAACATCCAAATATCAAAACTTGTGTGTATGTCGGTTTATTCACTCACACTATGCCAAGTACAGAGTCCTTGAGCTTTATTGAATGCAGGCACTTCTTCCACTGAGCCACAGACGAGTGGACGTACACACTGGAATAGAAGCAGATTGATTGGTCATCAGGATTATTTTAAGACTGCCCCTGAACATGAATGTGACAAAGGATCAGGGCAGCTAGAGGGAGGAGAAAACAAATGCTGATTTACAAGAATTAAGGTGTGAAATTTCAAGACTAAAGCTATAACTTTGTGAGCATGAAGTCAAAATGTTAAATATAAAGAGGTCATTTAGGTCCATGGTTGGTCTGTATTTTCAGAAAAGATCAGAGTAGCATCCTTCTTCACTAAATGAATGAACCTGAAACAGGCAGGTACAGAAGTACTTAATTACATTTATTTATGTTACTGTAATAGAGAGGCTTTTTGTGTCCTTGTACTTTCTTGGGTACTTTTTACATCAGTACTTTTACTGATGTATTCTCTATGGGTAAGTATTTTTAATTTGTGGTTAATGATTTGATCTTTTTTCTGTCATGAGGAAAGCCACAAGTTCTCTTCTATTATCAAAATGTTAGATTGAGAGTGAACTACACCACAGGTTGTCAGCATCTCCACTCTCGGCTGCTCAGAGCTGCAATCCTGACTGCATTATGGAGTCCATGATGAGCTGAAAGGAGGGGTCTTTACCATTTTGGTACTGAGTCACATTTAATAACCTTTGGTTATGACCAACATATACAACCTTAAATATATTCTCTGTATGATTCTTGGAAAAGAACAACTTTAATATCTGAGATCAAGACTTTGTCTGTCTAATCCTAGTCCCAATCCTACAGAAGAGTGCCTGAAAAACAACAGAAAAACCTCACCATCCGTTCTGAGCACCCAGCCACATAGTGGGCTGCACGCTGCTCATTTTCTGAGCCTCCTCTCTCATCAGGTCCTGCTCCTCTGAAGGTCCCGCTCCTATGAGGTTAGAGCTGACGCCGTCTTTCAGTAGATCACTCTCCCTGGACAGCACAGATGACACATTAAGTTAAATGTGCTGCATTTGTATCGCTGTAATCATAAAGCACCTTTTAAATGCCATGGTGGGCTGACGGAGGGTGACTTTAACTCTATGAAACAGACCTTCGTTCAGTGGCTGCAGGTCAGTTTGTATAATTTATTCCTGATAGTCTGAATATAAACCCTCTACAGATAGACCTTTTTTCTTTTGTTCACGGCAGCATTGTGATGATTACTTGTGTTTTTTATGTCCTGAGGACTATCATCATGTTTGTAGGCGTAAGTGTGAGCTAAGGGAAGAACACACACTCATTCAGTGACATTTTAAAGATTAATGTGCTGCATTAAGAGTTCACAACCAGACATTCATAAAGCTCTCATGGCCTCACAATAAACACTTAAACAGGGATTTAAAGTTGTTGCTCACTTGATGGTGGTTCTAATAAAACAGACAGCTTTATTGGGTTTTATTGGGCCGGCTGTAGTTAAATGAGGTGTCTCTGGATGACGAGCCTCCTGATCTTACCTCTGAGAGTAGTTAGCTGGAGCCTCGGCTGTCTGCTGAGCTCCGAGAGGATCAGTGAAGACGTGCTCTGTGTAGACCCCCCTTAGGCTCTCTCTTTGATCTGCAGACCCTGAGCTGGCTTCTGTGGCCTCTGTGGCCTCCTCTGCTGTCTTGGATTCTGTGGAGAGGATTGTGGAGGCAATAAACCACAATAGCAACATATCAGAAGTGACACATTTTTTAATTATAGAGTGTGTTACAGCCCTGATTTGTCCTTTTCTTTAAACCAAGCCTTTTAACATCAAGGCCCCGAAAAGCTCACAGCTAACAGTCCCTGTCCTTCACTCATTAGTTTGATTAAAGCTGTAGAGTGTTTAGCTCCAGAGTTGAATAGGAATGCTCGGTAACCAGACAGACAAACAGACAGGTGCCGTAAAAGTAGAACCATTATCTTGGTACCTTTACCCCTGTTATCAGGGTTCCTTCATACTTAAAAACCAAATTTGAGCCTATTTAGATCCAAGCAAAGAAAAGTTAAAACTATTTTTTGACTAAGATAAGTCTTATTAAACTACTTTACTATTAAAAAGGACTATTTTTACACTACATAACACAAGTTTTCAAGTTTTTTAAACCCAAAAGTCACCTTACAATTGTTGTTTGTCCATACCCACCAACTTTCAACATATACAAAAAGTTGATTCTGTAGAATGGCCTAGTCCTGGATATTAGCTGTCTTATTTGTCTGCTGTAATCTTTTTTACTGTGTGTAAATCACTGCACTGTTTTAGTCAATAAAGTGTTACTTTGTTTATTTGTGGACCCCAGGAGGACCAGCAACCACCTTGGGGAAGCTAACAGAGATCCTCACAAAGATTAAAGATGAATATTTGAATCTAAAAGCCCAATAAACTCAATTTAATGTGTCATGAAGTCCTACAGCACACAGTAAAGACAAAATGACACAAAATGATAATTTGAGTGATCTGAATCTGATCATGATCTGTGGATCCATCTGAATTGATGAGTCTAGACATGCTGCAGGAAAGCCACCCTGACGATCGCTTTCAAAACAAAAGCTTCATACAGATGACAGAGAATGTCATGATGAGAATTTCAAATCATATTTGAGAACTCAAAGTGAACTCAGGAAATAATCCTGTGTAAAATGAAATCCACTTATGACAGGGTCACAACAAATCACATAATTTCACCTGGGAATTGTTCAGATATTTAGCAGCACATTAACATGCACGGTTTAGTCAAGCTAGGATTAGAGCTCAACAGGTGATTTAACTGGAGCACCGTCCTTGTCTATGTCCTTGTCCTTGACCAGGCAAGAATCCGATTATTGAGAAAACTGTCCACCTGCACTACAGTAGCTGAGGACATGCTCCCATTCAGCTTGCTACTACTAAGCTGTCTACAGATCGACACACACACACGCACGCACGCACGTACGCACGCACGCACGCACGCACACACGCACACACACACACACACACACACACACACACACAACAAAACAATCAACACGGCATGTTGAGTAAAAAAGAAAAAGACCTCCTTGAAGTGAAAATAAGCAGGTTTGAGACATTTGAAGGCCTTCATACTTGTTTGATTGGATTTAAGACTCTTTCAGAATTATAAAAAAAATACAGGAGCCCTGAAGTATTGTGTTCTGTGCCAGACTGAACAGTGTTAGACCGCCTCATGGAAATGCAGCTCTTTCTCTCTTTTACCTGGACTGACAGCTTTCTGAGGAACAGCTGCAGCTCCTTCAGCGTCACAGCCGACAACAGTGATGCCTCCCAGCATGTCATCACCTCCTGCTGAGCTGTTATTGGCTGATTGTGAGTCGCCCTCTCCTACTGGTTCTGCCTCACAATTTGGAGAGACTTCCTCACCAGCAGGGTAGTCTGTCTCTCTCGCTCCTGGATGAGAACAAACACAGAGAGTTGTGGGGACATCTGGGGGTGTGGTTTAATGTTTGGACACAGATTTCAATAAAAACCATGAATCACTCCGTCAGACACAAAAAAGGTCATCTGCTGACCTGGGACACTGGCGATGCAGAGAACGTGGGAGTTGCACACAAAAAAACTCTCGAGGATGTTTCCTGGCTGGTTTGCATCGATGACCACAGCTTTAGTGGTGGACTGGGAGCTGGTACAGATCCAAACCAAAGATGACATCTCTTCCTGCTGCCGCAACTCCTTCTGCTGCTCCTGAAAACATGAACAGAGAGACTAAGCATAAATCCTGTGCATACTGTATGCATTATGTTTTTACCTGTGTGGCACTGGAATAATTGCCTGTGAGTACCTTGAGTTCCTGATCCAATTTGTCCAGACTGCTCTGAGAACCTATTTTCTTTTTAGGGCTCTCTGGTCCTGGTACATCACTGTAAAACACACTGGCTCCTACAATGGAGCCTCCATCTCTGGTTTTCCCTCCTGAGAGGTTGACACCAGCGGCACACCACAGCTGGAGTGAAGAATCACAGGATCAAAGCAGTCAGAAATGAATAGATACACCGGAGGGATCTCCGCAAATCCTTCACACACAACCCAGTCTATGATTTCCCTCTTTTTTAAGTGTCAGTCAGCAAGAATTTCCTAAACAAGATTGTTAGAGTGACAGCGCTTTTAAAGTCAGGCCTCTGATCCTCTTAACAAAGTAGTCCTCATACCAGCATTTCAAAACCCTGGTTTAACTTGGCTCGAGTTGAGTCTAAAATAAGCAAAGGCCTCTCTGTCCCAAATAAAGGCAGGGTGAGTTTATAGATAAAAACTACTCAAGTTTGACATGACACAGGTGAAGGAAATACCTTCATAGAAGCATCTTTCTCATCCAGTGGTCTGAGGAAGACAGGGACAGGCAGATTCTTCAGCTTACCCTCTGCGTTGCCACCATTGGTCTAAAAAAACACAAAACATGGCATCCCAGTTTGTTTCATTTATGACACTTGTCACTGACTGAAGAGAAAGAGAAAATCCACAGTAAATAAGAAAGGGAAGCTGATGCCGAGGTCGACGCTCGTCTCCTTACTTTGTATTTATTGGGGAGACTCCAGCCGAAAGCCTGCACTCTGCCGTCCTCCTTCTGGACGTGAGCTTTGACCTGCTGGTACTGAGCCCTCTTCTGCTCTCGCCTGGACACCACATTATCTGCTGCCACTCTGAAAAAGATTTACCAGATCCATCAGAAAGCTGTTTTTCCTCCACAAAGACAGAAAACAAACATGGCAGTCACACATTTTAGCAGCCAAAACAATAAATGCCTTTTTTGTTTCACATCCACGTCAGGTCCAGTTCATTTCACAGAGCTTTTGTAATGAATTCCAACTTAGGAAGAGCATGCTAGAGCAAAGTTTTTAAAGACTACAGGCTACAAAAAGCTTCAATACGAACTCTATTTTTGACAGATGGAATATTAAAGTAAAACAGTCACCCACGCGCCTTATTTTTCTATAATCACACAGAAATGACGAATGTCATGGCTTTTCTATTTGTGGTTGCGGGGAGAGTGATTACTGTGGAATCCAATAAATACAAACAGCTTTCTTTACAGAAGGTAGTTTAACAACGCTCAATATAAATCCCAATCATCTATGTTATTGATAAATATCCCAGCCATCTATGTCTACACAGACATTTGCATCTGCTCATTATGTTTAGTGTTGGCTCTGAATAAAATATAGTTGGAGCCAAAAATACCAAAGCTGTATCCTGCCACTTGCTGATGTTGAAGTCTTGATGCAGGGTTTCTGGTTTCTCTTACAGTAAGAAGTGGCTGTGTTTTATTATGTGCACATGTCATGCTGACTCTGCAAAGCTCCAACATGCAGACAGCAGAGAAGCAGAAGTTACTGGTAGTGAAAAATCTGATTTTACTACATTTTTATTGTGGCACAAAAGTGTCTTGCCACATGGCACATAGTTGTCTGGATTACCCACCAAATGAGTAATAATGAATTAATTAGATTTCCCTTTGGGGATCAATAAAGTCTTTGTATTGCAGTGTAGTGTAATTGGCACACAGGATGTGTTAATATCAGACCCTGGACTAATTCTTTAAAACTCCAGTTAAAATTCTGACATCCTTTGTTGGTGTTATATAATTTTGAATCAGTGTTTCTCCACAGAATCTCATAAAGACGGATTTCTTTGCATCAAGTGTTTTTACAATCAGGCTATCAGGCTTACTCCTCATTGAGGAAGTCGAAGGCTTTGCTCTTGTCACTGGGCAGCTGCTGCAGGGTGCTGCTCCTCTTCTTCACAGACGGCTGGATCTGAGAGGTGGGAGCGTTGTACTTGACGTTCACAGGGGCCTCCACCGCCGGCTTCTTGGCTGCTCCACCAGACGAGCTAAACAAACGGCTGAAACTGGAGGTGCAAGGGGGGGAAGTGGGGAGGGAAAGGGTGGGGAAAGCACACAGACAAACATATAGAGGGGTGGACACAAGCAAAAGCTCCAGCAACAGAGGTCAAGTCCAACAATCAATGAAAATTAAACTCTCCTATGCCAACACACCATGCCAGCTTTCACACAGTTTAGACTCTGAAACAAGTAGTCTAATGAACTTTAAAGACCTCACTGGCAGGTCCCCTAAACTGCAGAGGATCAAGCAGCTATAAGAGCCGTGGGGATACTGAGGAGCAGGGAGTGCAGGGTTAATACTGTGCACTGAATGGGACGTTAGTTTACGACACAGAGCAAAACAGACCTTGACAGTAACACCCCTGTTTCCCCACTAACTCAAAGGTAGGAGTTCATATATGGCTCCATGAAATCTGTTTCCACATTTTGTTTTTCCATTCACATTTTTCAAAAGATGTGGTCACATTTTGTCATCTTATGATTGTTTAGGAAAATGGAAAATACAAAGTCTACATAAGTATTTCTGAATTGTGACTTCTTTCACTCCCTCAAGTATGACAATACTCAGGAGTCAGTTGTTTTGCGGTAAATATCAAACACACAACCTTTTAACATTTATTTTACATTAAATGAGCTATTTGTGGCTATCTTAAGTTTAACTGTTACAGTAAATGTATCTTATCGTTAACATCCCCTCACAGACTGAACCTGCAGCTGTCCTCTCCACATACACAGCGCTAGTCTACCGTTTCTCTTCTTTGACATTATTCATGTCCAGGATCGTTAATAAGGATGCTTAAATAACACGACTCATGTTTAGAAATGTTCACCGGATTCTCTGTTATTACAAAAAATATAGGCAGGCTTGTCAGGATGACATAACTCTGAAACAGTATTATAATTAGTGATAAGATATTATTCATACAGACACCATTATTGATTCTGCTTATTATCCAAATTCTTCTCAAATGTTATCTTCAGTATTAGGACCTTCACTGCTCTGCTCAGACGAGGACACCAGACTTCTTATTAGGCCTTTAAAAGGTCAGCTCATTATAGATACAGTCTCTGATTGGTGGACAGATCGTAACAAGAATTGGTACAGTAAGCTAACGACAGAAATCACACAGCTCTGCTATAATCTGAATATAAATCCTCACAGATTATCTTTGTTTTTAAGGGGTTGGTTCTGGACAGTCTCTGAAAAGAAACCCACCCTCTCTGCGGGATAGGATAGTCACCGAGTTTATAGATTTGTATTTAGAAATTATTCAGTTACAACAGCATCTCAGCCAAATCACCCAATATTACATTTCACAACTGACCCCTTTTTCACTGCATCATAGGGCCCCAACTAAACTGAGTATTGAACATCTAAAAGTCTGTACAATGGCATGTTTCCAATGAACACAACCCTAGCAGGCAATCTGACTCTCATAATTAAATGTAGGAAATAAACTCTGCTGAGTTTAGCTAAATAAGCAGATTTGCTTTGATTTGATTTGACCCAGACCCTCCACCCGTACTCCTGCCTTCCCTCCCTTCTCCCTCCCACCCTCAGAAACCTTAAACAACACACCTCCTACACACAAACATCACAACACCAGGCAGAATGCAGAGGGACACACACAAACAGAGCAGGAGAGATGGTGGTTTGATCAGATTTCATCTCTTACACAGAATACTGTCCCGATCCCAGGACCAAAAACCTGCTCCAGGTAATCCCTCAAAGTAAAGACACACTCATTCCTTATGACACTAAACAAAGGAGAGCAAACAGGTGCATTTTTACAACCTCAAGCGTCCTGATGTTGACAAGTCTTTAAGTATGAAACAGGACTGTGACAGCCAAGAAGCTCAGATCTAAGATCAGAGCCTTTGTTTTCTGGCTCGCTTGAGTTTTTTATCAAGATGAATATATAAGAAGCCGAGTCAAGCTGTTAGCACGTCAAAGATTTACTTACATCCTGGAGAATACAACAAAACCACATGAAATACAAAGAGAAGCAAAATGAAACATGGAAATAACAAAGACATCTCACTGAAGACAGCATGAAAAGAAAAGAGGAGCTTACAACTGCCAAAGGCTGGATTTCTTCTTCTCTGGAAGAGCTGGGTTCTCCTTGGAGGCCCTGAGGGAGACAGATTGATTGAAACTCAGAGCGTTAGACTGACGATAAAAGTCTGATAACAAAAACTGAATCAGCAGCACTTTAATGCTGTTACTGCTCATAATGCAGCTGTTTGAATGACTTTGAATGACATGATTATATTAAAGTTTCATTGGGTGGACCAGTGAAGACATAGATCAGTAAATCTGAGCTTTATGGGGTTTGTTTGGTGTACTTTTGTGACTGGATTGGCCTCAGTGTCAGAGTGATAAAGACGTTAGGACAGATTTATTAGTAGATATAACATTTATCTCATAACAGATAAATGGAAAGTTTTACCTTGTCATGCAGGCTTTAAGATTAACACAGTCTTTTTGCTGATGAAAACGTCAAACATGGATTCACACCCACAGACAGTCCGTCTGGCCCGTTTTACCTGATCATCTCTGTCCATCTGACAGCCTCCTGAAGCTCCATCAGCCTCTCCTTATACTGGTTCCTCTCCATCAGCACTCTGGCCATCTCCACTCTGGTGAAGCGCTTCCTCTGTGCAGTTGGCACATCGCTCTGCAGGTCAAACACCAAAATATAACAGTAGCTGAGAAGATCAATATGATGGCCGCACTTTAAACAAAAGCACTGAAGGCGTTACTGAAGAGACGTTTATTAGCCTGGACATCATTATATGTAAAAAATACTCTAAACAGCTTCAACATCTGTGGAGCAAACCTAATGAACTTCTCAAGTCTATCCAGCTGAGTGAGTAACACTGTCATGCAAAGACTCACATCATCCTCATTGTCATTCTTGACCTTCTGCCTCGTCTCTTCAAGTTCTGCTCGAATCCTGCAATTAAGACAAATAATTCAAGGTGTTAGCAGACATGTTAACACAGTATGAACTGAAGTAATTTTTGTACAGTTTGAACTGATGTGGACTTTAAGGGAAATCGACTCACTTCTTGAGTTCTTCCTCTAACTCTTTGTTCCTCTCCTCTAGTTTGGTTTTAGACCGCAAGACAGCTTCCAGCTCACCACGCAAAACCTCCTTCTCACAGGTCAGCTCATCCACTTGTGCTATTAGGTCGTTTTTCACTACATTCAAAGCATTTCTGAAAACAAAAAAACAAACAAACATCAGGTTAGATTCTATGTCTATCAGAGTGAGGACGCTGTGTAAAATGTTGATTTAAAAAAAAACAAAAAAACAATTTGAAAAATTATTTACATTTTTTGAATCAGAAAGGGGCAAAGAACAAATCAAACGTTAAAACTGTAGAGGTTTTTTTTTTTTTAATTTGCTTTTTCTTGAATTAGCAATACCTTCAATAATAGTTACTGAAACAGCTTTTCTTTCAACAACACTCTGTAAGTCTCAGTAAAGTCAGAGGATCAGTTTCAGGGGTTTAGAAAAAGAAATGTTGTCCTATTCTTGTCTGATACAAAATTTCAGCTGCTCATGTTTTAATGGGGGACAAGTCAGGAGTGCATTCAAAGATTCAAAGATGGTTTCTAAAGTGCAGACGGACCAGTTTCTCAGCAGGACTCTTCTCCTACAGAGCCATGCTGTTGTAATCCCTGTTGTCAGAATGTGGTTTGTCATTGTCTTGCTGAAATATAAAGGTCTTTCCTGAAAAAGTCTAATTGGTCTAATTGAGCATTTATTGTATATTTCATAAACCAGAAATCATTTTCCAGTTAGAACTGATGTTGTGTTTTTGCACAATTTTAAGTTAAACTCAGGCTTTAAAACATTTGCAAACCATCAAATTCTGTTTTTCATCGACATTTTACAAACTTAAGGAACTGGAATTTGATAGTTTAATGTAATATAGCAATTAACAGAGGGTGGCAGCACTGGGCTGCTGCTTTAAGATGCAGCAGTGACGGGTTTCTCTCCTCTCATGTATTCACAAAGTGTCTTATGCTTATTATCAATAATTTATTCAAGTTCAACACTTTCCACCACAATGCTATCAAATACTCTGAGGTTAGCTGTGATTTGTAGGATGGAGCTTTGTGAAATAAGAGCAGCAGCAAATATTTCAAACTTTAGAGAGTACTAACTTGGTCTCTAGCAGCTGGGTGTTCTCTTGGATAAGATGCTCAACTTCCCGACCCATACCTGTAAACAATCACAAATAAGGGGGTTTTAAAGTGAGTAATTGTAATCTTTTCATGAACTAACATTGAAGAAATGATCAGAAAATAACGATAAGTAAAAAATTTTTGTTTTGTATGTCTGTCCTACACACTAACAGTGTCCTCACAGTCTTACCTAGAAAGCTGTAGTCTGAGAATCATGCAGGAGACATTAGAATATATTTATTTAATCAAACAGTCTCAATTAAACATCTTTAAACATTACTGCTCTTCACCACACAGAAGTGCCAATCTAAACTAATCTGCTGATAAAGACTCTATACAAATAACAGAAAGTCACAGAGGGCACGGAAATTAACACAGACTGAAATCTAAGGACTGAAATCTAGCAATGAAATATGGTGGAAATTGCTGATACACACCAGAAAACTCATCTGTGAGGCAACAAAGCCCGACAGCCAAAGAAAAACGCAATTCAGAGAGTGTGGCAGAGGTGGAAAAATGTTCATAAAATAAGAGACACTATAAAAGATTATAAACATCAGGCTTCTCACCCAGCAGATCGGCTCCTTCATCAACGTCACCAATCAGGTCGTTTCCTGCAGACGACAGCTCTTCAAACAGAGAGTCTGTGTTTCTGTCAAATGCCAGATTTTCTATTCCTCCTTTAGTTGGTGTGCTGGAGGGACAGAAACAGGACTATGAAGTAGGGGTTAAAATAATGATGATAGTGAGTGAGGAGGTATGATGTCACAATGTGATCTTTTCGCTAACTCTGTTCACCCTGATTAACTTTTAAGAGACTAATACCTGTCAGCATTGTGCACATATGCTAAGGTTTCACTCTTGCACTGGCTGAAAGGTAATCCTCCTTCTGTCTGTACTGCAGTCACCTTTTAACCCTCTTTCTTAGACAGAAGTTAGAGTTCAGCTAAGTTTCCTTTTTAATTAAAAGTCAGCACAGAAATGTTTTCCCTGCAGCTATGGTTGAGCAAACTTGACAGTCAGACTGCCCTCAGATCTGTTTCCTCTGTGCTGCTCTGCAGAGTCATGTCTAGACTCTAGACTAGGGAGGCACAAGAAGGTCAGCCCCATTCCCTTTGGTATTTAATAATTGGCTTGTTGACAATTGTCCACAGCACTAACTAATGGTTTAAGTAGTTGACCAGTTGGTGAAACTCCAATTACCCACTCTGTCATCACAATCTACTGTGTTTTAACTACTATCTGTAAAACACACAAATCAAAGAATTCTGTCTATAATTTAGTCATATGATGTGTATTATGCATTTGTCAGTCTGTTTAAGTAAAAGCATATCTATAGCTCAGAATAAGACAAGGTAAGATAATCTTTCATAATTAAGGCAAAAGGAGAATCTGCATACATAGTTATCTCCAGCTTATAGTCCACTAACAAGCCATCAGTCCTGTACCTTGTTCCTCTACAACCATCCAGATCCATGTCCAGCTCAGGTGTGGACTCTATGATGGCCTGCACCTCTGACTTCTCAAGTTCATCAGCTCCATCTGTAACAACCACCAGAGCAAATAAAGCAAACCTGTGCACTCTAACAGCAGGTTTGAGATGTTAAACATCTGTTGAGCTGGTCCAAGCATCATCTCTCACAGGTGAAGGACCTTAACATACAGACTCAGACTCAGACTCACCCATCTGTCCCTCTTGCACGGCTGAAATGTTCTTACTGCTCTCTGGTTTCCCACTGTTTCTGTCCAGGTTTTTATTGAGTCCATCTAAAACTTCCCGTTCCTGAAGGGGTGTGTCCACTGACTCCATGGCAACATCAGAGGTATCACTGGAGGGGGTCACAGAGGCAGACCCACCGACACTGGACACAGGCCTCATTCTGGCTGACTCTGCTTCATGAGGAGATAGTGGAGTGGTTGACTGAGAATTACACGTTGGGGTGTTCGATTTGGAGGCTCCACCCTGAGATGACATGTTGGATTTGGATTCTCCAGCTTGTGTAGACACAGGAGTTCCACCTTTGGACATGGTTCCGTGGTTTGTTGGTGTGCTGGACTTGGAGCCTCCACGAGCTCCAGCCAATTCATCCTAAGCGGAGAAAGAGACAATAAATAAAGATGAGACTGACACTTTGAGATGGACACCTATGGGTTCTCATGGGTCCATCGAGTACTGCCCATCACTGAGGGCTTCAAAATGTGAGTTTTCACCTTTAGTGGACAGTCTAAGATAACACTCTGACTTTTGTACAGCTTCATTTCCAGAAGAGTTAGCATGCAGGGTAAAACTTTGATAACAATAGAATTTGATTGTTTGCAAACCATTTAAACTCAATATTTGATTTACAATGAAGAAGACTGGAGTCTGAATAGGAAATGTTGTCCCATTCTTAGTTGAGGAAATATGAAGGTCATTGTCTGGATGGCAGTAGATGTTACTCCTAAAACTGTAGATATTGCTCAGGATTAATGGAGCCTTCACAGATGTGGAAGATACCCATGACATGAACTCTCATGATCCCCATACCATCAGGGATGCTGGCTTTGGACTGGAAGCTGAGAACAAGCCTGGTGGTCCATCTCCTTTAACTGGTAGTTCAGAAAAAGCTCACTTCAGTCATCTCCCTTTCACTTTCTATAAAACTATGAGTTTGCACAATAACATGACTATCTTTAAATTCATTCATTACAATAAAAAATAACATGTTAGTCCCAGTGAGTCATGCATCCAACCAACAATAACATGTATCAAACCATAACATGCAAGCAGGATTCCTTCACAAATCTCATAGGCAACTCCACTTTCATGAGTCGAAGGTTTCACAAATCTGACATCAAGAACATCAGAAAAGTCGCCACTATTTTTGCAGTTTTGTTTGAACTCACACCACAGCAAAGTCAGCAACACAGCCACTTAACATCACATCACGTCAAGGTTTGGAGATGCTTTTGTTAGACTTGGTCTTGAGGGTCTACCTGGTCCTGATCGGCCTCCTGATGGAGCAAAGTGTCCTTCACACTCTCACCTTCCACACTCCGGAGGAAGAATTGGTCACCAGGCTGAGAGATTTCAGAGATCTTTTAGGTACAAAACCAGTCAAACCAGGACCAAAACAGGGCAAGTTAGCTACTTAGACAGCTGTGTCAAAGAGTACTGTAAGGCTCCATTGACTAATACCAGTAAAGGACTTACAGTATGTTGTGATACATACTGGAACATCAGTGGCTATTAAATACTCCTATGACAACCTTAAAATGGCTAAACCAAATTTTTTATATACCTGTCTTTATCAAATTAAGTGCTATACATCTGCACGTGTATTTGCACTGTTCTGTGATCATGTAGTCATCATCTATTCGTGGGTCAGAGTTCACGTTTACTGCTGCAGACTGCACATCTTTTGATCAGACCTCCCCAGAAACAAACATGTTCATGAATGAGCATGCATTCCTGTCCTAACAGCTGAATAGTCATTAAAGATGTCCTGGGAAGCTCAGCTCCACTCAAACACTGGGGTTTCATCAGCTCTCTGCAACACTGTGTGGCATGCCCTCTGATTCTGTATTGTTTTGATCCAGTAATTTAAGTGGCTTCAGTCCTATATATAGCTCAGCGGCTGATGGAAAAGAATCAATCGGGATGACAACAAAGCATCCACACTGATCCCTCTGTCACCTTGAAAACTGATGAGTGGGGGTAGTGTGACTTCCACACCACTGATGAGACTTGAAGCTTTCACAGAGATAAAACTGAACCATGTTAGATAATTAAACCCTGTCTTTTTACTGTCTTAAGTCATTCAAACTTTTGTGTATTTGTATTTGTACTGCCGGGAGTTTTTGCATTCACAACCCTCATCTAAACCTGACTCTTTTGTTGCCATAGTCGCACTGAGCAGCCAATAGGGGGAAAACTCCCCAAGACTCAACCCCAACCCTCAAAAAAAGACTCACACATGCAAGCTGAGAGGGAAGGGATCACTGACAGCGATTTTTGAAAAATGTCAAATCAGAGGACAAAACACAACCAGGGCTGTGGGTTCATGCTGCAAGTGCCTGGAAAGACTGCATGTCCTCAGTTAATTATATGATAATTCACACACTTTAGGGTCACAACGGCCAAGGTTTTATTTCTGGTTTCTCATGGCAAAGTAAAGTGCTAAAAAATTCTCAGTGGAGCAGAAAACTGTAGCCTAGCAGTTTTTCAAGGAGTTTGGCAGTAAGAGAGCCGAGATGAAGGTCATCCATTGTGGCTTAAACACTTGCTAGTGACATCTAACTTATACCCCCCCCCCCCCCGCCCCCCGCCCCCTTAAAAATACAAAAATATCATTTTAAAGAGAATATGAGTTCATATATTAGCATGTTCACTCTGACATAATCCCTTTTTCAACTTCTAGTCAACTTGTCTTTGTTTACACCCTGAAATATGTGAACCTGGGATTCGGTTTTATTGTACCGGAAGAAAAGTATCATGTATCGAGGTTCAAGGCGCAAAGTTTTCTTACACTTTACCTAACTCTTTGTATTTACGTTGATCATAGTCCAGTGACAGACCAATAAACCGGCTTGGTGACCTGTAATGAACCAACTCAGCACAAACCCTGTTATCAGGCTTCAAATTTAAGTTCCTCAGCTCCAAACTGAGTCTCAAGTCTTACACCACCCATGTGACCCTGCACTAGTGTAATAACAGCCAATGAATACTCATGAGGAGGTTATTAATATTCACGAAGGAGCCTTGCTTCAAACATGGTTTCCAACAGCAACAATGTGAAGACACTCTGTCCTTTCCAACCCCCCTTTAGGTGAAAGGAAGGCCCCGAATGGTACCACTTCCTCTGCTTGCTGGGCTCCAGGCCACCCCGTTACTCACTCTCTCACACACACACACACACACACACACACACACACACACACACACACACACACACACTCTCTCTGACACAAGCTGCTAAAAATTCTGGACACACTGAACAATCCTTCTCTTTGAATGGAAATGTAGTCTTTCTTTGGTGTTTGCATTTAGTTTCCACAACCTCTTCTAAATGAAATGGGGATGATGTCACCACCAGTATGATCCGTGGGAAGCTCTACTGGCTGACTTGAGACAGTAACTCTATGCTCTCTTTATCACAGATTCATCATGGTTTTAAAAGCAGGACTGATTTGTGTGACTTGGTCTTTTAGTTCATGTTGTACCTTGAGGCTGGTGTTGGACCGTGGATGGCTGAGGTTGTTAAATCGCCATGGTTCAGAGCAAGTGTCCACAGGTTCCCTCTGGGGGTCAGGGGTCATACCATCAGTCCCCGGAAGTTGGAATATGCCCATGGAGATTGGACGCTCCTTCCTGAGTAAGGAGACAGACAGAAGGACAGATGATTAAGAAAGGTGACGAGCTCCCTGAAAAGAGAAGAAGTTACTACTGTTCTCGATGTTCTTTATATTCTATATAAGAGCTATAACTGTATAACTTTTATAGTTTATAACTATAAAAGAGCATGTGGACAAAGAGCCTTCATAGATACGGTAAAAGGCTGTAGTCAGGCAAAGGGGTGCTTCAAGTTGAATGCTACAGCCTGTGTGTTAACTGTATGTTACATATTCCCAACCTTTAGCTGTGTCCCATACTAGCACCTCATCCAACTAGATTAAGTTGTTGAGATCATTTCTCATCATACATCACGGCCCCTTTATTGATGATGTCCATTTTGTCACACATGCCTTGCAGAACAACGATGTGACGCGTCTCTAGAGAAAAATGACAGCCTATCACGAGGGACAGAGGATAGAAGCTTTCCAAAACGCTGGTGCAACACCAAATACCGTTGTGTTTGCAATATCAGAAAAACATCTATATACCAACTCACTGTAAAATCCACCCACTTCGTTAGACCGGCAGCTTTCCAGTAATAAACTATCTGCAATATTCAGGAGCTTTACTGCCCCACAAAGAGGATCGGTGTATATTTAGAGACTGTACAAATCCAATCCACTATTAATATACAGAATCTGTGATGCTTTTTGTATCAGTTTCGGTGATTAAGTGTGCTTTCTTTTGTTAGCTGACCATGCTAACTGAAGGCTGCTGCAACCTTTGTTAAACTCAGTTAGAGTCTGTATCTACAGTCAGCTAAAATGCGAATACTGAATACGATGACAGGCCTCTTTGTCTCAGCAGAGCAGTGAAGATAATAAAACTCATGTTGTTGACACAGAAAACCTGCAGAGGCCGACTTTCTCCACACACACAGAATTGATGAAGAACTGGTCTGATAAGCAAAATCAATATCCACCCCGGCCCAAATAAAGAAGCTACAGCCACTGAAGGCTGTGCATAGTTTCCTCCAACGGCTTGTAATGTAGCCAACAAATGTGTCCAGCTTTTCCCGGGCAGCAATGATCACATCTGGTGCATCCTTTGCAGTCGAACATATCCCATGATTCTTTGCACATCTATTCAAACATGACCTCCGACTCTCAAACAGCTAAGTATTGAACTTTTCAATAACATTTGTTTTTTTCTCAATAAGGAGCTGTTTAAGTGTGATAACAGATAAACATATTGCAACTAAAATCTATCTTTGAAATTTTGATCATGTCAGCTGGCCACTTGTATAGGATAGGATTAGTACTTCACTGTCACTGTAAAGGGTCATTGTACGTGACTTGGCACTGTGACACCAGCATCAGGGTGGTAATGGCGGTAATTGTCTAGGGTAAGACTGCCCCAATTCAGTTCAGCCTGACTGTTGATGAAAGCTTCACAGCTATATTCAAAACAGGATTATATTTGCTAATAAGCTGCTGGGATGTTATCATTTACAGAGTTTAAAAAAGTATTTGATGCAGTAAAATTATTTATTAACCTGATGGCTGCTCTAAAGCAGGCTTTTCTTTCCCTTTGGATCATGAACCAACAACAAGTCAAATTGGATCCCCTAAAATTTTTTGGATTTGGATCAATAAAAAAAAATATATGTATATATTTTTAATCATAATAAAACTTTACATGCAATATAAATTAGCTGGATATGTATGTTTTCATGTCCTTCATAAAGATCTCAATAAATACAAAATGAAGATTATTGTTCTGTTATAATGTATCTGCACTTGGCACAGTAATCAATGTATGTCTAAAGCACCAAAAGCCCATGGGGCACGGTGCATTACCCTTGGTCCTTCAATACCCCACATGAGGGCTGTAAGACCAAAAACCACCTAATTACAAAGGTGGATTTAGTGTTTTGTGTGCACGAGGACACAGTACAGTTTGCTACTGGGTGCTAACGTCAGAGAGGAGATAAGTTGTGTCTACCACAGCACCATAATTTGAAAGGCTGTTGTGAAGTGTGCAGGTTCAGTTGTTACTCTGAATAAGGTGAGTTAAGAGTGGCCATAATGATGCATTAAAGACATGACAAAGTCTTGAAGTGAAGCACCCTCTGCTCTCTTTCTTCATGGTCTGTTAATTAATGCTGCAGGTGCCCATGCTTATTGGACTACTTAACTCTCTATTATTATGATGAAGCTTTAATTCATAGTAATATGTCAGTGGTTTGGTAGATGGTATTCTTCAGGTTGCAGCAGGATGGACATGCCATCATTGGACTTCCTTCATCCCCTCTCTGTTGAAAGTGACTCTTAGTAGAAAGGCTGTAACAGCAAGTGGAGCTTATGTTAACTAAGAGTCTGTCTGTATTGCAGCCTGAATTCATTTCCATTCTTCTTTAGATAAAATGAATGAGCAGGTTTTATATTGTCAGTGAATTTAAAGCAGGTTTACATAATCGAACCAGAGAGGCTACATAAATAATGTGACGTCAAGACTTCACACAGAGATGTTGCTGCAAAGCTTGGCACTGGAGCCGTGGGGAGTGAAATAAAGCTAGTTGTCTCATAAACTCAGTTACCTCCCTCCTACCAGCTCAGGCAATAACACCAAGCCATTTGTATCTGACTGCATGATGGAGATCACTGTGAGATAATGTGAAAGAGATCAGCCTAAGGTAACTTTACACTGAGGCAAAAACATTCAAAATTATGATGTTCAGCTCCAAGAACATGACACAGCAGCAACTCAAGAGGTTTTTTTTTCTTTAAATTTTTTTTTCTTACAATTCCAACTACATCAGAGTGGACACTGGAAAACACTGATTTAAAACAGACTTCAGGTTAGCTCACTTAAAGCCAACATCTGACTGAAAACAGTGCAAAGACAGTTAACAATTTACAATAACCAAAACTTATAAATGGTAAATAGACCATTTATAAATGGCAAGCAGATAGTTTATTCATGTTTCATTGCCCTTACTTTATAATAACCATCTAAGTAATGTTTATAGATGGTTTAAAAACCAAATATTAACCATTTACAAAGTGCTACTGACGCACATTTTAATCTAGATGTTTCACAACCAATATTTTAACCCCATATGAACCTTTCATAAATAGTCCATTAACAATTAATAAAAATCATTAATCATAATTTCATTGCTTGTTAATGGTAAAGTAACTATTAACACACATCAATAAACTCTCTATTTGCCATTTATAATTGGTCCATATGCTGTCTTTAAATGATGATTAAACATTAACAAACTATCTATTTACCATTTCTAAATTATGGTTATTGTAAAGTGTTACCAAAGAAAATATATCAAATGTTGAAACTGGAAATTTTATTTTTTTATGAATGAGGACATTTTAAATTTGATGCAAGCTACACATTGTTGTTCTTTAACTTTAAAGAATATACCAAACTGATGAGGTTAACTGATGAGGAAAGCTTGGATGCCTAATCCCTTACTCATAGGAGAAGAGGGACCACCCAGTTTTTAATCAGCATCCCTGATGGTATGGAGACCCTCAGAGTCCATGTCATGGGGATCTTTCACATCTGTGAAGGCTCCATTAATCCTGAACAATATCTACAGGTTTAGGAGCAACATCTGCTGCCATCCAGACAACGACTTTTTCAGGGAAGACATTCATATTTCAGTGAGACAATGACAAACCACATCCTGACAACAGGGATTATAACAGTATGGCTCTGTAGGAGAAGAGTACTGCTGAGAAACTGGTCTGCCTGCAGTCCTGACTTGTCCCCCATTAAAAACATTTGGAGCATTATGACCCTGAACTGTTGAGTGGCTGGAACCCTCTATCAGGCAAGAATAGGCTGATATTTCACCTTCCAAACTCCAGAAACTGGTCTGCTAGGCTCACTAACATGATATAAACTCAGCCTGTATTTTTTACATTTGATTTGTGATCTTTTCATTGTTTTCATAAAAAAGGAAATTTTAAATTATTTACAAACCATCAAATTCTGTTTACACAGCCTCCTAACTCCTGTAGGATTAGGATTGCACACTAACAGGAGCAATATCTCTCACTCTGTATAGCATGATGTTGGATGTTATTTGGACTGTAATAAACAAAATTACAGATAAGATTTAAAACTTGCCAAAAACTCCATGTTATAAAACAAACACGATACTCTTTGCAAACACTCTCTTGCAAAAACATTTTCATTTTCCAACTTCTATCTCAACTCTGGGCACTAAAGACTGACAGTATTTATGAACAGAGACACATTACAGTACATTCACTACAGACTCTGCTACAACAGCCCAGTTACAAACCAACAGCTACTCTCAGAATTATTGGACAGGGCGAGCCGAACAATGGGTGCCACAGTGAAAAGAACAGCCGGCGGGCAGCAGTAAAAAAACAGCAACCCAAAAACAATGGACACACCACCATATTGAGGGAGGAGGTCACATGCAGGCCACTGATTGTCACCATTGCTGCCTTTTGTTGTATTTGAGTCGAAGGATGAAGGAAAATATCACAGTCCTGGCATTACATCAACACAATTATACGATTTTGTAGAAATAAAAGGACATAAACAATCCTATAAACTCTGGTGAGCTGGATGTCACTAAGGTGTTGTTCTCTCTCAGGTATGACTCTGCCTTTTTTCCATTTCTCTCCTGACCTACTTTCCGCATGCTGTCTCACACTGTAACACACCCACATGAGAGGAGCACTGCGACGGCATGTTCACCAGCCGGCAGCTGCAGCAGAAACACAGATCAGAGCAGGAGAGATGCAATGAAAGAAGACAAATTAAGATGAAACAAACACACACACACAGAAACACAGACACACACACACACACACACACAGACACACACACACACACACACACACACACACACAGACGGGAACTACCTGCAGGGTCTGGGTAGGGAGGGTAAGGGAGGCAGGGCAGGTAAGCCGCCAGTGGAAACTGAGTAGTGAACCAGCAGTAGCACAGACAGAGAGACCAGTACAGCAGAGTTGATGACCACCGCTCCTCCAACAAAGCCAAACACAAACAGCAGCATACACCCGGGGCTCATGGCCCCCCCAGATGATGGCCCAGTGCCTAAACAGGGACCAGAAGGTTTGGGGGGCACGGGTGATAGCAGCAGATAAGGTAAATGTCACTGAACCATCTGATTGAACGTCAGCATCTGTAAACTCATGTACTGAGGTCATAAAGCTGTATCCTTGAGTCAGTAATGCAGCAGAGTCTATATGCAGCAGATCAGCAGAGAGGCAGACAGAGAGCAGGTTAAATCCAGAGCAGTCTACCAGCAGCAGTCACAACAGCAGTCACAACAGCAGTAATCCTGGTGGCATCAGCAGTAGAGACTGATTACAGCAGAGCAGCAGACCCTGAGAGAGGCTGACAGCAGCAGCAGCTCCACTCCTCTAGAGTCCTCCTCCAGCAGGTGATTCTGTTATCCTCCCTCTCTCTCCCGATCTTCAGCTGAGATGCAACACGTCTGCTGCTGCGCAGTCCAGAACACTCTGACGCTCTCACTCTCTCACTTTGGTAGCACCCAACAACCCTCCCTCTCTCTGTCTCCCTCTCCCTCTCTCTCTATTTCTCTCACACACTTTTGGATGCTGAGGCAGCTCGTTCCATATGCCTGTACTCAGACTGCAGCTTACTGGCTGCAAAACAGAGAGGCTGATTAAAAAGTGTGTGTGTGTGTGGGGGTGAGGGTGGCGGTGACTTGTCTTTAACTGGAAAGATAATGAAGGCTGAGGAAATACAGAGTTCAGCCTGGATTCACAGACACAGTGCAGTGTGCAGAGAAACATACAGCACCATCCCAGAAAACAATTTTTTGACTTTATACAGTGAATGTAAATAGTATCAAATTCTTCAATTTTATTATGACAGTGTTGAAATGTTACAAGTGAAATCTGGGATTCAACTCAGTGAGTATTAAGACCAACTTCCTGCAGCAGGCAGATTCCGCTCTGCAGAAGGGCGATATACCACAAAGCTCATCCAGCCTTGAGCTGCACAACATCCACGGCATCCTTCATCAGTCCCACTGAACTCCACTTTATCTCCTTTTCACTGTACTCTATTTCTGTATTTCTCTCTCTTTTTTTTTTTACTTTGTTTTCATATTTTAATTTCCTTTTTAAAACTCAACAGTCTTTTTGCCTGCAACATTTCTAATCTTTGTATTTCTTTCAGCGAGTGTTACGTTTGTCCTTTTCCTTTACATCACAGCTCTCTGCAGGTCCTCTGACCTAGTTCTCCCTCTTGCCTGTGGGAAAATATACTGGATGTGTGTGGGAGGAGAGCCTGCAGTGGTTAAATCTGCACCATTTCTGAAACAGCCAGGTCTTGAGATTTGATAATACCGATCTATAAATTCTACAAATATGATGACAGAGTAAGACATATGTTTTTGGAAACTGTAAATCTTTGATTATATCTTGAATAAACCCACAATAGTGGACAAAACAATGTCAAACAACCCTGGAAATCACCTGAAAATCCAAACAAGAAGATATTCAAGGAGAATCAACCTGTTCAGTTTCATGTTCAGTGTTTATAGTATTGAAGATTTCTTAGCTCTTGTGTTAAACTTGAAGTGGACACAGAGCAGACTGAGGTTGTGTGATCTAGTTATCTCACCTTATTCTGGCTGATGTGCTTGGGCCCGTGCCCGTCTCTGAGTGCTCTGCTGGTGTTACTGCATGCTGGTGTTTAGTCCTCTCCAGATGCTCCATGTAACTGTGGATCATCTGCAACATTATGAAACACACAGTCATGAAATCTGCTGGAGTTAAAATGTGATTAAAAAGTCCTTGTCTGAATGGCGGCAGATGTTGCTCCTAAACCTGTAGATATTGTTTAGCATCAATGGAGCCTTCACAGATGTGGACGATGCCCATGACATGGTCTCTGATGATCCCCATACCATCAGGGATGCTGGATTTGGACTGTGCGCTGAGAACAGGCTGGGAGGTGCTTACGGTCTTTTGAACGGGGGCATGCATGATTTCCAACAAGAATGTTAGACCACAAAGCAGTTTCTCACTTTGTCTCGTTCCATCTAAGGGACTTAGGCCAAGAGAAATCTCTGTTTTTTTCAGGGTCACATTTGCATGAGGTTTTTTAACTTGCATTTGTGGATGCAGTGACGAGCTGTGTTCACAGTCAAGGATTCTTGAAGTGTTCTTGAGCCTATGTAGTGACTCCAACTATTTTTAGACAGTGTGCAGCTAAAACAGCCTTTTCAGACATTTTTCACAGCAAAGATTCAAAGTGAATGATTGACTGATCAAAGAAACAGAATGACATTTTACATCAGAAAACCTTGAACATAAATGTTCAGCACAAGACCAGCAAAGAGTGTAGAGGTACTGTTTTTGTGCACAGGGTCCTCAACATCAACAGAAACTCAAACATCGTCTGAGGAGCTTTTTATAAGCCACAGACTCTTCATATGAAGTCATGAAATTCACTACCAACATGACACAGTAGGTGGCACTGTATACTTAAAAGATGTGGCGTCTTCCCACACACTTACAATTACCTGTGACTTGCGTCAGAGTTTTTATTTTATTTTGTCAGTTAGTTGGAAATTATCAACACATCATCAATCTTAAATAATCCAGAGCTGTGCAGTCCTGATTATTACTTCAATGACTCACATATGAGGAGTGTGTCATGACTACTGACAGCCTGCCTTTTAACAATGGTGTGCAAACTGTGTGTGTGTGTGTGTGTGTGTGTGTGTGTGTGTGTGTGTGTGTGTGTGTGTGTGTGTGTGTGTGTGTGTGTGTGTGTGTGTTTGTGTGTGGTCTTTCCATTGGACTGCCATTTCGTCGTTTCATCGTGAGTCATCTCAGTAGTGGGCCACTGAAGAGGATTGTTCAGACTCAGGGGCTTCTGTCAGTGACGTATAATGAATACCAGAGTTCAACAGACTAGAGGCTGAGCACAAACAGGGCTGAGCCTGAATAACCTGAGCTCTTCTGCCATACATATAGTTAATTATCCTGTGTGAGCTGTGGTGGATTTAGTGCTGTATGGATGCACTGCTGTTGAAGCACATGTACAAGTGCATCTGTAAATGAAAGTTACACATTATATTTGCTTGTAATTTGTTTTAAAAGGCTGAACTTGACAGTTTTTTAGTGGTGGCCCAGGGTGCAAACTGGTTACTTTGACGCACACCTGTGGTTTTTTGTTTATGACTGACTTACAAAATTCAGCCACAGGGTGGCGCAGTTGAATGAACATACACAAAAACAATGAAACACTGTTGTAAATTCAGCTGCATCTTTTAAATAACAAATGATCAACTTCATAAATCAGTCTTTGACTGTAGTCTACAATCTAGCCCATTATGTGACCTCATAGTGCAATCAGATGTTAGTGTGAAGTTAAAAGCTTAAAGCACTTTAAAGTATTGTCAACAGCCTGGTTTAAGGTGTTGGGCTGAGCAGAAGAGTTACAGGAAGACTGCAGCAGTGAGGCAGGTCTCCTAAAGCTCCTGTTTCACCATGACAGTCTGGATCAGGATCCAGAACCTTTTCACAGGACATGCTGAGATTTTCCAAACTGGTCAAGCGGCATTTCAGTATCTCTGCAGACCAGCAGCATCAGTGACATCTGAGTGTGTTTTCTTCTCAGACATGGACTGTTAACAACACCCGACCATGTGAACAGGTTTAATTTACCAGTAAGAACTAGCATGCAAAAAACTGAATACAGAGTTTTAAGGATGGTTTTGTTCGTTTTTTTTTTTTTTTTTGCAGTTTAACATTCAGTTGTTTGAGCCTCACCCTGTGACTACATGGCCATGGTGACTGTTTTTATTAGTTTTATGAGCGGCTCTGTAAGATCTGTAGTGTTACAATAATGTCAGTCATGCCCAGTTTATGCTGTTGAAAATAAATGATAACATTTCCTAAGCTATATTACAGAGAAAACTTTAGACAAAGTCAGAGGATCATACCTCAGTGTGTCTCTGATGGAGAGTGTTATACTCCTTCCTCAGCTCTGCTTCTCTGTCATCCAATCTGCTGACTAGAGGGAAAAGAAAAGCACACAGTGAGTGGTCTCTTAAAAAGCTCCTATTTGCATATTTGACGAAAGATTCCAAATGTTGTCTTCTAAACACTCTGAGTAAATAATCAGTCACTTGTTTTATCAGAAAGATCAAATTAAAAGATGAAACAGAAAATTGAATACCTCTATCAGCTGAGATCTTTCAGGATGAGAAGACAAATTCTGTTTTTTTTTTTTACTTCTTACAGTGGCACACCTGTGGCTTTTTCCTTCAGTACTGTAACACCACAAGGTTAACTTGTCAACATCAATTCTGACATACAGGATCCCACATTTATATTAGGCTAGACTGAAGCACTCTTTTAAACACCAGTCTATTAAAAAGTTGAATACTGAGCTGAACCCCTGATTAAAAGTACACTAAAGGCCTCCAAATAACATTGTTCTGTCATGTGTATTTATGTTTGTTGTCTGGTAAATGGAGCTGCTGTGATGCAGGTCAAATATCTAATCTCTGATCCGATATAGTGAGATATCCTTAAAAAATTGAGTAAATAAATAATTATTTACATACATAATATATTTATATGTTTACTTTGTATATAGTTTATACTGTGGTGGTGGTGGTACATGGGATGGCGGCAATAAACTTTTGTTGCAATAGCACATTACAGCCAGAGGAGGGCGACCAAGCACCAACAAACCCAGTTCAATCTGAAACTCAGACTTCACTTTAAGGTGAAACTTTTACTGTTGTCAACATTTTTACATTTTAACAGATTAATCTTTTTAGCAACTGCTTTGATTTGGTGAAAATAAACATTAACATTTTAGACTACAATAAAAAATGGCTTTCTGAACGTCTTTCTAAAAGGTCTAAAAAAGGTTGTTTCATGAAGTCCAAGTCAGCTGGGGTTTAATATTATGTCTCCTTTGAAACAAAAGAAATTAAAATAAATTGAACCTTTTATCAATACCAGAAAAACAGGAGTAAGAATCCACACATCCAAGTACAGAGAAACCATCACCTTCAGTATCAACAGCTATCCATCCTCTGAAGCTCTCAGGTGGCTTTAGTTTGTAGTCAAAACAGCCTAACAGTCCTTGTTTGTGATTTCTGTTGCCAGCCAAGCAAAAGAATCAACACAAAGAGGTTCACCGTGAAACTTCAATCTTCTCCGTAATACAAAAAAGTGTTGATGTACCGAGCGTCTGCAAACATCAGGTCTATCTCATTCACTCAAACTTTCACACTTAATGCTTTAAGTCAAAAATAACCCCTTTTCTTTCCAAGTTTCAATAACCCTGGAGTTCACCTATGTGATGAGTGACTGCTCAGACAGCAGCTGCATGCGGTGATTGAAAACAAGACTCAGTGTGGTTCTCAGAGAGCTGATAGAGGAAGCAGCGATCACAGGTTAATCAGAAATAACACTGGTCTGATACAAAGTCATGAAAATTGATAGAGATGATCAGATACATGTGCTGTTAGTATCGATACCAAGTACCGATCCAATACTAGTATGTTACAAATAAAAATATATCATACCAGACCTGCATGACTGTCATATGACTATCATTGTGGTAAGGTCTGGCTCAGGTAAAACTCTTTGTAAAATACAAATAAATACAGAAAATTCAAGCCAGTTATTTTTAAATAGAACACTATAAACAACAGGAAATGCAATTTGACTAAATAAATCTAGGAATACTTGTTTTCTGAAAGTGCAGCCACAGTGTTTTTAAATGAAAAGGGAATTTAACCAGAACAGAGCTCTTCTTTTGAATTTCCTTCCACACTTTAATCCCTTCTATAAAATGATTGGGAAGTCAGGAGATCCTTACATCCCTAGTAGAAGCCGCATAAAAAAGCCTATTTGTCTGTCACTCATTGGAAAATATATGATCAAGCATGTACATTATAACATTTTTGAAACGTACAGTTAGACGACTCAACAGCTCCACAGTCCTTTAGGTTAGGAAGCACTAGCAGATGATTATAATAACAACAAGGTTTCCAGAGCTAAAGGTTGGCAATGATAGACTGTCTTTCAGTGCAGGTTAATATAAATAAAGTAATTTATTCAAAGGTTTTAATGTAGTTTGTATATTTGTAGATATGGTGTATTTGTTTATTTTTGCTGGACTTGAAGATCATTTTTACACTGACAAAAAATGTTGATAATGTGGAAGTTCAGTTCAGGTAGTTCCCTGTTGTTCCATCTTTTAGTTTCCTTTTTTCACGAGGGTGATTCAAAGTAACTCTCAGTCCCACTGCTGCTAAATTAGTCCACCAACTGAATTAGAGACAAATGAAACTCCTCAACAGATAAAGAGGAAGTGCTGCAGTAAAGAGATGAGAAATTTTCTCTTAAATTTTCCCTCAGCACCAGGGCGTGTGTTCTGGTCCTGTGGTCTAAAATAAAGCAGTCATACACACTGTCAATTGCACAGTCATGCACACGTCATGTGGGTTTCTCCTAAAGCCCTGAAAATACCACCGCATTCTGAGTCTTCAAGTTAGCGCTACGTTTACATCATGTGGGGTTTGTGTTCATGTGTGTGTCACTGATATTTGCAGAATCCAAGAAACAAAAACCTTGTGGTGAAACAATGACACAGACAATCTACCAGGTCATGATCTGTTTTCATCAGCTGGTTTGGAGAGAGCCATTCAGCAGCTGTCTGCTTTAAAAATAAAAGGATCCCCATTGAAAAAAGGAAACACACAACTTACAGGATAGAATGTTGAAACAATTATTCTGGATGCCCGGATAAGACACACTTGACTTGAGGACCATTTAACCATGTTTTGTAGTGTGCAGCTGAAGCTATTTGCTGTTTCAATTTAACTTTCAGTCATTATACAAAAAATATTAAAAATGTCCCTTTAAATTTAGTGACAATTGTGGTCCTAAAAAGCTTTATGCAACTGTAATAATTTGTAAAAACTTTCATATAGAAGCTGTATTATCTCATTCACATTTTCCTTTAATGTCACAGCAGCCTGAAGTAAATCTAGAAATGAGCAGTACTATGTCACTGTGAGAAATCATGAATCGGATCGAATCAATTTTGAATTTGATGGTGGCCCCAAGAGTTGAAATCAAAGCAAATCATACTGTGACATATTGGAAGAGCTACACCCTTATCATTTATATCTACAAAACCCAATTCCATTGAAGTTGGGAAATTGTGATAAACGTAAATAAAAACAGAATACAATGATTTGCAAATCCTTTTCAACCTATATTCAGTTGAATACACTACAAAGACAAGATATTTAATGTTTAAACTCATATACTTTTTTTTTTTTTTTTTGCAGAATGTGGTTTGGCATTGTCTTGCTGAAATAAGCAGGGGTGTCCATGAAAAAGACGTTGCTTGAATGGCAGCATATGTTGCTCCAAAACCTGTATGTACCTTTTAGCATTAATGTTGCTTTCACAGATATGTAAGTTCCCCATGCCTTGGGCACTAATGCACCCCCATACCATCACAGATACTGGCTTTTGAACTTTGTGTGGGTAACAGTGCTGATGGTTCTTTTCCTCTTTGGGCCAGAGGACACAACATCCACTATTTCCAAAATCAATTGGAACTGTAAACTCGTCAGACCACAGAACACTTTTCCAATTTGCATCAGTCCATCTTAGATGAGCTTGGACCCAGAGAATCTGGCGGTGTTTCTGGATGTTGTTGACAAATGGCTTTCACTTTGCATAGTAGAGATTTAACTTGCATTTACAGATGTGACGAACGTCTTGACGAACTGTATTTACTGACAGTGGTGTTCTGAAGTGTTCCTGAGCCCATGTGGTGATATCCTTTACACACTGATGTTGGTTTTTGATACAGTGCCGCCTGAGGGATCGAAGGTCATGGGCATTCAATGTTGGTTTCCGGCCGTGCTGCTTACATGCAGTGATTTCTCCAGATTCTCTGAGGTGTTTGATGAGCATTCCTCAAATTTCTCAGTATTTTTTGCCACCTGTCCCAATTTCTTTGTCACGTGTTGCTGCCATCAAATTCTAAAGTTAATGATCATTTGCAAAAAAACAAAGTTTATCAGGTCGAACATTAAATATGTTGTCTTTGTAGTATATTCAATTGAATATGGGTTGAAAAGGAGTTGCAAATCATTGTATTCCATTTTTATTTACGATTTACACATCTTCCCAACTTCATTGGAATTGGGTTTTGTACATAAGCAAATCCAAAAAAATTATTTGTTTCTAGACAAGGGTAAAAAGTTTGCCAGGGCCTAAGCTCCATAAATCCCCCTGTAGTTCCCTGAACCTCTGTGGGCCTGACACATGTTTGGTCTATTCAATTACAGCTCATTTAGCAGACTTGGCAGGCAAACACTCATAGTATGTTACTAACGGCCTTTGTTCAGCAACACAGCTGACCATCTGCCCTCTGGCACATCAGGCTAACAAACAGTCACAAGACCTGCAGACACTCAATGCTATCTAGTCTATGTGTTGGTGTGTATGTGTGTGTGTGTGTGTTTGTGTGTGTGTTTGTGTTTTACTCTTTCCAATAACCCAGTCAGTACAGCCCCTCTGGTGAGATGGATGGTGTGACGGACTCACTCTGATCTGCATAGTTCTTTGTTTTGAGCTCTAGCTGACGAGTGTGTGACTCCAACATCACCAGTCGACTTTGGAGGTCTTTCTTCTCTCCATCCTGGGAGTCTTCAAAAGCGATGTATCTCTGCAGATGCAGACACAAAAACAGAAAAAACAACATTTATGATTGAAGTAATACGCCAAGAACTGTGTTTCTCATAATGAAATTCCCTTTTTTTGCTTTCACTCAAACTCCACACATCACATTTAGTGATTGTTCTGACAAACTTGACAGCTGGACAGCACTCAGGTCCTGCAGTTATCCCCATGCTTTTACCAAACTGCAAGACACCAGGCTACTGTCCATGTAAAAGGATGAGAGGCGTCATCAGTGAACCCCAACTTTTGACCAGGAAAGACCTTAAAAAGGTGACTCTAGTACCGGTGAAAGGATGGCTTCCAGTAGGTTATATGAACAAGTGAATTCACAGCACCATCAGCATATTAGTTGATCAGGATGAAGTCTTAGTAAAATTACTGAATAATAAAAATCACGTGAATAATTCATTTCTTTTAAACTCTGCATAAGTTGCTAGGCCTAGGTCTTATTCCTGATAAACATGATGACATGTTTACAGCAGCAACAGAGGACAGGTGTCCTACTGTGGCTGTACTGAGCTCTGGCTGAACTCAACCTACTCACTGATGAAAACTGTGAGGGCTGAAATTGAGATGTGTTGGACTGAGTCCTGTGTGATGTGTTCATGCCTGCAGTGTGCATACAGCATCTGTCTTCTGTTCATTGTGAAAGTTATCTAACCTCTCTACACAACAGGTGCACAGCCCCAGCTTCCTGATTAAAAAAATAATAAAAGCTCAGCCTTTGTGTGCGTGTGTGAGTCCAAACACAGACTCACACAGTTTCCTCTGCAAGTTAGTAGCACATGATAGCTGTGTCGAGGTTGTTTTTTCAATCTTCACAGCAGCCGTTGTTCCTAACCTCAGCTGTCCTCTCAGGGGGTTTAAGACTAAAAACTGTGACTTCTTTATATCTGGAGCAACAAAAATAACCACTGCACAGAACTGTGGATTCAGCATCAAGTCCACAGGCACTAACCCCAAAAGCTCTCCAACAGTTAAACTGTTTAATGCGGGTTGATCACTGCTCACTGCTGGAAAATAAAAGATTTTTTGTGAAATGGAACAAAGTAAACACATTAACAAAGCTGTAAACACAGGCCAAAAATATGAGAAATTATACAACAACACAAGAGAGTGAATTTATAACAACTCAGGTGGAAAAAAAAATCTATCGGTCCTGATTATCATATTTATCATGAGGAGCTAGAGTTATAGTTGAAACTGAAATCTGGTTACTCACCTTGCCCAATACAACAAGATATAATCAATGCAGCAGCATATGACTTATCTGGTATTAAGAGCATTAGAAGGCTAACATTAGAGTCAACTTTTACTCTGTTTCAACATTTCAGACGCACTGCTTGATCAATCTGACCAAGAGGACAAATGATAATGGTTTTTCAGAGAACTGTACAATAACATGAAGGCACAAAAGACTTTGATATGCCTTCAAAAATATGAGCCCCTCGGTTTTCAAATGTTACAACCTCCCCTCTGACTGTTTGGCCCATTAGTTGCTCCAACAGTCTGTGTGCTTATGCATGTAGCATGTTTGGGTCGACACATGGTTATCCTGCATGCACGCTAACATGGCAACTGACAAGCAGGAGTACTGAGCAAGACCGCACATTCAGTTATGGCAACACTGAAAGAAGAGCTAAGTGAAACTTGCAATATTTAAGATGCAACTCCAACAACTTAAATCACTTCCTGAGAGAGACAAGTTTGATGAATGCCTGTGAAGGAACAGCCCGTGCATATTAAAAACATCATCTGTTTTTTATGTTTCTTTAACATTCAAACTGCATCCACTTCATATTTTTATTTAAATTAAGAAATACATGTTTCAGACCTATCAATAATCTCTGCATGTTTCATGACAACCAAGTAATCAGACTCATTAATCCATTTATTATAACACAAATCAAAACACTGTGTATCACAAATGCAATCACAGAACTTAATCAATTGAATTATGAGAGAAAAGTAATGTTTGTGTCCCTCCCAGAGTTCATTTTCTTATTTGGAGCTCATTTATTGACACCAGCTGAGTCAGGCGGACACAGTCGGAGCGTGCTAATCTTGTGATGTTGGTCCACACAAGGGAAAAGCTGCCCTGTAGCAGGGTCCTCAGCAGGAGATTGATGACATCTGTGAGGAGATGAGGGTCACCTGAGAGCCCAAAACAAAGCAGCCTGTTCTTCATAAAGATACCATACTCTGGACGCCACTGGACCAGCAGTGTCAGTGCACGCCCTACATGTGGATGTTGCAGTCGACCAAGAGTCAACATCACAAAAAGCCCAACTAGAAGGTTCTACCAAGACTGGAGTCATGCCTGACACGAAGTGACTCCAAAAGAGGCTTCTGAGAACTTTTCATTCTTGGAGAGTACAAACATGATAAAGATGTTTTTTGGATACCTGAAACAAAATAATCTAAGAAAATTTGAATTATAATGCATGAAAAAAGTGTATGCCATTAATTCTTACTGTCAGTAAGATCTCCTGTCTTCATTTACGTGTGGTTCTGAATAATCCTCTCCACCCCAGAGGTAAAACACCAGTTGTTCAAATAGTGTCAATAAATGAGGTAATAAAAGGTTACCTGTTACCTGTCTCAACCTTAATGCATGAATAATAAACGCAGAACTGTCTGGCATATAATACACAGTTTTAATATTACAAAGCTTGAACTGCACACATTATTACATTTACTCGAGTACAAAAACATCCAATCATCATCCTCATTATTATTTTATTAGTAGCTGTGTGGATCTGTAGAGAGTGACGCTTTTACAACCACAATTCCTGCACAGCTGGTGTGCTTTGTGTGATGTATGAAAATAATGGTTTACAAAATCATTTAATCCCATACATAAGTGAAAATAGTAGATAAAAGAGATGGTTTATCAAAAATCGTGTTTTTATGAAAAAATGTGCGCTCAATTTAAAATAAAAGAATCTTGAGAAATCTCTTTACAATGGGGACAAGGGCCAAGACCAAGACGAGATGGTCCTGATCTTCAGGCCCTCAGGCAGCACTGCATTAGAAACAGACAGAGCTCTGTCATGGAAATCACTGCATAGGCTCAAAATCACATCTACAAACTACTGTCTTTGATCATTTTGTAGCTGAATCCATAAATGCAAGTAAATTGGCACCATGCAAAGACAAAATCAGATATAATGATCTGAAAATTTTGGACACCTATGTGACAAACATGAGTTCCGGGAATGAGGAGTGGGGAAGACGTGCAGCAAAGAATTGTAACCCAGACCACTGCAAGGAGAATTACAGTGTCTCTATATAGTATGTGCTTAAACCTCTGAGCTAACTGACCACATCTGACGTTCTATTTGGAAATCACAGGACTCTCATCCTCTCTCAACAAGAGACAGGAGCAACCTGGCTTGTTATCTTCCCAATTTTCAAAGCCAGTATCCCTGAGAGTATTGTGGATCACCAGAGTCCATGTCATGGGTATCTTCCGCATCTGTGAAGGCTCCATTAAAACGGAACAATATCTACAGGTTTAGGAGCAACATCTGCTGCCATCCAGACAACGACTTTTTCAGGGAAGACCTTCATATTTCAGTGAGACAATGACAAACCACACTCTGATAAAAGGGATTACAACAGCATGGCTCTGTAGTAGAAGAGTCCTGCTGAGAAACTGGTCTGTCTGCATTTTAGAAACCATCTTTGAATCTTCTCTGTATCTTGTAAAATAAAACAAAACAAAGAAGACAATTATTTTTCCCTCTCTGAGTTTGGAGTTGGCTTGTATGAATGGCTATATTCAGGGCAAAGGGTAAAGGATTTGTGGGGGCCCAGTCTGGAGGAGCATCTTAAGAACTAAGGTATTGATAGTTATACAGCATTTTCTATGTAAATCTGCTAAATCTATAAGAGCATTAGCTCAGCACCGGGCATAAGTGCAGAAAGCAGGGTTCAGAGTGGGGGTGTGCCCACTAATCTGCAAAAGTACAACATAAGGACAGCCAATCAGTAACTAGACTCAGTTTTTGCTCACTTTACAGCTCAGACAGAAAAACAATGGGGAAAAGGCGAAAAGGCCTGTATTTCCACTGATCCAAACCACATTAGACGAGCAAACTGGACAGCACATACTACATCATCACTGAAGCAACTCCCGAATTCTTGCTCTGTCACCCAGCTGCTCGTCATATGACCTCAGAGGAAGGCTTGTGCATATGACAACGCTTCAGAGAATGAGTGTCCCAGCGTTTAACGTGCTCTCTGCCCTCCTCCTCTAACACTGCATGTATAATGCTGCCTTTGTCCCGAAGTGCCAACACACACAAACACATGTGGCTCAGACACAAGTGTGAGCACACCCACACAGACAGGGCTCCACTATACTGGCACTCAATCGACAGAGAGGGAAATCAACTCCTCTTAGTGTGTTTGGCTGCAAGCTCTGGGCTGGGATTTACAACAGAAGTGTGTTAAGGCCTCGGCCTCAGACACCCAGAACTGATCAAGGAACCACAGCAGTGAGCCTTAAGAATTATGCATTACTATTACACAGCTTGATTAGACTGTAACAAACCACACAGCCATTTTTGGTTAAAGAAAGTAAGCCTGTAGCAAAAACAGAGTTATTGACAGATTTGTTAATAGCTGGATCCGTCTTTGCAGTGGTCAAATAGAACAGGAACAAGTCTGCAGCCATGCTGTGGAGCTGGGTTCCTACCACATTAGGGTATGCATTCAATTGTATTTAAAAGTTGGGAAAGGTACATAAACAACTGATCTCTGCTGTCTGACTTTTTGGGCACCCTTCTGCTGGATTAGCAAAGACTAGGGTGTATTATGTCTTCTTTGAGGATGTTTTTCATTTATATTTGAGGGTGCTTTCAGGTGTTATACAGGTGGTTGGGTTGATTTGATTTGTCCAGAAATGAATCACAACAGGGGAAATATCTTCAGTAACCTGTGGTTAATGATCAAAAAACATAGCTTACCTGCAGCTGGGATGTTACGACAAAGGTTCAGGGTTAGCTTAAATAAAGGGCAGTGCAAGTTACTTCTTTCATCCTCTCTTCTAAGAGAGGACAGACTGGTAACAGGATGTACTGGACTGGGACAACATGGAGAACTGTGCTGTGGTCTGACCGATCAGAATTTGACATTCTTTTTGGAAATCATGGACACTGCATCCACATGGTTTGTTACCAGCAAACATTTCTATAGAGAGCATTCCTGATGGTATGGGGATGCATAAAGTACCCACTGCATTCACCGATGTTTCATTAAACGTTTGTCTACACACCCTATCTATGTAAAGAGAGGGGGTCTGCTGGGTTTGCTTTAAAAGCATTCTGGATGGGCTTCCAGGTTATATCATTCATGCTTTGATATACGAACAGCTAACACTAAGTGAGTTTAATCCACTGTCTATCATTAGCCTGTATATTAATGCAAGATCTGCACACGGCTTGGGAAAAAAAAACCTTTGACTTCTCATTTTTCCTATGAGACAGACATGACAGACGTCATACCAGCAGGTTTGACAGCTTATCATGACTATGACGCTGTGATGTTTCCATTAATGAAAATTTTGATCCAGAGAACATTAAAAAATTTAATGTAGGTCGTCTTTAATGGGGAAACTGCAGATCATAGCCATATTTAAATACGTTTACATTCAATGAACTAGAGAACTTTCAAAGACTTGAAACTTTAGTTATATGAAATCTGTGATCTAATGACTCCGGGCTTAAAGATTTGAATTGATCAATAACTTTATCATTTATAAAGTCTACATTAGCCATCACAGAGCTTCATAACATCCCTTCAGAAACCAGGGGTGATGTAGAAGAGACTATGTCCATGTTTGGTAGGGTTTATTGTTCTGACTGCTGAAGGTGAAGATTTCAAAGTGCACATTAGTTATTATGTCAGTCTGCTTTTTAGCCAGGGACTTCAGAAGACAGTTTACTTTTCTGGAAACATGCATATCTGTACCAAACTTCATGGCAGCTGTGAGTGGTGGGTTGGTCATTCCTCCAATGGGACAACTAGCATTAGCATAAAGTCCATCTTTGCTATGGCTTTTAAACTACAGGCAACACTCTCCTCGTGCCACATGAGGTCGTGCTCCAGTGTTCAGTGTTCACTGCAGGCAAATGTTCTGCAGCTGTTCCTGCATTTCTGATTTCACTGTGATGATAAATAAATGAATACAGCTCTTGCATTAAATGTAAGCAGCCTGGGCCTTAACATCCCTAACTGGACAAGAAGGGAAGTTCTGTTTTTCTCAAAGAATTTCCTGCCTTGCCTTTTCCTCTCCGTTGCTGAGACAAGTTGCTAAATGAGGTATTCCTCTGGGCCTGTAGCAGAGAAAAGCCGGACTTACAATGTGTTTGTTTGGAAAGATCAATCTGCTTCTCTGCTGCTACAGTGACCTGCTGCCCAAATGAGCAGCTTAGTATCCGAATCAGTGCCAGGCTGCTCATTTGCCCCCAAGGGTTGGCAGTGGCTTAATCACTGGAGGAGAGTCTGCACTGAAAAAGCAGAAAGTTTATAATGAAGTGGGTCCCCTGAAACAGTGGGTGATGATTTGAGCAGGTTCCTGAGTTCCCAGTAACAGTTTTGCATCTTGAGAAATAAAAATGTCCCAAATGGATCTGAAACTAAAAAGACAATATTGACTTTAACACATCTCCCAGATGGTAGAACATCACTCATTATGTTTACATACAAAGTTTAATCCATCTACTGTTATCGCACAATACGGTGGTACAGACTTATGTCTTTGGGCAAGAATCAATTAACTGACAAATGTATATTTTGCCTCCGCTACACTAGGTTGCACATGCCTTCTGGCAACTATTGGGCTGTCTTTAGTTGACCTGTTATGTCATCCACCAAAACAACCAACAAACGCATTAAGGCTAAAACATGCAGGATCCGTATTAAGCGTGTATCAGCAGCATCGCAAATCACGCAGCAAATAGGTTGCCATTCTATTCAATGCAGGAGCGCATACAGGACACGTCTCAGCTCCATTGCAGCTCCGTATCAGAAGGGTATCGAGCGCAGCTCTGCCAAAGATATGTGCCGAGTATTTCTACGCTTCGCTTATCTCTACGCTTATCTCTACGCTTATCTCTACGCGTCAAATGCATGTCAATACACACAGAGAAGATCATTCTGGACAGGAAGTCAAGCACAAAAAACGTGCATGTCATCCGGTATTTTAAAATAAAACAACATATGCAGACTCCTGACTGTGTATCAGTTCGTGTAGATGAGAAATACTTCCTGGTTATGGATTTATCAGTAACACAGAACAATCTGATGGTCAATCCCTGATCCATGTGGACCCCAACCTAACCCTATCTGAAGGTAACAGCACAGCACAGTTTACTTTATTAACCACAAGTAAACCTGCAAAAAACAAAACATATAGTAGAGGCTCAACAGTCACTTAATTATATCAAAATTAGCAGGACAAAGACCACAGAAAGTCAAAACAACCTGTTGTGAGCATGCTGTTTCCTCTGTACTGAGCCCAGCTGACCGGGGCTGCACTACGCTGCTGCCACGCTCCAAATATGCAACCTGCATGCAATACCCAGGGCTGCTCTATGGAGCAATTGCGGAACTGGTTCAATATGGACCCTGTATGTTTTCAGCTTTACAAAGGCTAACAGGTTGTGTGATGAAAACACTGACAACTTTTACTCTCTGTCCCTTTCACACGTACAATATGACATCTTTCTCTTTATCCACATCCCTTTCTTGATCTTCTGTTGAGGCTTTGTTTCCTACCTGGCCTTCTACAACACATTTGCACTGTCCAACTTCCAGGTCAAGGAGTCTCTGTCAACAGAAAGTGTGACAGGCAGCTGACTCGTATCAATCATCCCTTCACGGGTTGTGTGTGTATCCAAAGATCTCTGTATTATTTATTTCAGATGAAAAATTTGGTGGGATGCCCTGCAGCAAAACCAATCAACACACTCCCTGCAGAAATAATAGCTTTTCATCATTTGTGGCAGTTTTAGCTGCTCCTTTTCCACTGCATGGTATCCATTATGATAGATTACTACCTTCATATCACTCCAATGACGCAATTACATTTCAAAATTACAAATTCACCAAACAGTTCTCAGAAAACTGTCTCGCAAAAGATCTGCATGAGATCTCACCACCTCCCAAGTTAAATGTGTAACTTTTAATTTAAGCATATCTATCGTCTTAATGCATGCACATGATATTTACTTGTTGTTGAATTGTTGTCATTGCCTATTTCCTTAGCTACGTCAGTGAACTTTAAATAAGATGCTGGTACACTGAGGAGCTCTTTTCTTTGACCTCAGCCTGACACAGTCTGGACTTCCTATAGCTGTAAACTCCACATCCTGAATGTAATTGTTCATTTAAGTTCCTACACAGAAGTGTGTAGGAACCTATGGCACCATGTTAGCATAACAATATTACTGATCACACCTGCATGAGAGCTGACTGGCTGTCTGACTCACTGAGAAACTGCTTAAACAGTTCATGAGGTATTTTACACACAGCAGCCAGAGGAGATAACACGAATACAAGCAAGCCTATAACATACCTGTGGAAAACCCTGCATGCTACAGGTCTGTCTGAGAGCTTTGGCAGCATGTTGTGACATGACATTTATTATTCATGCACTGCTTTGTGACCTGTTGTGCTCGTCATTCAACATTTAACTATTTAGTTCTGAGCCAACAGGCTGGATAATACTGAGGAGTGGCAAAAACTGCCATTTATACTCAGTGAATTTTCTCAAGGCAACAAAGGAACACACTCAAACAGTTCCCTCCAGGTGCAGCTCAACACGAGAACAAGGGCAAAATCTGCTATTATGCTGCAACTCTGATCTTCAGTTTTTGTAAAGTGGAAATCCCAAGTGAGGTTTTTTTTGTTCTTTTGAGTGGGTGCTAAACTTGAGCTAACACAAAGTATCAATATTTACAACTTAAATATTTGTTTGGGCCTTTTACAGTCTTATAGTATGGGCCTGAAAAAGATCACAGTGGTTTTAACATTTAAGCTCCAGGTCTAAGACTCAAATGTTAGCCTTTAGAAAAAAATATCCCCCACTGAGACTTTAATCCCTCACCCCTGCAGAATCTCAAACAGCACTTTAAGACAAAAGTATCCAAACACCAAGTAAATACAAGAACCACGTTTTGATGTAATGAAGCGAATAGGGGTCAGCTCGGATTTTTTCCCAGCATGCATGACCTTGCAGCTGCAATTAGCTGTAGAAGATACAATGCTAATATCAGGGGCACAATGGCATCATCAAAGTCACATGTGTAAAAGCAGTTTTTGTGCAACTGGAAAGTTCAGATTATCATTCAAAAGGTTTTATACAGTAGGGCTGCAGTACTCAAATATTTTAGAAATTGAGCATTCAAATGATTATTCTGGTAATTAGTCATTCTTGCCATTACTGCTGTAACAATACAAATGTTCCTGTTAGAGTAAAAACAAAGGATTATCTCATCTTGTCCAATCACTACACCTTAAAAAGCCTTTAAACTCACAAGGTTAGCAAATTTACATTGACTTTTAATACATTATTATACTTAAATATAGTATCTGTATGACACTTGTTAGTTTTTAAAGTTGATATCGGGACAACAGAGAGGGTAAACGCTAATAATCTGTGTGTGCAAGGACACCCTGACCACCCCTAACTACGTCTGTGCGTCAGCTGTACCACCCAAGTCAAAGCGTCTTGACACGCCCCTGCAGAGCTGCACAGTGGGAAAAAAACAGAAACAGTGCGGCCTGACTGCTGCCAGCCTGTCAAGCTTAAACAACATAAGCTGCAGGAAAATATAGGGAAAAAAAACCCTGACTCAAACTTGTGACCTAGAAAGACAGTAAAAAGGTGAGTTCTGTACTGGTGGGAGGAGGACTAACAGTCAGCCAGAGCTTAATATACACGAGTGAATTCACAAACTGATGAAGTCTAAAGGAAACTTTGGCCACACTGAGAGGTGAGAAGGACTCTGCTGCTTGTGCTGTTTTATTTGGAAATAAGCACAGAAATAGCAAAAAAAACAAAGTATTTTTTCAGTGATACACAAAGTTTGTGGTATGACTAGCATGGTAACAATAAATAAAACATACAGTAAAATGGTGATAGAGCTCCACAGCCATACATGTTTAAGTGCAGGATTGTACTTATCAATAGAATACTTTAAAAGTTCTAATTCAAATTTAAAAGAACTATTTCAGCCCTAAAATACAGCTTGTTAGAAATACCATGCTTATTGGAATGCAATAAAGACCTGACATAAACATTGTTTCAGTTTGCATGCTATTTTGATCCTTTTGGCACACTGTACTTTAGCAGGCACAGTGTCTTCCTGCTTTCTCCTGCAGTAATGATGAAAAATACAACCATCACTGAGCTCCTGTATAAAACATTTCACTTTGAAAAATGCTTTGTCAACAACATTAAAATATCACCAAATTACTTTGAGTTAGAGTGAAGCAATAATCAGGAGTGTGGCGATCTCCACAGACTTTTGGATAAAACGGAATGGAGGAAGTTAGCACTCATTGTAGCCAAAGCCAGTCAACACTAAGGAAGAAGACTTGGGTCTGGGAGGATATCCTTGACTTGGCATGTTGCGACTAGCCATGTGCTTACCATCACAGGGAGCGATAGTTTCACACATTCATCGTTTCAGATCTCCACTGGTGTGACAGCGCAGCATTTATATTAATAATAGGTATAAAATTCAGGATCATAACATTCATTTAGTTGCACTCTTTTGATTTCTCAATCAAGAATGTGTTACATTATTAATATGACCTTAAAAACTTTTTAAAAAATTTTAAATATAGTGGGATTTAAAACATACGATTGAAAATGTGATTTATCAGGGTTAAGATGTGAATAGTTAAGCAGCCAGAGTTACAAAGCATTCTTTGAGACTGAACTAACTATTTAAAAGGATAGAAGTTTACAATAATAAAACCAAGCAGCAGTAGACCATCAACTCCTCTGTTCTTCAGCTCAAGTTATTTACGAATAAGGACTTCATTTATCCTCGAAGGGAAATTCAATAATTGATATAATATAATCAATATTTAGTTCAATGACTGTAGAAAGGAACATGAGCTTACTTTTGATCAAGTTTTGTTTAACTGAATACCATCACTGTTTTCTGGGGTAAGACTTTTCTTATTACAACTTTACAGAACAAGAGCTTCTGTGGATGTCTTGACAGGAGTTTTGAGGCACTTGGACACTTACCGTGAACCTTAAAACTCTGGTTTTGAGCAACGTCAAGAAGCAAAAGGGGCTTAAGTTACACTTTCACTGTGGTGGGAGGAGCAGCAGCTCCATGCATGCTCACTCAAACTTGATGACAGGTAACAACAGCACAGTGGGGCTGGGGGCTGCACATAAGAGCATTCAGCAAAACCAAAAGTGAGTCCATCCTGATAATTGACTTACGCAAAACACTTAACCATGGATTGCTTTCATGTCATCAGCATGCCTGTTTGTACCATGGATTTAACACAGGCTTAGTCTGCGTTCAAGACTTAACACTAGCCAGCCAAGAACATACAAAGTAGTAGTTTCATAAAGTATCACCTGCATTTACATAAGGAGTGATGCAGCAGAAGAGAGCTACGAACACTGACTTATAAACCACATAATCACACTGAAAATTTTGAATCAACTACCGCAGCTTGTTAGTGTGGCACCCTGACGGCTGTGAATGTGTCACTATATAAACACTGACTGCTCTGTTCACATGAAGTTACAGAAATTAAGGTGACAGGTGTGTCATTGAGGTCTAAAAGAAATAACAGAGCAGCAAGACTGTCATTCCTTCAAGATCTGATGATGATTTTCACAACAGAATCACTTTAAATGAGTATTTTGGGGGCTTTTGTCCAGAGAAGGCAAAAATTTAACAAACCAATTACTGCTTATTTATCTGAGTTTGACCGGTGATGTACTACAGCCTGAACTATAATGCAGATTAATCCTGAAAATAATGGTTAGGGACAGAAAGTTAAAGCGAAAGTACAATATACCCTTAAAAAGGTATGAACCCCTTCAGTTAAGAGAATCCAACTGAGCATGTGCACTATTAGGGTCATAACTGTAACTTTTCTTGTTTGACATACTGAGGGTTGAGGTTGCCCCTGGTCTCCCCTAATCCTGAACTCCAAAATAAGCTTCTCGGGTCCTGAATGAGTGCCGAAATGAGTAATATTTTATCCACCTCGGGATAATGTTGATTGTTCTTTGATAAGTTATCGTTTGTAGTAGATGGGCATCGCATCGCGGAATTACCAGTTTTTAAAACCAGGTTCTGCATTAAACCTCTCCACTCCACAGCATCTAATACGTGTTTTACAACTGTAATCTGACAGTTTTGAAGAAACCCACCTCTTCTGCGTGCTTTCTCAGGGCTTTCTCTCGCTCATACTGAGTAACAAGTTGCTCGTTGTCCTCCTTTAGCAGCTCCAGCTCCACTTCGTGCTCCTGGTTGACAGCGAACACCGAGTCCAAGTTCTCCAGGACTGCGACGACCAGCGGCATCAGCTCCTTCACCACGTCCTCGTCGTATTTCTCGATCAGCCGCTCAAACTCTCGGTATATCGAGCTCGCCAGACCTGAGACCCGCTCGGACATCATGGTCGAGTTTCCAGACTCGTCCTGATACAAGACTACTTCGTCCAGCTCCATTTTCTTGCCTCCACTTGCACTTATTTCCCAGCTAATGTTAATGAGCTAGCCGCAAGCTTCAGCTGGCCAGAGGCTGTACGCCGTGCTACTTTCGGCGCAAAAACAAAACAATGCTCCTAAAACATGGCTAAAAGCTGTGTGCTGAAGAGGAAAGACATCTTGAGACATTAATAAACTGTATTTCTTTGTCGTATGGACGGCGGACTTTGAAAGCTCACTAGCTTAGTAGCTAGCAGTACAGAAAAGTCTTTACTTCGCTCCTGATTAGTTTCCCTGTCCAACAGATGAGCTCCTGCTGCTGCCTTCATGTCCTGTCGGAAAGATGAGGATGGACGCTGTTAAACTACACAGCGATGAAAACAACGGTAAGTCGTAACCAGCATATATACTATGTAATAAACGTGAATTTTAAGTATCAAGATGTTTACAAAGGTGGATTTTAAAATCCTAAATGATGACTATATGGAGGAATGATATCAACCGCTCCATTTGGTTGTATTTATATAGCTGCTGTTGTATGACGTTTAGGGGCGGAAAACAAACCGTTTGCATCAAGTGAAGAAACAAATGACTTGTTGCCATGAATTCAAAGCCTAATACGTTCATTTAATCGCATTTGCAACCTTTAATTTTTCCGTCCATTTTCTTTTTGGGTCATTGAATCACAACTCACAGGTCTGCCTTCACTGTACCGTAACAACAGTGAGCTTTAGCTCACGATCAAAAGAAGAAAATCTCTAGTTACCATTTATGATTTCGCTCAGACTCTGTGCTAGTTTCCACATGCCAGAGCAGAAACTAAATTTTACGAGGATCACTTGAAGGGCTCGTGTGTTTGTTACGGGACGTCGCCTTTGCGTCACATGCTAAACAGAGCTGATGAGGGCGAGGGAAAAATTGCTGTCAGTCATTATGGATATATTGACTGGGCAGAAAGATTTTTTTCAGGGTGGAAACAGTACCATATTCTTTGAAAGTAAAAACACAATTACTTGAATGAGTGTTTGCTTCGGCAGAAGTAAATCCACCTGCCCCTTAATCTACTCAAACACATGAAAAAAGTTCTTCATTTGCAGTTTAGTTCAAGTTGCCTACAGAGTTTCAACTCATAAAAGTTGGGGGGGGGGGGGGGGGTTCCACACAAAATTGGAGGGGAAGCATGTTCTTCCAAGCTCATTATTGTTATTTAACCAACAGCTGTGATTTATGAAGTGATTTAGATTCTGCATGTGTCCATAATGAAAGTATTGAATATTTTATGTCAGATTTGCACTGAAACGATCTCTGCACATTAAAGTTATGGCTGGCTTGTGCGTAGAGGATTGCTCTAATGAACTCAAAATAATAACTTAATTGTAATGTGTAATTTTGATAGCAGGAACTTAGCAATATTTGTTTGGCTTGAAATATCTTGAAATGAGACTTGCATTTTGACCTATCCAGGCAATGTTGATTGTATTGAGTGAAATTAGTTTTGGACTTACAATGAGATAAAATCATATGGTTAAAAGTGAGGGTTTTTTTTCACCATAGAAGTTATCCAATCAGCTGTCTGTCATGCATTTTATGGAAAATTATTATTATTATTATTGTTAGAAATATTCTTTCCAAGGAATTTCTGCCTTGTAAATTGAAGCTAAACATGGTCATTTCAACAGGTGAAAGACCTGTTGACTGAAAAGGTACTTGCAGATAAAAGCTACACTTAGAGTGGCACAAGTTAATGTTATGAGATACTTTCTATTAGGGCACTTTCTTTAGCAGCTCAGCCACCCTCTCACTCCAATTCAAAGCATTTAAAATGAGGACATACAAACTCCAGGGATGCTACTACTTGGAGGGGAGAAAAAAATGAATTTCAGCTGTCTGAAAAATGTGACAAATGAGGTGTTTGTTTCACAAAAGCTTTTAATTGGGAAGCCCAATGTAATCTGCCAAGGATGTGAAATATTTACGCAGGCATCAGCTGGATCAAACTTGACTTTTGTACATTACCTGAAACAATAAGTAATAATAATGGCAAGTAAACAGGTTCCACAAAATGTACATGTACAATCGTTCTATCTTTACTATCTATCACCATGCAATATTAACCTGTACTGTAAAATGCAGAATAAAACTCGCTGCAAACCCACTGCACTCATCACTGTCCTTCTTTAAAGCAACTCTGTACACTTGTTTTTTTCTGCATAGGCACTGATCATCCTGATATCATGAGACACTGAAACACAAGACACAAACCAAATATACAATACAATATAAACGTAATGTTTTCATCCACCATAAAGCTCTCATATCCTTAGAGTTTGGATCGGGCCACCCCTCAGTCCTTTTCACCTGAAAGGAAGACAGCTTTTCTTTCTCAGTGACGTGGAAGCAGCATCACTCCCAAATCAACAGCGCTCATACAAACATGAAAATGATGCACAATCACATTACAGTAAACCTGCAGCACTGTCAAATACTGTACACAATAAACATTCATAGATCATGGTGTAAAGTTGCTCATGGAGGAACTCAGGAGTTTATAAAAAGAAACATATAAATTAACTTTTTAAAAAGTGCAATCATACAGAGTAATTGTGCTCTAACATGTTTGCAAATCATGTGCATTCAAGGAGATCACATGTTAATCTCATGTCATTCATTACAATCCAGTCTAGAGCACGCACAAACAGGGTTAGTCCTGATGGTACATTTCAGATCGTATTGTGCTGGCTGTTGCTTAAAGACGATGGGCAGAGAGGGAAGGGGTGGTCGCTGGTCAGACTTTTGAGTGCTCGGAGCACAGCGTCAGGCATGTGATCTGCAAGCATCCTGGGACTAATCAAAATGCTCCTGAAAGCCATTTCATTGGACCAGTCAGCACGATACCGGACCTGGGAAAAGCAGGACCTAAGGAGAAAGATGGAAAATAGTGATATACCTAACTTCTTATATAAAATGAGTTAAAGGTCTCTTTTTGGTCCATTCCAAGATAAATCCCCTGATGACTGCCGATGCAGAAGGATGCAACTGAGGGTTAAACACTTCATAAACTGCACTGTAGACCAAAGAGCATCTCTGCAGGCCAGTCTTGTTTGCATACATTTAAATGATAAATTATGCATTCATCTGGAGCAAAATAGGCCTCCCTCAATGCAAATGAGCCTCATTGCAAAAAACACCAAAATCTTATCCATCAAGATCACACAGCATCTGCCAATACTTTGAAACATGTCTGTATTCACTTAAAAAAGACATGATACCAGCCATAATAAGGAGATGGATCACAAATTAAATGCTGGTCTTTATCACAAACTGTATAAAGTATGGATGTAGTCTCAGTGACATCATCCATTTCTTTCTGATGCAGAATTTTGAAGCCTATCAGTAGCCAAGTGGAAATACTGACCCAACCTACCAGAGGGCAGAGAGACTCAGTTGAGGCAGGTTTCAGTGTGCTCACCTGCCAGTCAAGTCAGTCATACCTCTAATAAGCCAAACTTTGGCCTTATCATCTTCTAAAGTAATGCGTAATAAATAAACATTTAAAAAACACTCATATCCAGAGAAAAATGGTCTGTTCAGACAAAATTCTGTCTTGAACCAGGCTTGTTGTTAACATGTTTCTTTTTTATCTAATGATGAGCGTTTTTGAATTAGTGTGTATGTGGCTTCTGGTGCTTCAGCAGACAGCCTCCAGGGGACACTCGGAAAACTATAGTTTTTAGCACTTCTACGTCAATTTGATTTGGAAAGATCTGAGGTTGCAGCTTGGTCTTTACTTGAGGGTTTACAGTATGCTTAAGAGACCATGAAATCCCCCAATTCTTTGTCAGGTTAAAAATCATTCTATACTCTATGTAGATGACACAATTATCTATGTGTCTGCAAAACCCCCAAGATGGCAGCAGAGATATTTTCTAGACAAATGTTGATCCCACTATATGTTTATAAGCAATGACTCACTTAAGTCTGTAGCTACAGGCCTCTGAATTCTCAAGATCAGTATGGTCATACAGCCTCAGAAGCCCTAAATCACACAGATTTGCAGCCTAGTTTCATGTCTACCCAGCTCCAGACTGACCTCCGTGACGGCCCATCTTCTGTGATATGCAGTATGCGCCCAGGCAGGAACAAAGGTAAATGTGCAGCTGTGTGTGCAGGTGAGTCGTCGGACGCCAGGCTCTGATAGGATGATGAATGACGAATAATCAGTGACTCCTCTCCTAACAGCGGCTGGCTCAGCTCCTCTTCCCTCCTGTTGTCCATCTCAGTGGGGAAGTCATCAGGGTCTCCTCCAAACAGCTCGTACCAGCAGCCTTGCAGCAGGATGCGGTACTGCAGCACAGAAAAAGATTAAAGCTTTCAAAGACAATGTAGATGTGTCAAAGTATACCAGCTGTGAATAAGTTTACCTTTGGCTTATTGCAGTTGGAAACTATTTTCAGTATCCTTCTCTTCAGATCCTCCATATTGGGGATGCTCAGCCTGCACAAACAGTGAAGGCAGAGTTATTAAAAAGGGAGTACTGCAGAGAGAAAATATAGCCTAAAAAAGGAGCAGAAGGAGAAAACGAGGAGCATTTGGACCCATTCTCTCCTCCCCTGTGCTTGTAATAACGAGGCTGAGCCAAATATAGAATCTATAATAGGGCAGCACATTCATGTTGGCCTTTCTAGGATCAGACTGAGCAGGACATCTAAAATACACACATAAAACTGCCCTTTATGATCTGCACTGAACAGTATTAACCCAGACTGCTAAAAGAATGTCACTGGCACTGACATACAGACATAACACAGTTTTGATTAAATGCTGGGTATGCTTGAGAAGTCCAAAAACTGACCCCTTTAGTCCTTTCCTATCCACTTTCCCTTGAAATAAACAACTCTGAACCAGTGAACCAGTGCAGTGGTCTTATCAAACAGCACCGATACGGAAAATTTGTGTTATCACAAGGGCCTAAGATTCTGTAAATAAAATGTGTCAACACAACTGCTAATGTCCCAGTTTAAAATTGCTGTCCATCTAAAACTGTTGCCAGTTTCTCATCCTTAAACTGAGTCTCAAAGCTGCGTTCATATGTGAATAACTAAATGGCCCTAAACACTCAACCACAAAAACATCAGAGGAATAAAAGCTACAATCTACAGCAGACAGGCTGCTGTGTTCTTACTGCGTGGATAGGTGCAGCCTCATGACAGGTGAAAACTATTACAAACGTGATATCTTTCAGGCTTTTACAGGTTATGAGGCAGAGGATCTCCTCAGGACGAGATCGGTTTTAGCCACTCTGACAGTCTGAAGACCTGAGGAAACACCTGTAAGGTTTCATGCAATATAATTTAATCCCCTATTTTACCGTGTTTATGTCCGTTTTTACTTTTAATACAAGCTTAGAATAGGTTGTTATATATTGTTTTACTCAAGCAGGTATCTTCTATTGTAAATGTTTTCTGCCCTGGCTCTATCTCAATGTTAATTTCAAAATAATGAGAGAGTAAAAATATGTTAACTACAAAAAAAAACATGGATAATAAAGGAAGAAATAAAGCTTCAAACAGTTCTCATCAGTGCTGATACACAAATATACCCAGGTTATTTCACTCAAAACCTTCTTAAAAAAAGCAACAGTTTACAAAAATGCAGTTTCGTTACAGTGGCTGCTGAAATGTAGATCAAAGCCTTTTTTTTACCTGGGAACCAAATCCTTTCCAAGCACAACGGAGACCACAAAGTCCTTGGAGTAATCAGCCAGAGCTTTACTATACAAGTAAAAGGAGACAGAACAAAACACAGTTTTACAACCCACATTTTGAGGTGAGAACTATGCAATCATCTATGTATGATTATCACCGTATACACCTTGGAAGACTGTTTCACTTTGCTCACTCCAGTACAAATGTCTGATTAAGCTTGATACATGCCTTTCTACCTGAAAAGTCCAGCTAAACATCTTGTTCAAGACATAACAAGCTTAAAGTAAGACCTGAAGTTCCTGCAATTTGTAAAAAGATTTCTTGAAATAAGAGATAAGTTTCCCAGGCTAAAAACAATAACATCTCACTGCAGATCACTGATTAAAACCTTCTAAAGACATCTACACCTGGCTTTCTCCTTCATTTTGTCTTATAATGAACTTGGCTTTAACAGAAGGAGGCCAGCAGCACCATGGATAGTACACAGACAATAAACACTTAACTAAAACTGTAATTGCCATTTCATGCACAGCAAAGATATGTCTTCTAAAAACTGGTGCTCTGTTCAGAATTTCTTTCTTAAAATGTGCAATTTTTAAGTTCAGCAGCTAATGATGAAAATTTGCTGAACGTTTCTATAAAACCTTGTGCTTTAATTACACTCAAGGGCAAGTGAATGTGATGCCTATGAATAACTGTACGACTCTGATTGAGATTTGAGTAGGCTCATAATTTTTTAAACTGGTTCATGCCTTATGGAAATGTTTAGGCCTCCCAATGAGAATAAACATGGATAAATTCCTCTTAATATAAACGTAAATAGGCAGATGTAATTGCTAATACATATTGATTAGGAGTATCCAGAACTTTTAAAAATACAATGATGCCTATCATGTGAAACTTTCATAATCTGGTTCAAACTCACAGCCTCTCCTTAAAAAGAGCCTTTTCCACCCACATTCAACTTGTGCAGCTGTCTGTCTTTTCTTACCTCAGGAGTCCCCCTGGTGGAGAGAAGGAGTAGCACTGCAGGGTGGGGTAAGAGTTGTGAAGCAGGATAGCCAGTAGTGAAGCTGTGCCAGCTCCCAAGCTGTGACCAGTGATCACCAGTTTATACTCCTACAGATACAGACACACAGAAAACGTTCTTGTGTCAAGTCAAGTTCAGTCAAAGTACACTGAGATGGTGCTTATTAAAATAAGTGCAGTTTACCGAAGTGCTGTACAAGCAGAAAGACAAACTATCAAAAGAAAAATGGGCTAAAAATACACTAAAAATTCACAAGATGATAAAAACACAGCAAATAAAGATGTCAGAACTGTTACGGTAAACTGGTGTTATAAACACAGGTGACTTGTTTACTTAAATATCAACCCTGAACATTGCTATAAATAGGTCTAACATCAATGTTCAACTCATACTTGCAGACTTCTGTTGTTTTGGGGGCAGAAAGATTTTTTGAGGGTCTTGAACTGTCAAATTTGCAGAGTGAAGCTACATTGTGGGTGAAAATAACCTACATGTAAAAGGGAGGACAATATAGCCTTTATCCGCTGCACGGGGGCCCTTAAAATACCTAATTTTCACACTTGTCAAATGATTTATCTTTCCTTTGTTACAATGTGAATAATTTTTCACTGGAACACCCCCCAACCTGCACTTTCCACTCTTTAGACACGCAGCGCAGCACATCTCCCCACCTTAACCATTCTAAATCATATCTTTGGATAATAATAACATTACAAAGACCCCTACATTACATAACTTACCTAGAAATGTTTATATTGATAGTGATTAAAAAAGGTGACTATTCATAGGTAACACAGAGGTTCAGTTGATGTTATTGCTCACTGAGAAGTTTGCATGTGCCACTCCTTATATGAACTCCAGCACTGTTTCCACCTTACCTCACACTCACCATGAGTGTGAGGTAAGGTGCTGTTGGTGTCAGTTCCTGTACTTACTGGTGCTATAGAGAACGCCTGATTCAGGATGCCATCATTCATCAGCTTCTTGTAGATAAAACCTGCTGCCTGGCATATTCCCTGTCAGAGTCGTGGACAACACAGTGTTGAGACAAGAATACCCATGATCAAACAGTCAAAAGGAGGTTGAGATTTTGTAACTGTAACCCGTTATGATGGATTTAAAATGAGTCAAAGATTCAGTCACACTGAAAATCACAGGAGAACTTCTGGTGGGGTGAGGTGTTTGTTGTGGCTAGAGATGATGAATTCAGTGCACTTTACATGTTGTGAACTTCTATCATTACACACAAGAAGAAAAAAACTTAAGACAGTCCTCAAAGACGTGCAGAGTGTCCCGTTTGAATGAAAGTCCACCTTGTGAGCGTAGCAGGCTCCAGTCACTCCTTCTATGGGCAGGTTCTCACACTCAGCAGACAGGTCTGTCAGGACATCCTGCAGGACAGACAAAAGTTTTTGATCATCAATAGGGGCTGCTGCCTCTCCACACATATACAGAGGAAGAATATCAAGTTCAGCATAAAGTCATCAGATAATATGTAATCATGAAATAAAGTAATTTGTTATTTCATTTACAGTGCCCCCAGCCCTCAACCAGAATGTTTTCTTGAATGGTAATAATACTGTTTGCTCTGAGAGCAGTCTACGCGTCTGTATTTGGTCATAAACTCCCTGGTTGATGGCCAGATGAGTGTGAATTTAATTCCTGAAATTTTTGTTAGTCAGCTGACCAAAGACTTTCCTCTCATTGGTTGCCTTTAACTAGAGCCTAATGCAATATACTCCTGTGCATGTCTCAAAACAATTTCACCTTATTACACAAGTTCACCTTAAACTTAGCATTTGTATTTACTGAATAAATGTGTAAGTGAAACACAAAATATAACAAAAACAAATAATTCAATGTGAGGACAAACTTCCAGAGGGCCGCACTTTATAACCACTGTAGTCTAATCTCACCTTTAGTGATAGAGTCCCTCTGACAGCCACCAGTACAGCCTCCCTCTTATGATCCAAAGCCACAAAGAAAGGGATCTCATAGATCTGTAACACACATTATAGATTAACAGGTTGAATCACTGAAACTGTGGTGGAAATAAAGAAACAAACTCTGTAGAGGATTATTTTTTCACAGGGATCTTTTAATGACAATCCCTACCTGGTTGTGGAAGCTGACGTAGATGAAGTCTCTGTACTGTAGGCCGGTGCTGTGCAGGATGGAGGAAAAATGACAGCCGAGGTGGTCTCCACCCACGATGTCGTACTCTGCAGCACGACTCCTACAGCTGATACAAAACACACATACTGGTCAGGGTTGCCTAAACGATGATTTCATTCTTGATTTGGAAATGTTGACCTGACCTGAGTTTATTTACTCAGCTAAGCCCTTTTAATGAGAAACTGCTGCAAGGACCAGCATGCAAGCTAAGAAACAGCTTTCTGCAAACAAAACCAAGTCTGGTCTGCCACATAATTAAAGGGATATTCCGGTGTAAAATTAAGGTTGGGTCAAACACACTGTAACCCTGAGTTAGACACCCCCTCAGGGAGATGAATGTTGCTGGCTGTTTGCTTCTCTAGTAATACCACCTTTAGTAACGACCGCATACACAGCAGTTTATGGATCCACGGTAAACCTAAACCACAAGGCCACTCTATAGCCACAAATAATGCCCGGAACAGCACCTAACTTCATCAACGGTACATAAACTGAGATGACAAAATGCCAAAATTTACACTGTATTAGCGGCTTGTACATCATAGCCCTGTTAAGCTAATCAGCATGCTCAATTTGGATGAACATCAACATGTAATGTGTAAACAGTGTAAAAATAATAATAATCTGACTGTTATGTGCTGAAAAATTCTTCAGTGGAGTGTCAGGATTTCACTAACTTCTTGACTAGTTGGCCAGTAGATTACCTCAACCATCTGAGATGGCACTGACCATGGATTTGACATGCTAATTAAAGCTATGTATGTGAGCTCTTCACTGAAGATGACATAAAAATAACAGAGGATTCCCCGGTGGGGACGAAGTCACTGGACAGCAGTGACGCCTCCATCACTCTGAAGTTAGAGCCTAAGTTTACCTTAGCGTGAACCGAAAAGATGACGAGGTGAACATTATTAGTAACCAGGACAGGGACTGTAAGTGCTGCACCCTAGATTTGTTGTTGTTAACCACTCAAGAGTTTTGACTTTACTTTGGGGAGTCAAGGTGCTAAAATATGCAGGGCAAGGCTTTCATTTATGTTTGCCTCTGTCGACTGTGGAAACCCAGCCGCCAGTTGGTATTCATGCCACTGCATCTCTTACATAATGAGATTACTTTGTGCTCTGTTAAAAAAAGCCAGAGTTTTTTCTTGTTATTACTTTAACCGTGATTCTGGGTCGTTTCACGTGTCACAGAGGCATGCCTGAGTGTTTTCATTACACAGTCCAATATCTGCTGTTCACTACAACTTGTATTTCTGTGTCTGTATTGCAAAAGGATAAGTTGATATTGTACAACTTTTGTGAAACCCCTTGTAAAGTGTACACTTTCACTACGATAAGTGCTCGGGTTTCAGTCTTCCAAAATTAGCTTCATTTTATGGCAGTCTTGACCCTGTCTGCAGAAAGCTGTAGCCGAGGTGCATGTCGGTTTCTTGATAAAGGGGTCAAACTGACTGAAACCATTGTGGTTACACTTACTCTTGTAGGTCATACAACCCCATGCAAGAATACTAAACTGTCCCTTTAAAAAAAAGAGCATATCCACATACCAGTCTCCACTGAGTTTGCAAGGTCCAGTAAAGAGGTTGGAGTAAATGTACAGAGGCCAGCCGTAAGCTGCTGCAGCAAACTGCATACAATGAGCTGCTTTCTCCAGCTCAGTCTCCAGATCTTCTCCCTTCAACGTGCAGGCATATTTCAAAGATTAGGGCTTTATTTTAAAGGCTTGAACAACTTGAATAAATGGTGCACTAGCATCTTTAACTTCTTTGCAGTCTGCAACAACAAAACCAACAAACTTCTATATTTACAATGGGAGATGACGGGCTGTGCTCAACTGTGACCTCAGGGTCTCTGCTCATCTCCATCTTATCCTGCTCTTGGTGCAGCAGAGCCAGACCAGCTGCTATGTCACTTGGGACCAGGTCTGTGTCCTGCAACACATACATCCACATACAGTTTAACATTTGTTTTTACCGCAGTAATGCATCTTCAGACAGGTCATGTATACTCTACGAAACACATCTCTCCAGAGGTTTTATAAAAGGAATGCACAAAAGAAGAGCAGGTTCTCCTTACAGAGAAGAATCCACTCAGGAGCTGTGAGATGCTGGAGAATGCTGCTCGGCGACTTTCATCCTGCGGCAGACAGCAGCACAGGAGCCGAAGCCGGCTCTCCCACACCTTCACAGCCAGGGAGCGAGCTGTGGAGAAGAACTGAGTGCCCTCGCTGCTCTGCAGGTCTCTCACTCCCAGAGGCTCCATGGAAGTAGGCCGCGGACGTGGGTTCCCTAGCGGGTCAAACACAAACACCACGCCTACAGCGGTGAAAAGCAGGATGATCCAGCTGTTGTAAGACAGAGAGAGAGAAATTCGATCTGAACATCTATGTGACAATTTATCAAAAGATGGAACTCTGAGCCTGTGATTCAAAACTTCCAACCTGGCAACCACGGCTGCAATGACAGCTCCCACTGTGGCAGGATCACAGCCTTTACTGTCATCAGACACCCACACGGCTCCAAGACATGCCCATACCAATTCAGGGATGTACAGAAGGGCACGCAGGTACACCAGGGCTGGTATAGAGCGCCGTGGGCCCGGGTTTGTAATGGTACCTAAAAACATTCAGATTTCAGTGTGATAAACAGTCTTTATATATTCATATAAAACTCAGCTTAAATTGGAGTCAGCACACACCTGTCACCATATATATATATATATATATATATATATATATATATATATATATATATATATACACACATACATATATATATACATACATATACAAATATATATACCTATATACATATATATACATACATATACATATATATACATATATTCGCATATATATATACACACACACATACATACACACACACATACTGTATATACACACATATACATATATTTATATATACACACACACACATATATACACACACACATATATATATACATAAACATAAACATTTACATATCTGTGAAGATGAATATATTGTTTGATCTATGTATTTTGTTTTCAATTTTGTATGCTCTGAAAATGTGTTTCTTGAAGGAGGCGGAAGCTAGGATTCAATGTGGAAAGATGATTGAGTACCTTAGTACGTATTACTAGCTACCCCATACCCCTGATATTCCAACGTATAAACTTTAATCCTGCTTTGATTGGTTTTATTGGTCGTTTCTCTGCGGGTAGAGGGGTCATTTTTTGATGGACCACACCTGTACAAGTAAGACGATCTGAGCATCTGGTGTTATGAAAAGGAAAATAAATGAATAAATAAAACAGATTCCAAATAAAACTAGAAAAAGAGGAAATGTTGATTTAAAAAAATTCTCAATGTGCATGTGTGTGAGAGTGTTATGGAGGATCAGTGGGAACAGACAACTAAATGGGTATGAAAATAGACAGAGAGAGAGAGAGGCAAGAAAAAAGAACAGAGGATAGGGGAGGGAGCCATGAGTCCCAGAGAGAGGAGATTCCCTTATCAATTAAAAAATCACTGGAAAAGCTGTCCAGCAATGTCAAATTTATGCACTACAAGTATGGCCCGTTCTCTTTTCTGTCTGTGCTGCTCGAGGATGGGATATAAAGACTTCCGTCTTTCATTTATTTCCTTCGGGAATAGTTTGTTCATTCCAAATGCTGTGCCTTTTACTTGTAAGCTTCTTTCCAAGAAAAGTTTCAGAGTCATCAGTATTATAATAGGACAACATGACAGCTTTCAATACAGATGGATTACTCCACAGTAATCTGAACACGTCTGTGTGGGTTGTCAGTCATCCTGATCACGGCAAGTTGAAGTTTGATCAAAAGCTTTTTCAAACTGAAGAGACCGATCAGCAGATCTTACCCTAAGGTCAGATACATTAGGACATGTCCTCAACAAACCGGACATATTCGAGTTGATAGTTCAGCCTTTTGCTGGTATATTCAACCTCAAGTATGTGTGATGGCATGAGTGAACATGTTGCAGCCTCATAAAGAAGATAATAAAAAGAGCAACCATCTAAACCTCTTTTATTTAGTATTGCTTAATAACCTGTGTTTTGAAACTTTTGTTGCTGCAGGCAAAGTTATGTAAAAGCTTTGCAACCCAGGGGTTTTACATTCTTTCATAAGAAAATCAAATTTCATAAGAATTAGAACACTGTGTAAATGTTTATTGGAAGAATATTTTGACAGTTTGTTAATCCTTTAAAACTTTATCTTTGATTGAAAATGGAGTATTATATAGGAGTTTTAAGATAACCATGTGAACATTTTAAATTTGATGAAACACTGTGTGTCAGAAAGTTCAGACAGGAGAATGTTTACCGTGCTGTTACATCTCTTTCTCTACTAACAACAATCTGTCAACATCTGGGTTCAGACAAGAACAGTTTCTGAAGACTGGAAAGTCAAAAGTTGTCCCATTCTTGCCACACATTTCAGCTGCAAAACAGTTCAGGGTCTCCTTTGTCCGAATTTTGGTGTCATGATGCTCCAATGTTTTTAATCGGGGATGAGTCATTACTGCAGGCAGGCCAGTTTATCAACAGGACTCTTCTACTACAGAGCCATGCTGTCCATGACTTTCAAAAAGAAGGTCAAATTTTGATTTCTTAGACTACTGGATGGTTTTCCACTTCTCCTCGGTCCACCTTAAAGACCCACTCCGATTACAATCATGTTTTTCTTGTTGTCTACATGTTCATATGGCATTTTTCTGATGCTACAGGACATATGAGAAAAATAAGTGCAAAATTGCATTTCTGAGTATTTCTGCATTCAAATCGCTGTGAACCTCTGACAGCCCTAAACAGCAGCTTCAGACACAGTGGGATTTTCTACATCAAAAATCCAAGCTCTGCCCCCGGTTCCGCGCTCTGCAGGCCAGACTTTAAGAAGTAGAGAGGACGATGTTGGAACAAGCGTGTGTGTTAGTGGATTGCAATGCTGGTAAGAAAGTTAATAATGATATTAACTTTCATCATGACCCTAAACACATTAGTGTCCAAGAGCTGAATAGCTCCTATGTTACCTGCCACTTCTACTACACTGGCAACGTTTGGCTGCAAGTTAGAATAAAGAGGAGGGTGCAGTGCAGTCCTGTCTCCGCCCACGACTCAAAGGCAAATTGTTAATGAACTACTGAAGCTCTGCAGAAGAAAAACCTTTAAAAATGACACAAGTAACGTGACTTTGGCTAAAAACTTTGTAATCACAATTCAAAGACCACTGAGAACACTTTAAATAATGAAAAAAAGGTAAAAAAAAGTAATAATAATAATAATAATAATAATTCAGAGTAGGACTTTAAATGGGCTCAGGCCAGCATTTGGGGACATTTTGCACACAGTTTCCTCTTTTCAAAAATACAATTTTTACCTGCATTTGTTTGTGCAGTGACATACTATGTTCACAGACAATGATTTGGGGTGTGTTTTTTTTTATACAGAGATTTCTCCAGATTCTCTGAATCTTTTGAGGATATGATGTTCTGTAACCAATGCAATCCTTCACTCCTTTGCAAGCAACGTTCAAGAACATGATTCTGGACTTGCCAAACCATGTCCTCTATCTCACTCAGCCTCTCTGTCATGCTTTTATACCCAGTTATGCTACTAAACTTGTTGCAAACCAGCCTGACAAGTACACAGATGAGTCTCCCTTTGTGCTGTTTTTTTTTTTTTTTTTCACAACTTAACTTTTTCAATGATATGTTGTCCCAGCTGTGCTAAAACATGTTGCTGGCATCAAATTCAAAATGGGCCCACACTTTTCCCTAAACATTTGGTTGGACTCTTTCCACTATATAAAGGCTTTAAAAGATCATCTTTATATATCACATTCATTTAAATACAATGTATAAAAGTGAGTTTACCTTGGGCACTGACGTAGACAGTAGCACACAGTGACGAGATGATGAGTGCCAATACAACCAGCAGTCCCACCAGATAGCTGTGAAGAACTCCCTTTCCATTACAATCAAAATTACCCTTGTGGTAAGTGAACAGGATCATGGTGCCAATCCACCTGAGGAGACAACAGACGTTCAGACAACGAGACTGAGGGAATATCGTTATGTCATACACAATCATTAACTTTTAACGCTCTGTGTTTTTACTTAAAGAGATGTGTACACATCATTAGAGGATTGGCCAAGCAAGTCTGATAATACTGGAACATCGGCAAAATTTTAGCTTGAGGTGTCCTGATACAACTTTTTTTTACTTCCAATACAATACTGATATTGTAGCCTTTAGTATTGGACGATACCCATACTGATCTGATATTAGCACAAACTTGTGCATGACAAGTTTTGCACTCAGCTGCAACGTCTTTTTCAGGCTTTTATGAAAAATACTGCCACACGACCAACATCACTCTTCTCCTTGCTACTACTCTAGACGCTGCTAGATACTGGAGTGGAGTCTGGAATGGACTGCTTGTATCAGAGTTCTTATATCAGAGATTTTAGATGCAGGCCAATATAATCCAGAATTATTTTTTTTGCACATATTGGACCAATATCAATATTGTATTGGGATACTCCTTATTTTAACATCATGCATACGATCTAGTTAATTATTTTGATTTTGATGATGATTTGGGCCCTCCAGGATCTTAAAAAAAATGATAATCCAGACTGAGCAATTATTGTGCCGCCTGCTGTGATGCCCCTGTTATGTCCTTTACACTAAATAAAGCTCACCCTCCCTCACTGAAGCTCTCACTGTAACTTAAGCAGCAGCAGCTCAGATTAACAAGTAACAAAGTTTGGGAGCACCAGGAAGTTACTACTCTGTTGAGATTAAGGGTGAACCAATCTTAAACATGTTGTGTAACAACGGCTCACACTATCAGACAAATACAAGTTGAGAGAGGAGAGCATGGAGAGAGGCAGGTGTGTTTATCTGTGTGTGTCTGAGGAGCAGAGGGACAGAATGAGAATGACAGGAGAGAGAAGCTGCAGTGATCACAAGCGCTAACAAAATACTGACTACTGGGCTAAAAAGTGAAAGACATCGTTCAGAATCAAAATGAAATACAGACTCAAGTCTTGATGTGATAAAGGATTTTTAACAAAAGCTTTAAAAGACAAAATTATTAGTTAGTGAAAGAGCTCAGATACTTTAATTTTTATGACACTGTGTAAAAATACCTTACAACAATTGAAACCTGACATTTAATTCAATGAGTATAATCACTAAATTGGAGATGGAGATCTTAAAGTGAAGAATTGATGCATGGAGCCTTTCACTAGTAGTACATCTGATTTTTTATATCAACCAATGAGACAGACATGTTTTAGCAAATATAAAAAAAAAATGTGGACTGAACGTTTTTCTCACTTCCTGTGTTTTTCCAAATCATATGTTCATAAGTTGTGAGAATGTGATTAATGTACCTGTCAACAATCAGATAAAATTACTGTGATCAGGACTTCTGCCCAGACTAAGCAGACCTACCTTGCCTTCCTGCTACAAAGCCATCCTCGGGATGGTGTTAAATCTGAAAATGGGTGTAAACCCCCTTTTTAAACAAGGTCTAAAACCTACCAGAGGAGACGGAAGAACAGCTCAAAGCATCCAGGGAAAACCAGGTCATCACTGGCGATCCCCCACCGCCGTCCGAACACCACCATGCCGGGCATTTTGGAAATCTAGAGCAGCTGTAATTTCCCACAGACGTTTATGAACCCGTTCACCACCTCAGAGTGGGTCTGACTTTCTGAAACATCCACGTTTCAGCATGACAACACTGCCGGAGCAGCAGCTACAGACTGAGCACGAGCTTCACCCGCTGCTGTCACATTATCACTTCCGGTCCTGCCTCACTGATGGTCAAAGTGAGTCCTGATCTGGGTAAACCAGAGATGTCTTTATGTCCGCTGTTAAACGCTGGCAACCCTTCTTATCTGAGAACACCTAAACTGCTCCTCGGTGTCTAACGCACAGCCGAGGCTCCAGACCTGTTAACACGGAGAGTAATCCACCTTGACAGTCTTTAGGCGTTGTTGTTAATGCGAGCAAAATCCTCTGCGTGCCTAGCTTTAACGTTAGCTTGTTAGTTAGCTAAAATACTCGATGCTTTTCTGTGAAATAATAATTAGTCCGATATCACTTATCTTCACGCTATGACTGTAATGCTATCTTAAGAAATTCGCTTGGTTTTACACTCTATGCGTCCCATTAATCTCCCACTTAAATGTAACACTAACCATCGCTGCGTACGGGTGACTGGTTTGTTTTGTTTCGCTGATAACATATAGCGTCCTACTGCTAATGTATCCCCACTACCACAAATATACCATCAGACAAGAGTTCCGTTCCGCCCTCTGCAATTTCTACTGTTAGGGTTGGCATCTGTAATCGTAACAATACTGGATTGATTAATTTCAAACGTGGAAATAGAGTCAGCCCAAGTGATCGTATCTCAGTGCACATAGTAGTTAGGCCGGCTAAATATCAGATTTTAACCTCAACATTATCTTTCTGGCCATAACAGTGAAAATAAAGCCTCCCTGCTCTCACGTCTCTAAATTCTGTCTCCAACAATTTACCCACTAAATGAGGGCAGTTGGAGATCCCGTCAGTTTGACTTCATGACTTTTCACACAATTTTTTTTCCTGATCTGTTCTTATTTTGTAAATCTTTCCTGATTTTTTGCTCAGGCTCATATGCTGGCTTTTTTTTTCTTGTCCCCATCGATTAAAAAAAGAATTGAAAAGATATGTTTAAATTTGTGGAGGACCTTTCCCCACTCTGATCATATCTGCTGCAGTCTCAATCTGCATTGACAGATCATTGCAGAAAAGTTTTGATAAAAATAGACAACGCAAGAAAGCAGCACATAGAACAATCACTATATTTTTATTTCACTACTACTTTTTTCATTGATTACGCTGACAAAACATATTGTAAGCATAATATAATCATTGTGCATTTTAAATAAGTCAAGCATCAACTGCATGTCACCAAACATTCATTTAGTGTGAGGTGGAAATGACATTTGATCTGTTGAGCAGATTACTTGTATTTTAAAGGAAGTGGCATCGCATATATATATGCTGGACAGATATCTAGAAGGCACTTTCGGACATTTTCTGTACATTAGGAAAGCCCAGAGGACACTTCTTTTAATTATATACTGCAAGGGCAACTACATGGCCCTTCTTAAACATTTTTTCAAGCTAGTAGGGTTCTTGGGGCACCTTTTCCATATTTTCTACTCCGTTATCTAAGGGCCACATTTGAATGCCGACGCTGTCTGGAAGGCACTTAAACAGGTTTGAAATTTCTGGGAGGGCAAAGTGAGAGCCCTCCGACATTTCCCATCTTTTAAAAAAAAGAAAAACAGTTTTGGCAGTTTTTCATTTACTTTCCACTGATATGTCGGGAGGACTCTTAAAGTTATATTTACTGGAAAAGTACCCAATACATACCTGCCAACACTTCGGTTGCCGTAGAATGCACCCCTGCCGTAGAATGCACCCCCGACGGGAGCGCGGTTGAAAGTACTTAACAAGGTGAAAATAATCCAAGTTTTCCTTACCATTGGATGAATTCATAAGCATGTGCCTTTAATAATTTCATTCAGGCTATTCAGATAAGCCGAAAAAAAAGCCCTCTGATTCCGAATATTTGCTGTCCCGAAAATATAATGTTCGCTAGCTTGACAGCTCACTGTACAATCTATATACCCAAGCACACCTCCGTATGTGCATTTTTGAGACATATAAAAACAGAACGAAAGTTGTCACGATCAAATACTCGTATTTTTTAAAATATGAGATCAATTTCTTCCACCTAAAGAAGTTAATGGGATGGGATGCAGGGGGTGCATTCTACGGCAGGGGTGCATTCTACGGCATTACACATGAAAACAAACGTGAGATATAATATTATAGGTTGACAGTCGTTTACCGTCTCTGAGTGATGCGTTCAGGGCAGCCTCAAATAAAGGAGTGCTGTATTGCTCGCACAGATGTTCAGAGAGCCTCATACGGGAGAGCATGTAAAACATTGGAGGACCTTAACACCAAATTGGTGGACTAAATAAATTCAAGGCATACCGTAGCTATCATTTTTTTTTTTGCCATTTGTTACTGATAGAACAAAACAAAAGTGTGCAGTTTACTAACACTTATTTGGATGAGCAATCTAATTAAAATACTGTCATAACAAATCCACCACCCGTAAGCTGAAAATTGAAGGACTCTGGAACAGTGACGCGGGGGTTCCATGGTGTAATGGTTAGCACTCTGGACTCTGAATCCAGCGATCCGAGTTCAAATCTCGGTGGAACCTAACATCGCACACTTTTGCTCCCTCATTGACAGTATTATGATTTTACCGTTCTTAAACACCAGAAAAAATGAGGTTTCTTCAACTTTCCCCTTGTATTAAAATATTATGTCAGGCAGGTTGTCTGATAAACTGCCAGTACCTGTTGGAAGTGAAGATCGCGTTACATCTGACAAACGTGCTGTTAATAGTGGTACATGTGCTGTTTATACTGCTTAAAATGGCAGATATCGGGCGTGTCGCCTTTGCCCAGCTAGTGGCGTAGGGGATAGCGTTTCTGACAATCGAGCAGAGGGTGCCAGGTCCGAGCCTCTCTGGTGTAAGGACGATGGAATCATGGCCCCATTATTTCAGGTATTGACAGTTTCTTGGATAAACTCGGCTTTAAAGGCTGTAACATGTCATACTATAGTACAGGGAATCTACAAGGGAATCTACACAGTCCAAATATGAGCTGGCAGCAGTTTGCTTCTCCAAAGAATAACAGGTGGATAACAAACTAATAATATGACATACTACAGCCGATGAATCCGAATAACAGGTGGAAGCACATTTTGGCAGCCAGAAAAACAGCTGATATAGGTTTATATTACGTCTGCCGACAACACTTGAACTTTTCAGTAAAACCCTTTGATTTTAGTTTCATTGTTTTCCTCTCGGTGTAGATACATGATACAGTGGGCTGGATCACCACAGAACACTCCAGTAACACAGTTCAATTCAATCAATCATCATAGGATTGCGTTTTCAGCATTGAAATGAAATCACTCACCAGTCAAACGTTTAGGTTGATAAAATGTTAATTCGACAAGGTCTATTCTGCGTAAATGACACAAAAACATATCAACTTTACTTTCGGATCATTACGTATCACCGTTAAGCTCGACATATAAGAATTGTATCGGTTTAAACTGCACATTGCCGTGCACGTTCCCGCAGGGTGCATGTGCTTTTCGACACAACGAGGGCACCGGGTTGATTGGCAAGTCAATAAACAACGTGCTGGTTGGCTATCCATTCAGCCCTCAAAACAGGGTCAAAATTTTCACTTGTCACTTGAGTTTTGTAAACTCGGAACTTTAGTGTTGCAACGTGTGATTTCAGAGTCGAATGTGAGGTAGGAAGTATGAAATTCGTAAACTTGTAACATCAGGGTCGCACTTGAAGGTGGGAAATTGATGTTTCGGTCAGATTTAGTTTTACATATGTACAAATATATTCCCACAGATACAAATATGTTTTACACATGCACAAAGTTTCGATCTGGTTTCCGCCCACATCAAGCACCAAGACAGCCCTCTTAAAAATCACCAATGACCTCCTAATGGCAGCTGATTCCAGTCAATTAAGCGTCCTCATCCTCCTCGACTTAACTGCAGCTTTCGACACCATCTCCCACACCATCCTCCTTGACAGACTCGCATCTATTGGTTTATCAGACACACCCCTGGACTGGTTCACATCTTACCTCACTGGCCGTATTCAGTTTATTCAATCAAAGAATTTTAAATCTCAACCATCTCCCCTCTCTTCTGGTGTCCCCCAAGGCCCAGTCTTGGGCCCCATCCTGTTCAACATATACCTTCTTCCTCTTGGTCCCATTTTCCGTAAATTTAATATCAATTTTCATTGTTATGCAGTCGACACCCAGCTCTACCTCTCCACCAAACCTACCTCCACCTTCCCGTAATCTGTGACTGTTTACAGGAAATCAAATCATGGTTCGCATCCAACATTCCCAAACTTAACAATGATAAAACCGAGGTTCTCCTCATTGCCACCAGATCCACCCTGAGTAACATTCCAAGCTTCACCATCCCCATCGACAGCTCCTCTGTTTTTCCCTCCCCTCAGGTCAAGAGACTGAGTGTCATCCTTGACAGCACTCTGTCATTCCAAATTCACATTAATTGCATAACCTGGTCAGCCTTCTTACATCTTCGCAACATCAATTGCCTCTGTTCGTCACTTACCCCAACAGCACAGCCAACGTGGTCCATACAATGGTAACATCCCACCTGGACTATTGCAATCATTGGTCTCCCCCATAAGTCCATACATAAGCTTCAACGGGTCCAGAACGTTGCCGCCTGTATCATCACCAGAACACCATCTATCAGTCACATCACACCTGTTCTCCGCCATCTTCACTGGCTTCCCATCAAATTCCACTTGGACTTCAAAATTCTGCTCCACACATTTAAGGCCATCCACAACCTCGCTCCTCCATACCCCACTGAGCTCCTCCACATCAACACTCCCACCCGGCCTCTCAGGTCTGCCTCATCCATCAGCCTCATTATAACTCCGGCCCGTCTGTCCACCATGGGATCCAGAGCCTTCAGCTGCACTGCCCCCCGCCTTTGGAACTCCCTCCTCCCTGACATTGGGAAAATTGACTCACTCTCCATCTTCAAATCCCATCTCAACACTCATTATTTCAGACAGGCCTACTCAGACTAGCATTTGATGTTCTGCTGCAGAGTCCGGACTGACAACTTTTTTTTTATTTAATACTTTGTTGTGTTGATGTGTTTTTTTATTGATTTTACTGTTCTACTGGGGCGGCACAGTGGTGTAGTGGTTAGCACTGTCGCCTCACAGCAAGAAGGTCTTGTGTTTGAAGCCGGGTCAGGGCGTTTCTGTGTGGAGTTTGCATGTTCTCTCTGTGTCTGCGTGGGTTTACTCCGGGTTCTCCGGTTTCCTCCCACATCCCAAAAACATGCCTAAGTGGGGTTAGGTTAATTGGCTACTTTCAAATTGCTGGTAGGTGTAAATGTGAGCATGCATGGTTGTTCGTCTCTATATGTCAGCCCTGTGATGAACTGGCGACTTGTCCAGGGTGTCCCCAGCCTTCGCCCAAAGATGCTGGGATAGGCTCCAGCCCCCCTGCAACCCTGGGAATGGGAATAAGCGGTAGGAAATAGATGGATGGATGGATGGATGGATGGATGGATGTTCTACTGATGCATCTTTTAATTGCCCTGTAAGATGTCCCTGAACGCCATGAAAGGCACCCATAAATAAAAGGTATTATTATTATTAATAAACTATTTTTATAAATTTAAAACTTTGTTGCACATGCTCAAAATCTTTTTACAATTTCAAAACTTTATTACACATTTGAACATCATTGTACAAGTACAGAATCTTTTTGACCCTTGGTTGATCCCATAGTTCATTTGCCTCCAACATTGCAGGTTTTGCAATGTGACTATCGTGCACACGTACATCGCGATGATGATGCTCAAATTATACATCCTGCAGCCCTCCCACCTTGCTCTCAGTGTGTGTCCTCCACTGGTATATGATTGTGAGTGTTGCATGGTGGTGGTCAGAGAGGTCGTTGGTGCAAACTGGCAGCCACGTGTCCGTCAGTTTGCCCCAGGGCAGCTGTGACTACTAAGGTAGTTTACCACCACCAGGGTGTGACTGTGTGAGGGAATGAATGGTGTATCCAATGTAAAGCACTTTTAGGGTCTCTGATGAAGTACTATCAAATCTGATGCATTAATTTTATAATTATTATTATTTTTTTTATTATTATTATTCTTATACTTATTATTATTATTATTATTATTATTATTATTATTATTATTATTATTATTATTATTATCATTATTTGTGCATTGGTTATCACACAAAAAGAGGCCGCTTATTTGTTAAAATGTCAGAGCTAAGAGTGGAGCTTTTTTTTTTTTTTTTGCTTTATTTGGCTATAACAAGAACCACCAAATGCAGTGCTGCAGTTAGTGTGTGAAACAGGACTTCATAACAAGATCATATTAAACAAGAGACCAGTGGAGGGCAGTAATACGCCTTGCGGCGTCTAATCTGCCGGTAATAAAGAAGAAGAAGACGTCAGTCTAATATGGCGGCACACATGATGGTTCGTTCGTGTTTACTTCTCCGTGGAGTGCTGTTTCCACGGGATTTGAAACCACATACTTTTTCGATTGAACACAGTGATAATACGTTGCAGTCCACCAAAGCTTGCTACGGGACCAGAGGAACGGACTCCACACAGGTTTGTTAGTTTATTGCATAATTAAGCCTTTATTTTCTCTGTGTAAGGAACAACCCAACAGACTCTTTAAATCAGACTACGATTATCAGATCTATTACCTTTGTATAAAAGCCAAATCAAAGAGCTTCCCGAGTTCATATTTTGATTTACATAGCAGTCTGAGTTGTTTAATTAGAATGTTAAATGTTTTCATCATGTTTTCACATTTTCACTCATTCAGACCATAGACTGTATATACTATGGACAACTTGCTACAATTCAACTTTGATTTAGGTGTCAGAAACACAACAGCAAACACAGACATTTGACTTCAATGATCTTTATATCATTATTCGAGCGTTGTGGTCAGACCTTGAACAGTTTTTTGGCTTTCTTTGTAAAAAAAAAAATAAATCAAATCTTCACAAACTCTGTAAACTCACAGTTTCATGATCTTTACATCACAACACACTGTTCAGTTTTGTGTTATCTTCTTTTACAGGAGGACCAAGTGAACATTCCAGTAGGTAAATATACAGATGTATAGGCTTTTCACTTAAAACACACTTCCAGAGTACTTTTCCTTTGGTTCTTTTCACATTATATCTCTGATTCTTTTAAATCTTAGAGCGTCTGACAGTTTCTTACAGCAGAAGTAGTGGTCCTGGTGGTCAGCACGTCAACAAAGGTTCGTAAAGTTTGATCTTTTCTCCTGGTGTGAAAAAGATATCTGTATTTGCCAAAGTGACAAGTAACTCTTCTCCTGAATCTTTTCCCTTATTTTCTCCTGTAAAAAAATCCTAACCCACAGTCAGCACAAAAGCAGAGGTCCGTTTCCATGTACTAACAGCAGAGTGGATTTCAGAGGATGTTCGGCAAAACATCTTTGAAAAGGTCTGTTTTTACATGCTCTGAAATTAAGGAAAACATCTGAACTCTGAAACAATTAATGTGAATACTTTGAATAGACTCTTTTACATCATATTATCATCATATTTCTGTTTTCTCACTTTTTTCTGTGGTATTTGTCACCAAGTTGTCATAGAAAAAGGGAAAATAGTAGGTACTGACCATAGACTGTATAAAGAATGGACGCCATCTGCCTCCTTACCGGGTGAGGCCACCCTGAGAACAGCACACTCTAGTGACTGGCTGCAGTATAGGTCATAAATCCCACCTCCTCCAGCAAAGCTTATAGCGCTGTGGACTAACTTTAGAATACACAGAATATAAATTTCTCTCCCCCCTGCTTGCGATGTTGACATGTAGTTACTGTAAGACTGGTTAGTTGACACTTGATGCAGCCTATGGGCGTACGAAGATTGCGTAGCTCACCTGGGAAAAATCGCGGAAATACTGAGAGCTTTTCCTGGGTGAGCTTCAAAGATGGCTTCAAATCCGTATACTGGCGGAAGGCGGAACCAAGTTGTCCGTAGTGTATACAGTCTATGGTCCTATGTTAAAGTCCTTATGTGAGTCTTTGAAGTCTACTGTATGATTTCTTTATTTAATGGCACAGAATAAAAACCGCATCAACAAGGCTGGGGAGCTGCTGATAACCTCAGAGCTGAGTAGAAGTCAGCACAGAAACCTTGCTGATTGTATAGAAAAGATTTCTGCTATCATAGCTGAGGCCAGTGAGACACCTTATGAGCCAACAGCAGAGGACATCGCGCTAAGAGCAGCCAGGTATTGTGCACTGTTTCAGCACTTTATCTATCCACCTTTATTATAAATGAGTTGTTTCTGACCTGAGGTTTGCTGTGCAGGTTAGAAAAGAGAAACAAAGAGAGACTCAGACAGAAGAAGATCCACTCTACTACCAAGAAAAGCAGACGGCAGGATTTTGACTGACTGCTGAATGGCTACCTCTCATGATTGTAGTCAATGTGACATATATTATATGTTATATGAATTTCTGAATTTACTTTTTTTTCTGCAAGACATAAATCATGACAAAGATGTGTAATAACATAAATTAAAAGCATGTATTTACAAAATTGTGTGAATAAAGAAAGTTGGTGATAAAACTGTGCCAAGGCTACTTTAATGGTCATTAACTATCTGTTTCACCTTGTACCAAAGATACCTAATAACAGGCCAACGCAAAAAGTGATAAGTGTTGGGGTGTTTTTCATGTTCACCCACAAAAAAAGATTTCTCATGACAGGCCAATGCAAAAAGTGAGAGTATTGGGGTATTTGTCATGTACATCCCAAAAAAAACACCTTCGAAAAAATTTCGGAAACAGCAGAGGATTCTTTCGAAAATCCCCTCTAAAAATGTTTAAAACCCTTAGCAGAGGATGGTTTCGATCCATTTCTTGCCAATCAGACCCTCTCCATTTCTTGCCAATGAGATCTCTTCCCTATCCATTTCATTCCATTTCTTGCCAATCAAATAATTCCCTGATCTTCATTTCTTGCCAATCAGAGCTTCGGCCCGGAGCTCCATTTCTCACCAATCAAAACGCACCTCCGCTTCCATTTTTGTCCAATTACATTTTTTTCTGCCTCAACTCCCGCCTCCTTCTGCGTCGACCAATCAGATGGCTGTTGCTGCCTCTGCGATAACTGTGACGGCAAGTGCAGTCAAAGGTGACACCGGCATCTTCCACGGTAAGTAATTAAAAAGTTTTTGAGTTTTCCATTGAAAACCTGCTGGCTGTATCAAAGTGAACTAACTGCGAAAGCGTGCAGCATGAAGTTTTCACGGACTCGCGGTTATTGACTTGTATTTAGCCTCTACAATAACGAAGCACTGTTTGGTGGCTGTAATAAAAACAGTGACATATCCAGCAAAACACACAAAAGCAAATAAACAAGTAAACAAACAGCTGAAGCTCTCCTTTGTAGCCTGACAAGTGTTGATGTGTCTAAGAATATATTTTTCTCTTATTTTACGTCGCAAAGCCCATCATCAGGTCATAAAATGATAATTTACTGTTTAAATTCAAAAAATCTTCTCAACTAGAGGAAAAAAAACGCGAACACAACGTCACCTTTGCTCAAGGGAAAAATTCTCTGGAAAGTAACAAAAGAACTCACAACAATGGCACACCATAATTGACTGGCTTAAATCTATCGAACACCAGGTTGACACACAAACACCACAAAAAATTTTAAAACACCTAGCAGAGGATGGTTTCGATCCATCGACCTCTGGGTTATGGGCCCAGCACGCTTCCGCTGCGCCACTCTGCTCGCACAAGGCGGTATGGAGAGCAAAAGCCTTCAGATAAATGTTTGTTTTTTCTGTCATGCGTTAATTGATGATTTTGTTTATTGTTTCATGTCGTGTGCATACGTATTGATGCGCGACTGTTATTCAATTGAATGTTGAACTGAGTAACTACCAGCTTTAAATGTGCACCTAGTGATACGATTACTCATGTGACACAAATATAACAATTTAAACGAGAGGCGATTTCACGCTGCTACAACGGTGGCTCACCGAAGGACAGCTTGTACATTTGATGTTTCCAAATTCCCCTCAATCTCCTGAATTAGGCAAAAGACGACCACGAAGGGACTCGAACCCTCAATCTTCTGATCCGAAGTCAGACGCCTTATCCATTAGGCCACGCGGTCGGAGTAATCTGTAGAGGGCGCTATATTGTACTTATCCTTGTGGTGTATTTACGTGAGTATGAGTGCAGTAATGATGTCTTCTATGCGCATGAATGCTATTGTGTGCACATGTCATACAAGAGCCCGGAAATGGGAGGCCGAAATCAGGTGGAGAACGAAAGTAAATCTAAGGCTTGAGCTATAAATAAATTGAGTTCCTGTTTTTAACTGCCATGTAAATGTACACACACACACACACACACACACACACACACACACACACACACACACACACACACACACACACACACACACACACGTTAAGGTTCGAGTTAATTAATACAGCCAATGACCAGTGCTGTTCAAGGGGCCTCTTGTCAGCACTTTTTTCTTGTCAGTTCAATTCATTACTTTAAAATTATTTGGCTTGAAGGAATTCGTCCTTTATTAAATAATTATACTAACACATAATCTTGCCCCAAGCGCAAGGGCCCGCTCAATGCAGCATCCAGTTTTAATTTTCTACTGTAATCATGTTTTTAAAAGTGTAGATACAAACTTGATGAAAATTGAAATGTAAATTGATTGAACACTAATGGTCATATAATGTGCCTTTGTGTAGATTCATTTTACTGTTCAAAGTTGCCTCTTCATTTGAGCTCTGGTCACTATTTGCATCTTCAGTATCATACCAGGTGAGATTAACCTCATCCACAGTGTAAGGTGATGTACATTAAAATGTATCCCCCTGTTCCATCTTTACACAGTCACATATGAATTCTATTTACAACTTCTCATCCTAACACTAGTGGCTGTATTTGTAGAGATAATGGAGTTATTCATTTGCAGTTATCTCTGTGCCTTTTAATGTAAATTAAACTGTATTATCAACATTTTGGCACGAGTCTTGCATATTTCATACTCCTGTGATCACTGTGAGGTACTTGCTGCTTAAGATATTTGTTACATTGCATCCAATTTCCCGTGCAGTGTCACTGTGGTAAATACAAAAAAGTTAAGACACATGGGGTCAATGTTTGATTGACAGGACAAAAAAGGTTTTAGTGAAACTGTTCTCTGAATAAACACCAGAGCAGACTAAACTTGGTTCTAGTTTCTAATTTACTAATAAACACAACCAAGCTTAGAATTAAAAGAAAATTAAATAAGTTTATTCTGACAGTTTGTTAGTGACATTCACATATAGGCACTGAAAAAGAAAAACAAACATTCACACACATGAATACACAGGTACATTTTGTACAAGCTACTCTAAATATGCAAAAGATGAGGCCTCAAACACTTTCAAGTGCAATAAGTAAGACATTACAGTACAGAAACCCTGTGAGCCTCCATGAGAGGTGAGCGGCTCTGGTTTGGTGTGGTTTTGTCCAGGCTAACATATTCCTCCTTCAACATGCTTTAATAATTTCGCAGACATGAGCACTGACCTTAAATGCACTTTGAACATCACAGTCTTTGGCAGCTCCTTTGCTGCCACAGGCAGTGAAGTTTTATTAAAAGTTGCCCCTGATTTCAGTACCAGACTTCACCTAAACTTCCACCCTTCACCCTTTAAAAACATTACCCACACAAGACCTTCAGGTGTCAGCCATGCTGTCTGTGAAAAGTTTGAAGCTACTTAGCGGAAGAACCAGACATGGATAAGCTATATTGACATTCATGATAACAAAGGTTTATAAGTAGTCACCCAGAAAAAGGCAGAAGTATTGTATGTTGCTAAAAAGGTGCAACATATTTGCAGGTTGGTTTAGGGTTTGGTAAGACTGCTGAGTGTTAGACAAAGCCCTGGTTTGAAGCCTTATACTGGTTACACTACTTTACAATGTGTTCATCAAGCTGTTAGTAAAGGAAAACAGTTTTAACGCTTGTATAAAAAAGCTAAAAACATTTTTTAACTACTGTGTTGTCAGTTTTCACTATTGAATTAAACATCCAAATCTCCATCAAATGTCTTGATTTACTAGTCACACAACACATTGGTTATGTCCACAGACTGTATATAAAAAGGACACCATAAGTATCTGTTTACTTTAAAGCCAAAGGATTTAGAGCTCCCCCTAGTGACCAGCTGCAAAACAAGTCATAAACACTGCCTGCGTACTCAAAACAGATGGGAAAACTGGCAAACTAAAAAATAATGTATGCTTGAACTCAGTGTTCTCAAACTTGGTTTCTGTCATACTTTTTTCTTCACTGATTTATGTCCATTTTTCTGAGATGTTTAACATTAGACAGTCATTTAATTTTAAAAGCAGCAGCCATGACATCATGATTGACAGCTCTGTTGACAAAATGAGCTTCCTGCAGTGCCTTTAACCATGTTTTCAAAATAGTGAAGGATTTGCCTGTGAAAACACAAATCAAACAAGAGTCAAACTTTCCACAATAGTAAGAGTCTGTGTCATCTATCACTGACTGCAAAAAAGAATCACCACAATATTAACAAACTGGTTTTGTTTTTCATGCAGGGGAAACAGGTATTTAAGCCAGGGCTCAAAATATTGGCAAGTCAAATAATTAAAGGGGTATTTCAGTATTTTTGAACTGGGTTTTATGAGTTATGTGTCACGAAGTGACCACATGCAAGCTGGCCTACAGTTTTCTGCAGATGGGGCCTACTTCACCATCTATTTTGGCTCATTTTTAGAGACTCTGAACCAGATACCAATTCCTTTTGAGTGTATGTGCTACTGAGAAAAATTTCAGCACTTCACTTTACTGTCAGAAATGCCCTCTCAGTTGTTTGGTCTCCATGCTTCAAAGAGAAAAATACGACCAAATTAAAAAATAAGTTATTCTGACATGCTGCTTTCTGCATACTCACATGGACATCTTTATAAACCAAAGTTTACAGAGAAAAAGTTGACTGTGCATTTAAGTAAGAAGATGAGAAACCTCTGAAATTACTGGAGAACAGGAAAGATCTCTGGTTACCTTGTGATTCAGGTGTGTAAAATGTGAGCTACGTACAAATAGAAAAAACTCCCAATTGTCAAGAGGGGAATTCGTTACCAACAGCACCTCTGGACCTTTAGAAATCCAAATCTAGCAGCAGCTTACACAAGATGGAAAACTATCCAATACATCAAGGACTTGTTTATCATGAACCTGCTGATCTTGTTGCATACAGAAAAGCACGTCTGTGTTGTGTCTGCAAACTATGCAAAAATTGCTGAAAATTTCTCAGTGCACCTAAACTAAGATGATGGCTTGGGTCAGACTCTTAAAATTAGCTAATTTTCATTGCATGGTCTTCCCCCTCTGCAGAAAACTGTAGCCTAGCATGTGTGCCAGTCCTTCCTGCAGTTATCATTACCGGGGTTATGCTGACCAACATCCATTTTGGCTGTAACACTTAATAGTGGCATGTAAATCAAATAACCCCTCTTTAAAAACATGCTGAAGTATCCCTTAAACCCAACACAAACACTCCATATCTACACAGGCCTTAAGATCTTGCTGAAATTATCCAGAATCTAACCATGTTAGAGCAGAGGTTGGATCCTTCCTCTTGACAACATCAACTTAACTGCTGTGAGTGACAAGGATTTGTACTCTTTCAGGTGATCCAGATCATTCCTCTCAGCAAGAACTGGATCTTTCAGCTCCCAGAGCTTATACAGCTTGTTTTTACATCCTAGTCTTTTGCAATCGATAGGTACTCCCCACCTCAGCATAAATGCATCTGTGCAGCATTCCTACAGTGAGGTCATGAAATGCAAAAATGATAACGTCAAAGAAAACTGAACAGAGGTTACAATTTTGAAGGTTTCCATGTTTATGGTTAATAAAAAAAGTAAGGCCATTAGTTAACTGTCAACAGATAAGGTGACCTGTACAGTAATATTGCATATCAAGCCATGGCTTAACCACTGCAAATGTTAGCTTTCAAGGGGGTGATCTTTTGGCTTCACAGCTCTAAATGGACAGAAATGAAGTGTCGTCTGTTCTAAATACAGTCTGTGGTTTTGCCCTTTTTATGACATTACTCCCAGTTTTTCATTCCTGATCTATGACGTGTTGAAATAAAACCAAAGTTTTCAGGTGTCTGATTCAGTGATCTAGTCTAAAACCTTCTAAGACATCTTGGGATCAGGATGTTTATATTCTGTATGGTGAGTGTTCATAATGCCCAGGAAATAGTGGAAATAACAATCCCCAGAGATTGTCTTTTGCAAGACAGCAGCATTTAAGCATGTAGTGGGATTTTAACTCTTACACAGTCAAACACAGTTAAACTATCTAAACTACAGTCTATACTGTAATTATCACTCACTTCAGATAAAGGCCTAAGACATCTCGATCAGTAGATTTTTCTGTTGCCCCTGGCATCTGGTCACTTTCACAGGGTTATATGAGTGTAAAAGTTTTCAAGAATACATCAGTGTAGTTCACCATGTTTGAAACAGGCTTATATGTTATCTTACAGGAAACTGGTGACGAAATTACATGTCTGTTTTATAAAAGTTAAGATACAGCCAGCAGCTAGTTAGCTTGCCAAACCAACAACCAAAACCAGGAAAATTTAAAGCTCACTGACAAACACAGTAAAAACATTCGAAGTAAATCTATACATATTCCATTATATTCCATCGCTATCTAGTCTGTTCTGCTAAATGCAGATGTACTTTTAAACTGCACAATGTACCTTTAATGCTTTACTGGGCTACCAGGCTGCTGACTGTACTTTCACATTTACACTAAAGGCATGACGATATTAGATTGTGAGGATTTAAATCTCTGGAATAAAAGGTGAGGCACTGCACATGTTAAGAAAAGCAGTCGTATGGTCATACATAGACACCAGTGCAATAAAGATCAATATTAAAGGCTTATCTTAATTTTGAACTGCATCCATTGTTATAGTGATATACTGTATGTAATGAGTGAATAGTTAGCACCTACTAATAACTCTTGAGGCAGACAGCACTGTGGCCTGAGAGGATTACTTTCTAGCTTACAATATCTATAAATGTTAGTGGAGTCCATTATAACAAAATTAAAAGTTACAGCTAATGTTAATATTAGTTTTTGAAGTTCGCACACGTTTTGATCAGAGGTGTTGTTTTTTTGTGGGTTTTTTTTCCTCTAATAGTTAGTGCACTTAAGGCTCATGAGAGGCATATTGCTGTTACTGCATTACTGTATGCTAAAAACAGTAAGGCAGAGAAGCCAGCATAATGAGTGTTTCAAAGGGGCACTGAATCAATGACTTGAAAGAGGAACAATCTCTTTTCCTCAGCTTCATTTACTTTTTAAAAATACCACTAAATCCTCCTTTGATAGTTTTCAATATAAGTTACAATCTCAAAGATGTCACTTTCATTTCCATGGAGGTTTCTGTGTAATGCATTGTAATCCATTTAGGGCCTGTGTCCATCAACATTTTTTGTTTTTTTTTTGCTGACAACACCCAAGACCTCTATCCCAGAGTGCTTCTCACTGGCTCTTACTGTTGCCAGGTTATCCAAGTTGCACCACAGCACTTTAGCTCCCTTTCGAAGTGACGGTTAAAACAGGACGTTAATGCTCGTTTTACATTAGTGACACTCCGTATGTAAGCAAAGTTGTCATTTTAAAAGTAGATACAATTTAGCAACCGTAGTGGATGCTTCTGGAATGCTGGGCACTAGAATGCTAGGTTCCATGATGCTCCTTTCCAGCATTGGAGTGCTGGGTTTTGGAATGCTAAAAACCCAGCATCCTGGAACCCTGCACTCTAAAACCCAGCATCCTGAAAGCCTCCTTCACTGTTGCCAGGTCGAGTTTCTCTTGTTTCTACAAGTTCTTGGGGGTCCACATTAACAACAGGCTGGACTGGAAGGACAACACAGATGCTGTGTACAGGAAGGGGCAGAACCGTATGTATTTCTTATGGAGGCTCAGGTCCTTTAATGTGTGGAGCAAACTGTTGGCCACCTTCTACCAATCTATGGCGATCAGCACATTGTTTTTTGCTGTGGTGTGCTGGGGTGGAGGCACCAAGGAGGGAGAGCGGAATAAGATCAACAGGCTGGTGAGGAAGGCCAGCAGGGTGGTGGGCCACAAACAGTGACGGAGAGGAGGAAAACGGACAAGATCAACAAAATCTTGGAAAACCCCTGCCAAGACTTACTCCCCCAGGTGCAGAACGGTGAGGTTCAGGCACTCCTTCCTTCCTTCCTACAGCCATCAGACTGTTTAACAGGCCTGAATGAAGTGTAGCAAACACACACATACACAGGTCCGAGCAAGGTGGAGCACTTCAACTTTTGGGTTTTTATCTTATTTACTGTGAACTATTTAATTGTTGTCATGGCTATTTATTTTTATGTTAGCTCTTGGGGGTTCTGTCATATCTGTTGCTGCTGTGACAATATTAATTTCCCCTTTGGGGGGATCAATAAAGTTTATTGTATTCTATTCTTTTAGAATGACAGATTTGCTCATTTAAGAAGGTCCAAGAGTTGGTTATGTTATGATTTGAGCAAATCCCACATGGATCTAGTTTAGTTCTTGTTTAATTTTTTGAACAAACCTTTCTGACCAGCCTGAAGTCTTATCCTGTGATTACTCCAACGCACATTTACCTCACAAATTTGCACTAAGGGTGTTTATGGACCAAGGAGGTTTTGAAGAGGATTGAAGCTCTGAAAACACGTAACTGCAACTGGTTCATGAAAAATATCTCTAAAAGGACACAGGCCCTAAAACTATCAGTTTCTGTTTTTTTAGTTGTTCCAGTACCCTTGTTTGCTGCTTTAAAATGTGTGACTTATAATGTAATTCACCCCACACACTCATGTTTTAATGAGTCAGCCTGTATGTTTAGTCTCCTTTTACTCAGCAGACATGTTCAAAAGTGAAAATCTTTGAGATTGTCAAATTAAGTTTTTAAATAGTACCTAATATACTGTCCAAGCCCCGTTCTCGACTCTGTTCTATACAAACTTCTTTTTTCTCATGAGCACAAATCAGTTTATCCGTCACTATTTGCTGGATTTCCCAGATTTGCCTGACTTGCTGGCCTTCGCAGATTTGGTAGCTTTGATGTCCATCTTGGTCTTCTGAATTCGGGAGAAGATCTCTTTAAAAAGAGCCTTGTACTCCGGAGTGTTTTGTCCCAGCCGCTTATCCACTGCCTCCACCTGCTTGCTGATGCTTTCAATGGCCTCAGGGGTGGATGGTGACTGGGTGGGGGTGGGTGGAGGGGCTGGGGTGGGGCCCATGGCACAGTCTTTCATGGACGGGTCTCGAGAGACAGGCCTAGAAGTCTGAACACCTGCATGACACAGACTCTCCTCGTGGCGCCTGCACTTCCCTAACAACTCCTCGTACTTTTCAAGTAAGGCGTGATACTGCTCATCCACCTCCCTAAGAATAGACATCCCCCTCTTCCTCACACTGTTGGCGTGAAGAGCGTAGCTTCCTCTCCTGCGCCCGGATGCATCCCGCGCCACAATGGCATTGAGCGCTGTGTCACTGCAGCTTTTCCTCACAGGGCTGGAGTCAGGGAGGGTCTGTCCACCAACACCTCCTCCCCCTTCTGTCTCCTCCCTTACACCTCCACCAGCTTCCCCCACTTCCACCTCCAGGAAGGTGTCCGTCTCAGGAGTACTGTTGAGGACAGTCTGAGTGAGAGTTACACCGTCATCCTCGCTGCCCAGCAGGAAAGTCCGAGCACGACGCAGCTGTTGAAGCTCCTGGAGCTCCAGTTCCAGCTCCCTCACCCTGCCCTGGCAGCTCTCAGCATCCTAAATGACAAAAATAACCTTTATATTAATCCTACAGGTTACTTGGACAATCATTTAAATTTAGATAACTGTCAAACATACAAAGGTTTCCCCCATTTTATAGTCTGAATTTATCAGCCTCTAACACGTTGCATCTGGTGCGTATGTGCCAATCAGAGTATGTTCACTTCAGTTTTACTTATAATGCAGAGGAGCATGATTTGGTATCCTGGAAGTCTGAAAACATTTAAGAAGTAACTCCACAGACAAGAGTAAGTGTGTGGAGTGAGATCCTTTACCAAAGTTAGAGACAGCTGCTACATCCAGACCTAGCAGACTCCATTCAAACTCATAGACATTTATCTTTCAGAGCACAGGTCTTAAATATCTGCTTATGCATCTTCATCACTTTGAATTACTGTTTAGTAAACCAAAGTGGCTTTAAAAACAACAAGTCAAAGCAGTTTTAATCCAGATACAGCATGTTCTGCAAAGTTAAGATGATAAATAATTGAATTATTTTGTAATCAATTATTCATGTATTCATTGTAAATTGTGCAAAGACAACACATCAAATGTCAAATCTCAAAATAATGATTGTCCTATTATAATATATGTAACAATATTATATATATTATGATATATTATTGTAATATAATAAAATATATTATATAATAATATATTATAATATATAATATATTATAAAAAACTTGTCTTTCACAGGCTAAAACCTTGGGCAGAACTGTCAAGGTGATCAACATCTGATGTTGTCTTTGCACTGTTTACATGTAAATATAAGCTTCAAATGATTTGAAAAATAAAATTAAAATCAACTCTTATCGACTTTTTACACTGTCCTAACTCATTGAGGCAATACACCAAAAATATCAATAATTTACAATGGAGTACAAAAGAGGAAAAGTTTTAGTAATGTCAGTCACTGCTCGAATTGCAAAAATTCCCATCCCTTTTTGATACCCGTCCTTATAAAAATGAACAAACAACTGTCCTAACTAGTGAGGTACTGTTACTGTTTGTCAGGGGTAATTGAGGGCATGATACATTTGAAAAGCTTTCTCTGTCTTTAAAACAAAGTACAAAAAAATCAGAGCACATCAAAGGTGTGGGATGAAAAGTATGAGTACCAGATAAAAATGTTTATGCATTGTTATTTCTGCATGCAAATCTTTTCATTAGACTTATAGTATCTGATCCTGCACTTACTTGGACTCGAGTTTGCAGACGGGAAAACTCTGCTAGCAGCAGGTTACACTCCCTTTCCACTCCCTCTCTACGACCTCTCTCCGTCCGTACAGCTGCTCTCAGAGCTGACACGGCCTGCCTTAGGTGCTGGTTCTCCTCTTCAAAAGGCTGAGGCTTCACATCAGCAGTGAAACTCTCAGCTCTGCCCACAACAAACTCATCCTCATACCTGAAAGAGACGCCACACAGACACAGACACAGAGTACAGGTGTGTTTTTGAACCCACTGGAGAGCTGAAAAAGTCTGTTGAACTGAGCAATAAGAGATTAAATAAAAAAGTGTACCTGGGTGCTGTGCAGAGCTCTCTTAGACATGGGAATGAGTGGATGGTCTTACGTCGCTCCCTTTTCTCCCTCCTGACCCGGAGCTGCTCCATGGAACGAAGCTGCTCCACCTGCCCTGAGAGAGACTCCACCTGGTTCTGCAGAGACTCTATGGTTCCTGTAAGCCTGGTTGAAGAGGACAAGTTTAATGTTTCAGCCTGACAGCAAGAAGGAGTCAAAAAAGGCAGGTTAGTCTCTCTTACCTCTCTATCTTCTGCTGTGAGGCCTTGCTGTCCATCACAAGTGTATGGTTGGTGTGCTCCAGCTCTCGAGCTGTCCCGTCCAGCTGCTCATACACTTTAGCGTGCTGCTCGTTCATGTCCCGCAGAACCTCCAGCTGCTTTGACAGGTACTGAAAGATGACACACTTTTTTAACATGGGTCCTTACACAGTGAACCATTGTTCAGATCCACACAATGGAGTCAGATATCAGAAATCAGAATTTTTTTTTTTTTTTTTTTAGGGGGGGGGGGGTTTTGTTTTGTTTTTTTTTTTTTTTGGGGGGGGGGGTTGCACCAGTCAAGTGGGCTACCAGGTCTAGTCACACAAAAGCAGCTGCAGACCCTGCTGTTCAAAACACACTTAAAGCTGTTCACTGCTATATCAAAGCCTTGTATGGTGCCAGACATCATAACATAAAAAAAATACTAAAGGTAATGATTCAGCTATAGTTACAGCTGAAATACACACAAGTGATGTGGTGCCAGTTTATGAAGTGGGATAGTATATTGCAAGTTCAATGGGGTATAGAAGTAGCAACTATACCGTAAAATCCACTCACTTTGTGAGACTGTCAGTTTTAAGGGGATAAACTCTCAGTGTTCGGCAACATTCAGGAGTTTTTCTATCCCACAAAGATCAATTCATTTTCAGAAACTGTCAGGTTTCAATTTTAAAAAAATAAAGATAAACTGAGATGATTAATGTATTTATGTTGTTGAGGTATTGTCAGTTCTGTTGTTGGCTGACTGTGCTGGGCAGAGGCTACCTCCTTAGTTTTGGTCTACAGGCCAATCAGAGGCTGTATCTGCAGTCAGCTGAACTGAGAAGGTTGCATTAGACCGGTATCCTGGTCAGTTTAATTCAGCTTTTTGTAGTGTCTGTAGGTTAAAATTAGCTTCTGTATAAGATTTGGTCTTCACAAAGTGTTTTCCTCTTATAAAGGGGAGTCATCCTGTAATCATGGTCATCATATATTTTGGTCAATACTGGATTAATAAAAGGTGATGAGCTACAGTGAAATTAAAAGAAAGCCAACATCAGCCAAATATCTCATTTTCAAAGAGGACATTAGGCAAAGAGCCAATCACAGTTTAGGATATTGGAGGAAGAACAAAATCAGTGGTGGATAATCAAATTTAAAGTTGTTGACCTCTGTCAGTCATACCTCTATCTCTTGTACTTGCTCTTCATTAGTGATGTACATCTGCTGCAAGGAATCCTCCAGTTCCTTGTTCCTCTCCAACAGAGTCTTCCCCAACTCTGCCGCCAGATGTAGGTCTGCAAAGTGGACAGAAATTAAGATGGAAAGGTCTGTCATTGGTACAGAAATAAATATGTGGATGAAGTGAGACTAAAAAAAGAAGGACGGGTTAAAAAAAAGGTCAGAGAGCGAGGCAAGAGGCGGGATTATTAGTAAGAATGTGTGAAAGACAAATGACGAGGACAGAGGATTGAGAGGACAAGATGGGGGGATTTAATCAAACAGAAGAGGACAGACTGCAGACATGCATTTTAGATTATCACTGTCACTATAAATAGAGCCCTCTGCTCTATTTTAGGAGAGGTTATAACAGGGTCTGAAAAAAATGATCAAAAGGGCCATTATGGTGTCTCAGCCTGCTCAGCACCAGTTCAATTATAGAGGGGGTTGAGCAGGAGGACAGAGAGACAGCACTCCTCCCTCCCTGCAGCATGTCTCTCTGCAGGTCCTCCTTTCTCTGCTGACTGAATATGAAGGTCAGAGTTTGGTAAGATGCCTCTCTTCTGAGAGAAGCATTTGGACAGAAACAGACAGAAATTTGCCGCATTAGACCACTTGGGTCATATGGAGTTAAATGATAGTAGCTCGTTGACAGTACATTTTTATCATTGCACCAAACTCTACCGTCTTTATTTGTTCTATAATCTCGCTCATGCACATCCAAATTAAGATGAGTCACTGTCATTATACTGGCTATGGTTGTGCTCTGACTCAGCTATACTGGTGGTGTACATTTCTGAGTCTGACTCAGCAAGATGTGGTCTGCGATCTCTCAGAGAGAGAGAGAGAGCAGAAAACTACACCGAGCAGGTAGTCATCTCTCATCCAGCTCTGGCTCTGTCTTTAATATTGGATATTGCTCACCAGGAGGGATGCCAAGTCTTGACTTTTATCACTGTAACATTAACCATGAGAGCAGTTGATGGAGCAAAAAGAGACATACACCCAACCAGAAGCTTGAGTATATTTACTGAGGATGTTCAGGTATTTCTAACACAGATAAATCGGAAGGAACATCACCTCATAAGGCCACCAGTCCACCAAACCCACCTCCACTCCAGATATTGTCTGATTTTACCAGTGTCATGTGTATTTCCACTGATGCTCACTCTGTTTGGGATCCTGAAGGTCTTGCTGCTGCACTCCCTGTCTTGGCATTACATAAATGCTAATCTAAATGCTGGTCTTAGTCTGAGAGCAGGGAGTTTTCAGACCAGAACCATACCACTAAATATAACTTAATGTAGAGAAAGACCTACTTATCAGGCTGAAGAATGGAAATTTTCATACATCTGTGTTGGCCAAGTTTAAAAATGTTAGCTCTGCAGACCCTGCAGGTTGTCTCATCTGCTGCTGATAAGCGATTTTAACATCCTCTAAAAGTCAACATGTTAATTTACTCTTGAATGACAGCAGCAAATCAAAACAGTTACTGGGTGGTGTTTAATTTAACCTCTGTTCTGAAAAATGGGATAATTCTCTTATTTTTCTTTATGAAGCATTCTGAATTTAAATGAATGGCCTGACGAGTTTCTTTATTCACTGAATCAATATGGGCATGTTGCATATTGAGCTGCAACCATGCCACATCAGTTTGCCATTTGGTGTCTCAGTCATTATTTAGAGATCCTGTTTGTTATTCAGAATATCTTTCCCCAGTTCTGCTGGATGTTTGAAAAACCAGCTGGAAATCAACAGATATGTCACTGTTATGGCCTCATATACAAAACACATGAAGACAGGTATTGAGAGGGGTAATGCAATGGGTGTTCACTCTGATCCCATTAATTTCTACTTTCACTGTCAGCCCTGGAGCACAACAGGCTCTGTATTTCGGTCACTACATGTGATTAAACCATAATCCCCCCTTACCCTCTTCAATTAGACTAATAAGGAGGATGCAGAGCAGGCTGTTGCCAACAGCTCTCACTTTTTGCTGACTTGATAATGAATTCCTATGCGGCTCAGCAGCTTAGGTACCACTGGATACCCTAACATTAAAGACTGAGAGAGTCCAACCAGCCAGCTTTTATTCTCATGCTGGCATCACCCCACTGACAAAGGCCAATTTTATGATCAATATGCAATATTTCATTCAGCTTTTTACAGCATAAGATTAAAAAATATATATGCATACTTCCTAATTTGATGAGAGAAGAGCAACTGCATGATGAAAATGTGGTGTTTTACAGATCAGTAGAATATGACCACAAAAGACAACATGTAGATGATGAATATGGGACTGACAGTTAAAGAGTCCCCACTGAGGCTTCCAGACTACTGCTGTGTGTTGGTTGTGTACACTGGATACTGGTTGTCTAGTCAGAACTCTGTAAACAGCTTGCCTGCTTTCTTACACTTCAGATTTTCCCTGCACATGCACAGATTTACAGTTCTCTGTCCTCAAACTACATCTACAGCCCACTCTCCTGCCTCTGCTCTGTGGAAGTACCCACTTTGCAAAAAGTATACCTGAGCCTACCTTTTACCCTTTATTGATATGCGTTCTATGTTGAAAAATAAAAACACCTCCGTGCTATATTTTGAAATATATCAAGTTGGTGACATGCTTTAGATTAATTCGTGAAATAAAAAATACATCCTATAGGGTTATCCTACTGATAACCGAACATGACTGGCACTTCTTTAACATGCAATATTAAACTACATTTATCTATACCATAATTAATATTAAACAATAGCCAGTAACTGTGTTATATTTAATTTGCTGTCACTGGAATATCTTGTTATGACGCTTGCTCCAAACGGTTTGTTTCCTTCACAGATTCAAGGCCATGTAGTATCACCCGATTTATTGAAAGCTTACACACTGTGGGGAGGTATCTGCTAAACTGTTCAAGTCTATTTCAATCTGAAATATCTGATGAGAAAACCAGACAGCAAAAACACTGCAGGAATCTACACAAAAAATGAGCTTTGAAAGGCTGAACAGGACGATGGGAGAAGGAAAAAGACAAAGTGAGAGTGGAGGAGAGGAAGACATTCAATCAATACGACTCACAAATGACTTAGCAAGTCAATATTCCCCACAGATGATATCAGTTTACTCCAGACAGACCTGAGGCTTTACCCAAACAGGAAGAAACCTCTGGGGCCAAACCTCCAGGATGTTCAATTCATGTCTGATGGATACATTTCCTGCATGGTTCGAGAAACCAGCTGCAACCTGTTCACAGTGTTAACAAGAACTCAGCTTCACTTTCAATGCAACAAGCTTGTGAATATGTCTTTCCAAGCAGCGCATACTGTTCGATGTGTGTGCATATTTATGGAGGGGAAGTCAGTATTCTGTCTGGGGTCACCTCTTCCTCAGGCTGTGCACGTCACCCACGAGAATTACTGGAATGTGCAAAACAAGACTCCCCTCATCCTCTTCCCTGCTTCATTTCTGACCCTCTGCAGAAAGGGGTTTCAGGAACACATAAAAATTCAAAGTACATTATTCAGATGCCACATGAGTTCAACACAGACAAACAGCAGTGCATAAAGAAATGTTCATTCTTCTCTCACGTGGTAAAACTAACTGATTATTGGGACAGAGGAGCTGGAAACACCAACACTTCTCTTCCTCTCTTTACACTGTGATACAGTGTCCATGTAGATTCTCATTCTTCCAAGTCATGGTTTTCTTGAAGACTCCAAAATCCGGCAACTGGACTGTGTAGAGTTGAGAAGATGTTTTGCCTTTTATCCAAGAAGCTTCTTCAGTTCTTATTATTGCTAGTGTGAGGAGCAGATATTTATCTTACTGGAGAAGGGGACCATACGTGTTAGCATACCCGCTCTGCACAAGCCAGACACCCCTGACTGAGACCATTATCAAACTCTTCATCATGCACACTCTAGAAATAATGCAGTAACAGATACACGGCTAAATGGGATTTCTAACAATCCTGATAACTACTGACTTTAAAAGTCACCAACTTCGGCTGCCACAGATATTGATAGACGCTTAAATTTAGATATTGTGCATGCAGGACAAAAGACAGCCATATGATCCAGCAGCAGAAACAAGTAAAGCTTAAAAGCCTACTTTTCTCTAGAGTGAACTGTATGTTTTAAATCGTCAAACATTCAGAGATAAAATTCATCATTATGATTAAAAATTATAAGAAATTATAAGAAATAATGAGAAGGTAAGTCAGAATTATGATAGAAAAATAATAACATGATGGAAACAAAGTAAAAAAAAATTAGACTGAGTTATGATAATGAAAAAAAAAAATCTAAATGATATATGAACGGTCAAAATTTATAAAAATATAGTTATATCTTGAAGATAAAAAGTCAAACATATCAAGTCATAGTAATGTGAGATAAAGTTAAAATTCAGGAATAAACTTGTAATTATGATTTTAAAAGTCATAAATTGTTGGAAATAGTGAGAGGGTCGGGCAGAATCATGAGGAAAAAAAGAGTTATGAAAAAAGGATAAAAAGTCAAATTAATGATACGCAAAGGGCAAAATAAAGAGATAAGAGGTCATATCAAAGAGAATGAAGTTAACATTTTAGATAAGCAGAAATTAGTGCATGGTCAAAATATTAAGCCTGTAAGTTGCAATTATTAAATCAAAATAAATTAATTAATAAAAGTCATAATCATGAGATGAAATAACATTAATCAGTGAAAAAGTTATAATAATGATATAAAATGTCAAAATTATGACATTTTTAGTGGCATACCTGTAAACTCAATCTTATCATTTTTTAAATTTATTTTATTCTGACTTTTTAACCCATACTAAGGCTCACTTTATCATTAAAAAGAATTTGTATCATATAATTCTGATTTTTTTCCAATTATTTTGACTTATCCCATAACTTATCCTTTTTATCTCATACTAATGCCTCGTATGTAAGATTTGTTTTGATAAACACCCACTCTTAGTTTTTTTAACCAGTGTGCATGGGCTTCCATAGTCTCTGGTGATGGAACCTCAAGCTACAGGCATGTTCAAATCAGAAACCTCGCTCTACAGTTGACTGAGTGCAGCACTTGCAAAAGAGCCTTTTTTGCAGCACTGAGATCAAATCAGCCAGCTTGTGATTCCTGCATAATATCAAAGTACAGTTACACAAAAGCAGCAGCATCTCTGTCTGCTCTCTGAGAGCTCAGTCATCCACTCTGCTCCTCAAACAAAGAGCTCAGAACCTGACATTTAGGAGTGGTTGTCCCTTCAGTGCTGTCTCCTCTCTCTTTCCTCCCTCCTATTCCTCCTCCTTCTTGTCCCAGTAATAGAGACTATTTTTATCCTCAAATCCAGTTAGTAGCAGGAGGAGAGGTTGTCGACCTGATCTCTTACATCATGACTGCAGGTGTACATCTGCCTGTTTATTCATTAATGTTTTTCAGTGAAGTAAACCACAACATCAGCACTAAGCATCTCCGGAAATGGACCGCTCTAATGACTCGCCATGAGAGACAAGGATAGGCAGGAAATGAGGTAAGTGGACAATAAGGATCATTGTCTTCAGTGAGTCAGTTTTAGGAATCTGAAATCTCTGTTTATGAGCATCCATACACATATCAGCATAAGGGTGATGCTAAACAAGAAAATTACCATGTTTTGATTAACTTTGTGTATCCTGAGTAATCCTAGAATTTCAGTCCACATTATTAATTTTAGTCATTTATTTTGGTGGTGATACGAGCCTCTGAATACATGACGTACTGATGAAATGGTTTGCGCTGTTTGAAAGATCAGTTACATGAATTTCTGTTTTTTTATTATTTATCTGTAGCTTGTGCCCCAGTATAAACTCTCACTGAGAAATGACGCCAATATTGAAGTGCTGGAAACTGCAGTTCACCAAATGTCCACTAGAGGCTGGTCCAAAAGCCCAGGAACCACGTATCGTCACTCTATCAAAATAATGGCCTAGGTCCTTTTTTGACGAAAATGAGTTTTTGGCCTAAATCATCTCTTGATAATGCTGGTCATCGCTGGTAAAATCGCCAAAGTCCTTATTTCTAGTTCTTTCAACTAAGGATTTAGGCAATTTTATCGTCTATCTAAATCAAGCCTAAATCATCTATAGAGATGATTTAGGCCAAAAACTAATTTTCGTCAAAAAATGACTTAGGCCATTATTTTAATAGGGTGACCATATGTTACAACCCAGTTGAAAAAATGGTCTATGTCTGATTAACATTTTTCTGGCAGCAGGGGTATTTTTATTACTCTTTGTAACTTGTAACTTCAATTTTGATGAGCTTGAAGTTACAAGTTTGGCAAATCAGAGGGCGCTGACTTAACTGATCAGGTGGGCATACTAAGGCTCTTAGTGAGGGGGCTAAAGGCTAACGATAGCTTAGTTAGCCCAACAAACCTGAGGAAACAGTTTATTCGCCCTACTTACTCCACAAATACAAAAACATCTACAAGGACTTTCAGGACCTCAACTCATGTTTATCAGACACAGTTTCTCTCTCAGTTAGGAGTAAATGCCCAAGTAGCCATCTGACCTTTGGCAGTCAAATCATTGGCCCAGTGGGTGTACAGGCCTGTCAGGTTGATCCCATTTGTCTATGTTGACTTAAATAAGTAACACCCTCAGTCCTGGAAAGTAAGTGACCTCACATATTCACATAGATCCTCATTAATCTCAACACAGGCCTAAAACTAGTTGCTGGCTAATGCTGGTTAATAAGTCAAGAGAATTTTTTTTTCTTGCGGCTAAGTCCCACCCACCAAAAACACCTGCTACTAAAAGGGTTTACAGGCGACCACTGTCAATAGGCTTCAAAACTCCCCTGTTTCTGCTGCACCCAGTCTGTGGTATAAAACCAAAACTAGCTAGCAATTAGCTAACTGATAATAATAATAATAATAATAATAATAATAATGATAATAATAATAATAATAATAATAATAATAATAATAATAATTACTATTATTATTATTATTATTATTATTATTATAAGATTTTTTCAAACTCATACTAAGACCCTGACACATTCTTCAATTATTACCAGATTCAAATAAACATACAGATATGTAGAGAAGAGGGAGTTGTTTTAACAGTTACTTTTTGCACTCTTTCATTACGATTTTTAATCATTTAATCTTTTTTTTTTTTTACAAGGAAGCAGTATGAGTCAAAACTGTTTTTTCAGTACACTGGAATTTATGGAGCCAGGAGGAAAGACTTTCTTTAAAAACCACCACGAAGCTGTCTGAGGGAGTTTTGACTAAAAAATCTACTAACACTCGACTAAGACGGAAACTGAATCTTTCTGAATGATGTCTTAGCTAAAAACGAGATTATAATATGAGTTAACCACAGTTTTCAGACAATGACTAAGAATAATTTAAAATGCATTTTCAAAATGAACACCAGCCAATGTTTGCCATTACTGGCCTTAATGTTCTTGTTAAAATTTTGGTGGAAATGTCAATCACAGTCGTCACCTTAAGTGGTTTTCTGCTTTATTTTATCTGACCAGCAGTCCAAACCCCAAGGTTAAAGGATACAAAATGGATATTAAACGGATTAGAAAACACTTTCGTTGGGCTTAGCAGCTGGAATAAAAATATCTTTCAATTTTCGCTCCAAAAGACAACTTTGCTCCATTCAGACAACAGGCTTTATAAAAGCTGTATAAATGTATCCACAAACTGCAGAATTCATCCTCATATTTAAGACTGTCAGTGTGATGCTGGCTGTGTTAGGCCCGGCTTGGCATGCGCTCAGTGTATTGTTGTCAAAAAGGCACAGCCTGTAATTTCAAGGCTGCTTCAATCATCGACAGATAACATGGAAATTCAGGCAGACATCCACATGACATCTCTGCCGTCTCTAGACGCCACAGAGAGCCATTGTTAGGAGGAGGCCAGCTGACCGGCCGGTGCCAGCAGATCTCCACTGAGGATGCTGCGAGCACAGGACGCTCAGTCTTATCTTACCCTGCTCCAGGTCCTGCTGGTCGTACCAGGGCTCTTCCTCTTCGGTCACAAACTCCTCCATCCTGCCTGGACTGAGCATGGAGCAGCCCCTGAAAACCGCAGAGACAGGCCCCTCCGAGTGAACAAAAGAGCTCCTTCCAGCGGGCTGGATCCTCCAGACAGCAGCGGCCGCTCCTTCCAGCTGGAGCTGTGCACAGCCAGGCTCCTCTCGGCCGAGGAGTGCTGTGTTCAGGCTCTACGTGTTTCCTCTGTTTCCTTGGTCACTCCCTCCTCCCCCCCTTTCATCCCCCCATCTCCACTCAGTACCGGCCCATCCCGACCCTTCAGACCATCCGCTGCTGCTGCAGAGGAGTCCTCATTCAGACGTGGCAGCTATGTTGCAATAGCAGCACTTCCTCTCCCTGTTTACAGACACACGCACGACGCCTTCAGGTGCTGCTCGTTCATAGCAAAATTACGGTTTCGTGCAGACGAGCTACAGCTACTTCGTACTTGTACATTTAGATAAGACCATGGTAACATTAGCTATGACTCATTTATTGAATTGGATTAAATGTCCTAATTGTGGATAGCATTTAAACGCCACATTTCCTCACGCAGCCTATCTGACATGGATATTATAATTGGGATTCCTTCAAAATTATGGACAGCATACTGAATTAATTTAATTCATGCTGTAATGATCACCTTTATTATCAATATAACGGAAAAGATTGTCTTTGTACACTAAAGAAAAACACCATAAAGTTCAAAGCATGCATGCACAGGTGTGCTTACACATAGGTGATATCAGCTAAATTGAGCCATCAGGTATGATATTCTATGCATGTCCAATGTGTGTGTGTGTGTGTGTGTGTGTGTGTGTGTGTGTGTGTGTGTGTGTGTGTGTGTGTGTGTGTGTGGTTCAGGTCCGGTGACTGTGGAGGCCTGGTCATCTGCCGCAGCACTCCATCACTCTCCTTCTTGGTCAAATAGCCCTTACACAGCCTAGAGGCGTGTTTGGGGTCATTGTCCTGTTGAAAAATAAATGTGTGGTAGCCCTGCTGGTTCAGTGTGCCTTCAATTTTGAATAAATCCCCAACAGTGTCACCAGCAAAACACCCCCACACCATCACACCTCCTCCTCCATGCTTCACAGTGGGAACCAGGCATGTGGAATCCATCTGTTCACCTTTTCTGCGTCTCACAAAGACACAGCAGTTGGAACTAAAGATCTCAAATTTGGACTCATCAGACCAAAGCACAGATTTCCACTGGTCTAATGTCCATTCCTTGTGTTTCTTGGCCCAAACAAATCTCTTTGGCTTGTTGCCTCTCCTTAGCATCGGTTTCCTAGCAGCTATTTGACCATGAAGGCCTGATTTGCGCAGTCTCCTCTTAACAGTTGTTCTAGAGTTGGGTCTGCTGCTAGAACTCTGCGTGGCATTCATCTGGTCTCTGATCTGAGCTGCTGTTAACTTGCGATTTCTGAGGCTGGTGACTTGGATGGACTTATCCTCAGAAGCAGAGGTCACTCTTGGTCTTCTTTTCCTGGGTCGGTGCTCATGTGTGCCAGTGTCATTGTAGCGCTTGATGGTTTTTGCGACTCCACTTGAGGACACATTTAAAGTTTTTGCAATTTCCCGGACTGACTGACCTTCATTTCTCAAAGTAATGATGGCCACTCGTTTTTCTTTAGTTAGCTGATTGGTTCTTGCCATAATATGAATTTTAACAGTTGTCCAATAGGGCTGTCAGCTGTGTATTAACCTGACTTCTGCACAACACAACTGATGGTCCCAACCCCATTGATAAAGCGAGAAATTCCACTAATTAACCCTGATAAGGCACACCTGTGAAGTGAAAACCATGTCAGGTGACTACCTCTTAAAGCTCATTGAGAGAATACCAAGAGTGTGCAAAGCAGTAGTCAGAGCAAAGGGTGGCTATTTTGAAGAAACTAGAATATGAAAAGTGTTTTCAGTTATTTCACCTTTTTTCCTTAAGCACATATGTATGTATGTACATATGTAACAGGTGTATATAAGTAACATTAAAGCATGATATATCCAGATTATGACAATTGAGAAAAAAAGTGAGGAGAGCAAAGGAGGAGACAGGAAGAGAGACTAAAGGAGAGGGGGAGAAAGAAACAGAGAGGAGACAAGAGCTGGAGAACAAAAAGAGAGGGGAGGGAAGGAGAGGAGGAGAAAACAAGAGAGAGGAGTGTTAAATGTGTGTGTGTTGAAATTAAAGTAAACTATATTGTTTATTCAGAAATGACTTGGTTTTGCTTTGAAGTTACAGTGGCTCATTTTAGCTGATCAGGTGGCCCATTATACCTGAACACTGAACTTATCAAAAAAAAGTGAATGGCTGATGTTTCAAAAGCAGTAAGACCTAAACGGTTATGTTTTATTACATGAATTCAACACTGAGATATAAAAAACTTTCCTTATTAACCATAAAAACAGAATCCAGTGTCATAGATTTCTTTTTCTGAGCAATTCACCAAAAAGTGGCCCAATTTAACTGATGTCCCTACATACATGCATTTAGCAAATGAAATGTGGGGGATAGCACACTATCCCAGAGTGATATACTTTTTAAATATATCTATATAACAACTCAAGCAATGAAATGAGGACTATTAGTTTTATAGGTAAGGTATAGGTATAGGTTCCATAGGTATAAGTCCAAATCATTTGCTATTTGTTGGATGGAATGAGAAACTGCTACTATAATGTACACAAATGACTAAATGTTGTGGCGGTTGAACCAACTGTTGCGCAAATGTTAATAGTGATGTGAGAAATAAGAAGAAAAAGAACTTTTTTGATCCCTGAAGGAGACTAAGAAAAAATCCACAGTATAACAACAGTATAACAACAAGGTGTCCGCCAGATACATGAGTTTGCCCTTCTTGTACACCAGGCTTATGTCATAGCTTTGCAACTGAAGCAGCGTTCTCTGGAGACGGGCAGGGGTGGTGTGAATGGGTTTCTTTAAAATAGTTAACAGGGGTTGTTGTTAGGTCTCCACCACTGGGCTGGACAGACATGACTTGAGGCGATCGAATGCAGCCTGATGTTGTGGGAACCAGCACCATGCAGTGTCTTTGTGGGTCAACTTTCGCAGTGGTGCTGCAATGTCATTTAGGTTCGGAATAAATTTGTTTAGGTAATTTAGCATTCCGAGGAATCGTTGTACAGCGGTGACATCTGTGGGGACTGGCATGTCAGTGATTTCCGCTGTTTTAGAGGGGCCTGCCTTTAGGCCACCGCTGGTGAAGATGTGGCCCGCATAGCAGACTTGGTCCAGGCGAAACTTGCATTTGGCTGGATTCTGCCTGAGGTTGACTTCCCTCACACGGTCGAGCACTCTCTCAGGTTGGCATCATGTTCCGCTGTGCTCCGGCCTCCAATGATGATGTCATCGACAATGACTGAGCATGGATAACCTGCCAACAGCTGTTCCATGGAGCGCTGGAACACCTCGCTTGTGGAGTTGATACCAAATGGCATTCGAAGAAATCTGTAGCGCCCGAACAGGGTGCTGAACGTGGTCATCAGTGAGGACTTCTTGTCGAGTGGTATTTGCCAAAACGAATTCTTTGCATCTAGCACTGAGAAAACTGTTGCCCCTGCAATCTGAGCTGCCACCTCCTCAACACTGCGCATGGGGTGATGAGGCATTTTCAATGCTGTATTGATATCTTTTGGGTTGATGCACAGTCTGATTTCATCCTTGTCTTTTTGTGTGCAGCAACCATGGAGGAGACCCAGTCGGTGGGCTGGGAGACTGGTGTTATGACACCCATGCGTTGCTTGCATTCCAATTCAGCCTTCACCTGGTCTTGCATGGCAACAGGGATGCGGCGAGCCGGCCGTACCACGGGTTGTACGTTGGGATCCACTGTCATTGAGTATGTGACTGGGAGCCTCCCAAGCTCATCACTGAGCAGGTCCTTATATTGAAAAAAAATATATGCACTGAAGTTGTCCTCTGTGGTTACATGATGGACATCAGGGCTCATCTGGACAATGTCCATGTCCTTGCATGCACGAAAACCTAGCAGCACTTTCTTGTCCACGATGAAAAAAGGCAGAGAAAGACATTATTCTTGTAAATAACAGGGCAGTGTGGCCATGCCACATGTTGCAATCCTTGTGCCCCCATAAGCAACCAGGTCGGCAGCTTTTTTTTGCTTGATGAGGTGCTCATCACTAGCCACTTGTTCAAAAGTCTCTAGTGACATGACATTGCCCAGTGACAACCTTCATTTTAGTGGACTTGCCATTTATGTGAATTGTGACAAATCCTTCCTCCTTGTCATTTGTGTGGGAGTTGACATAGTTCACATGGCTGTCAACATCAACACCATCCACTTTGAACGTGTCATCATCGCATGATAAGGTTTGGTCTACCTCCACTTGATGTACAGGCGGTTTGGGCATCTTGCTATTTGTGTTACTCTGGCCCACTGGTCTAGACCTGCAGCAGCTCTTGTAATGATTCAACTTTCTGCAATATTGACACTGCTGTCCAAATGCTGGGCATTTCTCACGTTCAGCTGCGTTATTCCCACCACAATTGTTGCAAGCTGCGTTGGTTTGTGGAGTGGGTGTGTCTCTGTTGTGCTTTGCGTAAAACAGGCTTCACTGCATGGACACTGGTAGCTTGTGTGGCTAGCGTTTTGCTGCTTTCTTCTGTCATTGCGTGAATGCGGCAAGTTGAAATGGCCTTAGCAAGTGTCAAGTCAATAGGGACTTTCTCAAAGCATTACTGGTAATGCCACATTCAATGTGGTCACAGATTAGTTCGTCGGTTGGCTCTCCAAATTGGCACGTTTTGGCTTTGATCCTTAGGTCGCTTATGAATGATTCAAGGCTCTCACCTGGTCTCTGATTTCTGGTGTGGAACTTGTGTCTTTCCAGCATTCTGTTGTTTTGGGGGTTTCAGATTTCACGAAACTTTTTCTTGAAACATTAGGGGTCTTCCCTGGATTCTGCGGGAGTGAGAACCGCGCTCTCCTGGCGCGTGCACCTCGGCCGCATAAACAAAGGCACGCTCCCATTCAGTGGCCTCTGGTCCGGCGATGTTGAGGAGGATGTAAGCCTTTGTTCTGTCAGGCTTGTTGTGGTGCGCAGCAGTGATAAAAATGTCATACTCCCTGTCGAAAATTCGCCAGTTCTCTGCGACATTTTCGTTGAAAAGTAGAGGGTCTGGTCTGCGAAAACCCTCCGCCATTTTCCAAACAGCGCGCCTTCAGCTGGGCACCACTCAAAGGGAAAAAAGAAGACAACGAGAATGGCAGCTCCACCATTAAACGAAACAGTTTCTTGCAGGCGATGAGTTCATACCATAGTTTGACACCGTGTAAAACTAGTCCCAGTGCCGTGTGAGTCAAGGATCAGACTGATGTACCAAACTCTTGCTTTATTCATGTGCTAGCAATATATACAGAGAGAGCATAGTTGCAGCATTAGCACAGGTCTACTGAATGAATAAACGTCCTAATGCATGCTGGTTCTGCATACGCACAGGTGGTACGGTGGCTTCGCTAGGACAAACAGTCATACAATCATTGGTCAAATGATCTACACTTACTTCAGAGCCTCCTCGCACCCGGACCTTAGATTACCTCCCTCCCTTCAGCGTCACTAACAATAAACCCGTCAACACTTCTTTTGCCTCTGGATCGCTCTTGGGTTCAGCTCTAAAAACACTGATTGAGGAAATTGTTACAGTAGGATGTCAATTTGACATTAAAAGTGATATAATAACCATCTATGAGTGGATATTTCGGCCGATGTTTATGTCAGGTGTCATGATGTGTGTGTTGATGTTATGAATGCTTATGTAAATCCTCTTCAAATTAAGTGTTACTGAAAGTTGTTTTGTTGGATTCACAAGGTAGTACCATCCATCCATCTTCAGCCATTTATCAGGAGTTGGGTCGCGGTTGCAGCAGTCTAAGCAAGGAAGCCCAGACTTCCCTCTACCCAGGCACTTCATCCAGTTCTTCCCAGGGGGACCCTGTGGCATTCCCAGGCCAGCTGAGAGATAAAGCGTCTTCAGTGTGTCCTGGGTCTTCCCCCTGGTCTCCTACCAGTGGGATGTGCCCTGAACACCTAATCAGCGAGGTGTCCAGAAGGCATCCTGATTAGATGCCCAGGCCACCTCATGTGACTCCTCCCAAAGCAGAGGAGCAGCAGCTTTACTCCGAGCCCCTCCCCAAAGACTGAGACTCACCCTTTTTCTATGGGAGAGACCAGTCACCCAGCAGACGAAATTGCTTGTACCCGCGATCTTATTCTTTTGGCCACTACTACAGACTTTATATAAAATGGACAGCATCTGCCTCCTCACTGGGTGAAGCCACTCCGAGAACAGCACCCTCTGTTGGCGGGCTGCAGTATAGGTCATAAATCCCGCCTCTGCCAGCAAAGCTTATGGGGCTGTGGACAAACTTTAGAAATTTATTACACAGAATATAAACTTTTCTTCCCCCTGCTTGCGATGTTGACATGTAGTTACTGTCAGACTGGTTTGTGCTCAAGTCCTCTTTTTTCTGTACAGCTCAGTTTTTAAAAGTTATTCGGAGGTTCAATCAATCAATCAAATCAAATTTTATTTATATAGCGCCAGTTCACAACAGTCGTCATCTCAAGACGCTTTTCAAAGAATAAGAGCAGGTCTAGACCACGCTCATAGTTTGATGATCAAGAACCAACCTAAGATGGGTTTTGGCCCATCTCAACTAACATGAGTAGCAGTGGCAAGGAAAAACTTCCTTTTCACAGGCAGAAACCTTGGGCAGGACCTCACTCATGCCAGACAGCCACCATGCCGCTGCTGGGTTGGGGAGGAATGTAGAGAGATGGAGGGAGAGAGAGAGAGAGAGAGGAGTGGAGAGGGCAGGGAGAGAGAGAGAGAGAACAAGATAAGGGGAAGGAGAGAGAGAGAATGAGTAAGGAGAGGGAGGGGGAGGGAGAGAGAGTAGAGAACGAGGGTGAGAGAGAGACAGGGGACAGCAGAAACAACAGCAACAACAACAGCTCATGTAATGGTGAAACAAAATGAGTTCAGTTTACAGGGTTAGGATATGAGTGATTATTGACAATGTTAAATTAATTAAATGTGATTACAGTCAGCAGGCCTAATCGTAGTCAGCTCTATTTTTTATGTTATTAATGTCAGTATCAGTGAGGCTGATGTTCATGTCTGCAGTAACAGTCCAGAGGAATCCAAGAGAAGAAGGAGCTCAGGGCCCAGGGTGGACAATCAGGGATAATGCAGCTGGGGTCAGGCAGTTCCACAGCAGACTGTCTGCAGCATTAGTCCAGTGGAAGCTAAGAGACTCAGAGACACTCAGAGAGAGAGAAATCTGGTTAGTGACTTATGTGGGACATAAAGATCTAAAGGAGAGATAGAGACAGACTCTAGCTCAGTGTGCCAGATAACCCTGGCAGTCTAGACCTACAGCAGCATAACTAAGAGCTGGTTCAAATCAGCCCCAACTATAAGCTTTATCAAAGAGGAACGTTTTAAGTCTACTCTTGAAAGTTGAGTGGGTGTCTGCCCCCGAACCTCGAGCGGTAAATGATTCCAGAGGAGAGGTGCCTGGTAGCTGAAAGCTCTTCCTCCAATACTACTTTTAGAGACATTTGGTACAACGAGCAGGCCTACAGACTGTGAGCGTAACTTACTTTTAAAAATACACAAACTACTTGATATAATCTGTAAACATCTCTGTATTATCACAAATCATAGGTACAGTCCCGAATATATACGTGCATATCCTTGTTTTTGTTATGTTAATCAGACAAAATATCACATTTTTAAGACTCACATGCTACAGATTTATAGAGTCTTTACAATATCAGAAACAATAATAGAAACAACCAACCGGGAGATGAAACAGACAACCAAACTACAGGTGACAGTTACCCACATCTCCAGTTAGTGGTATAAGTAGCCAACCCCCTGTCTTCATACAGTGATCACTACATACAGCTACATATGTTTTAGTATTTCAATATAATAACAAAAAACTTTCTCTTTCTTTTCAGGTCTAGAAGCTCTTCAGCAAAAGAAGAGCCAAAGTAATGCTTTGAAGACAGCCTAAAATGATCAGACCTCTGTATCCCAGCTTTCCTGTTATATCAGGTTTTTTCACTGTTCATATTGAGCCCTCTTGCAGATAATGATCTAATTCAATAACAAATTGGATCAGGTAAAAGGAATACATGTTCTACTTACCAAAATTTGGGGGGAATTCAATTATAAATTTGTCAAATACTAAAATGATGTTCAACATGATTCAGTTACTATAAAACTCAATATAATCTGATAACAAATGGAGACAATGATAACAGGATTACCTTTTTAGGCAGCTTGTCTGCCTCCTGCTGTCAGAATGTTGTTACTACAGGACAAAACACCAAAACATACGCACAATGTCGTCCTCCTCCTCCTCCTCCTCCTCCTCACCATAAAAACTCTAACTTCTCTCCAGCTGCTAGTTTCCCTATTTTTGACATATTTTCCTTGTAAATATTTTGTAATGTAACTTCAACTGAAATTGTGATAAATTTAAAAACAGACTAGGTAATAAATAAATTAATAAAAGAAAAAACGAGTATTAAACACAACTTCACAAAAGATGGACTCTGAACTTTAGTTGCATTGTAATAATCACTAAAATCTGAATTGTATGTCTAAAATTGACTTTACAGCAGCTTTCTTTTAAAGGTTAACAACTGCAGATGTAATTTTTGTCATCAAATACCATTTATTATTGTAGAATTATGATTAATATTGTTTTTACTAGTTGTTACTTCACTAAAAGGCTTTAAACACACTCATTTTTTTATTCAGAGAGTGTTGTACTGCACTGTGTTCCCACCATTAGCTGCCACAGTCTGAACTTCATCTCAATTTTTGCTGCTTTTGGACAGTCTGGTTTTCAGTTTGAGCTGCAGAAAAGTGGACGTCATGTACTGTTTTTACATGTAGTGTTTTTATTATTATTATCCTGGAAAGAGATCAAACAGAGGAGACAGCCAACTGCAATCCATGACTCAGGTCATATGCCACTGCCATTGGCTGTTATTGTTGTTGTTGTATGTGTACAGTGGTAATTTGCTTAATTTACAAAAAATCATAACTTAAAATCAAACCAGCCACAAGAGATAGGGAGAGTGGATGATACACAGGATCAAACAAATTAAAAAAGCAGTATATTTCATGTTTATTCGACAAAAACGGTCTCATACAAACTATATGTCGTCCTGGTAAAAGAACATTCATCTTTCCTTCCATCCTGTCTTACGTGCCCATCCACTATATATGTCACATGGTGCGAACAGTTCAGGGGGTACAGCAGAGGCTTGGTTCGACCTGTTTGGTAAACATTTCATGAGTGATATCCTCTTTCTCAGTAGCGACTCATATTTTTACACAACCTGCACATTCCTGCTAAATCACTAAACTTGATGGAAACCTTTGCCGTGGTATAACATGTGTTTATAATTCAGAACAGCTTTATTATAGCTGGAAGCAGAGGGCGTGTGCTTTGCAATCCAACTGGATGCTTTGTGGGATGAAATCATTGTTTTATTCCCTTCACATGATCAGTCTGACCTGATGGAGGAGCTTTTTGAAGCTCATGGAGCTTATGTGGTGCAGCCTGAGTGCCAAACAGGGGGGAAGAGTGTGGTAGAATGGGTGGAATTGATATTCAAGACCAAACTCAATCAGATTAACTCATGTGTATGTGTCCCTTTCTCACTGTAAGCCACACATTTACAGCACTGTCATAAAGCCTATCCTCAAAGTACAATTATATACACTCGTTCAAAACTTTGATTCTTGACATGGATTTTTCATTGTCTCTGAATTCATGTATTTTTGAATTGTATGTATTTTTGACAGCTCTGTAAAAGACCCTCCAAACCCAGAACACAAACAGCTGTCAGGTCATGATGGCAGCGCTCAAGGTTAGACAGAACACATAAGGAACACAGAGGACACAACAAACAGACTCTCTGTTTTCCCATCATCCCACTCAACATAATGCCTATCAAGAAAAAACATTAAAGGTGCAGCGGGTCTAATTTGGGGGCAGTACGCACAATAGACTTGGTAGGAATCAAATATAATGTCCGTAAGTATGTTCAAATAAGTGTAAAGTCACCTGATCATAAAAGATAAAGGAGAGGGTCCTTATTGATTTACAGTTGCACAAAACAAACTGATTACAAACATATTCAATGAGTGGACTATCCTCTACCTGGCACACAGGAGCTTCTTGTCCTTCACAGCCACCATCGCTCCATAAAATCTATTTATAAATCAAAAGGAATTAAAGAGTTCTATAATGAACTTAAGCTTTGTAACAGAATTAAAAATGGCGGGGCTGTTGCGTGTAGTTTAAACAGCTGGAAAGCAGCCGGTCCATGGCAGGAGGACATCTGCAACAATTATCCAGAGGAACCTATGGGATGATGGAGCTCAGGGAAAAGACTGTGGTCAGTGAATAAAATGTTTTGGTTTGTAGTGTGAAAGACTGCACAAGGACTAAGTACAAGCTTTGACATGCAGCCAGTTACAGATCACTATCATCTCCAAGCACACTTGTAGAAGCCAGATTCAAAGTAAGAACTTCTTTGGATATTATCATCTCTAATGTTTTTAAAACAAAAGGTAGCTTAGAAATTAGACTATAGTTCTTGGTGATGGTCTGATCCAGGCTTTTTTTTAACAGTGTTACGATTAAATGATGAGGGACACGACCCCAGACAGAGATCTGTTAAAGACAGAAAGCATCCAGAATACAGATGAAGCTTCAGAGGCTGCAGGGTGCCGTCTGTGTCGGTGTCAGAGGTCACAAGGTCAAAGCCCTATCATGTTGCACACTGGTTCTGCCTAAAACAAAGCCTGAATGGAGACTGACTCAACATGCCTCCTTTCACAAGACCACCCCACATCCAACAACACAAGAGTCTATGCAAATCAGCCTTTTGTCCCTCACTGTGCCCTGTACTTTTCCATCTGAGCTTTTCCATCAACGTCAAAGGCGAGCAGCCTGACAGTGAATGAATCAACCTTTTCTTCTGCAGATAAAAGAGTGAAGATGATATGTAAATTTATTACAAGGACAGGCTAATGAGTCACTGCTGTTATTGTCCTGTCTAACGCAGTCACTTAACTTATCAGGCTCTGAAGGACGACACAGGATGTTTTTGTGGTTGTAAGACTTTTTGTCTCATCTGATCATGAATGTGCTGAAAAGTTATTGTGAAATGGGCAGGAAGTTTGGGAGTTCAAACTATCTGTCTGTAAAAAATTACATTAAGGCTTCATGAAGACAAGGCTGGTTACAATCTCACAGAGAAGTGTAACCCAAATCTGCAGTTTCCCTAAGCTACATGCTGTATTGTAGCATCTTTCACTTCTTTGTTTTGGTTTTTAGCTCTAAAAGTAGTCTGGTGGGTAATTTCTGATTTAGGATGTAGTTTACACTCTTCTGATGTTGTAGGGGCTGTACCAGCTGAGTTACCTTCAATATAAGCATGAGGTATCGCTTCAATCGTACACCTATCTCTAAGTTAGTAGAAAGCACCTGTTGTCATGGTGCATACTTTCAATGATTGGATGATGTGGAGGAGCAGGAGGAGGAAGAGCAGAAGCGCTAGTTTAAAATGTGTAATAACTTTAATGTGTGATCAAAATTTGGTTTCTAGTATGTGGAAATGATGCGATCTGCACCATATAGCATTGGTAAGTTAACGTAACCTGTGGTGGATGATTTCACCACTCAACATCACTGTTATTTGACACAGTAGATTAGCTATGCTTTGTCATACTCAACATGACTTAACAACATTTGAGACTGCTCTTTGCTTTCATGTTTATCCTGTTGAAAGGGTTTAAAGACATGTTTAGGGGAACTAAAATGCAACTAAGACCAACCCCTGTGGCACACCATACTTCACATCAGCAAAAGAAGAGACAGTCATGGCTAACAGGATGTCATCAAACAATGAAAAAAACCCTCACTTTTTCTACGCTGTACCTTTTGTATATACTATGACATCTTCATCATCAATGTTTACTTGCAGGCTTCCTAGAAACACATTTATGTTGTATGAGTTCCTGTTAGCCACTTCCCAATGTTTATCGCTTGTTATGGCACATGATGTTGTGAGCTAACCGGGAGACCGCCCAGTAGTTATGAGTTGATAGAGGGCATGTCCCACCTACTGTAGCAGAGCCGGACAGACTCGTGCCGACATCAGTTTAACTATGCATAAAAACCTACTGATTCAAGAGAAAATCAATTCCCAGCTGAGTGTGATACAGGAAACACTGTAGTGTTATGTCTTATGAAAGGATAGTTGCTGTCTTTTGTCCGGGAATAAGGCTTGGTTTGCTGCTATGGGAAATTTATTCAGGTGACAGTTCAACAGTGCGAAGCTTTACGTCACCAAACAAAACCTCAAACTGTGATAAACTGTGAATTACAGGAACTCTACAAAGTGTTCTGATAGGAATTTTAGGAAATGAGTAATGATCATGTGGACATGAGTAGCTTGGAAATTCCATGGAAACTGCTGTAATGTATGTCGACACCCCCACCAATGACTTTCATCGAAGCTCACACTAGCCAGGTTCACGTCAGAAAATAAACAACGACAAAAAGAAAGGAACTGCTTCATTGTTCTTTCTTTAATCCTCTGAGAGACCCTTTCAGTGGCTCAGGAGACCCCACCTCTGATGCAGATGGAGGAGGAACTGGTGCAATTTTCTTTCGCCATAAATATCTGTTTACTACTTCCCATGTGTGCATGTTAGATAAATGAGACAAACTTGACCGCAAATGCTAATGTTCATGCTCTTGAGTAAGAGCTGGCAGGACACCAGATGGATGCACACAAATACACACACATTAACACCACCCCCTGCTCCTTTTACAAGGAGTCTCGTCTCCACGGTTACCGAGGACAAAAAAGAGGCCCTGGCACAGCTGGTCTTTAGCAACCACAAGTAAGAGGAGGGGAAGAACTTGGGTCGGGTCCTCAGATGTACACACACAGGATGGAGGGTGAGCGTAAGCAGCAGTGAACACTTTTATTTGGGAAGAGTTTGGAAAGGGGAGAGGAAGAGAGTAGAAAGAAGGAGGGTTAAAGAGGAGGAGGAGGAGGTACTCCAACGTGCAGAGAGCAGGAGTAAGCAGAGAGAAAGTGAACACACACAGACAGATACACTGCTGGAGGAACAGTTGCATACAAACAGCTGCTGATCTGCTGAAGGAGTCAAATTACCTCCAAACATCCAGTGCTGGTTTCAGTCTGAACTGAAGGAGCAGGCTAATTAGATGAGGAGTGGGTGAGACCAGCAGGCACCACATACAAACTCAAGACAGCGCAAGAGAGGAGTGAAAAGAGGGGAAGAGGGGGAGGGTGAGAGCCAGAGGAAGGTCTGTGAAACATCTTTGGGAAGTTTTATACACGGCTGAGTTTGGCTCTCCTTACACAGAGTGGAAACTGGCGCTCTTAAAGTGAAGCTGAACACATTTTCTACAAAGGTAAGAGCCTGCATTAATGTTTGCAGTTGTGAAATAGTTTTTAACAGAAATTTAGATATCAATTGACCCCAGCAATGTCCATTAAGATCTTGAAAAGTGTGTTTATCTGCATCATTGACCAAATCTTAAAGAAGTGATTCAGTTTTCCTTCTATTCATTAAGCTTTTCCTTGTATGTGTGTGAATAGCTTGAAACATGGTGTAGGAGTGCAGTACCAAGACAAGCGAGCAGAAAGGTCAGACATTTTTCAGACCAAAACCAGCAGGTGGTTCACTTTAGAGGTAGAAAACCACAAGTATGCAAACTTCTCCTTTATATAAAAATAGATTTGAGATTAAGCACTTTTTGCTTCACTACTGCATTTTGATGAAACATCAAGTCTTAATCTCCAAATAAAATAAGGCTGGACAAAGTGAGCACGGAGATCAGTGTGTAAAAGTACCTCAGCACCGCAAACCCACATACACAGTGGTGTCAGAAAAGTAGGTTCCTGTTGCAAGAGGTGCAGACTGTTGTCTCACCTCTAAACCAAAAGATTGAGACACTTAACCACAACATTTTGAATTTCCCTTCAGGGATCAATAAAGTTCTTCTTCAAAAAGAGAAGGTGAGATACGGTAATAACTCAAAATTAGATAACAGTGTCTGTCTGGTGCCACACATACATATCCTGAACAATTACTGTACCGAGATGCAAGATCTAATGTTTTATCAAGTGTTATTTAATTTTTTTGCAATCTTTTCTCAGATAACTGAGACTATCATTAAACAGCAGCAAAATATAACATAAATTACCCGAATATCAGTGTACAAGTCTATACTAATAACACAGGTATTACCTACACGATTTATATAAAATAATACAAGATAGATACGTTGATAGGATAGCACTGATCATGACCAGTACATCCATAAAAAGAGCAAGAAGCAAACAATCTGGGATTTTTTTTCCAAAAAAAGATGACAACTATACAACATAACATGTAGGCCAAAAGAATAAAACTGCCAAAACAATGTAATGCATTATCTACTGATATGGATTATATTATAATCTTATTTCAATTGCAAAAGTGTTACAATTGACCATAATCCCAGTGTTTTTATTGTCACCAACCTGGTAGGCATGATGGTCTCTCATAAATCAGAGACATATTGTTATCGTGATATTCTTTTTCCAACAGAGCTACAGGTAAAGGGTGTTTTGGTTTAAAAACAGTCATCAATATTTAAGATATAAGATTTAAGATATAAGAAGAAAATATTGCGCAACTCAAAATAAAACTTTGATATCACAAAGTAACTTTTTTGTATCTAAAACTTTTGCTCTGGTAAAGTGAATCTGCCACTCCAACTGAGCGTGCGCAGAATCGGTTTCCAGACAATCCTATCCTCATGATGTATGTTGCCTAGCAACATAACCTGAAGAAATGTTAAGGTAAATTAACTAGACGGTATTTATGGTATTTATATTATATCTTTAATAAAAAAAACGAGCCATTTGAATGAAAAGGGGTTTATTATGATCAGATGAGGCCACTTCCCTCAGTTTTATGTGGACTCGCTGTGACTCGGTAAACTTAAGCTCATGTTTGGAGGAACTGGTTAACTTACGCATCGCTGCTCGGTAAATTACACTATTGGCTGGCCATGAAGTAACAATTTATTTAGCGCGTTTAGGTTTCCGAAATTCACTCTTTTTTGTTGATTACACCAAAGTGTGGATCGATACTACGGCAAGTTAACAATTTACTCTATATTCGACAGACTCGGGCATTAAAACCATCTAACGGTGAAAATAAATCCTGATTTCTTCCGTATTTTGCCATCGGCTCGTTTAGCTAACGTTAGCACCGTTTATTTTAACTGACTCCTTAACTTTTGACTGAGTCTATATGTTAAATGTTTAAGCTTCTTTTGAAAAGGATATGACTGCATCTGTACGACTTTTTTTTTATATAGTAAGTAAGTAAAGATAGGTAAACAGCTAAAATGAAGGTCCCCGTGGTAAACCATTAACAGATGGCTGTAAACAGTTGAGTTAAAGTGTAGTTTTTTAGTATCTAAGTATTTCAATGATTAACGGACAAAAAAGCTACTGAGAAAATCTTATTGACCTAATTTCATTAGATGTGATGTACGTTGTGATGTTTTATGTATAAACTACAATACAAGTCTATCTCAATAAATCTGAATGTAAAAAGCTCTACCTTTTTTGATTCAGAGAAATGATAGTCTGTTTCGTTTACTTCTATCAACATGACGTAAAAAAGAGCATTTCAAGCCTTTTTGGTATCTGAAATGAGCAAAATATTTCCTAAGATCTATTAAAAAGGACTTAAATTGAAAGAAGTACAACTCCAAAAAAGTATGTTTATGTAATGATCAATACATGATCATTGGTTGGTGCTCCTTTCCTGCAAATCTCTGCCCCTTTTGTGGCTTGGCATGAAGGTCATCAGCCTGTAGCTCTGCAGAGGTGTTTTAAAACCCAGGATACTTTGATAGCAGCCTTCAGATGGTCTGTATTATTCAGTCTGGTGTTTCTTATTCTCCTTTTGACAAATATTCCTCAAATTTTCTACGGGATTCAGGTCAGACCAATCAGGCACAGCAGTAGCATCACAGTTGACAAACGGTTTGGTAGGATTTTTGGTGCTGTGAACAAGTGCTAAGTCCTGCTGGAAAAGGAGATGTGTATCTCCATAAAGCTTCTCAGCAGATAAAGCATGAAGCTCTCTCCTGGTAGACTATAGGCTACGTTGACTCCAGACATGATAAAACCGAGTAGACCAACAAAGTAGACATGTCCAGTCCTTGTGAAGCTCTTCTAAGTTCATGAAGCTGCTTTGTTTGGTAGTTCCCTCAAGGCTGCTCTCATCCTTATTTCTATTCATGCTATTCTTTCTTTTTAATGGTCTCAGTTCAAACTGAAAATATTCAGATGTTTTGAGATTTAATTCACATTTCTTTGTGCTGCTGGCCATAATCAAAATCAAACATAAAAAGCTTAAAACACTTAAGTTTCCCTAATTTTACCCTGTCTTCAATTAGATGTTAAAAAAGACGAAGTTTTTCCACAATATTCTCATTTATTTGGATGTAACTGTAAACATTTCCCCCTCTGTCGAGCATCAAGTAATTAACTCTTCCCGTTAATCAAATTGGTTCCTGTGTTCATCATTAAGACAGACTCATTGATTATAGTTGATCTCTGTTGACCAGCTATCCTTAGTGTCCTGTTCTTCGTGTCCTTGTCTCCTGTACAGCCTGTCTGGTATCAGGCTGTCCGATCTCACCCACACACAGCTGCTCCCCTGACGATGACAGGCCTGAGTCTTGAAATGCCAGGCCTGAAATAGTCTGCCATGGTTATAATTAAGCTGAACATGCAGGACAGTGCCTCTTGTACGTCAACACAAACGCACCCAGAGTGAAGCAATGAATCATATGGGTACACACTGTAGCCAGGAGCACACATTATACACACAGTGAATCCACACACAAAATCACCACTGTATGTACAGGACAAGTTTGTCAAGGGCTAATTACAGGTGCTGATACTTGATGAGAGGGTACTCATAAAACAAAGTATTTTAGGATAAAGATTATATATGCTTGTACTGAGCGTGAGGTTAATTACAGTGCAGAAGCATGAATTGCAGCAGGGAAGGGTGGAGCTGAGGTTGAATATAATCTTCAGCTACAAATCTCTTTCTCCCAATCATTAAATGTTTTTTATGTTTATTTTTCAGGTGCAGTGCTGCAACCTCTTCTTTCTGAAACCCACCAGCCTTTCTATTACACGTCTTTGTGGGACCAGCATCTCGGGGCCAATATGGAGGTAAAAGAAGAAATTCTGGAAATTCTTCAGAAGGTCTGGACCAAACTTCAAGAACTGCCACAAGCCAGTCCTCTAGAGCTGGGAGCTTTCTTTGTGCTCATCCTGTTTGTTGGTGAGTTTCTGTTTGTGTCGGTGTAGGGCACAAATCTATTGAGTGCTGTTCAGAGCTGGAGCCTGCTTTGGATAAAAATACAGGTGTTGTGAGGCAGGTTCGTGGTGAGGACCCAGATGCAGACACAGAGACTGAGATCAACTTAAAGAGACTTTTAATGTCCAAAAAAGGGGAGATAGTGCAAACAGAGGAAGTCCGAAGGGCTGGTTGGCTGGCTGTCGTGTGGGCTGGAGACACTGCAGGAAAAAACCAGAGGAGACGGGAGTTAATGAACATGAAAATAGTCACTGGGAGCAAAGTTCTGAAGGTTATACCACGAGGAAGGCCAGGAGACACGTCTGTACCGCTAGGAAGGGTAGACAATACTCAGCCCCTGAGGCTGAGGGCTGCAGGCTTCTTAAAGTGCCTTGATTGGAGATGTGAAGCAGGTGTGTAGTCCCACTCAGCCTCAGCGCCGGGGGAGGGGAGGAAGCTGTGGAAAAGAGTGAAGCCAGACCAGGCAAACAAGGAAACACAGGAAGTCCAGCCAAAATAAAACAAGATGGAGGCGTCTCACCACAACAGGGGAATAGAAAAACAAAATGCTCCTCCTGCAAGAAAACATAAAGCTCCAAAATGGAAACAAACAAAACTAATGTAACCTGTGAAATTATTTTACAGTCCTCCATTGCAGTTAGTCTTACAGGTGCCCCTTTCATATTATGTGAATTGTTCTGTGGTTACTGAACAGTGTGAGGTTGAGAAAAAAATAAAATGTAACATAAATTTTGTACTTTAAAGGTGCTGTTTATAGAAATAGGAGCGTTTAGCAATATCTTTAAGTAAGATTCTGGATTGGTATACCCCCATGCTCACCCTACCCATTGGTGAAGTGATGGTGGCCTTAAGTTGAAAGCCCTCCAGTCTCCCAACATATTCCTTCATATTCCTTCTGCAAAGCCACTTACATAATACAAAAACATGTACAGTATGTTAGTAGTCTGTCTGTTCTGGGCTGTGTAAGATATATGGTGATGCAAGACCATGGCCTCCACGGAGAGGTTACATGCTCCTATGTAGATATAAAAGATACATTCAGAGTTAACATTTTTACACAGATGATTTTACTCTCATTTAAAATACTAAAAAGCATTACATTCATATGCCACATACCCTGTTTTTGTCAAGTCTATGGTGCTAAACTGCATTAAGTATGTGAGCCAAGCTTGAGAAAAATAGGAGAGAGTTTTGTTTGTTTTGCATTTTGGGAAAAAAGGCAAAGTGACCAGATTAAAGTTTAAATTCTTTTTTGCCTGGCACTCTGCTGAATCTTTGATTCTGATATTTTACTTTAGTCAAATATATTTCTTAACAGAAAAAAAAATCTACATCCTTTGTACCTGACTCAAAGTACAACATGTTTGTATAGTTATAAAGATATATCATATGGCATGGTATAGAGTTTGAATTTATTGTAATCTTGCATTATTGAAATGCAAAATTACCATTCAATCTCTATTTTTCCTGGCTCTTGTGCTTTTCAATTCATTCTTCATAATGTATAGTCCTATGCCAAAAATAAAAAGCTCTCTTTGTGTTTTCTGCCTCTCTTTGCAGCCACAGTGCTCTTCTTGGTTGTGTTGTCCTGTGTACACTGCTGCTGCTGTGGAAAGCCAAAATATCAGGCTTCAAGAGTCCTGCCTCTACAGCCTGTCTGAAGCTGACACACAGAAGAGATGTCTCGGGTAAATTTCACTCAAACCCTTTCTATTCTGATTCATGTGATCCTCTGATACAGGGTTTTTATTCACAGCTAACCTGGATTGTTTCCCCATTTTGCAGCAGTTTGAGGAAACCTTTGCTGTATGTTCATCAAGGACAGGATGGCAGCATGTTGGCATGATGTTTCCAGGTCTGGGTTGAAAACTGGATTGACATTCAGAGAACCATGCCACTGGAATCCACATAAATCAGCAGAGTGGCAGGACTCATAAAGATTCATTACCAACCAGGACAATGAAACTCTGTGTGGCAGCCTGTTCCGACAACAAAACCTCTACAGTGGAGCCATGGATGAAAAGATTCAGAGAAAAAGCTGATGTGTGTTTGAATATCACAGTCACTCTTTTTCTACAAATGAACTGTTTGGTATCTTATTGACTTATTTGGAATGTGAAAAGCAACATGCAAAATGTAAAGACATTCCACTTTTTATTCTACTCTTTTCCTGATATTCCATGTTTCAGCATGCAGTAAGTCAGTCTGCCCTCTGTTGGTCAGCTGAAAAGCTTCTTCTCTTGCAAACTGTGCCAAATAGAGATTTAAGATGGTTATTGCACTCACAACTGTCACAAATATATTCTTGTAATATTGCACATAGCTGTTTAAGTATTACAGAGCAATGTTTTGTTAACTGAACTCCAGTAAATGTTCTATGTGTACAAACAAATATAAAACTCTTTTTTTTAGCATTAAATAAAAATTTACCTTTGACTGTAAAACTCTGCTGTGATGTTCAATCCTTATAACACAAGACTTTATCGAACTTTTTCATTTGAGCTAAAACTAAAATCCCACCTTTAAAATACTGAGCATTGTATGCTCACCTTATCATCTGATCTCTGCTTTGCCCTCACCTGTTAGTATTTCTAGTAAACATTAACCAGGAGCCATTGCTTATTTGCCTTGCCTTTAAAAAGCAGGCTAGAAAGGGAACTACCAGTAACTGCTGAACTTCTGAATGTATGCAAATACCTCCAGGACTGCCAGGGATCACAACGGTAGCTGGAACCATCAGTCCGCACACGTTACAATGTTTTCACACTTTGTCAGGAGTCACTGAGCCGTGAGTGGATCTCTGAGCAGGACATGGCTGTCGAGAGGTGAGTCAACAGAATTATGTTGAGTGAAAGTACTCTGTAATGTCAGTAGATTTCAATGAAGCACACTCACAAAATACCTAATACAAAAAGACTAAACGCTTCAGAAATGTTTATTTCCATTAGCAGGAGGTCTCACCAGCTAATGGTGCACACTAACAACCTCATTGGCTAGATTTCCTCCTTGTTCCTCCATAACAGCCATTATGTGGTTTATATCTCAGTGTGCCAGAGCTGACGAAACTAATAGAGGCACCTGAGGACTGGACAGAATGGTTCCTGTATCGCCTACATCAGGAGCCATGGGCAGTTGGTGGCGCTGTGGTCATAGGACTGTTTATGCTTGGAATTCTGTCTCTGGTTGTCTTCGCTCTGCTTTATGGATGCTGCTGCAGCCAAGCACCAGAAAACCACAAGCTAAAGAGGAGGAAGAAGTCAGAGAACAGAGTGATCTAAAAACGCAACTTTGTGGACAACGTTGTAAATGTTGTACTGTCTGATATTTCTTTGCTATTGTGTTTTCTATATCTGTACAAGAGTGACCCAAAACAGAGTGAAACTAAACCATCTATTAAAATCTTTGTGCATTTGATTTGACATTTGTTTGCTTCTGCTGTCAGTAATTTGTATCGACCAAACAGCCAAAGAGCTGAAAGATCACATAACTGGTGTTTAGCATGTTAAATGCTGGAAAAAAAGCAACTCTTTATGGAAATGTTTGGATAACACATTTGTGAACTGAATACGTAAGTACTTGCACTTTTCAAATGTATTGTATTTGTTCTCAGAATAAACATAAGTTATATAATGACATGAAATAAAAATCTTTAAAAAACAAACAAATATAAAACTACTATGTATGAATAAGAATAACTTTATTAATCCCTGAAGGGAAATTCAATTGTCTGTTGTCTCACATAATACGTCTCCAAAAAAGTTATCTACTATTTACACAAGAGTTATTAAATCTGATGGCTGTTGGTACAAAAGATCATCTGAATCTTTCTGTCCTGCAGTGAAGGGAGAGGAGCCGTCCACCACCATTGGCCCTTTGGTCTATGAAGGTCTTGTAAAGTGGGTGATCCATGTTCTTTAGAATAGTCTCCACCTTCCTCAGTGTAGATCTCTCCACCACATCCTCCACTGAGTCCAGCTTGAGTCCTACCACAGAGGCAGCCTTTTTCACCAGTTTGTTAAGACGTCTTGCATCTTTGTGTTTGATGCTTCCTCCCCAGCAGACTCCAGCATAGAACAGAACACTGTAGACACCACAGACTAATAAAAAAAATCTGCTGAATCTTACTACAGACGTCTATTGATCGGAGTCTTCTCAGGTAAAAGAGGCGGCTCTGCCCCTTTCTGTAGATGAGGTCTATATTCTTAGAACAGTCCAACTTATTATCCAGATGTACACCTTGGTATTAACAGTTTTTGTGACTCCAGTCACTGAAGGCTCTTATTAGATCTCTGCATTCAGCTTCCTGTCCATTTCTGATACATACCACAATGGCGGTGTTCATTTGCAATGTTGAGATCTTGTTTCTATTATTATCTTGAACCAAACAGTGGTAGAGGGAGTATTATTATTATTATTATTATTATTATTATTATTATTATTATTATTATTATTATTATTATTATTAAACAGTGGTAGAGGGAGTAGTATTAGTGGTAGATGTCGTAGTAAAAGGAGTTTGAGGTGGAGGTTGCTGATGGCCGAGTCGCTGCTCCTCTCCTTTGCTGCCCGTCTTTAGCTGTGCTACCTTGTAACTGTCATACATCATATATCACAAAAAAAGCAAAAACAAAGGACTTTAAACCTGCTAGCATGTTGCTTAATGTCGGCACAAAAGCCGAGGACTACATATCCCAACCCATGTTAAGTCCTTTCGTAGTACATATTTGATGACGTAATCGCTCTGCGACCAGGCATTAACCGAAGCACACAGCAATGGCGAGCAGTAAGAAGAGTGCTCCGCTTTCCTCTTTGGCAGACTATGGGGACGATTCAGAGCCCGACTCGGATCCTGAAAGCGAGGAGACAGGTTTGTGTCAGATATTTTAATAAACTGGTCATCTGTGTGGTGAAGATTAGTAAATCGTCTCATTATATTGTGAGTTTTGCTCTGTTTTTCACGGGCTCGCTAACAACAGCTGGAGATTAGCTTGCACAGCTAACATCACAGTCTGTATCCACATTTGTTGTTGTTTTTGTTTTTGAATACAAATCGTGAGGAATAATTTGTTAGACTTTTAAAGTCTTGATTTTTCCTGGTCTTGCGAATGTCGTTGAAATCTGATGTGTTATTTCACTGTATCTGTTAACTCAGTACTATAGTAAGTATATCTTTATTTATCCAACAGCTTTGTCTCAACGTACATATGTTTGTGTTCATGTTTTGATTGACTGAGCATGGATAACCTTCCAACACCTCGCCTCTATATTCAGTGATAGTCACCATTTCTCCCGCTTTTTTCGGTCTTTCTGTCATGTAACGCTCCTATTGTTCTCTCCCCCTCCGGTAGGGGGTCTCGCAGGAGGTCTGGTTTATGGCTATGGAGATGATGACCTGAACCGAACTGAAGATGTGGAGGACAAACCGTCTGCAGATGAAGACAGCAGAGAGAGCCACTCGGTCAGTACTGGAGTTACTGGAGAACGCACATGTTTCTCAGGAGCATTACCCATCTTTGTACTTGAACTGATCTTACATGTGGATTTGAAAGGTTGAATCACTACAGCCTGAAAGCTGGTTTGGTTTTACGAGAGGCTACTCTGACTTGTACACTGAGATCAGACCTTGTTTTCAGTGATACGTGTGAAGCACTCAGGTTATGTTAATGGTGTAGGGTGATCTACTGGTCCCTCATCACCAGACTTGTAATAAAGGATGGCCCTTAACTTTAAAACGAGATGACCCTCTTAACACAAACGCTTGAGATTAAATGCCAGGATCCTGATCCTATTGTCAATATAGGACAACTCAATTATCTCCTAAATACAGGTTTTGATGGGTTTGTATATAATTTAAAACCTATATTTCGTTGAAAATAGTGCAAAGACAATGTATCAAACATTAAAAGTGAAAAAAATTGTTGGACAACTGCTCTACTTCCTGAAATACTGCTGCCCCCAACTGCTGTTTTATGAAAAACATTCTCATTTTAATTTTGATGACAGCAACACCTTTCAAAACAGTACAGGGGATTGTTAATTATTGTGTTGCATCACCTCTGTTTTCAACAACACTGTTAAAGTTTGCAAACTCCGGAGACCAGTTTCTGGAGTTCAGAAAGTGAGATGTGCCCCATTCATATAGGATTTTAAACAGTTCAGGGTCTGCTTTTATATCATGATGTGCCTAATATTTTTGAGAGGTAACAAGCCAGCACAGCAGCTAGACCAGTTTAGCAGTGGGACTCTTCTACTACAGAGCCATACTGTTGTAATCCCTATTGTCAGAGTGTGGTTTGTCATTGCCTTGCTGAAATATGAAGGTCCTCACTGAAAAAGTCTTTGTCTAGATGGCGGCAGATGTTGCTCCTAAACCTGTAGATATTGCTCAGCATAAATGGAGCCTTCACAGATGTGAAAGATACCCATGACATGGACTGGATGGTCCCTGTACCCTCAGGGATGCTGGCTTTGAACTGGGAGCTGATAAGAAACTATGTGGTCCCTCTTCTCTATGGGACAAGTGGTACTGATTTCCTAAAAGAACCTCAAATTTAATTTGTTAGACCACAGGACAATTTTCCTCTTTGCCTCAGTCCATCTTAAATTGATTTGGGCCCAAAGAAGTTGCCTGCCTTTCTCGATTATGCTCAGACTTTTTGTCCTCTTTGCATGGTTCAGTTTTAACCCTATTGTGGATGCAGTGATGAACTGTATTCCCAAACAAGGATTTTTAAAGGGATTTTGAGCCCATGCTGTGATTTTCACTCCAGAGTCCTTTTTGTACAGAGATTTCTCCAGATTCTCTGAATCTTTTAATGATACTATGTTCTGTTGATGATGAAATCCACTCATTGTTTCACATATGACACTCAGAAACATTATTCTGAAACTGTTGAATCATTAGCTCATGCTGTCTTTCAACCTCTTCCCATCTTTCCTTCTGAGAGACTCAGGCCCCAACTACACGAATGCAGATATATTTCCACACCAAAACGTGAGGTTAGACCACTCAAACCAGATAAATCTGAATCCGAAAAAACAAGTGGAGAAATAAAAAAAATACCCGTATAAGTGGATTCGTGTGGTTAAACTTTTACGGATTGAGGACGTCAAACCGCAGCTCACGCATGCAAATTAAAAAGAAAAACAACAATGGCGGACATACAGGGTATTCTTTACGTTTGTTTTGCCCTTTTGGGGCTAATTTCAGCCTTGCAAGTGAACCTTGTTTTATATCCACCAGTCAGCCAGCTCACAGAGGCGTCTGCTTTGTTATAGCCACCACACCGTCACATGGACCCGACGCACTAGCGTAGCTTCCGCAAACAATGCATGACGTGTCACGCTGTTAAGATTCATCGGCCAATCAGGTAGCTTTGTACCTGAATTTTCTTTTTAAGCGGCACCAGATAGGATTGAGTTTGAAGCATAGACTGTATATAAGATGGACAGAGTCTGCCTCCTCACTGGGTGAAGCCAAATCCGTATGGAGGGGGAACCAGGTTGCCCATCTTATATACAGTCTATGGTTTGAAGGCTACGTGTGGACATAGATATTTTTGAGAACTAACACGTGTGGACAGATACATTTATTTAGAAGGGAGTACAAAAATATCCTGATAAATAAATATCCATATACGTGTAGTCTGGGCCTTGGCCTCTCTGAATGTCTTTTCTTATTCCCAGTCCTGTTACTAAACTGATGCACATTAATGTAGTTAGTTTAGAGATGATCTTTTAGGTATTTGTTTAGCATTTCACCACTGTTTCAATGTACGTGACTTTCTTTGGTGGTTTTCTAGCAGCACAACTTTTTCACTGTTTTGTTTCTCTGGTTCAAACAGTTTGAAAACATGTTGCCGTCATCAAATTTGAAAGAAGTGTACATAATCATTGCCTTTTAGTTTAAACATTTGATACGTTGTTTTTGCACTTTTTTTAAGTTACGTAAAAGTTTGGAATGATTTGGGAAAAAAAATAGTTACATTTCACGCAGCTTTCCAACTGTTATGGAATTAAGGTTGTGAAAAATGGGACGACGGTAGGTTTTTATTTTGGGTCAACCCTTGAAATCATCCGATTTCAACAATATAGCATTATGAATTAAACTGGTCAACCAGCCTCCCCTTATGGCTGACTCTTCACAATGCTAGATGTTTTGTTTTTAAATATCGTCAAATGGCTGATTTTCTGGACACTATGAGAAATGCTTGATTGGATTTGGTGTCACTCCTTGATGACTTCAATAACTTGCGAGTTCAAAGTGGCCACATGTCTGCAGTGGGCCTCACTTTGCCATATAGCACAATATAAATGCATAAACACCTGTTTATGTTCAATATATGTCCTGGTTTTTAAAGAGATGTATAAATATACAAAATTCAATTACCAGTGCTAGTTGTTTCATGAGAACTTGGTGATGCCTTAGTCCATTGTAGAAAGGTGTTTTGGTGTGAAAGCTGTAAGTAGACAGCTGCATGGCCTATGTAAGAACTACATTGTGTTACTATAACCTTTATAAAAATGGAAGACCTGTTTTTGCAGTCTTCTTCTGGAGGTTGTCACAGCACTGGCTGATGTCTGGCCTGTACTGCTGCTTCCTTCACCCCCCTGCTCTGCTCTCCTTATGATCCTTGCAGCGTTAACCTTCTGCATTTTTGTTTTATAGGAAATGGACGAATCTGACGAGGGGAGGGACGCAGATGATGTTGAGGTATTTGAACCCCCACCTGGTGTGGGATAGATGGGATTTGCAAAAGGGTTTGAACTTTGAAGCCTAACTGATTTCTCACCTCTCGCCTTAAGACTCACCCAAATAACCAGCACTGTCACCACATGCAGTGACAAAGCGTTTTCACTTGATGGTGCTGTTGGTTCACATTAGTTAAATGAACGTTCACAATGAACTAATGAGGCACTTTATGCTTGTACAGCAATGTCTATGGCTTGCACTGAAGTAGATGGACCTCTGCATTTGAATGTGCCTTTTAGACCTCTTATGGAGTGAGAGGAGTTGTTTTTAGAGCGCCCTGACTGCTTTGAAAGGCACGTCTCACTGTCCTCACTCTGTGTGTTTTAAAGCTGTGTGAGCTGAACAGCAGGCCAGCTGAGGTTTAGTTAGGTTATTGAGGTCAGAATGAGCCTCCAAATGTGTCAAGTCAAAAAAGAGTCACTTAAATTTTAAATGTTTTATTATTATTATTATTATTATTATTATTATTATTATTATTCAATTTACCTGAGGTTGTGTTGATAGCCTGTTTGATCATTGTGTGATAAAGTGGAAGTTTGTGAGAGTTTAGTGTCTTACTTAAGAGATAACAGCATTGGCAGTGTTGTTGTAACAAGTCAAAGTGGGATTTCTCAAAAATATGTGTGTTGTCATGTGTTAAATTACTCCCAGCGATGACAATCAAGATTTCCAGGAAAGCTGATGTCACATTATTTTTTACTTTGCACAATTGGAATCAGTAGTCTATATTAAAATGGTGTTTTTTAGGTGTTCTGTTGTCTGAATCATTAGAGGAGTGCTTCTTAGATGTGTCAGGTTGAGTTTTATTATGTGACAAATTATGAGAGGAGGCTTTAACTTTGTCCTCCACTATTGTCGGTTTTCTCATCTTCTTCACCTTATCTGACCAGCAAATAGCAGCTGCTCGTTGGTGATTTTACTTAAGATAAAGAGATCACAATACACCGCATATTCTTGGTTAAGTGGAGTGTTTGAAGACTGATGAAAACCTTTGAGACATTGTAGGAGCCATTTATCAGCAAACTTTTGATCAGTCTTTGAACTTTAATCTGAAGAGTTCAGTTCATTTTATGACAGCTTTTTAAAAATATGTTTTGCAAGTTGAAAAGATCTTATTGATACTGATGCCATTAATATTTTGGCCTGTTAGTCCAATTCTTTATAGATTCCTTTGTAATTTTTTTTCTTAAAAAATAATACAAAGGTTTACTGTGTCAGCTGAACAAACTTTATTCAGAGTGTAATTAGCATCAGTGCTCTGATGAGGCATTTAAAGGTCAGCTAATCATAGATACAGCCTCTGATTTTTTTAAACTAAGATAGCACCCTTCTATAAGCATTGTCAGCTAACGAGAAATCACACTCACCACTAAAATAATCCATAAATCATCTCATTTTTAACGGATTGGATCTGAACAGTCTCTGAAAATACACTAATCTTCTCCGTGGGATAAAAAAGCTCCTGGAGGCATAAGGATTTATCCCTGGAAAGCTGCTTGTCTCACAAAGTGAGGGGATTTTACAATAGGGCAGTATTTAGTACAGTTCTATTTTTAAAAGCTGATATTGTAGACAACAAAACCTCATTGAATACACCAACATTCTTCTGTACACCTCTATCTCTTCCTTGGCTTCGTTTACACCTCTCATGGTGCGTTGTTTTGTAAGGCATGCAGAACTAATTGGAATGATTGGACAAGGGAACTATTACACATGGAGACAAATAATGTTGATGGCTCAAACTAGAGGAACCAGTTCTGACCCAGATCTGGCTTAAGATTCCTATCCCTGCAAAAAGATTTTCAGTGAAACCATAATATCAGAGGTTCTCAGTTTTAAGTGCAAAGTGTCTGGTTCTGTAGATTGTACAGTCAATCTCTTAGCCAACCATCTGAGTGATCTACACCCTACTACCATTGCATACAAAGCAATAAGAGTGTGCTGTATATCAACACAGCTTTGCACATATACAATACGTGCATATGTAAGAAACAATATGTGCATATGTAAGAAACAATGCGTGCATTTGTAAGAAACAGGACACAAGTAAAAATGTGTCCCAGTAGATTCAAAAATGTAAATAAGCAAATATTGCTCCTTCATTGAAAATGTGAGCATGTTGGCTGTGGGATGGATGCCTGGGTACATGGTTGAGCTGTCACACTGTTCTGATGCAGTCAGATGAAGCTATTAGCTACCTTAGACATTTTGGTGCAAATTCAGCAGTGAAATAAAAGCTGAACTATATAGTCACACATGAAATGTTTTCCCCAAAATATACAAGGACTGGTATGTGCATCAAAACTTCGACTCAATAAATGTATCCATTACAAAGTTTTACTTTCTTATATCTTAATATATATTATCACAAAATAAAAGGTTAGTCAGGCCAGGTTATGACTAGTTGAGCCATCAGCACCATTTGCCTTTATGTTTAATGACTCTCTTATTGATACCTTTCTCTCGGTTCTGTGTGCCTCATAAAACTATGATGGGATGAATCACGTGAACAATGATGAAGGCAGTGATCATGGTAGACAGAATAGTTGTCCAAAATGCTGTGGTAAACAATGAATTACTGTTTTGTTTACAGTGTGAGCTCTGAAAAAAAAGCAGTGATGTTCCAGCTGACTGTAAAATCCACTCACTTCACATGTCCGACAGCTTCCTAGTGATAAACCCCTGTGCTTCTGCAGCATACAGGATCCCCTCTATCCTAATCCAATACCTCAAAAAGGCAGAGAATGTGTGAAGATTTTTGTGTAATTTTTTAAAACTTTTGTTGTTGGCTGACCTTTGTGATGGTCTGTTGACCAGTTAGGGGTTCTATTTACAATCACCCCATCCACGGTCAGAAACTATGCCTCTCTATATTAGTGAAGCAGCAGAGATGATAAAACTCTTCAGATGATAAGAAAAAATTGTATTGCTAACACAGAAACCTGTTGAGGCTGACTTTTTCCCTCTCAGAATATACAAATGAATTAATGAGGGAAATCAATAAGGAATTATATTGATCAGCAGGATCGATAATGGTGCCAGTATCAGTTTGATTTAACATTTAAAACTATATTGACTGATTATGGAGCAAACTTACCAAAAGTAGGATCAGTTTCTGGCTGGTGTTTAATATCTATTCTGTTATGATTTACTAAGATGTATAGAATAATGCTGTTCAATGTTGCTTCTGACTTATCTGTTCGAATGGTCATCCAAGTTCAGCAGTCTCATTTCTGGCATTACATATCAGCAAGGGCCACTGAAAAACTAGTTAGTATGTAGTTCCATACACACGCTGTTTGATCAAGATCCTCAGAGTTCTCTGGGATTTTGTGATCTTGTGAGTCCAGCTGCTCTGTGCTACATGTCAAACATGCATTTGGTGGTTGAAAGGTGCAAACAGTGCTGACTGAATGAAACACACACACTTCAGTGCTGCATCTTTACAGCTTTACAGCTTTGACCTCTGACCTTTCTGTGAATGACTGTGAGGCAGGGCAGAATCTTCAGATGCAGAAAAATGAAAAGATCATTTCTGTTATCGCTTCTTTGCTCGTGTCTAAATCTGCAGGTGCATTTCTTTCTTTTCTTTGTTTGGCTGATTTCCAGCAAGCTCTGCTGTGTTTCATGTCTGTCTGTCCACTCCCCCTCCTCCCTTTGATTCAACCACCCTGTGGACAGCTCTTTGATGTGCCTGTAAGGTTGCTAGGTTACGGTGTGATGCCTGTGAATAACAGCACTGTTCCTCTGTGCTGAACCTGTATTATGCCCATGGTGCTGGCACAACAGGCTGCATATTTTAGAGGCTGTGTGAGACTTCTCCTCTTGCCGAGCTCAGGCACTCACTGAAAACAGCCAAGACTTAGTCTTCTTCTGATTTCTCCTGACAGCTTCTAGTCTGTAAAGTTTGTTGAAATACCACCCCTGGAATTTGTAGGATTTAGTTACAAAGCTTGGTTTCTTTCACATGAACTGCCTGTACAGCTCACCAAACCGCTCGCAGTGTCCTCTACAATATGATCTCCTAAACAATTGTGTGGTTTAATGGTGTCTATCAGTCCTGCTTTAATGAGATCTTCTGACCAAAGGGACCTAAAAACTGTACGTGTCTCTCTTTGTGTCTCTCTTGTCCTTTTTTACAGGTGTCAGAAGCAGAAAGAAAAGACCCCAATGAGCTAGTTGGTGAGTACACACACACACACACACACACACACACACACACACACACACACACACACACACACACACACACACACACACACACATCCATCTGCCTTCTGCCAGTTTTAAAGCATCTGTACTAAAAACTGAAAAACTAGAGATTAGTTCAACATTTTATTAACATACAAAAGTATCCATTCATTAAAACGATTTGTACAAAAAATCCTTCTTGCAGGAAAGTTTATACATGTGTATTAATGTAAAGGCACTATAATGACCTGTTTTATCTTAGCCTCAGTGAATAAACTGGTGTTCAGCAGTAAGTGAATGACACTTCACCCCTCCCTCCTCTGCCTCATCAAGTCATTCAGAAGTAGTTTGTTTCGTTCACCGTGTCGTTCACTGACTGACTGAATCATTCCGTTCACATACTGATACAGGTCGTTCACATATGTTTTTTCTCTGACTGATACATATCGTTCATTTGCTTTGAGTGAATCACGAGACTCCGCCTGCCCACTCACTGGCTGCCTCTGTCATTTGCTTAAGAGTCAAAGGCGGCAGTTCCACTCCTGACCGGCATGCCAGGCTCGCGGCTGAGCTCAACTGAACTGAGAAAGGAACGAATCAGGTCTCAGAGCGATTCAGTTCACGTCGTTCACTCAGCACTTCCATACTTTTGAACCAAACGTTCATGAACGACACACTAAGGTTTAATGACTTTGGAGAATGTTTAATCAAAACTTTCACTTGATCATACATTTTTTTTAAATCAGCTGTCTGTAAAAAAAAAAAAAAAAAGGCCTATACAGAATATTGGGCAAAAACCAATCAGTCTCCCCCTAGAAACGTAATATACCTTATCATACTCAACTTGAATCAGATGACCTTGGACAGAGTGCCAAAGACACAAACAAATTATATGAACTTGGTACAAAATCAAAACTACTGCTACTCACACAAAATCAAACATTTATTGGAGGCAGAATCGAACCATTTAACTGTGAGGGTTAGGTGCTGGTGCAGTAAAGGTTTGAACCACACCCAGATGAATTACAAAAGCTTCTTTGTCCACTGACTGTCAGAGTGAGTGTTGGTGAGGTTTAACACGGGGAGCTGGCAGAGGTTAGTGAGTAACGGCTGACCAGTGCAGGTGTGTTAGTGAGTACAAATAAGACAGGATATGAGTGATACAGGGCGCGGCATCACACACACACACACACACACTCACACACACACACACACACACACACATACGGAGCAGTCTGTTAAACCATCAGCTCGTGGCTCCCTCTCTGCTTTCTGTTTATGTGGGCCCACAGCTGGGTGAAATATATCACTCATCCTCATCCATTTTTTGACTTCAAAACAAAACTAAGATATGATTTATATCATAATGTTCTGGGAAGCTGGTGTAGGATTGAATCATAATATTTTAACAAATATGGTTACTGACTGGTGTTTTTAGAAAAGAGTATTTCATCTTGAAAGATATTACTCAACAAACCAAAGTTGGAGATGATTTATGGAGGGGATTAGATCTTAAGAAGATTGTGAAAAACTCATGGTGTATCTGTGATTAAGTAGTTACTGTGCAGAACAGAGTAGTGCAAAGCTGTTGTAACTGAAAAATGTTAATGATTTATAAAAAAAATATATAAATTTAAACATGACGCCAACAACAGGTTTCAAAACAGTATGTTTAGGGTCAACCGCATACATGAAAAAGTAATGGAATGCTAAACAAATACCTAAAAGATCATCTCTAAACTAACTACATTAATCTGCACCAGTTTAGTAACAGGACTGGGTATAAAAAGGATGTTCACAGAGGCTGAGTCTCTCAGACAGAAAGATGGGAAGAGGTTCACCACTCTGTGGGAGACTGTGTGAGCTAATAGTTCCAAGAATAATGTTCCTGAGTGTCAAATGTTTAAGAATGAGCAACCAAAACAGTTATAATTGTAGTCAATGTAAATAAAAGACTTGAGAAAATCATGTTTATTAAAGTGAAGAGGAAAAAAGATACAAATAATAGTTAGAAGAGGGAGAAAAATAAAAGAATGATAATGAGAGAGAAAGAGAGTGGGGGGGAAAGGTTTCAGCATGTTTACATATGTGGAATAAAATAAACAGCAACATCCATCGGAAATGATCACCTATATCTCCTCTAAAAATGAATAAGAAAATATATCGGTAAATAAAATTAACAAAAAACAATAAAACGGTGGACACACATGCACAGACTGTCACAGATATTTACACTTTCTAGCTGCAACAAGGCTTTCCTTCAGTTTACTCAATATTTCTAATGGCATCCTAACGCTCCTGGAAGTAGGGTTGTCAATCCTATCACAGATGGTAAGATTAATCTCTGGAAGGGTCATAAAGAAGCATCAGCTAATCCTTAAAACAAAGAAGCTCTTCGCAACCTGAGTGTTGCAACTCTTTCAGTTACTGCACTTTTTAATCTTTCCCTTCTTTTCCCTTCTGGAGTCCCTCCAACACACATGGCAGGGACACCAGCAGAGAGAACTTGGCGGCCTTGGCCCTACAGTTCTGCGCCCTACATCACCACCACCCTCCTGGTTTACAGTGGTCATAAAAAAGAGTCATGACGGAAAAAGAAAAACTCCAAAGCCTCCTTCAGTCCTCATCATCCTCATCATCAGTGCACTGTAGTGGCACAGTGTGATTCACAGCCTCTGACTCTTGACTTCTCATGGATCGGCTCCTCTTGTCCGTCTGTAAATGCCACAGTGGGTCTAGCAGAAGGGCTCCAGTCTGTGAGCTGCCTAAAGACAGCTCTTTGTCTGTTCAGTGAAGAGACAGCCATTGTCCGTCCATCCAAAAAGACCCATAGGGGACAGATTGTGATGTTGTGTCTGTTTCTCAGGAGGACAGATGGTGATTTTCATGCAGAATAGAATCTTTCCTCTGTCTCTTTTATTACGATGTGTCTCCCTGACAGAGCTCCTCTTATGTGAGAATATTCCTCTCACATTGAGCTAAATTACAGAAAAGGCCCTTTATTGCTCAGGCGTTGAGTTATTCACACTTCCTTTGCAGAGTTTATTTTGGTGATTTGAATCAGAGTTTGTTTAATGAGGCCCTGGAATTATCAGCTGAATCCTCTTTGTTTGCAGCGGATTAGCAGGCTACTACAACACTAACCCCCTGTTGCAGCTACAAAGTGTAATTATCTGTGATAGTCTGTGCATGTGTGTAACTATGGGAGAAAAACACTGAATGCCAGTGACTCATCCGACTTGCCTCGTCAGGTTTTTATGCACCCTAAGGCTACAGGCTCCTCTGTGTTTTTACAATGAGGGTTGCACAAAACAGTTACATGTATGGAACCGTTTATCTTCATGTAGCTGCATACCTGTTCATTTCAGCTGTGAAAAATGTGTGTTCATGCACATGCTTAGCATTACTTATGAGTCTAGCCAACAAGGGCAACGCCCTGCCCCTCCCTCTTTTTTTTTCTTTTTTTCTTTTTTTCTTTTTTCGACTCAGGAATGTTACTGTAGCCAAATCAGTGATGAACTCTTGGGGCTGAGGGGAATCAGGGTGACGAGTCAGTCCACGTGTGTGGAGCTGTGGTCCAACATGGTGAGCAGATTGAGGAGAACAGTAGAGATGCTGAAGGGAGGGACTGCTGGAAAGAGTGTGTCAGTACACAACGGAGGGCTGTCTGCACACAAACATTTCAAAGTTCAGCTCTGGCACAGTCCCACAAGAGGGGCGGCAATGTTTACATCAACAGACGCACTGTAGGCGACATATCCGACATACAAACGTGATATACATCACTGAGACTCACCTGGTAAAGAACAATGTCACTATTATCACCATCTACACCATCACCATAACCAATGATCAAAGTGAAATCATAGATTAGTGTTAGAGATGCTCCATATCAGAGTTTTGCTAAGATTCAACATGCCGATATTTTCAAACTGATTACTGATATCAGTGCTGATATACACACTTTTTGTCATCGTTAAGAACGCAAAAGCTCTTCTCTGAAGAAATTTACCTGTTACTCTGAATGTGACCTCTTTGTTTTTTTTAATCCCACCATGAATGATTTATGCATTTCTTTTCAGTCATGTCTACAAGCATGGCTGACAGCCTCATGAGTGTGGCTGCTGTCATGGAAGGCTACCGCCCTTTAGATAAGATGTTCCTCCACCCCAAATTACAGCAGATCAGATTACTAGAGTATAAATATACGTGCTGTTATGATGTACACAGTAGTGAGTTTAATGTTGCCTCTGATGTGAATATGACATGTTCTGAAATCCATTACACAACCAAGGGTTTTTTTCTACTTCATGAACCACTTTAAAACATGTTTCTGGCTAAAATTACTATGTATATTAGATCATAATGAGAGTAAAGTAAGATAGTATACAATAAAATGTCCTTAAATGCAAACAATCAGCTGACCTACTCTGTAATAATCTTCACTGGTATCAGTCACTGAAAACTCACCACAAAACTTTGTTTGCCTCTAGCAAATGTTCAATAAAAACTGAAACTTTTCACATCAAACACAGGGGTAAACAGTAACCACTTACCAATCAGATGGTGATGTGGGTGGGACATTTAGTGAAACAGAGAGGCGAGTGAAAAACACATCCAGAGGGAAAGACAGCCTGATAGTAAAGCCAAAGTAAACCCACTTTTTAGTTGATTTATGATGTCTGGGATGAGTCTAATACAAACGCTAATACAGATGATCAGCCGTAAACAGAATATCAGCCTGATGATCCCCCCTAGGCCAATGTTCAGTCTTCCCAGGTAAAAGAAAAATTAATGTGTAATAGATGTAACTAATGATAAACATCTACGTTTTAGCGCTTAGCTCCAAGTCCTGCAGCTTTGAACTGTAATTGTTCAGCTCACATGTGGTCACTGTTATTTTTAAATACAATTTTAAGAGGTTCATTACCATAAATAACAAGCTGAGTTATGTGTCAAGGTTAATCATTTTTCAGCAGTCATTAAATGTGTCATTGATGAGAAATTATTTAATGAGCTTTCCAAAGTTCGTCATGATGACAGAAGACACAAAACAAAATATTAAAAATGTGAAACCTATCACAGTAGACACTTTTTGCGCAGCTGTTTGGAGGCTGGAAATTTTCCTCTAAAGTTTAGTAAGACATTGTTCAGCCAGGCTGAGCAAAAAAAAAAAAAAAAAAAAACTTCAGAAAGTTATCTCCTCAAGTTTGGTCAAGTTTCTACATGTTGACAATCTGAATGAAAGTCAGCAATACGAGTACATCTCTGTGTTTGCACAAACACATGCAGGCTCTGCAGGCTTGCAACACTTATCCAGAGCTTGATTGACGACTATCTGTCTCATTTGGAAACGGAGTGACACTGAAGAATGCCTGGCCTGCAATCAGAAAAAGCAGAGACAGACAAGTCAAGTAGGGAGAGTCAGGAGTCCAAAGGCATTGAGAGAGAGAGGGTTGGGGAGCCTCCCTTCGTACAAGCCCCAACAACAGCCACTCCCTGCCCTGAACGTGCACTCCTCATACCACACTGCTCCGTTATACCACTGACGTACACACATGCAAGAATGTGATGAAGAACAAGATGCTCAGAAATGTTATCTTTACACAGACTAACCTTTTGTTTCATTTACTGAGACAGTTCCTCCTCTTCACCCTGATGTCTAATCCTCCTCATTATCCATCACCCTTTAACTTAAATACTGAACACAGTTCTGTTTTGATAACTTTGTTTTCTTCGTTACTCCTTATTCTGCATGCAAAGACAAGCAGGACAGGGCAAAGAGGGAAAGTCACTCAAGGGAAAAGATGTAAAGCTCATGTTCAGTATTTTGTGTTTTTGCTAGCTCTGTTCTCCGAGAAGGTGAGGAACATGTCACCTGATGAGATCAGGATCCCGCCTGAGCCCCCAGGACGTTGCTCCAGCCAACTACAGGTAGACAAACTTCTCCTGTTTCACTGTTAATGCAAAGCTGTCCCTGCAGCACACACTCTACACACACACATGGTGCCACATGAACAGGAACAGTCATATTCAAAGAGCCTAGAGAGGATGTTTTAGAAACATTGATGCAGCCTTCGAGAAGTCACCCTATGGTTATTAATGCTGAGTTTTGAAGCTTGTTGGTGTTGGTCAAACGCTGACTAAACATCAAGGAGACCCAACAAAAGGAAGTGGGTTAGAGTTGGGACTTAGTCACCTCTCTTACAGCTAGTGTGTCCTCCTGCCAGTCAGCTCAGCTGGTTTGCCAAACTTGCAACCAAATATCTTTGAGGCATGCATTATAAAAAAAAATCCCTCCAGTACAGTGTGTGTCGCCAGAGAAATGAGCCATTCAGACCATACTGTAAAAAGGTTCATTTTTGCTTTTGGATGGGTGCAAGGTGCTTTTTGTAACCAGCCTCAATTGTAAGAAACTGAAGTGTTGTTCGTGTTTAATATTTGGTGTACTGTTTTGTTTAAGATCAAAGTAAAAGGCTTTCTCAAAAGCTATCCACCTTGCAGCGCTGCCAACTAGAAACAAAATATTTAAAAAAAACAAGTCACCGCCTACATTTTTCTAAACATTTGAGAAGCATTCGCAGCTGGTTAATATCAATACAAGCATGAGAAAGATGTCTGTCTATCAGCGTCAGCCCTACTCCTGAATATTCTCTATGTGCAAGCCTGGTGATTGTCATGTTTTGATAATTATAAATAGGAAATAATCTATTGATTGCCTATCCATGAATTGAACTGAGTGTAACCTCTTTGCTGCAAACAGCAATGCTAACTTCTCACTAACTCTGTCTTATTTTGAGGAGGTAGAACTGCCTCTTGATTATATACAATAATTTACGAAATGTTCAGAATTTGGACAGAAAGCCACTAAAGGTCTTGTTTATGGTCTGTATGTACTGTGGGTGTGTGAGTAAAACTCTAATGTCGTTTTGGAGACCCAGTTTAAAAGCCCTTGTGTCCTACATTGTGTGTTTTACATTGGTTGGTTTTATTTGTCTGATCAACACTTTCCACATAGTAAAAGTTTTCCTGACTTGTCACTGGCTCTTTAAGGGAGTGGTTGGATTTCATAAGCAGACTCACTGTCTGCACTTGTCCCTTTGGCACATGTACAACAGAGTTAGGAGTTTAAGGTCGGAGTTGAAGTTTGGAGTGTTCAGTGCTCAAAGCGACCTCATCCTGAGATCTTTGAGTAGATGCACAATAACCTGTTCTCCCTGCCAAGTAAACAATTCAGAAGTTTCTCCTGCTCCCTCTGGGGTTAGAAACAAACTCTGGTGATGCATGAATTCTTTAACTCCCCTCTGTAATTACACCAGCACACAGTGTCGTCCTCTGCCTATTTCATATCACAAGTGTTTCTCCCTCCCTGCCTCTCTGCTGTGGATTTGCGGTGTTTAACTGTGATATGATTTGCTCTGTGAGGAACTGAGGCAGGTCAGGACACACTCTCCTGACTTAGCAAGTGAACAGCTCAGCTCAGCAAGTATTCCCGCTGGGTGAACACTCCCCTCATCTGTCAGATGAACAAATAATGATTCACCTTCACCTGAACAGCCTGGCTATCCCAGCCCTCAGGTTATTGAAAAGTAGGAACAGGTTTGAATACGCAGCAGAGTAAAGGGCTGTATTTCCTCTTGCTTTACTGTTTGTTGTAAACCATCAACTTCATGAGAAATTGCTGAAATGGTTCTTAACTTGAACTCACACCACCCTAACCCTCCCAAAAAAAGTGTGATGATGTAACGTCTAGGAATGGGCATTTAAAGACAATCCTCTGATCGATTAATTATATAAATTTTTTATGCGAATGGCAAAAATACACAAAACAGTGTTTTTCCTCATTAAAATACACCCCCACCCCACCCCTCGGACTGCGTGCTGCATACTTACTCACGCTTCCTACCTGCTTGGCTACCTTAATAACTGTTGTTTTTTTCTCTAAAATCCGGGTCAACTCTAGCCAGGGACAGGTCACCCAAAACGGGGAATTCCTGACTGGACAACGAGGGTATCGCTTCTGATCAGCAGAGGTTGATCTTTGAGAGAAAGCAGCCGAAGGATGGACACATGCAGTCAGCCCTTTTTTAAAAATGTTAGATGGATCATTAATTAATCATGCCTATTCCTAGTTACAGCACAGAAAGAGGAACAGGCAGATATTTGGACCCGCTGACACTCTGTTCCTGACAAACATGTACGGTTAAAGTGATTTGTTACTGCTTTGGATGTGGGGTTGGTTTAAAGATAAACCAGCATGTCCCTAGTAAGTGTATTAACCACAATAGATGCAGTTTAACTCGTCCACTTTACAAAGAAACTGTCAGGAGAACTGGCACACAGGCTTGGCTGCTGTGATTTTCTTTTCAGACACACACAGAAACACACACTTGCCTCTTTTGCCTTTTACTTTATAGATGAACACTACATTGAACTAATTAAAAGTGTGCTACTTTGGCTCTGCTGCAGGTATATCTGTTTTTTTTCTACCACTGTGTTTCACATAATGTCCTGCACACAACATTGTCGGATTGGCGACGTGTTAGACGATTGGAGGATTAAGCTACACGGTCGGCGTTGGTGGTAAACTGTCCACTTCTGTATATGATGTTGATTAAACATTTGCTGAAAGCATCTAAACAAAGTTCTGAGTCTTGATTCATAACATTACAAATGAGGAATTTTGAGAGAGGTTTTCTTTTTTTACTAGCAGTGCAGATCATTTTCAGATACTAGGTGATCATCGGTCTCATGAATTACCAATAGTCTGAGTGAAAAAAATCCCCTAGTGTTGGAGAAGTTTTCTGTGGAAAGTTTTCTCTTCATCCACCTTTTTTCATCTTGTCCTAACCATTTTTCACCACTAATGCCTCGGCTTCACCTGCCAGCTCCATGTGGCTCAGTTGAACCTAGTTGTGAAATATTTCCCATGGGAATCAGGTACTTATAATACAACAGCTCCATTCACACTGACCTTGGCTTTAGAAAGGGTGAATCACATACGCTAATGTTTTATGATAGTTTGTTACTGCCAGGCTCAGAGTGAGGAGAGAGATAAGTCACAGTGGAGGTCCTCACATTTGGAAATGATCTGTCTGTTCATGTCTCACATTTGTTTGTTTTGCAACAGGACAAGATCCACAAGCTTTACGAGAGGAAACTCCATGGAGACTTCGACACCAACAGCCACATACAGAAAAAGAAAGAATTCAGAAATCCCAGGTATGCAGTTTAGAGGAGCGAGCAGCCAAACACATGGAGCACGACTTGTACATCTTTTTGTGTTTTGCTGCGCGTGCTTTGAAGTTCATTCACCTTTACTGCCTATGAAACACAAAACGTCTGCTGTTTCAAAATAAAAGGAAGGGTTATTATTTATTCTTGTAAAATATCTGCCCAACTTTGACATATTTTAAGTACAAAAATGTTCAGCAGCACAGGAAGGTACAGTTTTGAAGCTGTTCCAGAAAGTTTGCATTAGCTGGCAGCCACAACACAGCTGTAAGGCCTACAACACAATGATGAATGTGTCTTATCAGAGTGTATCCACGCAGAATTGTTTAATGTACACAGGTTCAGATTGTTATCCCGGTTATCTCACATTATAGATGTTGATGACTGGCTTACAGCTTATTATAAGAATATTTCCTAAGACTATAAAAAAAAAGGATTTAAAATAGAGAAAGGCCCAGATTGTGAAAAGGGTGTTAGGGGCTCCTTAACCACAGACTGTTGCATTCATTCAGTGTAGCATCAAGAGTTGAGGCTTTGTCTCATTGTCACAATGTTATTTCATTAAGCACATGCTCTTATCCAAAGGAACACACATCTGTGATCTGAGAGTCTCTATGGGGTTGAGGTCAGGCCAGTTGGCTGGTCAATCAAGCACGGTAACACCATGGTCAACAAACCAGTTTCTAGTCGTTTGGGCGTCAGGTACCAGGTCCTGCTGAAAAAGAAAATCTGTATCTCCATAAAATTTCTCAGCAGATGAACCATAAAAGTCTCTAAAATCTCCTTAACGCTGTGCTAACTCCAGACCTGTTAAAACACAGTAGAACAACAGCAGCAGATGACATGGCTCTTGGTAGTCTGACTCCAGCTTCAGTCCAGTCCTTGTGGAAGCCCTTTAAGTTCTTGAATCTGCTTTGTTTGATGATCCTCTCAAGGTTGCTCTCATCCCTGCTTTTTTGGTCTCCTTTTCCTGTCAGCATTCTGCACCATGATTGTACTGAACTAGATAAAATGAAGAGATACACGGTGTTCATGTTATGATGCTTGAATAGTAGTTTACTCAAACTGAATGAACGGTTTTACACTTTGCACCTCATATAATTATTGCTGAGATCAGAAAAACCTGACCTCCTCCTCAAGTCTTGTTTGTTTTGTTGTTCTCATAGCATTTATGAGAAGCTCATTCAGTTCTGCGGGATAGATGAACTGGGAACCAACTACCCAAAAGACATGTTCGATCCTCACGGCTGGTCAGAAGACTCTTACTACGAAGCTCTTGGTAAGCGTTTGCGCTTCTTCCCTACAGCTCTGCATGATCAGATGAGATACCCAGCATTCATGCTTGTGTTAATTTTTCTTTCCAGCCAAAGCCCAGAAGGTGGAGATGGACAAACTGGAAAAAGCCAAGAAGGAGCGAACGAAGGTAAGTCCAATAACGACAAAAAAGAGGATTATTCAGGAGTCATCCCTCTTTTCTGTCTGTGTCAGGGGCAAGTCCCTACCAGCTGCTCTTCATTTCGACTTTATATCCTTAATCAGATGCATGCAGAAATCCACACTGCAGGATTCAGCTATGCCTGTTCTTGCTTTTTATAAGGGTTTCCATGTAAATACATGCTCTCAGGAGAAATTAGGTCAAAAACACTTGTGTTTAATTCTTTCCAGCTAAATTATTGTTCAGAGGTGATGCATGCTGCTTCCTTCAGCAGCTCCAACAGCTGCTCTCATGATAGGAAGTGTACTTGAAAGGACATGTAGTTCACAGGAACTGCACTGTTATTCTCTGCTATGAAATGTAGACTGTGGTATGCAAGTCACAGTGATTTTGATGAGAGAATGAAACCAGACGGAAGGTAACATCCTTCTCCTCTCTGGATGGTGGTTGTAGCACATTAAACAGGAATCAAACCAGTGTTCTGATGCTCCACAGATTGAGTTTGTCACAGGGACAAAGAAAGGCACCAATCCCTCCAGCACAGCAGCCTCCACCACCAGCAGCACCACCACCACCACTGCCACAGGTAAACATCCACCTCTCAACTTCAGCTCGCTTAAACCTTTCTACATCGCAGTTATGGTCACTTTTGCAAGGCTGGTTTTCTGTTTGGAAGTCATATCAGGGTCACTGTTAAACCGTAACAGCAGTGGTCTTACCCTCATCATTATAAACCTCGATCCAGGATCAGGATGAGATCTTTATGTCCTTGCAACTTCCTTTAAAGATATCAACAAATGATGAGTTAAATAAACAAAAGTATTAAAAAGAATACAGCAACTGATGTGAAACACACAAGAACTTTATCTTGAACACTCCCAAAAAGTAGTCATCTATAAAATAATCAGTCTACTTGTTTCCAATTTTCATCAATTTTTTTAACCTTACTGTAAACTCACAAGTGGCTGAATGGTGACGTTAGCTAAAGGGCTGTCAAAGTTGTTTTGTGAATTAAAATATGAGCTGATCTCTCTTCTAATCATCTCTGTCTTCATCGGTGTAGCTGCTCATCAGTCAGGGAGTCGTGAAATGATCACAGTTAACTAGAGTAATGAGGTTTATACAACCGGAAAGACAGTAATAATACATGATGTCGATATACAAGTCACTCCCCTGCATACATCTGCATGTGAAAGGCTGGGTCATAACCAATCACAGAGCTTGTTTAATGGCTAATTTGCATTCTTGTACAAAAATACAAATAACTTTCCTAACCAATCAGCTGACAGGAAAAGGAAACGCAGCCAGGAAATGGAAATAGAAATGGGAAAAGGAATAGTCCTTTTTAAATGGCTAATTAAAGGATGAATTCTTGATCCAGTTTGTGAATTTGTGAATTTAATCCTCATTTTAAAAATGCATTTTGAAATTGTACAATTTTAAAGATTCATTCATACATTTTCCTTTAGTTGTACAGTTTTTTTTTAATTAAAGAAATGCTTTATTTCAATTTATGCAACCCTTGTGGTCCTCCATACATCCATGTGACGCCGCAGTTGCTGTTAAATGAGATGAATTGATCTTTGAAATGCTGTACCTCTTGAAAATACCTGTCGATGACCATCACACTGAGGCAGCTGCTTCTTACTTTGACATGCAGTTTTGGTAACAAGCAGTTTTACCGGAGATGCTCAGATCAATTTGTCGACATTTTATAGTGAGTGGAGCTTGTTGCCTCTTGCAGACAAACTCTGATATGTTTCGTCACCTATCTTATCAGAAGTGTTTCTGAAGAAAAATCTTATACCAGTCTGTTTCATTCAAAACATGGACGACAAACACATGACTCTGTAATGAAACTAGGTGTATAAACTTACCTGTGTGCCTTTACCTGATGTTATATCAGGCCTGCCTGCACAGCTGTTGGGTCAGCTCCTGCTCTCCTCTTACTTAATTCTTCTGTGTGTACTCTGTTCAGCAGAGGCTCAGAAGAGGAAAAGTAAGTGGGATTCAGCCATCCCTGTGACCCTGGCCCAGCCCACCCTCATCACCACCACTGCAACCCTGCCTGCTGTCGTCTCTGTGACCACCACCGCCAGCGGCACTAAGACAACTGTCATCTCTGCAGTGGGCACAATCCTCAAGAAAGCCAAGCAGTGAACACACAGACATCTGCCTATTTACTGTTTAAAGATGTGGAGAGAAGACATAAGAAGTGACGGACACTCTTTTATTTTTGTGAACAGGCCTCCTCTTACATGGACTATCTTAAGACTGCCTTCTCTCTCTGGGACCGTAGACAAGCTGATATAAATCCTGCACTGATAAAACACTGATGTCACTCAGTATTTTCCAGGTCTGCTGTAGTTTTTACAGTAAATCAAGATTATGACACTGAGGGTCACCAACATACCCACTCTGACTCTGTGCATACTCTGAAGTATTTTCATTCATTCTGCTGCAGTAATGTGCATCAGCTTGTTTATATTTTATCAACCTTTTTTTTTTCCTTCATTGGCATATTGAGGTCGCTGAGGTAAGATTTTATACACTTGTACATATGTGTTGATAGTAAGGTGAATAAATGGATCAGATGTTGCCTTTTCAGCTGTTGTACTGTCATCATTTAGAAAAAAAATTAACAAAAAGCTAAGACACACTCTTAAACCAAGTCCTGTGAAAATTAAGAGCACCCTCCATGGAGAGAATAAGCAGCAGGTGTGCTTTAATTTTACCGGCAAACACAGACAAGGCTCATAGGTGCTGTACAGATAAAGCAGTCAGGTAAATCTCCAAACAAAGGCTGAGGCTGTTGGCACGCTCAAGGACTTCTTACATGTGTAGGGTCCTAAATTTCCATTCACCGCAAGCCAAATGTCGGTAGATTTTTCATGTTGTGGCTAAATATCTGCACCACCAAAGAAGTACAAATGAAAGACAAAACCAGTGGTTTTGCCCCACCTTGGCCAGTGAATCAAAATAGGTATTTCGGACCCGACTTTTGTCTAACAGAGAAAGAGTCCTGACCTTGTTTTTGAGAGAGAAATGAGCCCACTGTATTGTTGTTTTAAGCAGTTAAAACTGAGAAAACGGACACGTTCATAAAAGTTAGTGGTGGCTGATGAGTTTTTTTGCCCTGAGGTGTGGGTGAGACGATATTGTAGTCTGTCTGATTTGTTTGTGATTGTTTTAGTTTGAACAAAGCCTTGTACTCTTGTGTTTAGCTTTGAAAAGAGACTCTTGACTGCAGACACTGAGCTGAATCTGGCCTGGTAAATCTCTTTGGCTACCACAACCACACTCATACACTATCTGGTTCTGTATTTTCTTGGCTGTGGGGATACATGTGGTCTCCAGGTGTAGCTGTGACTTATGTTCGTCCTCACCTCAGCCTCAACATCTGACTTCTATCCTTGGGGTGCATTGAGATATTGAACTCCTGAAACACAGCTCTCAGCAGGGTAAAGTGAACAGTGCAAGGAGGCTAAAGGTTCCTCTGAGTCAAGGCTAAGCGTGAGGGGTTATTAAAAAATTCCTGCTTGTCTACAGTTCAGTTATAACCTTCAAACCACACATATGGGTGCAGCCTTCCAACCGAATCATGAAAATATGCACAGCTGACTGTTAGGGGGTTTGATTGGATACATTCAAAGCTATATTTCTAACAACAATGAACATTTAAATAGAGAAATCAGGGGTAGACAGTATCTGTCTAATAATATCAGCAGAAAAGTAAACTATGTGTGTCTGTAAATTTCAAAGTTTCTGCAGATGTAATTACCGCCCAAAAGGTGATGCATTAAATATTTGTAGACAATGACGATGGATGTAGTAGGAGTACTTTGTATTGTTAGGAACAGACAGCAGACTTATTACTGAATGACTATATTTTAAAAAAATAAATTTTTCATCTGTGGTAGAGTAAAATATAGTTTGTCTTGTTTTGTGTCTTTATTAAAACAAATAGACTGTCACAATTAATAGAAAATTTGAACTGAAGGAGAAACAAAGGGGGCCAAAATCAGTTTAGTATATTAGTGATATCAGTATACTAGTTATCATCAAAGCATCTCTACCGCAAATGTTTTCTCTTCTTTTACACTGAAGTTACAATTAAAATTTAAATCTGAAATAAAAACTCCACATCTGTTTGTTTGTTTTTTTTTTCAGTTGTGACTGGCAAAGAGCAATCACAATTTCCGGTGAGACCTCTATGTGACAATAGACTACAAAAATGTACTTCTAAGAGCGGGTTGTAGCATGACCCTGAGTCATTTATAGCCCCAAGTTGAATCATATCCACTCCTAGCTCGTGAGTCTTTACAGTAGCATTTACATGAACAAATGTTCATCTTTTTAGTACACCTTTCACCCCTCCTTCTATGCTTAGGTGGCATCCACACTTGATTTCACAAAATTTTGTTTGGAAGCAAATGCTCCAATCTGCAAATGTGAAGATGTCTTTTGAGGTTTTTCAAACATGATGGTCTTTGCATGTTAAAGATGAAAACCTGAGAGATTACACGTGAAATTATAGAATAAACAGACAAAGATTAAAAACAGCAAAAAACATAGTTCCATAAGATTTGACATGTGTAAAATGTTTTTGTATTTTCAACAAACCAAATGCCTAAAAAGTGTATTAATTTTAAATTTCAAGCCAGCAACATTTTTCAATTGGGGACATGTTTTTCATTTTGTTGTGTCACATGCTACAGCACTTGTAAACACTGCGTAGCGAGTCACTTTCATTCTATTTCTTGTGTGATAAGCTGCCGAATGGTTTGAATAATTTACAGGTTGGACAGTGGGTGTGCTAGTTTGACTTCTGGACCTGGTGACTATAGTTTTGGAGTGTGATTCTGAACACATATAGTGATTTCCATGACAGAGTCATGCTGCTCAAGGTCCTTAATCATGACTATTTCAATTTAGTTATTCGCCTTGTCCCTTTTGTCCAGAGGATTCTCCAGATTCTCAGAATCTCTCAAATATATTGTACACTGTGTTGTGTGTTGAAATCCACTGAATCTTTGACATTTTATACTGAGGGATATGATTCTGCAATGCTAACTGTATTCTCACTCAGTCCCTCACAGAGTGGCGAGCTTTGCCCGATCTTAACTTTGCCCTTTATACACCCAATCAGGTTCCTAAATTGTTGCAAATGAACCTCATTAGGCAGGAAATGTTCTTCCCAATTGTGTTTTTTCAGCATAACATGACAACAGTGCTTTGTTGTCTCTGTGCTTGCTGTTTTAATACATGTTGCTTTATATTTTTCATAAAACCATAACCCAGATACAGATACTACAAGATTACACTGAACACCATTTGCATGGAAACTGCTCAACCCCTCTTTAGCCTACTACTACTGATTTTGACACCTCTTCCTGCTCCCATCCCTATAGTCACTAAGTTTGTCCCACACAGTTCTCTAATTTTCAGATCTAGATGGTTTGAACAACAGACTGACAGAAAAATGATCTGATGTTGTGAGGAATAATGCAGACTCAGCTGTAAAGGACAGACAGGATGTCCGTATAGGAATGTTATTAAATATGATTCATGCCCATCTCGCGAGCTCTTTATTGCTGCAGGTGAGAAGTTTGTGTCAGCGCGTGCAAATTTTACTGCTAAGCCTGCGAGACACACCCTGTGTACAGGCTGTACTGAACAGGTCACAACTTTCCCCTCTTCTGAGTCTCCATCCATCTGCTGTGGTAAAAGTGGGGAGTGTACTAAGTCCTCATTCAACATATTGCAAATAATATGAGCTCTGACGATTATGAAAGAAACCACTTATTAGTCACTTTCAACTTGGATGTAAGTGGGAAGGTTATTGAAGGTCCCCAGATCACAAATATGAGTCTAGTATGATCTGGACCAGATTGCATGTAGACCAGATTAACCTCTAGGCCACAGTCGACCAGGTCCTGACTCATAAATGAAGCACTTCACATCTGGACTTGTGGGACACTTCAGTCTTTTTTAAACACAGTTCTAGATTTGTAAAACTTGCATTGTTGCATTGAAATTATATAGTATTTAACAGATGGGATTAGCTGGCTCAAAGTACTGATTTAAAAAAAGAAAAGAAAAGAAAAGAAAGATGATTACAGGAATAAGTAGCCACATCTAAAAAAGCCACATTTGAGATGTCTAATGATTGTGGTTTTGGATTAGGGCCTGGTGCAGTGTGGTCTAAATCTGAAATAGTGGTAAAATTGCTCTTTTTTTTTTGTTGTAGTCTTGAAAACATAATACAGGTTTCACAAATTAGGAGCTGTATTTCACTGAGCCTGTAGCCTCACCGGAGTCATTTAGGATCTGTCTAAATAGCCATGGTATGTCTGTAGCCTCTCTGGAATAATGTAGTGTAGATCTGACAACCAGAACCTTCTCTATTACCAGCCGGACCAGAAGTTGCGAATAAGATGCTAGCGTCAGTGTTGTGCTCGGGTGTCAGTTGGTCTACGGTCAATTAACTGATAGGGTAGCCAATAAACTAACCAAATGAAAACTTTATTTATTACTTCTTATCAATGTATGTTTTTTGTGTATAATTTCAGTTAGATATTAAAATAGTGAATAACTTTGTAAAATCAATTACCCTTAAATGTTTATAACTATTAACATGGCTAACAACCGCCACTAGCTAGGCTAAATTTGCTAAATAAACACCTGTGAATGTCACTGAGAATTACTTTATCATATTTTATTATTGAAGTAAAAAGTTGCCTTTTACTCTATTTTGTGTGAAATAAGGTTATAATGTAGTCTAACTGTTGTGTTTTACCTTCTTTGAATAGCCTGCTACAGAAGTATGTCACTGCACTGAGTGAAACGTCGCGCTGTCCTCCTGCTGTAGTCTGCATCACTCTGGCTCATTTGGTGGAAGGAAAAAAAAGGGTGACGCCATTGTGCACTGAATGGACCCACTGATCCAAAAAGAGCAGTTTTTGTCATGTAAATTGGCAAAGAGTTGGACAGACTGGACCCAGTGTGAAGTGCAGAGCAGGGATCTGAAAGTGGAGACATTCCTGTCAGGCTTTCCTGAGTTTCCAAAAACTTCTGCCATCAAACTTACATTGAGAGGATTTGTTTTTGTGTCCTAACAGCCTGTGTGGGGAGTGCTGCTCTGTCTCTGCTGCTAATGAGTCCAGGTCGCTACAGAAGCAGCCCTTTCACAGTAAGTAATGCCTCCAGTCATCATTTTCAAGTTTGCAATGGCAGATAGTTGGATGGGATTGATGCAAAGGATAACTTCATGGTCCACAGCGTAATGTACATGTTTCAGGTGGTTAATAAACAACAATATCTCACTTTTTACTGAACATATGTAGTTCATCCTTCTAATTGTGGGCGGCACCAAAGCAAGGTTGTAAATCATTGGCCTTTGGCCTCATAGAGGATAGCTTTAACTCTAATTACACTTTTCTCAGTTCCTCTGGGCCAGAAGGATTTTTCCCTATTAGACTGACACCTCCCTGATGGATACCTTTACTATTTATCTGTGTTTTCATGTAAACTGATGTTACATAAAAAAAATAAAAAAAACATTGAATGGAGGAAGTGAGTTTTGCAACCAACCCCAGAGGGAAAGCTACACAGATCAGATACATTTGCAAAATTTGCAAAATCATTAGATTTCACTTTGTTTTTGGTTTTAGTTGAATTAATATGTGTTGTTTACCAACTATATTTTGTCTTATTCACTTTGCTCTTACAATGTATTATTATCTAGGAATATTAAATGACACAAAGTCTAGTTTATTAAAAAAAAAGATATTAAGATATTTAGAAATAAACAAATTATCAATGAGTTTTAATTAGGAGTTCTTGCAACTGCTTTATGGTGGTTTCTTTGTGTGTGTGTGTGTGTGCGTGCGTGCGTGCGTGCGTGCGTGCGTGCGTGTGTGTGTGTGTGTGTGTGTGTGAAGACTGAAAAATATACAGTTTATCTTGCAATGCAGTTGATGAACCCCCGACAACTAATGAGGCCAAGAAACATAACTTTGAATGTTGCTGTTATCTTTCGTGTTCACACTTTGAGTTTAGTTGTGAGATGCACTCACCAGTTCTTAAGCCACTGCCTGAATCCAGGACAGGATCCAATAATAGCAAAATAATGTATTTTTGATATTTGACCTAACAAGGGGATGAACACTAACTAACAACTCGATGTAAAATAAGCTGGGATTTCTGTGTAGTTGTTTGGTATGGTGTGTGTGATCTGTTTGTCTCTAGTGTTGCACTTGTTGTGTAGAGTTGTTAGAAGGTGGTTGAAGGGTTTTGTCCAATCAGAGTCAAGAGTCATCTGGCTGTGTTGAAAACCCAACCAGATGATTGGTAAAAAAGCTGGCTTATTTGTATCTTCAACATACTCCTTTGTATTGAGATTTTATCAGCTCAACCTCATACCAAACATTTACACACACATACTCAGACATGCATGTGCATGGTGCTGTTATGCCACATCTGCACTTTTCTCATTGCCCCCTTTTCTGCTTTTGTCATGACCTCCAAGAGGAAGGAATGGCTCTGCTTCACCATTAATGCATCTGCAGTTACACATTACAGACAAGGCTCAATAGAGGGTGTAAATATCCTGAGAAAGTGATTTACAGCACGCTGAAGAACAAACCTTTGTAGACTTTCTTTACTGCAAAGTCAGAGTTTGACTGATAAAGACAGCAAGGGTATATTTCATGAAGAAAAAATACTGTGGCACGTAAGAACAAGATTCAGCAAAGAGGTGAGAACTCTGTATTTTGTAAAAGAAGTCAGAAACCCTGCCTGGAAATCTGTTATCTTTTCCTTATGTATATGTAACTGTGCAGCCAGGTGTTGAGGATTCAAATCAAGCATTGACTTCTTTATTCTTGTTAACTCAAGGAATCCTAACACAAACCAAAAAGAGATACAGCTCTCGAGCCACTCCCTTTCAGTTCCTCCTCCTCCATGTTTTGATGGGCATCACTGCTAGAGTGTCAGCCAAGGAAGCTGGGAGGGGGACGAGTTGATTCTGCAGAAGTTTTGTTCTTCTGAAAAGAAGCTAGCCATTGTATCAAAGCAGATCTGGTTGCCAGGGACACGACTATGTATGTGTCTGTTCAGACTGCCCAGTGTGGTATGTACAGTGAGCAGGAACAGGCTGTGTTCGCCTCTGAGTCATGTTAACTCATTGGATCACAGATTTTAGTCACAGGTACAAATCTGACTATGTGTAAATAAATGAGGTGTGTGATGAGGGTGTGGTCCAGTGGCTGTGATTGCAACCCACACCTGAATTTTCAAACCATAATATAAAACAGTCTAGGGGTTTATGCAGTAGACCAAAAATATAATATGTCTGTTTTAAGGGATTTTTTGCCAAATCAATAATTGTCAATATTTTGTATCAGTAAAAATGTGGAAAAAAAACTAACATGTGTTCATGAAAGTCTGGTGTTGCACTCATTCTTATTAACAGTTTATCCAGTGATGTTCATGAATAAAAACAACATATCGAAGAAGAAAAAGTCTTACAGATTAACTTAAAACTTATTCAGTGAAGTAAATAAAATACAGAGACGCCGATTTTAATCAGAGCAAGTATGAAGCTCAAACAGTGCAAGTTTCAGCAAACATTCAAAGTAGTACACAGGATTTATTCAGTAGAATATTGCACAAAGACCAACAAAAAGTGTTGCAAGATTTTCTGGTTGGTGAATAAATTTCAGAGGTCCATTTGCTACAAAACAGGTAAATATTTGTACCAAAACTGTAACCTCATATAAAATCATCATGCTGAGTTTTAGAGCATTTTCATGTAGCTGCAGCTTCCCCCCTCTGCCCTTCTGCTGTCTGCATATTGGGACTTTAGGGGGTCAAGTTCACAGAAAAACACAAACATATGCAAACAAATGCACAGAAAATTAAGGTGTGGGTTGCAGTCGCAGTCACTGGACCTCACCCCATCACATTCCTTAAAATTGGACTCACACAGAGTCACAGAGTCTGTAACCAGAGTGAAGCTGTGTCAAAGGTCTGGGCTTTCAAACACCACTGTTTATCACACCGCATGTCAGCCACAGTGCTTAAACTGGGCTTTCAGGGTCAAGACTCTTTAACAGAGTAAAGAGTCCAACTAAAGGGCCATTTCAATTTTTGTTTTCAGAGAAGCTGGATATTTATTTTCCCTCTGAAGATGGAGTGACCTGTTTGTAGATTTTTTAACAAACACAGATTTTATTTACTATTTGAGCAAGTTCATGTATGCCGTTCGATTGTAAACTGACAGCAAGCTCCCACTAGTCAGTATAAGAAGCATTTGTCCCTCATAATTAGACAATGATCGCAATATAGGGAGGTGTGGTGATGTGCCTGTGGACTGGAAAGCATCGCTGAGAGAGAGGAAAGAGAGAGAGAACAGGAGCAGGAAACTGTTCAGATTAAGAGATTAATGTTATTTTATGTATGAAGTAGTATCAAGCATGAGTTGCTGTGTGGGCTCCATCATAAATCGGCTCCCATGGTGAACAAATTTGTGATTACCGATTACAATCCATGTGTATTAAGGGCCACACGTATTAAGATGTTTTGCCTTTTACACAAAATCTCTGAATTTGTTCTATTTTTTCTCATGTTTAGATTTTATGTTCAAAGGCATCTGCCTATCGTGAATATAGCATATCACAAATGAATGAACTTTGTGATATTTAGTTATATTTATGTGCATTCTTTACTTACAAAGTAGCAACTAGCAGTCAAGAGCAGGTAGATTACAGTATTATTATTATTCAGAATGGAAGCGCTAAAGGGGTAATAAGTTATTTTGCTCTCATACCAAAGATTTTTTTTTCTGTACTTTTCTGAGCCCATTTAAAGTTTCACAACGTCAGTGCCTTCTGGCAGCATCCTGAATCCACAAATGATTCACTGATAAACTCCTCAGCTGTGATTAAGAGGAAGAAGGAATGCTGCTTAGGGCAAGTGTTGTGTCATTTTTCTCTCAAAACACTTTTGAATCAATAATAGTAAGTCTGAGAGTTTAGTTATGCTCAATGAAAACTGCTGTGTTCCTGATTGTACACCATATAATCAAGCTGACATTACTGTAATTCAGTGGTCTGGTGTCTTCCCTAGGGGAAGTTAAACAAGACTCCTGTTGGCTGATCAAAAGTTAGAGTTGATGAAAGGGGAGGATTTGCAGGAAAATTGGTAGCTATCCTTTTGGTGCAGTACAAAAACACTTTTCCTTAAAACTGTCTCTTTGGGGTCATTCCTGGGGGGGGGGGGGGGGGGGGCGCCTGTCTTCTTGTCAAGTTCACTGGAAGAGGTGGTCCAAAACTATCCTGCTGAATCTGTAGAGCAAGACAAATTTAGGCGCAAGAGGTCTTTTTTTACTTTTTATCACAAGTTGCCCCATAAGCTAGTTTGTTACCTCCGCCAAGGAGGTTATGTTTTTGGTAGCGTTGGTTTGTTTGTTTGTTTGTTTGTTTGTCTATTAGCAACTTTACAGATAAAGTTACAGATGGATTGACCTGAAATTTTCACCAGAGGTGCGTCTTAGCCCCGGGAGGATCCCATTACATTTTGGTGGTGATCCAGATTGCCTTCTGGATCCAGGAATTTTTTGAAGGATTCTTTATCATTGTGAGATAGGGCACATTTTGGAATTTTTGCATTTAATCTATAAAAATGGTCAGAGTCTTGAGTAAAAAATTACACAAAAGGATCTCAATGAGTTTTATGAGGTGTCAAAGGTTGATCCTGATCCAGACAAAATTCTGGATACTGTGATCCAGAACACACAAAAATAGGGGGGTCGTTGGAATTTTCAATGCTGAAAGATAACCAATGAAGATACAAGGAAGTGTACGCTTACAAATATTGCATAATAAATCATGCATTCATGTATCTTATATGAGCTTTGTTGTTTTAGGAACATTATGAACAGTGAACATACCAGTTTAAACACAAATAAAAGTTAATAAAAGACACGTAACAGTAAAAGTTTTGGTGTGAATCACAATATAAGGGGGGACATGAGCTGCTTGGCGGAGGTCTGCGCTCTCCGAGTGCTTTTCTAGTTATAATTATTTTTTTCTCATTAGTTTTTAAAATATCAATTGAATTCTGAAAGTAGCTGCTTGTAAAGGTGAACTAACAGATAATCATAAGGTTGAGTTGCATTTCTGTTTGGCTTTAAAAAGCTCTCTTGCCCATGGATTTGGTCTGGAGATAATTTCTGTTTTGATTCAGGCTCACCATCTCAGAAACGTTATCATTCACAGTTGTTAACTGTTTTCAGCAAACATTCCCTGAAGACTCACTGCATACTGTCAGCCCAGCTTTGAGCTGCAGAAAGACGAGAATGACAGACAGCTAGCATAACAGAGTGTCAGGTACATTAAAATATAGATAACTTTAAAAATCAATGTTTCTTTCAATTGAATGAAAATCCACCTAAAACATGTTACTGGCTAAGATGACCATGTATATCAGAGAGTAATATGCATTTATTTATAGTTGTTGTTGTTATGAGATTGTTATAATGATATCGGCATTTCAGCCATGGGCCAACCTGCTCTCTAATCATAGGCATTGACCATTGATGAAAGGAACCATTGTGTTTCTCAGCCTTAGCAAATTAACCTCTGTTTTCTGGAATATTGGCTGTGACAGCATTATGGCATAAAAAATTTGTCACAGTTGTTTTTAGAGTTCGCCACAAGACCTTTCAGTTGCATTGCTCTATAACAGTTTTCGCAGGTTTAACCAAAAAGCCAGGTATATAAAGTGCTGAATGTTTCTTTTGATGAAGTTAAACTTGTCTGTGACTTTGGTGTAAGGTTAGCATTAATACGAAAGCCTAAGCAGCACCCCCCCTGACTGTGGAGACTGCAGTCCAAGTCCTCTCTAAACCGGGTAGTCTGAACTCGTTTCTGAGCCTAGACCATACAGAGGACAGAAAAAGATACCGTGAGGGGTCAAGAGCTCGAACATCTGAAAGGAGCTTGGTTTCTCCTTTGCATTAAATGGAATCAGCTGAGGTAGTTTACCTATTTGATAAAGGTGCGCACTATGCATACTGCATATGCCTCTCTTTGGAGGTGTTGTGGGCATGTCAAACTCGGAGAAGACCTCTGCAGACCTGGAGATCACTTGAGGGTTTATATATCCCATCTGGACTGGGGTTGCTTCAGGTACCTGCAGGAAGAGATGGAAAATGTTGCAGGAGAGAGGTATGCCCAAGCCGACCACCTTAAGACTAGGTGAGCTGAAGGAATGGATACTCTGAACTGAGAAGTGGGCCATCTTGTAAGTTGAAGGGAGTGAGGATATTTGATGTAGCTCATAATGACTTTATTAAAAATGGATTTCTGTAGTTTTTTAAAAAACACAGAAAGACATAAGAATCCAGTGCAAGGGTAACCATGCAGTGCTGGTCCCTCCATACAGAAACTCAGGTCCCTTGACTGATAGTTAATTTCCCGTATTTACTTATTTATTGTATTATTTAACCTGCAAACACAGTAACATTGGTGCTGCAAACACAAGTCCTGGATTCACAGCATAATTTTTTAGAAAGATGCTAAAATCAGTTTGAAATAAGAGGAAAAAAGAAAAAAGCACCAAGAAAAACAACATACAAACCTTTAAAAATAAGTCTTTAATGTCAGAAGCTAACTCTACTTTCAAGCCATACCTATGATGTTTTTCCAAGAGGCGACAGTGGTGCGGTTCTATTGGTTTCTTGTACACAGTTTTTTCTAATGATATGCTTGGATTCAAAGTTGTTTGTGAGGCTTGTGGCCAAAGAATTGTGCAGTTTTAAACATGCATGGCAATTATAAAGAGCGAAGATGGGTGCAGTGAACAATATTTTCTGGTGATTCTGAAACATATACAGAGATATTTCACTTGTTTGTCAAACCTAAGGTTCAAATCTAAGATGATTCCTAAGAACATGACAACACCATCAACCAGATCGATGGACTGGTTTTTATTTTTACCAGAGACTGTTCTTTTAAACATTCAGCATTAAATAAGAAGACTCAAACCATTGTGATAAAGGACAGCTAAGGAAGTGGTTTTACCACCTAAAAGACGAGAAAAGTTATTTTGCAATCCAAAAGTATTTGATAAGTAAAAAATGGGCCTGATATGGGCACACGATTGTGTAAACATGAGAGTCATAATCTGTTTCCCCTAGCCTGCCTGCAGTGTTCTGCTCTGTGCACCACTCCCAAGAGCCTGGGAGGAGACCACGGAGGGAGGGGTCAGACTCTCCTCTCTCAAGCCCACACAGGTGAACTTCTGCTGAGTGGAATGCAGCAGGGAGGGGGCCTCCACACTTAGAGGTGTGGAGCTTTTTACTTCAAACAGGGTGGGGGACAGATATGGTAAAGGTAGAGGAAGGGAGTTAACTCTCTCCATCACAGTCACTCACCTGGATAGAGAAAAGGAGTGTGTAAGAGTGTGTGTGCCCGTAAGAGAGAGAGAGAGTGTGTGTATGTGTGTGTGTGCCAGAGTGTGTGTGTGTGGGTGTGTGTGGGCTGAGGGTAAAGGAGGGATCAAGTCACCGCACACTCAGTCGTTTTCACTCACTTGCTCTGAGGCTCAGTGTCTCTCATATCTTTCTCCTGCACACACATAATAACACAGGCAGACACACACACACGCAAACAGACACACACACACATACTCTCAAGGGTTTGAGGGCAAATAAGTAAATCTTTGACCAGACCAGACTGTACAGGAAGGAAACTAAAGTGAGACAGAAGACTAACGTGGAACTTTTTGGATTTTTACCTCACACTCAAGAACTTGAGGAAGAGTTTTTGTGCCTTTTCTGCAGGTGGAAACAAACTTTTCCAAAATCTGGGGTCAGAGGAAACAAAAAGGAATTGTTTTTTTTCACCATTTATTGTTGGACTTTTGGACTTGGACTGGGCGCGGGCACAGTAAGAGGTTTGTTTGATCAGTAATCTCTTTGTATCCAGTCATAAATTTCCAAATGGCTCCATTGTTTTCAGTGCCTTTAACCTATAATGCCTTCTTCTGCTCAGACTTGCAAAATTTATGGATCATTTTGCTGGTTCACATTTTTGTGTCTTTATGACAAGGTGTGAGACAGTGAACTGCACATTATGTAACTTTATATGGCCATGTGGTTTTCAATTTCATGCAAGACTGAAAGTACTCACAGATTTCCATATGACTGAGTGCTTGTTTTTCTGTTGGAACTATTTGAATTCTTTTGTTTTGGACCTGAATGCAGGGATTACAGTGCAACACAGGTAAAAAAAAAGAAACGGGGTCAGAAAAGAGAGGAAGAAAGAATAGACAGAGAAAGAGAGAGAGAGAGAGTATCAGCAGGTTTTCAGTGTTCTGTCACATGAAGGTAAAATCCTGCCGTGTTGGTTTGATTGTGATTTGTAGCGATGGCTTCAAAGGCGGGGATTTTCCAGCTGTGATTTAACCCGCTGTCACCTGCAGGTCTCCTGGCCTGACCCTTAAAACTGTTACTGCAGACCCCGAACTCAAACTGATGATGTCATTCTAGGGTCAGGCCCACACCCCTTGGTGGTATGTCCCCCGGGCAGGCATTTTGTTGTCAAAAGAGACAACAACCACAGCTTTGAACTCTGGGAAAATGTCCCCTATAGTATGTGCTACAGAGTGGCTGACTCAGTTTTATTTTCTGCTCCTCACAGGCTGTAATTTGTGTCTCCCACTTTATCGTCAGTGTCATTTCAACGCCTCCTCTTTGATTTTGTCTGAGGAGGACAAGCGTGTCTTCTATATATTCAGCTCATATCCAGTAATGGTCAAGTTTGCAGGATAGGAGCTGGTTTGTTTTTGCCTTTCTCTCTGTCAGTGATTTATGAGACACCTTTTGCACACACACCTGTAGTCAGTTCAAGTTCACAATGAGGTGCTAAGGTGCCTTTCCCATGTGTTTTTAACCTGGACTGGTCGTTCTCTCGCCTCAAGGAGAAATTCCTCCTTGGAGTTGTAAATCTCCAGAGCACAAATCATCATTTTATTTTGGTGCATTTTTGCAGCTGCAGTGACAGAATTCTCTTTTGTGCCCACTGAGACAATTACTGAGACATCTCATGCTACATAGTGCCCTTTGTTCAGTTCCACCTCCTGTCTGCAGTAGACATCTTTTTTGGCAGCTTCCTGTCTATCAGAGTCTCCCTTATCAAACATTCCTGCATAACATTATAAAAAAATACTTTTTTTATTTAAAGTCTGCGCAGCATGCCGTCTGGAGTTTACCAGGCCCCACCCAGAATTGGTTTCTTCCTGTTGTGGTTCTTCTATTGCATTTTATCAAGCCTCAACAGGCTCCTTATAGAGTTTCTTCGCCTCTGAAATCAGTGAGAGTGCAAAAGTCAGTGTCACACTTATTCAAAACTGTTTAATTGAGCTACAAACTGAGAAGTAGACAAGAAATATACCTTTATTTTAACAGGAATGTGAAATGACATGAATCAGGCAATATGAAACAAGAAAAACAGTTAACTTTACAGAGAGTGACACTGTCACTGTATTTTTAGGATTTATGTTGATATTGTTATGCTGGAGTTGAAGAGTCCAGTAAATTCATAGAGATAACATCTCTGTTACATTGCTGTCAGAGGTCAAATCCAAGCAGCAGTGTTCTGCCTTGAGATATGAGACCAGCTGTTGACTGTAGTTCCTGAAGTGTTCACCTGAGGCAGGCTGCAGGATTACCAAAGCACATACACACTCATTAAAAAAGCTTATCTTAATAATAGCACAAATAAACATGTTTACAGCTCTGGTCTTAAGAACTTACTTCTCACTCCACACACACATTAGTATAATCTGATATGAGGGTTGTGAGTTTGGCAGATTAGAGTTATGGCTGAGTTAACTGACAGGCAGCACGCTGTAGCTGATAGCAAGGAGGCTGAAAATCTCACACAACTACACCTCTATATGTGTCTTGGTAGATTGACTGAAAGTCACCAAGACAACATCTACATATTACACAGTCTGTAGTTAAAACCAGAAAAGCTTCAAACTTAAATGAAACCAATTTCTTTTCATATAAAATAAATGTTATAAACATTCAGACAATCTTTTCAGTTTTCTCTTTACCACATTTAGGTCTTGGTACCACAATATGAAAACATATTTTTCCTTGTCACAAAATATATACACTTCAGTCATCCTCCATTGTTACTCCTACAAGGGAATTGTAATGTCCTCCTGTGGTGATGTAATGACAGGAGTGATTTGCCCAGGCAGAAATGCAAAAACGCTACCACTACCTGTGTGATTCTTCTTTTTTAGGTGCGATTGTGGGTTTCAAATGAGATGGTCCATGACATAAAGTCATACATGAAAGGCAAGAAAGTAGGAGACAGCCAATTAGTGCAGTGCATCAGGAAATATTTTGTCCACTTTTGCAGCCATCTCTGTTTAAACACTTCTGGCAGCCTGATACGAATAAAACATGCAAATAATAGAAACATGAAGCATCGATCAAATAAAATCAGGTTATGAGAGCTATAACTCAGTACAACCATCTTCTCTTTCTTGCTCATTGCAGTTAAGGGTCATACCAGTACACTTGATGCCCCCAACAGGGCATCACTGTTAATTCTACTCAATACTAAAAAGGTAGACTGCTACAGGTGGATAATTTTGGTACCTTAACTGTGGTAATTCAAATAAATGTGTACTCTGCTGAACCAAATCAGACCACTTGGTGGAAACATACTGTAATCACAGTAAAAATTGGTCAATATTTTTGTCTTTATATGGTCACAGGGATAGTTTGTTGTTGTTTTTTGAATTTTAAGTTTGCCCATGGGTTCAGTCCTTGGAGAGAACGCAGTTTTCCTGTTTTAAACCAGTCTCAGAAGCTCTTTTCATAAACTGATATAAAGGGAAGGAGACCATCTTGGCCTCGTCACTCTCTGTAGAGTTTGCTGGAGGGAAAGTACAGGTGGTTCACGTTACAGCACAGTCTGTTAAGACATCACTGTGGGGGAGGGAGGTTTTTTTCTCTCCTGTTTTATTTTTCTTTGCAACAGCAAATTTCAGCTGTATTTAAATCATGAACGTAATGTTTGAATATACATTTTTGTGTTTCTATTTCAGGCAGGAGATGGGGAGATGGACGGTTCATCTCTCAGTGGGGCTTGGACTCTTAGCCCTGTTAGTGACCTGCTGTTATGCTGAAGGTGAGGAAGCCGTATGCCTTTACCTGTGAAAGTGATTGACTGATGTGTTATTTTGTGTTGTTAGAGGTACGTTTAATAGGAAAGCTGACTTTGACTTTATTTTTTTAAGGGACTTACGTAATAGGAGGGCTGTTAAATATATAAGGTGAATGCTACCTTGGAACTTTGAAACAGGTGTTGCACCAGATGAACAATGTGTGTGACAAAACAAGGAATCGAGAGTTTAAGTTCAAGTTCTCTTTCTGTCATGATATTTGTCAAGAGAGCAATCTGCTAAATAAAAAATAAAGCATTAAATAAATAACAGATGTATGCACTGTATTTTGAAATAAAAGCTTTGCAAGCAATCAGATTCCCACACAAAACAGTTTATGTTGACAGGTATTATCATAGTACAGAAGCTTGATTAAATCACACCATCCCAAAATAGTGATTTTACTACCCAAAGATGTATTTCTCAAAGATCAGGGCCAGTCACAGCCAAACAAAAACTAGAAAAATCACACTAAAATGTCAGGAATATTTTTGCTTATAAATCAAGGCTTTACAGAGAATTATAAATAACTTAATCTGTTCTTTGGGGTCTTGTCTCTGACAAGTATTCAATATTTAAAAAAAACTGAAACTAATTGTATTAAACTAAGCATTATAAAAAAATAACTAAACAAACAAAAACAGCATCAGAAAAAAATTAAAAACTGAAATAAAAGTGGAAACAAAAAGCCAAATATTTTTATTGATGGAAGTGTTAGTAAGCTTATGGTTCATCTGGAACACTATCTCTATGATTCATTTTTTTTTAAAAATGTCATGTGAAGAAGCTTTACAGAAAGAGCAGGTTCAGATTGTACTCTTTCTAGTTTTCACAGAGACACATTAAGAACTTTAGGATAAGAGAAGATACTATCACATTTTATCTACAGTGAAGCAACATCTAGCAGGTAACAGTGGCACAGTCTATAAAAACAGCCTGACCTACCAACAAATCTGAAAAAGAAAAAGGGATGTTGTGCCAAAGTCTGTTTGTTGTTACCTCAGATATTCCAGGTATGCTTCTTGTGTTGGATTCCTACTTTGCTGCCTCTTTATGACTCTTTCTGACCACACCCCCACCACCGCACCCCACCCCACCTCTACCCCACAGAGAACTACTGCTTTGCCTCCAGGAGCGAGACCTGCTCAAAGTGCCTGCAGACTGGAAAACGCTGTGCTTACTGCTCTGAGGAGGTGAGAGCCGAGTGTTGTTGTAATGTGAGACTCCAATACCAGCTAAACATGAAAATCAGACATGCACACCCCTCAGTGGCTTTTGTATACAGATGAATTGTGCACAACTAAAAGGACAAAAAGGTTGAAAGGTCGATTCAACACAAAGCGATGTTTCGAGGCAGCATGCTCTTCCTCAGACATGCATCAAACAAATGTGATTAACCATCTAAAAACACATTGAAAACCACCTGATCAAACACTGCACAAATCAATAAATATCTAATAACCAATTACCGTAACTACCTAAAAATGTGAGGTTGTCTTATATTTAGGGTTTAGTAATTAAACCCTTTAGTACAATGTTACAATGTCACTTAGTAGATGCTTTTATCCAAAGCGTCATACATTCGAGAAAAAGAACACAGATCGAGACAAGGGTAAAACAAGATCAGTAAGAGCAACAAAGTCCTTCAAGTCCATTTGGACACAGGTACTGCCAGACAGTCTAAAAGGCAAGTGTCAATAAGATATATATCTTTTTTCTCAATAAAATATGGAACATCAATAATGGAGCAATCATTCAATTTAAGACCTTTCATCATCACCATCAAGAAACTTACCAACGTAACTTAATAACGTACCAAGTGCTGGGTCACTCAAGCACTGAACATAGATTCCCAGAGTAGAGCAGGACAGTGCAAGTCAACTGTAGCTGGAAGACTCATTCAGCCACTGGGGACAACAGTGGAAAATGGTCCAGCTAAGTGCATACTGTTCTCCAAAGAGCTGGGTCTTGTTGTCTTTAGAAAGTAGAAAAGGATTCTGTGGAGCCAATATGACATCATATCATTGTGCTAATATATCAGCTCTGAAAATAGAATGATACCATGTTGGGACTTACTTTAAAATCCACCCCTTTGTGAGATCAGCAGCTTTCAGGAGAGAATTTCTGTGTGTTTCTGCAACATCCAGCCACTTTACTATCTCACAAAGGAGATCAGCATATTTTCATAGAGTATTTTAAGGCAACCCCTTTAAAAAAAGGTCATCTGTCATAATTTATACATTTTTGGACGTATTATTAATGGAATTAGTATTTTGCATTTGTTTTTGTTGTTGTTGTTAGCTGACTGGAAAACAGCTGTCATCTTTGTTTGGATTAGTTGACCAATCAGGGTCTGTACCTGCGATCAGCTTGAAGCAAAGACAAACTGAAGCAGACATTGGAATCTGCCCTCATGTTTTTTGTAATTGGTTCATTTTTGTAATTGATGTTAGCTGTCTTTGAGTACTAATATAAAAAGTATATAATAAAAAGTATCTACAAATATAACACACAACTAAGGCATGCATATTAATCCTGTAGCACTGAGAATACGAAAAGTCAGTAAACTTATTTCTTCAACAAATACTGGGGTACTAAGAAATTAGTGACAGATATGATCCTTTACATAGTTTGAATATTAAATGTATCTCATCCTTTTTTTTTGCTTGCAGTTTATTTTTGTATGATTCCTCCATGCTGTAAGTCTCTTGTTAGTCACAGGCTGTTCATGGGTTGAACTGTGTTACTGTGTTTTATCAAGTATGTGGATGTATTTAAAATAAACACCCATACATGATTGTGGCAAATCTGAGTCTGAGGAAGAACAAGTTGGTTCTAAACTTCACTTTGTGTTAAATTAATCCTTCAGCAGGAGCTTTCTGTGTGCAGACGTAAATGTCTTTGTGCAGTTGGAAATTGAATAAACTGGCTTTAAAGACTTGGATATGAAAGCCATGAGATGCAGCAGAACATTTCGTTACTTTATACAGGGCTGTTTCCTGCCCTGTTCAGAGGATGGACCTAAAAAATTACACCTCCTCTCAGAACAACACTGTAACTTCATTGAATGTACCCAGTAGCAATAACTTGACATCCAAGAAAAAACATGAAGATTAAACACTAATTAAACTTTATATTTGCTCAGAACTTTGACGGCCCTCGTTGTGACTTCTTTGAGAACATTATTGCCCACGGCTGCAGTGCTGCAGCAGTGATCATGGAACAGAGCAGTGTGAAGATTGAAAAGGTAAGTCTTCATCACCTTTATTTTTTTCTCCTTCTTCTTAAATTTTTGTTGTGTTTTGATATTTTAAAGTATGACATCTTAACCAAGCTTCTGTTTCTGTCTGGTTCAGAATGAAAAAATCAACAAAGCGCTTCAGCTGTCTCAGGTGTCTCCACAGCAGATAAGTATGTCCTTTCTGCCAGGAGAGGAAAAAGAAGTAGATGTGGAGATATTTGCCCCAACCAAAGGTCCTTTAGATCTTTATATTCTTATGGACTTCTCCAACTCCATGGCTGACGATTTGGACAACCTGAAGAAAATGGGCAACGAGCTAGGTGAGCATGTTTGTGTTATACACATCGACTGTATATACTATGGACAACTTGGCTCCACCTTCTGTCATTATACAAATTTGAAGCCAAATTGCTCTCGGTATTTCAAAGATTTTTTCCACTTCCTGGAACCACCACTTGCACAGTAGCGTTGTACGTATACGGCAAGAGAGTTGCTGAGAGTCGCTGTGATGACTCTCTGCTCAAACAGCGTATCCCCCGGGTGAGCTACACAATCTTTGTACACCCATAGGCTGTATCAAGTGTCAATCATAGAAAACATGAACCACCAAATAACTTTTAAAAATGGAGCTGTACAGAAAAAAGAGGACTTTAGTACAAACCAGTTTGACAGTAGCTGCATGTCAATATCGCAACCGGGGGGAGGGGGGTTGGTTTTTCTGTGTAATTAATTTCTAAAGTTTATCCACAGCCCCAAAAGGATTGCTGGAGGAGGCGGGATTTATTACTCATACTGCAGCCCATCTCTAGAGGGTGCTGTTCTCACGGAGGCAGAAGGCGTCCATTCTATACACAGTCTATTGTTACAATAGTGTGCTGTGATGCCTGTTGAGTTGTGTGTCACTAATAGTGAATTACTTTTCTGCAGCTTCACTGGTGGAGAAGCGCTCAGCGGACTACACTATTGGCTTTGGAAAGTTTGTGGACAAAGTGATTGAGCCACAGACTGACATGAGAGAATTTAAGTAAGAGATAAATAAACATAAACAGAGTATAAAAAGTTAAGCTCATAAACACATCCAAAAATGTAGGAATGAATGTCTTTTATTTTTCCTTTTTTTTTTCTTTCTCAAAGACTTAGAGAGCCGTGGCCCAACAGTGAGTCTCCTTTCTCCTTCAAAAATGTCATCAAGCTGACCAACGACCTGAATTATTTTACCAACAAGCTGCAGAAGGAGAAAATTTCTGGGAACCTGGATGCACCTGAAGGAGGATTTGATGCCATTCTGCAGGCTGCAGTGTGTGAAGTAAGTAATAAGATGAAATACGTAAAAAGATAATAATAACTTATGTGGCAAATAAAGGGTTTATTTCCAGAGAGGTTCAGATTCCAGGTCCAGAAATGTCAACCACACTGCAAAAAAAAAACAGTAATGGATGCTGAGCAGTAGTTATATTATTAAGATTTAAGACTTTGCTCCTTTTTTGTTGTTTTTTTTTATTTTTTATTCTTATTCTAGGATAAGATTGGCTGGCGAAAACAGAGCACACATTTCCTGGTTTTCTCCACGGAGTCGGCCTTCCACTACGAGGCTGATGGTGCCAATGTGCTCTCAGGTATTTTGCCAAGAAATGATGAGCTCTGCCACCTGGATGCAGATGGTGAATATGACAAATATAAGGAGCAGGATTACCCATCAATACCAACGTTGGTACGTCTCCTGCGCAAACACAACATCATTCCCATCTTTGCGGTCACCAACCACTCCTACGAATACTACAAGGTTTGTGGACTGTAGCTGTTAGGTTTTCAAGTTTCAGGCCATAGTTTGGTTTCTTGTTTGTAATGTGCAGTCTCCACTGTATAGAAACTCCAAGAATATTTTCCTATCGCTGAGGTTGGTCTGCTGTCAGAAGATTCGTCGAATATCATTGATGTCATGGAGAATGCCTTTGAGGTAAAACACAATAACCTGCAAAAAGAGGATCTTTTCTTTGTCACTGCATAGAAATACATTTCTTTGTTTTATAATCATTCCTATAGAGTATTCGATCCAAGATGCGTGTCCTGGTGGAGGACCGACCCAAAGCTTTTACATCACAGATCCTGGCCACCAGTGCAAGTGTTGCACAGTCTGGAAAATTTGACTTTAAGCGAGGAGAAATAGTAAGAAAAAAACAAGCTCTAGGGGGGCTTAATAATTACACACACACATGCATTACACGCCCACACACACACACACACACACACACACACACACACACACACACACACACACACACACACACACACACACACACACACACACACAGAATTTGAATGTATGGTCATTTATTGATAATCATGGAGGGTGAACAATACAAGATACTATTTCAGTAGTTGATTCTGCATACACAGGTGCAGACAAACACTAGGCAGGGAAAACAGAATACACACATACAACACATGCTCACTGTGAACCAAAACTAACAATTCATAAACAATATATGTACATGCTTATTTTCTGTGTGTGTGCGTGTGTGTGTGTGTGTGTGTGTGTGTGTGTGTGTGTGTGTGTGTGTGTGTGTGTGTGTGTGTGTGTGCGCGCGCATCCTCCAGGGCAAGGTGAAAATGCTGCTAAAAGCGCAGAGAGAGATTGACGAGGTGTCCGTCTGTGACTTGAATCCGGACCAACAACAGGGCACATTGAGAGTCAAACCAACAACCTTCAATGTTGCTGTCAATGTGAAGACTTCGGTTTTATGTCCAACCTGCGAGTGTGAGAAGGTCAGTGCACATAAAAAGTGAAGATTCAGAGACTGTTTGAAGAATGCTTGTCTCCTTCTCACTAGTTCCTTTTTTCCTCCAGACCAGACTCTCAAATGCACCCAGATGCCACGGCCATGGAGACCTGGTGTGTGGGAAGTGTGAATGCCAACAGGGCTGGTAAGACTTGAGTCATGTCTTTGGGTTTATCTGCACCTCTCCCACATGTTGAAATGCTGTGCTCTTACATTTGACCGTGTGTCTCCTGCAGGGTGGGCACATTCTGTAACTGTTCAGAGAGTTCTACATCTCAGGACAGCGGACAGTGTATCGGTCCTAACTCCAAAGAAGTATGTTCAGGCCAAGGGGACTGCACTGCCTGTGGAGTCTGTGTGTGCTACAACCCAGAACAGTTTGAAGGACCCTACTGTCAGTATGATAAGACCAAGTGTTCGCGATTTGGAGGATTCCTCTGCAATGGTATAAAAACTCTTAGCTCGTAAATAAAATAAAGTGTGTGTGTATGTGAAAAATGTTACAACTGTCACCATATTGGCCAGAATATAAGTCAACTCTAAAAATAAAAAGACCCCCATGAAAGCTGCTGGTCTCATGAAGCAGGTGGATTTAATAGTGGGTCGCCATGGCAATAGTTGTTCTATTTTTAGAGCTAGCATTGTAAACGCAACAATATTACACCATTTACAACAGTGTTGACCCCATTATTTGCTAAACTCCAAGTATGAAATGATCCCACTCTTCAGTATTTCAAGGAAAAACTGCCTTATATTAACAGGGTTTATTCTGAGTTTAACTATTTCATATCTACAAGGACACTTGGATCAAAAGTGTTCTTATGACCTTGTTTGTGAGAAAAGGGACATTTTTGAAAGCGTTTTAATCTTGAATTCTTTTTCCAGTAAAATACAATTTTTGTTCTTAGTCCTTTTGTATTTGATAGTACCCACCTAAGATTTTTCTCTTTTAGTCTGTGCTCTCACCTCCTCATAGAGCTAGTACATAAGGATTATGCTTAGGAGAGGCTCAGGCTGACAAACAGGCATCTTTCTCATACATGTATTAAAATAAAGCAGAGACGAGCATTTCAAACCTTCAGTGCAGGTCCACACTTGTATTAAATGTTTACTTGAAGATAAGAACAGAAAAGTGGATGTCCCTGAATATTACTACTAGAGACAGCTGTGTATTCAGAGTCTTCAGGAAAAGGAAGCACAACACAGTGAAGTGCAAGCAGAGAGTAGAGATGCTGACAGCTCATTTCATTCATTTCCAAAATCAAAATGCAAAACAGGAGCACAATAACTTATAACTTAATAATATCATAAGAACAATGTAGTTAATGATCTGAACCATATGGTGGTTCAGACAGGAGGTGATAAATTCCTCTTTGGTCCACTCCAGTTTGTTTTAGTTTCACTTTTATTATCCCCATTTCCACATGTAAACACCACTGACAGGAGCCAAAGTTAAGTCTTGGTCTTTCTTCTCTCATCAGACCGTGGCTCTTGTGTGATGGGCCGCTGCGCATGTACAGAGGGCTGGGAAGGAGACGCTTGTCAGTGTCCCAAGAGCAATCAAGACTGTCTGGACTCTAAGGGTGTAAGTGTACTGTCTTTGGTAATCACAGTTTTCATGTCATATCACAACACTCCCTGTATCTGACTTGGATTTTTAACTGTACAGGTTATCTGTGGAGGTCGAGGTAAATGTGTCTGTGGAAAATGTGAGTGTGAAAACTCTGAGATGGAGTTGTCCCCATTGTGTGAGCCCCAGTTCCAGGTTTGTGCCAATAAAAAATGATGATGTGTAGTTTGTCTATACATAAGAAAGGGTTTTGATTTGAGTATTCCTCTTTCACAATATTTCCAGGCATCAAAGACACAAAGTTCTTCATGTTACATATGAGAATGCCTCTATTTGAATCAATGTTTCTAATATTAGTTGGCATGTTTGTGTGTGTGTGTGTGTGTATGTGTGTGTGGTCTAGGCCCAGTTTGCACTGTGTGACGGTACAAAGAGTTGTGTACTGTGCCAGGCCTGGGGGACTGGAGAGAAGAAAGATAAGAAAGAGTGTGATAAGTGTCCCTTGAAAGTTGTCCAGGTGGATAAACTAAAAGAAGGTGGGTTAAAAAGTGGACTTTTATTCATTTGGTATTGTCTACATTGTTTCCAGGTTTGTTTATGTGTTTGCGTGTTTTTGTTTTCAGCGGAGAAAGTGTTTGAAACTTGCAATTTTCGTGATGAGGAGGACGGATGTATGGTGGACTACACAATCGAAAAACTCAAAGATTCAACAACTTTGGTTGAGGTGCTCAAAAAAAGTGGTGAGCTAACACATTCTCTGTGCTGTAATTTCTTCAACTAATCAACAATTATTTACAGACCTCGAGGTTGTCATTTTTTGTATAGGCTTTTTTGTTTGAAGTTTACATTCCTATTCTTCCCTGTAAGCTATTGTATCTCACTCAAGTACAAAACAAACTGTTTTTGGTTTGTGGACTTTAAAAAAATAAATTATATATATATATATATTTGTCACACAAGACCATAGGAAGAGCAGACTCAGACTGTCTGGAGTTTTGTTTTCCATTTATTGGTCGTTGTGTTTGTGCTAAATGTTGACTCCTATCATAAACGTCAAACTAACCAGGCATCTTTCATTGAGTTCATATGGTCGCAGCTAGCCAATGGCAAAAGCACTGTTCCTCCGGCAACAGTGTGATAATAAGAAATAACAGACAACTGTTTTCAAGTGTTGACTTGTCAGATATAAACAACACAGCAGTGTAACAGATCAGGATGATTTTAATTTTTTTTTTTTTTTTTTGTTGCTCAAAATGTTATTTTTCAAGGTTCTAACCATTGAGACAAAACTCTAGTCAGCTCTGTTTGCAGTTGTGTACTCTGTATCATCAGTAATAATCAGTAATAATACAGCAATGTACTCTGTATCATCAATATGAATTGAAATTCATCATCTCTTTCAGACTGCCCTGCTGCTAGCCTTCTGTGGTTGCTCCCACTTCTCTTGTTCCTCTTGTTGCTGCTGGGGCTCCTGCTGCTCTGCTGCTTGCACTTTGCCAGATGCAAAAAGTGCTGTGGGGTACTAAAATGCTGAACTTCAACACACACATAATAACAATAATAATAATGATAATAATAATAACAATAATAATAATAATAATAATAACAATCATCATAATCATCATCATCATAATAAAGTCATATCATTGAAGTGTTGCTACTTACCTTCTCTTGACACAGAGCTGCCTTGGCCTGCTCCCTTGCTGTGGAGGAGGTGAGATATTTGTTGATTCAAATGTTTTATCCTTCTGCTACTCAAGACCTTGTTGAATAACATCACCTTACACTGCATCGCTCTAGGTCGCAGGGTTGGCTTCAAGGAAGATGAGTATTTGCTCCGACAGTCTCTGCTCACCTCAGACCACCTAGACACACCGATGGTAAGGACTGGGCCACCCAAGGGAACCGATGTGGTTCGCTGGAAGGTAACTGATAATGTACACAGAGCACCCAATCACCCCCTGGCTCTAGCGAAGCCCAACCCCAAAGAGACAAGTGAGTGATCAAATACTTCTTTTACATTACACTATTCAATCAGAGACGTTGGCTGTCTGAACTCTAAACTCTACTTTTTTGCATGGTTTTCTTTCCCCTCGCAGTCCAATACCCAATCTCCCTCCGACTGAACAGACTGTTTTCTGAGAACCTGGCCCGACCAGAGAGCATAGATGCTGAACAGCTTCGTAAAGAAGCTGCCGATAACGTGAGTGTGTTCGTTTTGAGGGCAGCAGATTTCTATAAACAAAAAAATGGTATTGATTATTGTTTGTGTTCTTTGATCCAGCTGAATGAAGTGTACAAGCAAATCCCAGGTGCACAGAAGGTGCAAAAGACCGCATTCAGGTAAGTTGTGTCACATGACAGCTCCTTATGTATCACACAGTGCACAGAATCTATCCTTAATGTTAAAAATGCCAGGGTGCTGATGACCTGGGTTTGAATCCACCATGTGCCTCCATTCCAACCTGTATCACCCCATCTCCTGCTCTATTTAGTCTCCTCTCCACTCAAATAAAGGCACAAAAAAGCCCTTATATATCCTAGTCCATTTTGGAAAATGCACACTTGGGTGGGCCTTGTATTCTGCCCTTTACAGCAGTGGTTTCCACTCTTTTTTACTTTCTCATATGGTAGGAAAGTAGAAAACAGGCCCTCACAGACAAAAATGCTGCATTACTGTAAAAAATAAATACGATCACAGCGTAAGACAGGAGTGAAATTGACAGAGAACTGCTAAACTTATGCTTCGTCCCAGTTACCTCAGAAGTCAGAGCTAGGAATGAGGTTACACCCGAGTTGACGGCATTCCAGTAAGCAAGTTGGAAAACCAAGATTGACACCTACTGTTAGCCGTTGTAAGCTGTTGTTAACAATTGTCAGCTGTCGTTTGCCGTTGCCAGCCTTTGTTAATTGTTGTCAGCTATATCAGTTGTAAACAATGCATAACACAATGGTTTGCTACTATAAACACCATAGCACCGTGTTCACAGTTTTAGAGGTTCGGCAGTACAACATATACCACTTATTTAATTTCACAAAAACAAAACAGAGGTGCTAATAAATAATACATTACGAGAGCTTTATGGTTACTCTTTACTATTGATGCACTGCGCTGCCATCTTGGAATATGACGTTGTCGTCAAGTTGGGGTTCGTCTGATTTTCTGAGTCAGAAACCTGACTTCAGGGGGGTGTTCCAGATGAGTTTCCGACTCAGAGCTCGGAAATCCCGACTTCCCAGTACAACTGGAACACACCATTAATGTGCATTTTTGTGCTTTATAATCTTCAGGGCAACATGGTATTTTAAACTGAACCATAAGGGTTTGCAAATGGTGGAGGCAGAGGAGGGTCAACTCTTCTTTGGTCAATTTTTTTATGTTATTGCAATTTATGTTATTACTAATTTTTATACATAGGCTATTAGCATGTGCAAAAACACGATGTACACCCTCTTTTTGTATATAATCTGTGCACTGTTTATATTTCTGTGATTGTAGTACTTTTAAAGAGTGTATATAATTACTCATTATTTTTGTTTCCTTGTTGCAGGATGCAGAGAAATGCTGGAAAGAGGTAAACATCTGATAGCATAACAAAAGAAGCACCAGATTTGATTTCCCAAAGGAGCATGAATGCTTAACTGCTTGACTTTTTGCTCTTTCCATGTTCTGAAGGCAGGACTTTACCATCATGGACACCGTCTTATCTGCTCCACGTGGCAGCTACCCTGATATTGTCAAAGTCACAGAGAGAAATGTCCAGTCAGGGAACGTCAACAATCTCAAAGTGGTGCCTGGTTACTACACCGTGGCCACAGACAGAGGTCTGTAAATAATTCATTTGTGTGGGTTAAATCCTCATCTCCAGTTCTTTCTAAAGTTGAGCTCTTAGTAGTCTTGAATCATTATGAATGATAAATGATTAGTCTAACTATCATATTTGTGATTTAATCCACCGTTCCTCTGCAGAGGCAACAGGGGTCATAGAGTTCCAGGAAGGTGTGGAATCAGTGGATGTTCATGTGCCCCTCTTTGTCAAAGATGAAGATGATGACAAAAAACAGCTGCTAGTGGAGGCTCTGGACGTGCCGCTAGGTATTGCTAAGATTGATAAGCGTTTAGTTAACATCACCATCATCAAAGAGCACGGTGAGAAATATTCGATTTTGCAGTTTTGCACTTGAAATAAAAAAATTTCAATGAAACAAAAGATTTGTGAACTCATTTAAACTCCTTTTCCTCCTCCAGCCTCCAGTGTCTTTACCTTCCTCCAGCCAGCCTACACCTACAGCAGGCAGGACGGGGTGGCTAACATCCCAATCAGCAGAGAGATTATAGAGGACGGACGCACTCAAGTCAGCTATCGCACTCGAGACCTCACAGCCAAGGATAAGAAGGTGAGCCTTATGCACAGCCCTAAAAACATCGTCATGTCCCCCCAAAATTTGAGATTCTTACCAAAAGTAAACTTGGATCATTTTTACCACTCTTTAACTTTAAGCCAAGAGCCCCTTACTGAACCTCCAAGCTGTGTGCAATTTTTTTAGCCAGTTGAAACGTGTTTTCAAACACCACACTGATAGCTTATTATTGCATGAGACTGCAAGTTGTTTATCTCTATCTGATAGAGAATGAAACAAAATTAGGCATGTTGAAGGATGTTCTTTACAATCAGTTACCTGATTCTGTTCAGCTGTTAACGTCTATAGTTTGATTAATTCATGCTGGCATCATTATTTCAACTTTGAATGAAACTCTTGTAGTATTTGCCAAATCGACAGGGTTAACAGGACAGTGACCACTTTGTAAAAAACCTGAATATGAGGCACAGGACTGCTGCAGGACCCTGCTTCTTACCTGTCACTGACATGTGTTATTAGGATTATATAAATGTGGAAGGAGACCTGACCTACAGTCCTGGTGAGACCCAGAAAATAATTCCTGTTCGTCTGCTGGAGCTTGGGGAAAAAGATGGCCTCCTGGAAGAAAAACAGGTCAAGCAGTTTGTCATGGATCTCAGTAACCCCAGACAGGGAGCTAAGCTGGGTCGCTACCCAAGAACTACTGTTACCATTGCAGACCTACCAGGTGAGGGACATGCAAGGCTTTACATCAGTGAGTCTTAGTAGTTGTTTTTTGCTAAAGCAGTGATTTCCTAAATCTTCTCTCCCTCATATTCTTGTCTTATCCAGAAGCCAGTGAGATATCATTCAAAAATAGCACCCAGCACCACACCACATCTGACCCCACCTACTTAATCCCTGTGGTCCGCAACCGCAACCAAGGAAGCCCTGCAACAGTGAAATGGCGCACTAAGAAGGCCCAGCGCTTTGACCTGTCAGGGCCTCTTAATTTCAGTCCAGGAGAGACAGAGAAGATCATCGAGATTGATCCAAATGCCCACCCTGGACCCATCAAACCTGAGAGCTTCCAACTGGAGTTGTTTGACCCCAGCAGGGGCACCACTATTGGAGACAAGAAGACCACGACCGTCAACGTCACAGGTAGATGTGAGACAAAATGAAGTCATTAAAAAAAAAATAAAAAATCAAAGAATAAGAAGAACTTTATTAACCCCCAAAAGGAAATTCAATATGACATCAGTCCCAAAATATATATGTAAGAATTGAATAAGTATTATTTTTTTTGGTCTTTTAAGTTGGTAATGTCGAAATATAGCTCTTAAAGACAATTACTGTCTACTGTAAATGTTTGTTTCAACCTTTGTTGTTTTTTTCATCCTGCAGCTCCAATGCAGAAAGGCTCAGTCAAGCTAAATGCCACTTCCCCAGGTGGTCGCTTTCTCTCCCCAGCAAACCCCATAGCCAAAGCAACTGGACCTAGAAGCATCCGCCTCAACTGGGACCCACCACCTGGTAACCCCATGGGCTACAAGGTATTTGAAGTCTGCATACTGGGAAGCTTTGAATTTAGTGACCATTTACAGAGGGCACTCCATTTTTGATGAAAGTTGTATATTTATGTGCATCTAAGGTCAAATACTGGATCTACGGTGACCAAGAAAAAGATGCCAAGGTCATGGATGTGAAGACCACTCACGCTGATTTGACCAACCTGTACCCATACTGCGACTATGAGATGAGAGTGTGTGCCTACAATGCAATTGGAGATGGCCACAGTACAGATATGATTCCCTGTCAAACACTGGAGGATGGTAATTTCTTTCAATTTAGTTCACTGCTTTGTTTATTTTTATGAAGGGTCATTTTAACCTTATGTAGAGGCTTTTACTCACTGCGCTTAATGCTGTGAAAAATGGTGAAACCTGGGGTAGTATAAAGTACATGTGTGGTTAAAAAAAAACAAAAAGGTGCAGGTGTAAGTACAGTGTAATTACCATGAACTTGGTTTATTTGAAGCTCCTGTGAGGAGTGTTGTCTTCCTTGAACAGATATAACCTCTTTAAGCAGCATTTACACTAGTTGGTGTTGTGCAGTATTTACGAATAATGATGTGTGGGCACCTCTGAGCTTCCAAATGCTTCCTGTTCTGTTTTCCTCCAGTGCCTGGTGAACCTGGACGTCTCGCCTTTAATGTCATCAGTCCTACTGTCACTCAGGTCAGTTGGGCCGAGCCTGCAGAGACCAACGGGTCCATCACTGCCTATGAGGTCATCTACACACCCATCGATGATGACATGAGTAAGAGACTGAGTCCCTCCCTGAAAAGGAAATACAACATAAACATAAAAAGTTGTCATATGTAATTCTCATCACTGCCCTGTTCTTCCTTGCAGAACCAGTGGGTGCTGCTAAGAAAGTCAAGATTGAAAACCCCAAGAAGAGGATGCTGCTGATTGAAAATCTTCAGAACGCTCAGACCTACCAGTATAAAGTACGAGCAAAGAACAGCGTGGGCTGGGGCCCCTTCAGAGATGCCACCATCAACCTAGCATCACAGCCGGCCAGACCTCTGTCCAGTAAGTCAGGGTTGAAAGACCTTTAAATTCTTTCAGTCTGTGTTTTTCTGGAAACAGATTGATTTCATTTTCTTTCTGCCCACAGTTCCCATCATCCCAGACATCCCTATCGTGGATGCAGAGGCAGGAGACGAGTATGACAGTTACCTGATGTACAGCAATGAGGTGCTGAAGTCTCCTACGGGCTCTAAGACACCCAGTGTATCTGGTGATGGTGAGTACCCAGAGCCAAAACCACAAGCTACTTCTAACCACTGAGAGTGTTAACTCTGTGCGACAGCTCTGTTCCAATGCATTTTTTGGCTCTGGAAAGATGCATATGATTGCCAGACTTCCAGATTAATGTGGGTCCAATTATCTGAGTCCTCATTATGAATGCTCCAAGCATCTTGCTTTGTTCTGTTAGCCAGAGTGTTGCACTCAGATTTGTATGTAAAATGCGCTGTGGTAACGTTGCCCTGTGTGGAGATGAGGGAGCACACTGTGAAAGGTTGGTTTGATCTGCAGGATTTTACCCAGCATGTGTGAGTTTTCATCAAAATCTCAGGACAAGAAGGTCCCTGTCTGGCTTTGCTAATCTTTTAGTTTTTCTGTGGCATGATTAATCTTCCTCATTAAGAAAGATATTAAAGAGCAGTGAAACTCAAAGGTTGGCACCACTGTTATGGATCGACTGTATTTTCTTATAGATGCGTTATGGGGGCATTTTTTTCTGCCAGCAACACCCCATAGGCAGCAAAAAATCTGCTTCTAATGCATCTGCTGGTATGTGCAACTTAACGATCACAAACCGCTAAGCTTTTTCTCGTTAGGTCTGCTAACAGTTACTCCCTGTAAGATAATGCTTACATTGCTCTTTGCCTTCAAGAAAATTTGAGCTTCTGTCACATAAACCATAAACCTTTGGCAGAGAAGGACTATTTAAGCACCCTTTCATAGTTTTTTTTTTTTTTTTTAATTACATTATTTTGGGAAGTACATGAATAATACATGCATAGTTAAAGAGTGGATCTCCCAAGTTCCTTTGGGTGAAGGCCAGGGATGCATAATGTATTGGAATGATATCAGTATCAGCAGATGATATCTGTATCAGCAGGTGTGAAAATTCTGTAGTGATATGTAATTATGTGCACACAATGTTGAATTATATAGTTTGGCAGAAGTGATTTTAGGTGTCAGTAACAAACAGTCTGCCTCTTACTGAATGTCTACATTGAAAAAAATACATGACTTATCTGAGGTAGAACCAAATGTCACTTGTCTTTATTTCTGGTTCTGTCACAATAAGGTTAGCAGGTTAAATTCTGTATCAAGAGAGAAAAAAATGGACAAAGGGGTGTGTATGTATTGGTATTGATATCTGTATCCACCAAAATGAGTTTAAAAATTTCAGCACAACAGATATCAGTAAAAATCCAATGACTTGCAACCCATCAAAAACACAGGTCTTTTTTATTTATGCATGAACTTGAACTAAATATTGCCATTTCTTTTTTGGATGACTTTGCTTAATGACAGTCGCCATCTTTGCCATTCAATACGAACTTGGTTTAAAAGCAGAATCATTAGTGGCATTGAGATCACTAATATCTTATTCATTCTCATCCCTGGTTGCAGATATGTTCACCTGAACAGTACACCAAACAGAAGGCTGGAGGGCAGTGTTGACAGCTAGTCCTTACTTTTTAAAGTACAGCCTTTTAGACAAGTTTTGATAAGGGTGGAAATGGTCGAGTATATTTTCATCTTTTAATGACTGATGTAAAGGGAAATCAAACGCTGACACTCCTTCACCACATATCTATCCCTGGCCTGCTTGCTCTTCCCCATAACCCTCAAACACAAGGCTGGAATCATGTCAAGTTGGTGGGGTCTGACCTGGATCTCCGTAGGGTGTCGTGGAAAAGGCGAGTGGACCTCATCCCCTCTCGGCACAGCACAGACACAGAGACCAGCTCAGATGAGGCCCCCCACCTCACCTACACCAAATCACACCTGACAGGTGAAGATAACTCCATCAGAGCAAAAGTTAGACTGACAGGGAGCTAGCATGCCAGCTAATTTGCACGGCTAGTCAGTGGCCCAGTGAGCCAACCAGCATCTGTCTCTGGCTTCATGACTGATCCTGTCAGACACACCAAAGTTTGTCTAATCATTCCACTTCAGCTTCAGTCCTTGTCTACTTGCCCCTAGTTTGCAACTATTCCATCTCTTCTCCAGCCAGCTTCCCACAGAGGAGCCATGGCATCAACTGCCCCACCTCCAGTTGATGATCGGGGGCAGGCTTTTCCAGGTGCCTGTCTCTATCTGCGCTCTCTCCAGCCCACTGGGGAGGTAGTGAACTGAAGGAAGCTTGTCTGGTGTTTAAAGGCTTAGTAACTGTGGCTTTGATTACACAATGTCTTCTGAATGAAATACAGTCTCATCTTTGCAGGGGAAATTACATCTCTCCTTGCAACTGTTAATTATTTTTTAAGTATATGTTATTATCTTCCGTCGCATCTCTTGAGATGTTGAGCACTCTATGAGAACAAGCTTGATTGAAATCTACCCATCATTATTACCTAGCAGAGTCCTACAGAGTCTGCACAAGGGAAGCTGTTCAGACAGTTTGAAACCAGTTTCCCATGGACCAAAGCAGTACCAGCAACTGTTAACCTACAAAATTATGATCCTTACACCCTTATTTTAATCACACCGAAAGCTTTGGTTTGGGGACCACATTTTTCCAACTATAACTCTTTCTGCAAAAGTTAAAAGTGATCAACAGATTTTTGTAGTTTGTCAATCATTTTAAGTCTATAATTCTTTGTTTTATGATAAATATATGTTCATTTTGGATCTGATGCCAGAATCATGTTTCAAAAAGCTGGAACAGAAAAAACCAAACAGTAATAGATTGTGTGGTCCTAAATAAACTGCTCAGGGAGCATCTCCAAACTACTGAGGTTAATGTCCAACAGGTTAGTCACATGACTGGGTATAAAAAGACGTTCAGGGAGGCTGAGTCTCTCAGAGGGAAAAATAGGAAGAGGTTCACCACTCTGTGAGTGACAACGTGAGCTAACAGTTCAACAGTTTCAGAATAATAGTCCCGAGAGTCAAGTGTGAAAGAATGAGTAGATTTCATCATCTACAGAACATGATATCATTGAAAGATTCAGAGAATCTGAAGAAATCTCTGTACAAAAGGGACAAGGACCAAAACCAAGTCTGGATGGTCCTGATCTTCAGGCCCTCAGGCAGCACTGCATTAAAAACAGACAGGACTCTGGAGTGGAAACCACTGCATGGGCTCAAAATTACTTCTAAAACCATTGTCAGTGAAGACAGTTCATCACTGCATCCACAAATGGGGTTAGAGCTAAACCGTGCAAAGAGGAAACCAGACATAATTCAACAAATCTTTTGGTGTTGAGTCCATGTAAGGTGGACTAAGGCAAGTGAAAATCTATCCTGTGGTCTGACAAGTCCATACTTTGCATTCTTTTTCGAAACCATGGATGCCAAATGTTCTGCTCTGAAGACAGAAAGGACCGTGTGACTTTTATCAACTCCCATCATCCTCCACATCTGTGAAGGCTCAATTAATGCTGAACATAATCTACAGGTTTAGGAGCAACATCTGCTGCCATCCAGACAAAGACTTTTTCAGGGAAGACCTTCATATTTCAGCAAGACAATGACAAACCACATACTGACCACAGGAATTACAACATCATGGCTCTGTAGGAGAAGAGTCCTGCTGAGAAACTGTGGTCCTGATTTGTCACTCATTAAAAATAGCTGGTCACTCATTGCAGCTGAAACAAAACTACATTTTTTGCCCCGGTCCCAGGTCCGAGCACACTTTTGTTTTTGTGCAGTATCATGAAATTGGTGACTCTATGACATCTCTATAGTATATTGTTGTCAGTGAGTAAGAGGAAGAGCTGCTTACAAGACTGAAGTTTTTTGTTCATAGATGCTGTCTGTCATCTTTTCACTTCATTGGCTCTGTCTTTAAATCACTGTTGCTCATTTGAGAGTTAAGTGTTAGATTTAAACTGAAAAGAAGTCACTTGATAATGAAATCAAAAAGAAGTAAAGGACTCATGAACCTTGGTGTCTGCAGATGACACGTTGTATAGAGTTCCGCAAAGCTATAACTTTTCTTGCTTGTAGATGGGGCCAACCTGCCACGTAAACATGCTGAGCTGTTGCTTTTCTCTGTAACCTTGAATTTGAAAGGACCCGAACCTGCTGGTGCTTCCTCTGTAGATTGGCTGAGCCTGGTTTGGGTGCTTGCTGTTGGTTTCAGTGTCTAATCACTGACTTCTAAAACAGCTGATTGTTTTCTGTCGTGTACTGTCACTAAACCGTTTCGGCTCCTTCTGTGTCATTTTACAGATTACGGCAATGGGAGGTGGGAACAAAACTTCCTTTTCCCAGGGGGGCCACGCAACTTATCAGCGTCATCCTCTCCTATGTCCACTCTGAGCTCGAACTACAGAGGAGGAGGAGGAGGAGGCACCTACACCACAGAAACAACCACCACCTACATGAGTGGACCAGGTGAGACAGATGACCTCATTTTGAGCTCATAGCGTTTCCCCAGTCCTGTGTGGCAATTTAAAGGATCTTCACTTTTTGTCCGTGTGTGTGTGTGTGTGTGTGTGTGTGTGTGTGTGTGTGTGTGTGTGTGTGTGTGTGTGCCTGCGTGTGTGTGCTTGAGTGTTGTGTGTTGAATGTGGGTTAGGAGGGTGGGTGGTTTGTACGTATTTACGTATGTACGTACGTATGTATGTAAGTATGTATGTATGTATGTATGTATGTATGTATGTACGTATGTACGTATGTATGTATGCATGTATTTATGTATGTATGTATGGATGGATGGATGGATGGATGGATGGATGGATGGATGGATGGATGGATGGAAATTGAAGACATGGCGGGCCTTGGTCACCAACATCTTCTGAAGATTTTCCTTCAATGTATTTTTGAGAAAGTCCTTAAGAGACTCTTTTATTTCCACCTTCCTCTCTTTCTCTCTCTCAATTTCAATTTTTTCGATTTCAATTTCAAGCTTTATTGGCATGATTGTTGTAACAATATTACAAAAGCATTACAATTACTCTCTCTCTCTCTCTCTCTCTCTCTCTCTCTTTCCTGAAGGGAGCTCTCGTCGGCAGGACATCATCGGAGGAGGTGGACTTCAAACTACAGAAGTCATCATGAGGAAGCGCTTGGAGAACAGAGGCTACACAGATGAAAACATCCGCGACTCCATCGTCTTGGGAGAGTTGTCAAGCAAGTTGCAGAGCCCTGGTAAGCTGTAGAGCTCAGAAGTAACTCTGTCTTTCAAGAAAGATAAGATAAGAAAGATTTTACTTTGGAGCTTTGCAGTATTTAAGAGGCCTCAGCAGGTCAACTGTGAAATGCATGAGGCCAAAGGCTTGGACAGCAGGGTTTGGGGCTGTTGGCTGTGCAGCAGGCTTATCCACACTGACTATGCAGGAGCTATGCTGACTATCCCTGTTTCTCCTCTCCCCCTGGCTTCTCACTGTGCTGCTGTTATCGCTCCCTGTACCTCTCATCCCCCTTAAACCTTCCTCCACCTCTTCTTCCTTTCACCCCCTGCAAAACCTGCCATCAGGTGGTTTTGGCTACACTGGGATGCAGAGCAGCTCTCAAAGCCAGTTCAGCTACAACCTGTCTCAGAGTCCCAGGTCCAGGAACTTGTCCACAGACGTCAATGAAGCCCTGTATAATCTGGACAGGGTGCTCCAGGGTAAGTCTTCAGCATGAAAGCATGAGAGCAAAGGATGTGTTTGCTGGGTCTGAGGTGTAATGGAGCCCCCTTCTGTCCTCTTTAGTCCTGCCTTTAAGTTTCTCTCCCTCTCTGATTATTTTGCAAAGACTGATTGAGGTTTCTGTTTCAAACATGCAAAATAAGAAAATAAAAAGTAGATTAAATGGTTAACAACAAGGTTAGGAAAAGAGAAATCAACAAAGTTATACTCAATTTATTTTCTTTGATGCAAAGTGGATTGTAGTTCTGGAAATGAGAAACCCTTTGGGGGAGGCTGGACCCCTGCTGCTACACCATGAATTGTCCCTGACATATTTAAGTAAGGCCTACAGAGGGATTTTAAATGTTTAAACCAACCAGGATGCAATCACTCATGCTGAATCTGTTTCTTTATCTATTTATCTATTTCTTATATCCCTTTTTAACATTGAAGCCTTTAGTCATCCTGGTCCTCACATTTCTTCATCATTTTCTCTTTACTGAATTTTCAGTTGTAAAGCACTTTCTAACCTGTACCATATAAATCAAGTTTATTTGTATTTATAATTATTATTGATTAAGCAATGTGCACCTACATCACTCCAAGTCCCTCATATTGTCTGTTGGTACCCGCTCTGAAGCAGCAACTGAATGGGGTTCCAGGAACTCAAATAGCTCAAAGTTCCTGCTATGCTGGGTCAACAGAGAAGGAAGGGTTCCTTCTGCCCTCAGAACGATGAGAAAAAGAGCTCCTAACTCTGATGGACAATGCTCAAAACCTTTCATACCCATAACTTACTGAAGACATCAAAGTTAGTCAGAATAGTTTGAAGGTCTGAATAACCTTTTTTATCACTTTTCTCTCCATCTTTTTTTTTAAACGATCAACTCTGAGTCCCACCCAAAGTGGACCTGTTCATGATGATCATGTCCAGCAGGGTTTTAATCTGGTTCCTCTGTGTCATTCATCAGATGCTCGACTCTCACCAGGTGTCCCTGACACCCCCAGCAGACTGGTTTTCTCTGCTCTGGGCCCCACTGCCCTGAAGGTCAGCTGGCAGGAGCCTCACTGTGAGAAAAATATCCTGGGCTACAGCGTCCTCTACCAGCTGCTCAACGGAGGTAGATGACCCCTTCACTCTCTTTTTTTTACCCCCTTACACAGTCTCTGATATTTCTTCTGAGCTCTCCTTTAAATCCTGAACTGTCATCTGTAAAGACTGTACTAACACTAAATGCTGAGGTTTAACGTCTTGTGTCCTCTCTTTCAGGTGAGGCGAAGCGTATTAATGTGACAAACCCTGCAGAGAACTCTGTGATCATCCAGGACCTGCTGCCAAACCACTCCTACCTGTTTAAGGTGAAGGCTCAGAGCCAGGAGGGCTGGGGCCCAGAAAGGGAGGGAGTCATCACCATTGAGTCTGCCGTGGACCCAAAGAGTCCCCTCAGCCCTATGCCAGGTACAGACTCTGGTGATTCTGCTGTCACAGCACCTGGGATTAACCCACAGGACAATGACCATGCACTGTCAGAAGTTTTGCATGTCCTCTCTCACTCTGAGTTTGTCACATTTCACTGCAGGCTCTCCGTTCACTCTGAGTAACCCCAGCGCCCCAGGCCCCCTGGTCTTTACCGCCCTGAGTCCTGACTCCCTGCAGCTCAGCTGGGAGAAACCCCGTAAACCAAATGGAGACATCCTGGGATATGTAGTCACCTGTGAGCAGCTGCATGGAGGAGGTACAGTGTGGTTTCTTTCTTGTTTAATGTTTTTCACTGGGTGAGCACATCTTTGTCGTGACACAGTGTTGATTTCTACCCCCTGTTTCTGGTTTCTTTCAGGAGACCTACGGTCCTTCAAGGTAAATGGAGACAGTGCAGAGACAAGTCTGACTGTGCCCAACCTGACGGAGAACGTTCCCTACAAATTTAAAGTCCAGGCTCAGACCACACAGGGCTTTGGTCCTGAGAGGGAGGGCATCATCACCATTGAATCTCCAGATCGAGGTAAGATGGATCCAAACTCAAAAGGAAAATTAGCCTTATATCTCCAAAAGTTCCCACTGAGAATCATCTTTTCAGCTTCCTTTGATATTTACTCCGTGAAGCTAATGTGGAAAAATGCAAAATGATAAACTTTTAGTGTTTCATAAATTGTTTGATTTTTTTCAACACAAACGGGAGGGAAATCTTTAGCCGATGGGAAACATTGGTTGATTTATTGTTTTGATAATACCAGTGTTGGCCACAAGAGGTTTGAGCACGCAACTATTCCATGTTCCAAATTATTATCAGGACTGCACAAAATAGGAAAAATTTTACACTGTGATTTATTTATTTATTTTTTCTTCTGTGATGTTTGCACAATATGAGAAAAAACAGGATATTAACCACATTAATGGAGTTTTTGGGACATATATTGGTAAGATAAACAAGATAACTTGTGGTTTTAAGCCTGTTTTCCTCCTACAAAACAAAAGGTCCCACATATTTTTATCAAACTTCACCTGCAAATCTGACACCAGATCTGCAGAAAATGAAAAAACAAAGTGCAGTAATATTGTTGAGTATAAGTTTGATATCAATAAGTATGGAAAACAAATATTTTCCCATTGTCTGTGGGCTGTTCTTGATATTTTACTTATTTTCTAAGTTGGCAACATGATCATGAATCAGGAGGCTCACAGAAAGTCTTTGTTTCATCACTAACTGATCTGGGAGGTTAGCTAACAGCTGACCAAGGCTGACTGAATCAAAGCAGTATAAAAACATATCAACAATACCCAGACATTTAGCTGACAGGTAAAGTGTACTAAAAGAGAAAAAAACAAGTTGCATTTTGATTAAAAAATATATAAAAACGTTAAAGAAACTCACATCAAGAAATGTGATTTTTGTGCAGCACTGTCCAGTAAAAACTCTGTAAAAACATGGGTATCCAAAGAAAGGACATGACAGATAACATTCATAACTTATGAGACACTGTGAGAGCCACCAATGAGAGACTGCCAGTTATGTGTGGGTGGAGTCTACCTCTATTGTTTTGTTACTCTGAATGTCAGAGTGTTAGCACCATGATAAAATTGTTAAATCAACCATGTCCTCCAGGATGTTTTTTTTCTTTGAAGTGATCTTTGTGTTTCTCTCCTCTCTTCCCCTGCACAGGTCCAATGTCTCCGTACAACATGCAAATGATGCAGATGGAGGAAATTTCCCAAATGCCCCTACGAACCAATGATTCAATGCTGGACTCCTTCTTCTCAGGTACAAAAGCAGCATCTCTTCATTTATCATTTCTCTCACAGTTTTGATGGAAATAACATTTTATGTCACCACCCAAAACTCTTGTTTAACAGACGGGATGATGATGACCACACAGCGCACAGAGACCAGTGGCATGATGACCCGTCAAGTCACAAAAGAAGTGGTTCAGAAAAGTGTCACTGGAGGAGCCACTTTCACAAAGAAGATGTTTTATGACTCTTAAACAGAAAAACACGATCAATATTGAACCAAAATCATGACATGAAATCAAATCTGAAATCCTCTGGTTCACAATCACTGCATGTTTTTATATGAGAGATTCTGCAACCAAAAGATCATTGGAGGGAGAGAGTAGGGCTATGTCCTATCTGTTACAAACTGTGGCTCTGCACAAACACTAAGTATATTTTCATGCATTTTAATGTTGCTTTTGTTGTTTTTCACTCCACTAAGTAAATACCCGCTATCTGACTCTGCACCCTCTGCTGGTTTAAGTCTAGAAACACACCCAGGATTTAAGTCAGGTCTGCACAGACCAGTAATCTGTATGCGATTAGTGATCTAAAGTGACCTTATCCATTGTCTCCCATCCTCCACCTGTCCTTAAGAGACACCTGTCTGTCTGTCTCTGTGTGTGATGACTTTCATTGTTTTACGTCTAACCAGCAGGAGATCCTGGCTCCAGATCTCTGAGTATGTTATAATAAGATGCACCATTTCCAGGCATGTTTGTCATCTCAGGCGACCAATATTATAAAAGAGGTGTATTTCGGAGTTTTGTTCAGTTTTGTACCATATGAAAGTGTTTCAGCATATTTAATCCTTTGTAAGATAATTATTACTTTATCAGACTGACATTAGATCTGATGCCAAATAAAGAGCTAACAAGGAAAAGGCATGTATTTACGGATGAAAACTCTATAAGATGTGAGCTGTTCTACATGGTTTTATACTCAAAAATCTGCTTAAGTGGATCATTCCTGTTTGCTCACTGTGCATGTTGATGTACTCATTAATGAGATCTTTGTGTTTTAGAGAAATAGTAACGAAGACAGAAAGATTGTATTTGTTTTCATGCGAGCTCTACTGTATTTTGGCTTTTCTTGTTCTTTTAAAACTTATCCTGAGTAGATATTTCTTTTAAAAAATCAAAAAAGGTTGAGTGGGTGAACTTCACACCAAAATCACACCCAGTTGAGGATTCTTGTACTTCTGATAAACATTTATCATTTACTTTTTTCTTGCAGTTTCTTTTTATGTTGTTGTTTGTCAATTCTGTTGCACTTAATAAAGATTTGAAAGAACACATTTGTGATTCCTTCAGTTCATGTGAGTGGACACTTTAAAGGTTTTTATTGAAGCTGTTTGACATTGATATCTGAATGTTTCACATGAGAACAAAAACTTCTGCTGTAGTGAGCTCATGGCAGACAAATGTTTGCAGGAAACTTGAGATAGAGAAGCTCATAGAAAGAGAAAATCTTGACATGCTCTAACCCTGGGAGTTCATTTCTGCAGGTTCTTGCACAGAGGCTCATTCATTTACAGTGTCTTCATGCTTTTATATCATAGGCATTTCAGAACTCAACTAGTTTGAAAAAGATCCAATTGTCACCTTTGTGGCATAAAAAGTTGCACGTTTTTCAAACTATTATATTATCTTTCATCCTTTGACCTCTAAACTTTGTTTTTGAGACACTGTTATGAGTTTCTAAGATTCAAATCTTGTACAAAATCCCTTACAGCAATATCTTTAAATGTTTCACCAATGCTTGATGCCATTACCAGTCAATTATATCCTAACTGTGGAGACAAGCTGGTCCTTCGCTTGAATTACACTATGCTGACTCTAATCAACCTAGCTGATAGAGGGACTCACTGACTGACAACTCAGCGCTTTTCAAAATGCACACATCACATATACAAAAAAATCACAATGGGTAAAACGCCTGCAACATGCCAGAATGTCAGTATAACATTTTTCAAGGTGCTTATATTTAGTATCATTGCATCCAGATTAGCACATAATCATCTGAAAAGTTCACAGCCATTATCTACCAACATGTCATAATGGCAGAGAAGTTTATTCAGGTCCAACACACATACAGGTCTTAATCAGGTCTTTACCACCCCCCACCCCCCCAACCCGAATAGCCTGACTTCGAGTCCAAAAGCAGCTCACAAACAAAACAGTCCCGTATAATAGACCACAATAAAAATCCAGGTTTTTGTGGCAGTTCAGGTCCAGAGGCAGGGCCCAGGACAGAGGCATGGCTGTCTGACATCTGCAGGTCTAATCACCAGGTCTTTGACCACCTCCACAGTCCCAAACAGCGGGTACAGTTCCTCAGTGAACTTGTCGTTGTAGGTGTACAGATGAGAACGCTTCTCTACATCATAGAAAGACAGCTGACCCTGCTCATAGTCCAGGTAGACCCCGACTTTCCTCGGCACCAGACTCTGTGACAGAGGAGTGGAGGGCACCGTCAGAGCTTTCAAATCCGTGCCCCTCTCCAGACGAAGGGTGAGATAGCCTGAATCTGTGTTGAGGGAGCGGAAGCCCTGCCTCACAGCTGAAGCCCTGGACACTCCCAGTCGCCAGTCTCGCTCACCCACCTCCACCTCCCAGTAGTGGCGCCCAGAAGTGTAGCCCTCTTTGCCCACAGCACACCACCAACCATCAAAACGCTGTGGGCAACGTGAGACTTCCCTGCGCTCCAGGCCGCACCTCATGTGCTTTTCATCACTGGAGATAAGCATGTCTGGGTTGGCCGTTCCTGAATCCAGAGTGACTTCCTCTGTGAAGGGGCAGTTCAAGTAGCTGAGATTATAAACTGTGGATTATGACCAAATACACCAATGACGATCAGAGGGGATGTAACAGAGTGATTTTCATACCTGCAGCCTCGCAAATCCAATTCCACACTGTGGAGACAGAAAAGAGAAGACCTTAAACTCTGCTGTATTCAAACGTCTGTTCAAATCGAGTGTTTGATTCACTACAAATGTTTGAAGACACTTTGTGAGAGCTGGTCTTATTAAAAAGGCTGTGATACATACTCTTAACTCGTAGCAGTGAGCACACACAAGGCACACGCTTGAGAATTTAGTGGAGCATTATGAAGAATAAAACAGGAGGCTTTGAATTCACTGAAGAAGCACTGAGTTAACTCTTTATCTCTACTAAATGTGCCATCAAGAAAAGACATTCTGTAAAGCTCACATCAGCTTTGCAAAAGTATAATGGTGGAAATCTCCCTTTTTACTGTGAAAAGCTACTACAGCCCATGAGAGGTTGTTCACAGAACAGCCAAAAGGTCCATTTGGTTTGATTTCATATTAAAGTTCAACATTTTCTTGCAACCAAACTAATGTGTTCTTCTCTATAAATCATCTCATAGACAACATCACAACCACACAACATACAGTGTCTCTTCTGAAGAAGAGTGCAGTCTAAACATGTCAAGCACAGATCTGTTTGACTCTATTGATCCGCTAACTGTTCAGCATTCATGGAGCCTTCAATCTTTGTAGGCTATCTGTATCAGGGGAAATTTTGTATCCTGATACCATCTGGGTTGCTGATATGAACTATGTGTGAATAAAAAGTAGTTGGTCCCTCTTCCTGCTGCAAAGCATGCAGCATCTATGGTTTCACAAATGACAAATTAGATTTGGCAGAACACAAGAGAGTTTTTCATTTCATCTCAGTTCACCTGTTTCTTTTTATTAATATAATTTTTTTTTCTTTGCGTGGTGCAGTTATGACTTGCATTTGGTCACAGTCAGGCAGAAACCTTGAATATCAAATACAGAGTCCTGTCTGTTTTTAATGCAGTGCTGCCTGAAGGCCTGAAGAGGGCCTTTTGTACAGAGATTTCTCCAGATTCTCTGAATCTTTTAATGATACTATGTTCTGTGGATGATGAAATCCACTCATTCTTTCACATTTCATACTCAGAAACATTATTCTAAAACTTAATTTTTTACTTTTCAGACTGTAGCCTAGAGCAGGGAGTGACATGAGGGGAAGAGACAGCAGGCGGCAATCTACATGTGGCTCTTGAAACTATGTACATGGGACACGTGCTTAGACCACAAGGCCAGCTGCAACCTTCTCCAAAAAATGATGAACTATCTGCCTGTGCAGTCTCTCATAGAGTGGTGAACTTCTTCTCATCTTTCCATCTGAAAGACTAAGACCTATTTATACTCAGTCTAAATAACCTGCGTTAAATTATTCATCAGGAGATGTTACTCCAGGTGGTTTTGTTTTAATTTATCGAGTTGTTTAAGTGTTTTGCAGTCTCCACCCTAACTTTGTTAAAACACAATACTCGCATCTAATTTAAAATGAGACTTTTTATCCCGTAAAACAACCAAATTTTTCAGTTTAACCATTTGATAAATACGTTCGCAATGTTGAATAAATGCTTTAAATGATTTAGAAAAAAATATTTTATTGATGTTTGATGCCAAGAAATGTTGAAGTCATTGAAGGAAAGTTTGGGTAGCTACTCACCACTGTGGGGGATGTAACGAACTGCATCTGAAAAGACAGAGAGAAAACAGTCATTATCACTCCTCTTACAGCTTTTCTGTTTTGTTCTATCATCAAATATCAATCCTGATTACCTCTAAAGATAATGACTCATCAGAATTAACACACGCCTAAGAATTTGATTAAGTTAAAATTACTTTAGTGTGCACACATGCTGTGTTGATCAATAGCAGTTTACACTTTAAGGATGGCGTTTCCCCTCTTGAATGCTGACAGATTCTTTATGTAGTTTTCATTAAACAGGGTTCATTGGCTCTAATCTTCAAACACTTTCACAAGTTACAAAGATAGTTCAAATACACTCACCAATCCTCTGGCTCCTCTGTTTTCTCACCAGCCATTGTTTTGTTACGTCCACCTAAACACACACACACACACACACACACACACACACACACACACGCACACGCACACACACACACACACACACACACACACACACACACACACACACACACACCATTACACAACAACACATGGACACAAAGCAGACTAAAGTGAGACTGAATGTGTGACAGATATTAGCCCACCTGGGTTTTATAACACAAAATGCACTCCATTGTATTCTCCTGATCTGAATCATGTATCTGTATCATTTTTTCAATCATCTTTTATGAAAAGCTACTTGCTGCTTATCCAATCAAAGCGAATATCTAACACAAGCTAATGAAGCCTGTTACGTGACTGATTTACAGACCTTCACAGGTCTGTCGGCATTCAGCACAGCCAGAATGATGAGCTCCATGGCAGGGAGCAGGTTAGGCAGACGGCCCCTCTTCCACTGAAACTCCAGGTCATCCAGCATCATGAGCACCGGCTCCCCTGGCCAGACGGTGGGCTGAGAAGAACCAGTTTAGAGATCAAGGTTACACAACGCAGTGTTTCAAGGGATCACAGCTTCTTGAGTATGACAGAGTGACTGACAAGGAGGTGTCAGGCTGAATCATCTCTATCAGCTGCAAAGAGGGAGCTGGGTCAGACTTTTATCACAGAATACACACCCAGTCACCATCAGACGTTATAACGACACACATCTCTCTATATTCACCTGAGGTCCGCCTTTAATCTCCCGAGCCCACTCCATGATGACTCTTTTGTGAGGCCCCATGTCACACTCCCCCCCTGACTCCAGGATACAAAGGAGCTGTTCCTTCCAGTCCTTCTTCTCAGGTTTCTCACGATAGTGGTCTGATGGGATGATCCGGGGCTAAGAAAGAAAAACAATGGCAGTTAAGTGGAAATTTAAAAAAAAAGCCTGTTAAGTAAAGTGGAGTTAGTCAATACAGTCCGAAACTGAAACTTTAATAACTGTTTTTATTTATTATTATTATTATTATTATTTATTATCTTTTTTGTAATTGCATTCACTTACACAGAGAGCCACATCAAGATATTAGAAAAAAAGAAAAGGATTTGGGGAGTAAAGTTGTTCATTCAAAAGAAAATAGTCTCAATTTTACCAGAATAAATTTTGTTTCATTAGAATAAACTCATTTTTTTGTCATAACTATTAATGGGAATAAAGCTGTACTACTACACAAGTAAAGTTATAATATCATAAATTTATGCTCAGTTGTATCATTGTGTAAATAAAGGAGTGATTTTTCAGAACAAATTCATAAAACTATGAAACTTTTGTAAATTTAAAAAAGGTGTAATTTAATAAGAATAAAGTCATAATATGAAGGGAATAAATTCCTAATATTACAAGTAAATAACTTGATAATTGAATGAAGTTGTTACTTTTTGAGAATAAAGTTGAATTTGTTTTTTTTTTTACCAGAATTGAGGCACAGCATTACAGGAAAATCGTAAACTGTTATAAGAATAGGCTTGCAATGATTTGTAAATTAAGTTGTCTGCTAATAAGAATGATGTCATAAAATCATTGAGTAAATTTATAACCTAAAAGTTGGTTATGGTGAAACATGCAAGGTCTGAAATACCTGCACTCTTTTCTCTAAAACAGTGGCCCACTCCACAATAAAATCCCGACACACATTGGCTGGCCAGATGTCCTCATTGGTCCAGATGTGGCTGAGGACATTTGACCTCTGAAGACAAGCAGAAAGGGAAAGTGAAATTACTGATTGAATGATTGAACAGTTTACTGCATTGATGAGTAGGCCAATAAAATTCTGTTTAAATAACATCCTGTAGGCACCAACATTAAATAACCCCCTCTGTTATGTCATCAACAATTTGGCCAAATCTGTCTGGGTCTGAAGCACCATTTTCAGTTTCAGGGGTATTCAAAACTCATGACCAAATTCAATACAAGGGAAGTTGTGACTCATTCTCAACTCAATTCACATTCATCACAAACTCTTTTGTTTCCTGTAGATGTGTTCAAGTGTTGTCCCTCTCAAAGGACTGTGGAACTAAAGACCTCTGATTACTCACTGAGGTGAAATCAGTCATTTCTACAGATTGTAAGAGCTCTTTCAAGCCCCATAGTTTCCCCCTTCTGTTATGCAATTCCACTTAGAACCACACATCTCTGGAGCCCACGGAGAATTTGTGATTTTAACTTTGTAGAAAAACCTACCAATTAACCCCACAGTCTTGCTGTTTTACAAGAACAGCCAAGAAAGAGCAAAATTACACCACAAAACAGTGATTTTTTTCTTATTTCAGCTTAATAAAGTCCATGTACTGAAAAGAGCAACTCTTAGCACATTTTTTGGCTAAAAAATCTTGATAAATTTCATATTTCAAGATATTACATGACAACATTCAGAACTGAATTTCTTGTAATAAGTTAGAGGAGAAATCTACAGATTTAAAAAACACAAAATTCACTTATTAGGGTCCTGGAGAAGGACATCGTCTTACTTCAAGAAACTGAATTTGTGTTTCAAGAAACATGAGAGATAAGTTTTTATCACTCCATTGGCAGATGTTATCTAACTCATTACAGGCTATTCAGTTCTTATATATGGCATGTCATTTCTCAAAATTACCTTTGTAATGCAGATAAACATCTTATTTCATTGAATTACAAGACTTAAAAAAGACCGAAACTGGTGTAAAGAGACATAAATCTGCCAGGGGTCAGTGAACAGTACTTGTCAAGTTTCTTGAATGAAAACATTATTCTCTTTTTTAAACTAACATCTAGAACATTTTGTCAAACAAATATAGCTTACATTTATCTAACATGCCTATTCCATTGTAAGACAACAACACTTGTCCAGTTGTTGGTTTTTGGAGTGTATGAATGCCACGAAAGGTTTTTTTTTTTCCTTTTGAAACTACAGTTTGATCCTTTTGAGTCCTCATATCTCCGCTGCATTATTCAACTCTGGGTAAGTACGTACATGAGAGCATATGAACCTGTAAAATAGATGGAGTGAATCTAATGCCTTCTCCATTAAACTTGTAGAACACATACCATTGCTCTACCAGCCAACGCTTCAAAGACACTTCTTCTGACTTCACTGATGAAATTATGAAAGCGCACAAACTCCAATCTTGGGGAGAGTATTTGTCATATTTCCTGTGAAAATTGTCTAATAAGGCTCAATCAAAGCCACCTTTGCCTTCAAGTCCAGGAAATGATGAGTCAAAAAGAAATCTACCCGTTAAAATAAGAAAAAAATACCGTTCAGGCAACAAAGTTGTGATTTAGTAAATTTTCTTACACCTCTACATCTCTCAAACTTGCAGACACCAATAGTCTTCCAGTCATACCTCTAAAGACACTATTTCCAAGACATAAATCAAAAAGAAAAAGTGATTACCTGGCAAATTTTGTTAAGTTCACGGGCCAGTTCCATGATAAAAACTTGACTCTCCACCAGCGGCTCCTTCTTCTCAAGTTTTACTCGCTTACGAGACTCCTGCAGCAGACAAAAGACGATAAGAAAACAGAACAATCAAGGCCTGAAGGGCTTTTTGGAGCAAGTTCTACAGATTAAGCACTTGCTGCAGATCTTGTGTTATCAGAGGAGTTATTTATCGTACCTTCAGTCGAATCTTGAGCTTTTTAGCTGGCTCGATAAGGAACTGCAAGCAGTCCTTCATCATGCTGGCAGCTGGAGAGCGTGGCTGATACCCTGTGGTACAATAATAAAAAGCTTTAGTATGCTGGCACTCATTCAGTCACTCAGGAGCTGGAGGTGACGCTGACTGTGCTCCTGCTGCCCACACAAATCGATGAGAGGGCAGAAATACGTAATTTATGAGAGGTGGCAAAAGGTACGAACATGGAGAGAGAGAGAGAGAGAGAAAGAGACAGCACTGCAGAAGTTTCACCACAACTCTGCACTACTTAGTCCACAGAGATGTTATTAGGAGGCACTCTGAGCTATCATTAGGTGTCGAGGAGGGAAGAGAGGAGGGCCTACACATTGGTGGAGGAGTGAAAAGACACAGCCCACCTACTCAGCACACACATAAGGTCCTAAAGTTAGCTGCATAGAGAGGAACATTGTAGTAACAGGCAGAAAATACTGCACTGTAACAGGATTTCCTGATGTGTGTGGGTCGATGCATCTTGATCATGGCCTTGAAATTGGAAATTTATCCCCAGAGGAGATGTGAGACAGCAGTGCAGAGCATTTTTAAAACACTGCGGAGGGTGCGGAGGAGCATTGGACTGGATTGCTGTTGATTCAGCAGTACGCGCTTGCTCGCCAGTTTGATGCGTCGAGGGGATTTGCTGTTCTTTCTGTGATGAAGAGGTGGCAGCTGAGCCAAAGGATCCTATCGACTTTCACAGGACCAAAGACAATTTATTTGAAGCTTGTAGTTTGTGAACTATGGCAATGGAAAGACAAACAAATAAAGGGCGCTCAGCCAGGATTAAGACTTTTTTGGCTAGTACAACCAGAATTATTAGTGAATATTGTTGGAACGTTCATTAAACATTGATAATATTTTTAGATTTACCTTCCTATGATCAAAAAGTACAAAGAAAAAGAAAGTACCCTGTGGTAGAGTTGTTCAATATGGTAAAAAGCACATACTAAAATTATTGTGGCAGAAACTGCAATCGCAACATGCCTCACATTATGAGTGAATGCTTATATTCTGCATCTATGGTTTTATTTTCACACATATACACACAAATAAAAAAACTTGTAAAATCATGACATCTTAAATGTTGTTGAGGTCAGTACCAAGTAAACATGTTTGTCTGAACATTTCTGCAGCATTCAATCCTTCCTCAAAAATCTGTCTCATCGTAACATATTGAACTTTTATCAAATAATTGCAGCTTCTTGCAATTTGGATAAGGCTCTTTGTTTTGATTGTTTTTTGATAAATTGTGCAGCTCTGCTTTGTGGTGAACTTTATCACAGTCATACACCAAGGCTGTCTGCGGATGTCGAAACACGTGCTGAAAAGGTACAGGACATCCCCCAGTCTCTGAGCCTGTTAACTCGTTAAGTAGATACACCATCCAGTTTGTCAGATAAGTGAGGAAATTTGGACATAGTATATATCATATGAAACACGTCTAAAAAAACAAGCCAGGGGAGCTGATTCTTCTTTCCTGAATTGATTGAGAGGGATTGATTTTATGTAATAAAAGTATAGTGTAAGTGGCAGAGGAGCCATGTGTAATGATGAGGAGCAGAAAGATTAGTGGAAATCCAGGATTACCGTGGGTGCTATTGCCGTACAAACACAGGCAGTGACCTTCTGGGATAGGACTGATGGACCTACCTGTACCTGCAAGTCAACAGCAAAACAAATTACGAAGCGCACACTGGAGATGGACTGATTGATTGGGCTAATTTCATAATAATCTCAATCTGTCCATTATGTCATGAGGCTAGTATTACCACCATCTTCTCTTAGTGGCAATGCCTTTATCCTGTCATAAATAACAGCAAATAAACACTGGTGTGCATATTAGTGTGAAATAAGCATGGATTAATAAAATTGTGCATGGCTTTTTTCTTTTATATTTGTTTAACCTTATGTTATTACTTGTGTTTCTTCTATTGTGATGATCACAGATAGCCGGACAGAAATCCTTCACAGCAACATTTTGCTGAACAACATATTTTTGTGTCTACATACTGTATATATTTATATAACAAACTTCTGTAGTTCAGCAACTTTGTTTCTAATTTGTCACGATTATAACATTATATTTTATCTCATACAAAACAATCACAACAACAATAAAGGGATATCGGCATTATGATATTATTATTTGGCTAACCTGCCTAATCATCAGCATCATTAGCCGTTGAAAAATCGCCAACGGCCGACCGTCAGTGTGCAAAGTTAACAGTAGCATGCCCATATAAACGGGGTTTAGGGCAGACTCGCATAACTGAATGATAATTAGATTAATTAATCATTTTGCATACTGTCAAACTGAGAGTATCATTTAACAACTGTCATGAGAATCACAACAGAGAACCTGTCATAGAGCCATTCCTCTTCAGATGGATACCAATCATTAAATATCGTTTGATGAGGTCCAGAAACATAAAAACGCATTTCTTTTTTAAATCAAATTAAATCATCATGAGCAAAATTATAGTTTTACCTTGTGGTGAGTGTTTTTTCTTCCTTGTGGAAAACTTTATCGAGCCTGTCTGATAGATTTCAACCGATCGCGGGCTCCTTTAGTTCTCCTCCATCCTCGACTGACTCACTGCTTCACCCTCACCTCAACTGCGGCACGAGAGCCTTAGCGCGCGTCTTAATGCACCGCTGAACTGCTCTGGGCTGCAGTTAGAGGAGTCAGCCGCACGAGGTCGCCATTGCTAAACCACAACTACAAACTGCAATACTGACTACAACTAAAGAAACCTGAGTGTAGTTATGAACTCAGACCTGAATTTGAACAGCTACATAAAGACTATCACTAAATCAGCCTATTATCATCTCAAAACATTGCATGAATTAAAGGATTTTAGTCTAAACAAGATATGGGAAAACTTGTTCATTTATTCTAAATAGATTAGATTATTGCAATGGTGTCTTTAGAGGTCTCAGTAAAATACACAATCAAGCAGCTGCAGGTCATCCAGAGTACTGCTGCCAGAGTCCTGACCAACAGCAGGAACATGGACCATATCATACCTGTCCTTAAGTCCCCGCACTGGCTCCCAGTGAGTCAAAGGATAGAGTTTAAAATCCTGTTACTGGTCTACAAATCACAAAATGGTCTTGGGCCTAAATACATGTCAGAGTTGCTGGTTGGGTATGAAGCATCTAGACCCGCCAGGGACAGGTCTACTCATTGTCCCCAAGGTCAGAACCAAGCAGGGTGAAGCTGCATTCAAATTCTATGGCCCTCACCTGTGGAACAAACTCCTTAGGTGTGTACACACTGTCAGCTCATCTAAATCAGGCCTGAAAACATTACTGTTTTCGTTTACTGCAGCTTTCCTATAGCATCATTTCCTTTTACTTCTACTTTACTTCTACTTTACTTTGCTGTTCTGTCAATTTCAATAGTTTTATTGATTTAAATTACATTTAAATATTTCATTGATTCTAAGATGTCTTTTTGGTTTTAAATTGTTTTAATCTCTCTTTTCTAATTTCTTTAATGTTTTTCCTTGCGTCTGTAAAGCACTTTGAATTGCCTTGTGTATAAATGGTGCTGTACAAATAAACCTGCCTTGCCCTGCCTTGTAAATGTAACTGCCTATAAGAATAAGAATCACGTCAAACTTTCTAAACAGGGCAACATAATACACTTCACACTGAGAGAGAGAGAGTGATCACTAAACACTGTCACAACAGTACAAATAGAGTCCTATCTTAAAGAGGAAAAAGATACAAGAAAATATATTACACACACTATTCTGCCTATACGTGTAGAGGGAGTGACAAAAATAACATCTCAAAGTTTACATCTATTCCTAGATAACACATGACTTTTACCCAACTATTCTCTGTGGAAAATATTTTGCTTATTACATTTTATATAGTATCTCAAAACATAAATAAAATTGTTATTACCATTTTTATTATTTCCATTCCGTAAAAAAATCAAATCTTGCGAGTGAATTTATATCAGATCTGGTTAAAATATCTCATTACACTGAATTTTAGCTAAATTTGCATTAAAGGTCCAAATTTAATTCCTGTTTTAAAATATTTCAGGCAAATAGTCTAAGTAAACACCTTCAATGGATATTACAGTTTGTTTAATTAAACCCATTACAGCAACATTGCTTGCTTGCATTTGCAGTCATTTTACATAATTACAAACAGGGGCATGTCTAAAAGTTTTGTCTACAAAAGATATTTTGTACCTACAGCAATCAGACTCTACAACATGAGATGACAAAAACTTGAGACATGAAAATCCAGACATTAGAATTTCCCCTCGCTGAAAACTTTTTTATTTCTCATCTCATTAATGCCGTCACACTTTAAATTTCTGTGGAATTTAAATCAATATTGATGTAGCTAAATGTAGGTAGAATAAGATATTTGCACTCGTTAAGATGATAGGCTTTAAAGTAAAGGCATCATCGAATCAGCTGGCTGTACCATGAAAAACACAGGAAGATGAACTATTTTCCACAGAAAATACTTGAGAAAAAGAAGTACTGATTTGAAAGTTAGGCTTACTTGGAAAACTACAAGCAAACAAAACAGCCACTCAAATGCAGTAATATTAATGAATAATTCACTGTAGTAATACTCTTAGCAATAATTATACTTATAATTACAGGATCCCAGGGAGAGACAGAAAACGAGATATCCCACAGCAGGTGCCCTTCTCTATCCCTCTGGCCCTGCCCCTCAAACAGCCTGAATACGCCCCTGGTAGGTAAATAGTTTGACAAGGCAGCACGCACCGCTTCACAACACTTACCACCACAGACACTAAACAGGTCCAAGTTCTGTTTTTTTCTTTTTTCTTTTATTTGTTTTAGCTAAATAATGTACACTTTCCTCATCTTTAGCCTCTTCAAACCAGCTGTTCACTCTGTTCCCCCCTTTCCCCAGGTCCATCAGTATGAGAAGGTGTCTCGGTATGTTCGTTAGGCTACACGGAAGTGAGATAACAGCTGTAGCTGTGTGTAAATGACAGGAGGCTTGTCACGCCTTTTGTCAACCTTCCCGTGAACGACAACGACTGACCACGGCTGGAGGTTTAACATGGCTCCTAGAGATCCTCTGCTCGGTACTCTCAAAGGTAAAGACACCAAATAATGCAGGCCTGTTATTTCTTTATCTCGGTAGGTGTGGATATCAGATACAGCTGGTTAATGCGACCTTGTTGGTGTGGTTCGCCCGAACAAACAACCGCATCTATCAGTGAATTTTCTCTCTGCTGTCAGGAGTGCAAGGATCATCTTAGTAATGCAGATATCATATTGCTTGATCGTGTGTAAAACAACGATGTCGGTGTTAGTTGCATGAAAAATGTGTGTTATTTTGTTCCTCTCAGTGTGTGTGCTGAACCTGCAGTCAGATGGGGAGATCGTGACGGACATCAACCCTCACCTCGCCTCCTGCTGTGAGCTCCTTGAGCTGGTTCTCAGAAAAGGACTCCAGCGTCAGTATTACCTTTAATTCAAGATTTATTCATCCTGGACAATTAGACGACAGTCCTTCTGATGATGTTTGAGAAAGAAGTGAATATGAAGAAGGAATTCGTGGCCAGGCTTAAAACAATCATGGCAACGAGTCAATCATCTCCACACCTCATGGCCACATATTACAATTTCATGAATGCTCTCAAAAATTTCTGAAAACAAAATATTCATAACAATACTTAATTTGTGACCACAATTTTATTATCTCATGGCCAGGTATTACAATTTTGTGGCCTTGAATTATTCATTTATAGCCAAGACATATATTTTATTACTATGAATTCCAATTTTTGGCCATAATTTACTTGTTTGTTATAGAGTAAATTGCCTTAGGCGCTAAACTGTAGCCACACATTTCTGTCATTTAAGCAATGGGTTACTATAATTCGACCTTAATCCACAAGTTACTTTTTGAAGCCAAAATGGCCTTTCCATTGCCTCAAGTCACTGTTTTGTGGGTACAAATGTCTTTTTTGTGACCATGCATTTGAAGTTTGTATCATATCCTATTAATTCCATGGACAGGAGTTACTTTGGTTGGCCCCTCTCTCATGTGGATTTGCATCAACCAGTTGTGGCCAAGAAATAGCACGTTGTAGCCTGAGTGGACTATTTTTCTCATGCGCCTTTGTTTTGTGTCATGATTTACTCATCTTCCTTTTGTGGCCATGAGTTCTTTTTTTGCCAAAAATAACTTTTGTGTGTGGACACAAATCACTATTTGTGGCTGTGCACAATAAAATCTCATGGCCAAGAATGACATTTTTAGGTCATACATTACTATTTTGTGATCAGGCACAAGTAATTTGTTGCTATGATTTAATCTTGTGGTGATGAATGACTATTTTTTGGCCCAAGATTATTAAGACATGGCCATGTATTGCTATTTCAAGTTACTGTTTTTGGGCCATATACAAGTAGTTTCTGTCATGTTTTGATTGTCTTATGGGCGGGAATTTGTCGTGTATAATTGAAGAGAGGAAACTAATTTATTCTCATGTGTTCAGGAATTATTATTATGTAGCCGAGTATAATTAGTTTGTACCATGCTATGGCAAATTTCTGCCTAGAGAGATGTTGTTTCTAAAATGTCAGGATGGGGTCTGTAACTCAATGTACTCTACATGAACCTCTGATCAGATCCTGTGAGGCATTTTTAAACGTACTTCAATGTCTGTAATTGTTCAGAGTAAACAGTTTGGGTGAAAGATTTGATGCATTTTGATATTTATTAAACAATACTTAAGTTTAAGAAGGAGAAAAGTCTTAGTAGCATTATCGACCAATTGTTTTTCTGTGCTTTTGTTGCAGAACCAGTTCTCAGTCTGGTCCACAGAGACTACTGGCAGTGTTTTGAACAGATAACTCAGCAGGACACCTGTGGCAGGTACAATCCTCATGACTGATCTGAGAAATTGCATTGTAATACCTATGTCATACTGTTACAAACCCAGCACTGCTTAATACCTTTTTAATGTGTGTTTGTAGGCTATCTGCACTGTCATTAGTGGTGGAACAGACTAGAGTCTGCAGGAAGCTGCTCTCAGCTCAGGGCCGAGGTCGCTATCTGCTCAGACTGGCCCTCAGCCGACAGGCTTTGCCTCAGTTCATAACACACCTGCTGCACACCCCCAGAGTCCTGGAGGTCAGTTATATGGAGAAGACAAAATTTGTTATATACTTTCTTTTTTTTATGAAAACATGAGTAAAAAGCACAGCACAGGGCGAAGTAAAACACTAATCTTCACTGTACTTCCCTCACATTATGTTGAAAATACAGTTTCTACAGTGGTGGCTCATTGATTACCTCTCTTTGCCATTTACATAATCAATTTCCATTTTATTGTAAAAAAAGAAAATAAAAAATAAGCTGCACTTAAATGTAACGCAATAATAATTGAGAGGACAGTGATTCGTGAAACAATTGTTTGTCAGGCTTTTGTTTTGATATTTTTCATCTTTTGGTTTTAGGTTGATGTATTTCCTACACTGTAAAACTATGCTTTTATTTTGAAGTATGAGTTATGTCTGGAAGATCAAGTTGCAGAACTGAATGAAAACAGTTTGAAAGTACTTTATCCAATAGTTATTGCACAAGCACAATCACAATAGAAGCACAAGCTCTTAAGTTGATTTTGGATTTATGATAAATCATGGTTGGTTGAGTGTATCTTGTTGAATTAAATTCTTCAATATAAAACTATAAAACTAAAAAGGCAAAAGCAAGAAGATGAATTTCTTTACAAAGGTTTAATCTGGTTATTTAAATAAACTCTAATTATCAGGTACCTAAAAAAACAGTTTTCACTAAACTGGGAAAACTCTCCTTTAAAATCATCCTTTTAATGATTTAGAGACTGACTCGTTCTCCTTGGGCTGTCTGGTGCTCTGAGCAAAGTGTCCTCCAACTTTATAATTAGTACAACTTATTTATCATTGGAGTGGTCTCAAATGCTTTAAAACCTCTAACACATCTACTGTTTGGTCTGTTTCTCTTCTTTTTAGTGGTACAGCCCAGAAATGTCAGTCCTAAGAAATGAGGCGTTTTTGGGTGAAGCCTTTTACTTTATCTTATTGTTTTTAAGTAAATGAGAAAACTATTGTCTCTATTTTTGTTCAGTTAACAGCATCAATAACACAACTCTGTCTCTTTCAGAGCCCTTCATGTCGCTGCTGCTTGTCCTCTCTCACATGGATTTCAAGCTGAACATGGAGGTCAGAGCAGTGAAAAACTGAAAACAGAAAAGGAGGCTTCATGATATGGAAAAAAAATTAACATTTTGTTTTTTCCCCTTTTTTGCAGATAAATGTGGCATAAATGCTTAGAAACAATTAGAAATGTAAATATAATGTTTTTACTATAAATTTGATCTTTCAGACTATTATCTGGGTTAGGGTTAATTATCTGAGGTAGCGACACAAGTACAGGCAGCCAAACACATTCCTACAATCAATTTAACAATAAACTCAACTGCTTTTGTTCGGCATAGTCAATAACTTCTATTGGTGTTAAAAATGTTGTTTGCAACCTTGCACCCTGCAAGCCCTGTGATATCTTTGCCTCTACTGCAGGTGATTTTCACAACTATGTGATTTACATGCTGTGCAGGCGTAGAACACTCTGTAGTTACGTTAGCAGAGTAGTCTTGTGCTTTCTCCCACAACATCAGCAGTACATCACTGTCTTAAAATTCATCCAGCTCAATCAAGCCTTTGCTCGAGTATCTGTGATGCTGGTAGTGTTGCCACTCCTGTGCATGTTAACTCTCTACAGTATTGAATTTCCCTTTGGGGATCAATGAAGTTCTTCTTATCTTATACAGACTCCGCGTGCTCAGCATTCAGTGCTCTGTAACGACTGAGGGGGTTGGCATGAAAAGTGACACAGGTTTTTTGTAGACTAGTCCTGCAGAATGAGGAAGCGAGACAGCATGATGTGATTCGTGTCATTTGACTGACACTGTACTTCTATTAAGCATGTACATGTTGTAATTGCTGTTTTCAAATGTATTGCTCAGTTTCACTTGAACCACATTATGTTCTTTGAAACAGAACTGCAGTTTCCTTGATGAGAGCTGGATCCTGCCGGTAAGAATCAATGATTGTTATTGACCCGTTCATATCATTATCATAATCTTCAGTTTAAAATTGTCACAGTAACTCTGAGACTGCCAGAAAAACACAAAGATGTATATACATTGATACTGTACTGGCCTGCTGGATGGTATGTTGATGACAACACTGTATTGGTAGAGATAATCTATTCTGGGAAGACTGACATTTGTTTGTAACTACATCCCAGTCTGACTGCTGGTAAATCTCCCTACTGGTTTAATTTTGACTTGTCACAAGTTAGTGGATTTATGGTCTGTATGATGGTCAAAAACAAATGTAACTATTGATGACAAGATTGACAAAATTTTCTTCTTAATGCCAGTACCGGCTCTTAGGTGGGAGGTACATTAAAGAAACAGCATTAGTCACTTCTCCTACCTACAGCAAATATTAAAGATGAGTGATAAACAACACAGAGATTTTTCTGTCAATCAGTGCCACGGCAACTATGTAAGGGTTACCTGTTAGAGCCTGATATGTAACAATGACCATGTTATTTAAAAAGATGTGATAAAACCTGAAATTTAATAATTGGTCAGTAATGTAACAAGATGCTGTGCCCAAAAGTTCATAACTTTTTGCCCAAAATGTAGGAACTTGATAAATCTTGGGTCATTTATGACATTCTGGGTTTTATTACCTTTTTTAGATAACATTTAGGTCATTCTAAATGGGCGCCAAAATCAACAAAGACAGAAAGTTCCTCATAGAAGCTTTAAACGATCAGTACGATTTTCCTATCCCAAGTGACAGCAGATCAAATTTAGATTAACTGACAAATGTTTCAGAAATATTCTGTAATTATGTAAAGAATAACAGATATAAAAATGTCTTGTTCTGGTATTTTACAGCATAACCCTGTGTGTTTCTTTATTTCATTATGTTTAACATCTAAAACAAGTTTTGGCTAAGAAAACCATTTCACATAAATAGGCTCAAAAGAAATGGATAGGACTCAAATGCAGAGTCAAAAGTAAAATATTTTTAACAACAAAAGTTTAAAAGTTGAACGAGATAGGAAAGAAAAAAACTTACTTGTCAAAAGTCCAATCAAAATGCCAGATCCCAAAAAATAAAAACTCTAGAAAACTGAAGCAACATGAAGAACCCTGGAGCACTATGGGAGCCAGACACAGCTAATGACATGAATGTAGATAAAGGCAACAATATACCAACAAAGATGGAGTAGAAGACCACCATCCAAAAAGGTTCATCAATGACCAAAAAGAATCAAAAGGATATATGAAAAAAGTGAAACATGAGTGCTTTTTATTCATGAAACTCACACTTTCCACATCCACTGATATTTGTTCATACTGCCCCTGCCAATATGACAGACATATTACAGCAGTAGGCCGACACAGCCAGTGCAGCATCTATGTATATATGTCAATAAAAAACTAGCACAGGCCTGTTAAAGTACACTTTGATTCCAGGTTTGTGAAACTTACGAGGTGGTGCCATGTCGGGAGCTGGGGATGGTGTTGAGGTTTGTGTTTCTCCTACAGTAATGAACAATGATGATCCCTTACATCTGTCCTCTCAAACACATCTGCCCATGTATCCCCTTTTATGTCTGTCTGTGCTGCAGGTACCTCAGTGGGCGTGTCTTTGTCCTTGAGCTGATACCTGGCGGTCAGGCTCATGCTGACAAGTTTATCTGTCCTGGAGACATTATTGATGAGATCAATGGGACTTCACTGAGGAACTCTAAAAATGGACAGGTAGCTTCAAACGTACAGTCTTATTTACCAGATAAACGAGTCACATTCACAGACCTTATCTCTCCTTGTGGGTCACCACACTGCAGCTGCCATATAGATAAGGGTGTACACTCAAGTTTAAGTTGGTTCCAGTGTGTTGCAGACTAGACTTTACACTGAAGGCCTCTTAGAGGGAAATTATGGTTTAATGTAATGTGCCCCATCATGTTTCATGTTAAGCATGTAAATGACAGGTGGTCAGAAAACCCCTTTTTTTGTTGTTTTATAACAACATGCCTAAAACAAGCTGTTTTTCATCCCTGGCAAACCAACAGCAGTGGACAAAAGAAATGATCATGAGTACTATACCATTTTTAAGTATCTGTATTTTACTTGAGTTTTTTTCTTTCTTTTTTTTTTTTTGAGGAACTTGTGACTTTAACTCAACTACATTTAAAAGACAAAGCAGAATTTCTCACTGCAGTCTACTAGAGAGAGCAGAGCTGCTGGAGTTAAGTTCCCCTGTCAAGTACTTCAACCACTGCAAATGTAAGGGTTGTCTAATATCTGTCTAATAACAACTGTCTTATATCCTGCTGGATGGGTGAGGCTATCTTGTGAAGCCATGGGCTTTTTTAAAAATGCTCTAAACTGGTCACCAAATTCTCTCTTGTTTGAAAACACATGAATTCATAAAGAAGCTGCTGTGATTAGAAATTGGGCAGAGCCAGTTTGCACAGTTGGTTCTATCTGAATTTTGTATTATCTATCTCTCTATGTCAGATATGATGCTGTTGTCACTGTGGGAGATTTGTGTGTTAAGTTGTTTGATAAATGTGCACTTGAACCTTGAACCACCACTCATTGACAGTGAGCCAGTATTCTACCAGGACCCAGGAACTAAAGCATTTGATAGAATAAAATAGGTTTTATTTGAACAGTGATACTCTGCAGGACCACTGAGCAGAGTTGAATTTAAGATATGTTCTGTGTCTTGTCCATTTCTTAAAGGGGAAATGAGCGCTAAAGACCAACAAGGAGATTAAGTCAATCTTCGTACTTGTCTTATTTGCAACTCCTCAGAAAATACCCTCAAATTTGTCACGATATGAAAAGTGTCTCACAAACTGGAATCTTAAAATTGTCCTGCAATTGTTCAGACAAAGACAAACGGATAAATAGGAGCTCTCAAATAGGTCTTATTTTGGCGGTTTAGTCTTAAAGCCCGAACTTTCAGTTGTCGTGCAGGTGCAGGTGTCGTGCTGAGCAGGTGCTCAGTCCAAGATTTTATATTTCATACAATTTTTAAATTAGTATTTTGGAGATTTTTGGAGAAGTTCATTGAGTTCATTGAGTAAACTAGGTGAGTAGGTTGGAATTTGTGGGAAACTTTAAAACTCTCAACATTTTGTCCTTCTGACATCTATTAATGTGACTGTTTTAGGGACAACTATGGAACTTTTTGTGTATTGGTTATCACTTTTGCTTTAAAGTAACAATGCCACAGGTTCAAATCCTGCTTAGAGAAGATAAACATGAGAGTTGGTTCTAAATGACCGTCTCCGCATACGTCTCCACTTATTCTTGCAATGTTAAAAAGAGTGACATCTGAGTAAGCGATTCATTGCTATGGGACTTAGTGTAATGCAGCTTGTTCTTATCCTAACTAGCCTGTTCGGACCTCTTTCCAGACTGTGTTGGTGTACAGGCTGCATGATAAACATCACCCCGAATCCCCTTTTTAGTTCTGTCTGCTGTCTGTCCATTTGGCACATGTTGTGAGTTCCAATACACAGTGACATTGCACATTTCCCAACATAGCGCACCCAGTGTGACCATCAGTTTTATCAGCATGAAGGACTGTATTTTCCTTGTGTGGGAGTATGATAAGACCACAACGATGATCCGAAAAGATGCAGAAATAAAAGCTGTGGAGACTATTTGAATGTGCTAAAAGAAGTGTCCCTTTAGACTGTAACGGCCGATCCTGTGAGGCCAGAGGACGTGCAGATGGTTATTACAGCATAAATGTCCTAATGACCAGAACAATGACACTGGTCACATTATCCTTTATAAACTCTTCTAGTATCTTGTTATGTAAGAAAAAAATATTTATCAGATGTGTCTTTCTAGTTGCTGCTGTAGAAGTCAAAGAAGTTGTTGATAACACAACAATCACACACTTTCTCTGTTTTTCCAGGCTGGAGTGGTACTGAATCGGCTGAAAGGCTGCCCACTGTCCATCTCTGTCCTGCGTTGGAAGGCTCAGGACGGGACAGTGTATCGGCCTCTTATCAAATTCCTGCAGGCACTGAGGATTGAGAACCCCACCCTGCAGCTTGGCCCAGTTCCTGCCCAGCAGTCTGCCATCACAGAGAGGAAAACCACTCCACCACAGTGTCTCAAAGAGGGAAGGCAAGTCAGTAAACAAACTCTGGACTGTGATTGAATGCACATTTTACATAGCATGCCCCTCATTGGCTCATTTCTCTTCCAGGATTGTGCACATAGTCCAGTTTTTGGGCAAAGCAAACATTGGAATGGTAAATATCTACTATTGCCTTTATTATAAAACGTATTATGTTTGTATCTTTGTCACATGACTGATTGAGTCTTATGTTAGTTTGGAGGTAAGGAAGTGCTGCAGCAAGCCATCCCACAGGTACTGCGGAAAAACCTGCCCAGCAAGGTAATGAAACCGCCCCTATACCTATGCACATGATGGACTACTAGTCATCTGAACAATGGCACACTATCTCAATATCAGTGTGTGTGATTTAGTGTTTCATGTCGTGCAGGAGGTCCTTCTAGATCTGAAGGAAACACATTTGACGTGCACAGACCGAAGCAGTGCTCAGGTGAGTGCTGTTACTGAACAAATATTTACTGTATCCTAAATACTGTGACAGAGATTTCTGTTCCCCAGGAGCTATTTGAGCATCACTATCCAGAAATATCATGTGTGGGGAGATACAGTCAACCAGATTTCACGATATTTGCATTCTGTGTGGCGTAAGTATTCAAGTATGCATAAGTATGCATACCAACTTCACATCTCTGCAACAAATCTTAAATAAGTGTTGGTATATATCAGGTATCAAGTTGTCTTTCGTTAACCTCAAAAACTCTGGCCAGTAAATCTTGTAATTTACTAGATCCAGGTTTTTTTTATAGCACATATTTGACTCTGTCTACAGAGACTCCCCAGAAATCCCTCAGTCCACAGGTTTCTGCTGTGTAGCTCTGAGAGCCAGCACCATCAAGGAGTGTGAGGAGATTGTGTATCGTATAGGTGAGTCATTGTAGCCTGATAGTATTGCTACAGGTGCATCTCAACAAACTGACAAATGTTGACCCGTTTGTAATCTGTCTGTTGCTGTGTCCCATGTTGTAAACAGTCTTGTGATGTGTTGTGAACAGTCTTGTGTTGTTTTGTGACAGTTATGTTTGTCAGTATCTACCTGACAGATGATTACAGTGTTCATCTATTCTGCCCCATAAAGGAAAAGTGCTGTATCTTTTGCCCCACTTTAAAAAGAAGTTACAGCAATGCTTCACTTCAACAGTGACCTGCATGTACACTTAGTTTGATTTGTTCCCCTCCACTTAAAAGCCAGACTGAATCCTCTGCACTCCGCACCTCATCTTAGGGTGAGGTGAAAATGGCAGTTGAGTACGTTTCAGAATAAGACTCATTTTAGTGTCACTACTATTGAGCTACTTCAAGTGGCTGGCTTCTTCCCCATCTTTATGTCACTACTTCTGGACATGCAATTATTTTTTCTGTTAAGATTAATTGTTTTAAACATCTCACATCCCAATTAAAAGGGTTACATTGACGACAATACAGAATGATTTGGATTGAGAACACAGCGGAACAACAGTGCAATTCATAATTACTAATAAGAAAAAAATGCAACATGAGATGTCATCAAAGTCATGAACTGGGGAGGCATATTATGTTAATCATTGTACAGCAGTAGAGCTAAAAGTGTGAGGTGGAACAAGGCTCGTTGCCTTTGGGTTGTACAGTGAATAACAGAAAAAAAAACTCAACTGTTGAAAGTTTTGGTATTTTGATGATTGATGTACCAAAAATTAACATTTAATTGGAGAACATGCACAACAATTGGAAGTATTTCTCACTGGACACCAAAATCCATCTTCTTCTAGCCCTGCAGTCTATAGGGAATTTGGGTGCCGAATTCAGCATGCTTACATTGGTACAAACAGCTAGAATGTGGAAGGGCATTGTCCATATACAGTGATGTTTTTCAGTTCCTCAAGATGCACATTTGAGTTGATTGCATTCCTAAGAGACACTAAATTTTTCCTTTTACCTTGCAGCTACTGGTTTCAAGCATACAGAGTGGTTTGTATGAGAAGTCTTTATACTGCGTTGCCTTGTTATGTCTTGTAAATAAAGTGTAAAATCAACTTGAGTCATCCGTGTGTGAAACAGAAAACACAAGATTGCTCAAATTTCTACTCATAAAGAACTTTAATAGAAAGACATGTGACAACATCTTCATAAATAGTATCAATGTAGCTGCCAAGTTTTGTTGAAAAACATTTAAAAAGCAGTCCAGAAAAATACAGGAGGGTCTCCCATGCTTGTGGTCACTTAGTGCACAGCATCAGGTTTCTATTCAAAACCTTCGCACAACACATGCTGGCACTGTGTGGTAGATGGCAAATTGGTGGAGGAACCATAGACCCTCATGGAAGATGTGATAAATGTATCCTTTGTCTAACACGCCACCTCCAGATAGCCTTAAAAACACTCAATGCTGAGATTGTTCAACATGAACATGTGTATGACCGGTGATTAAAAACAGGCAAATTTCCCCTACTGCCACACATTTGAATCTACCTAAGCATACTCAGGACTGTGGAATGATCGATGAATTGTCCCAATCTAAAATACATTACAAAACCCAAACAGAAAACTTATAAAAATACCCAAGAAATAAAATGTCCACAAAAATGGTTAAGTACGATAAATAGTATCATTTGTCTTAAATCATGCTGCCACCAGCTGCTTAAGCTCTCTCTCCCCTTATCCTGCGAGCCAGCTGGATGTCTTTGGGCATGATGGTGACGCGTTTGGCGTGAATGGCGCACAGGTTGGTGTCCTCAAACAGACCCACCAGGTAAGCCTCACTGGCTTCCTTTAAAAAAAAAAAAAAAAAGTGTCAGTGTGTCAAGTGTCAAGTTTTTTTTTGGAGGGTCAATACAAATCGTTCAAGTAGGTAATAGACACAAACAAACCAAAATAACACCTATTCATTTCCATTTCCCACACAAAGTCCACCTTTAAACAGCCTTAAATGTACAAAATAAATATACATTTTTAAAATATGCCATAGAGAGATGCTGTAAGGTCATGTAAGAAACGAGATACACATCTGTAGTCAGGTCAAAATAGCCACATTAAATAGATACACTTATTCGTGCACAATTAAATCTTTACAGATAACAGATAACTCCTCAAACTGCCTCTTGTGTTCTGTACCTGAAGAGCTCCGATGGCAGCACTCTGGAAGCGCAGGTCAGTCTTGAAATCCTGGGCAATTTCTCTCACCAGACGCTGGAAGGGAAGTTTGCGGATGAGCAGCTCTGTGGACTTCTGGTAACGACGAATCTCCCTCAGAGCCACGGTGCCAGGCCTTCACAAGAAATGATTTATGGATCGCGTTTAAAACATCATATTTAAAATAAATACGACAGGACAGCCTACAGGAGTAATGTGCATGACTACAGACCTGTAACGATGGGGCTTCTTCACTCCCCCTGTGGAGGGTGCGCTCTTCCTGGCGGCCTTGGTAGCTAGCTGCTTCCTTGGCGCCTTTCCTCCAGTAGATTTACGGGCAGTCTGCTTGGTACGGGCCATCTCGTACTACCTAGAAGTCACAGTAATGGCGATTTGTCAATGATATTCAGTTTAACCCAACTTAACATCAACTTGATTTAATCGCAGAGCCGTTTGCGCTCAGCACCAAGCCGGAATGCTAACTTAGCCTAGCATCAGTATAGCACATCTCGGCTCCCCTCCCCCCAAAGCCGAGCTGAAGGGAGGCGTCAGGGTTACTGTTAAGACTCATTATACGCAATAGCATGTTTCTTAGCTCACATTCAATCGCCATGTCCAGTAACATCAGGGTGGGATATTGCTATATTGACATATTAAAAGGTTGTAGTGTGAGACTTGAGTGAGTCGTCATTAAGGCACATCTGGCAAACTTACGGAGTCAAAACATAAGGCCTTTCAGCCCAACATGTCGGCCTTTTTCTGTTCCCACGTCGCCATTTTCAGCCTCTTACATTTCCATCAACAGAACACTATACCTCCATACTACTCAGGACTGACAACAACACCCACTCTAGATGTGCGTATTAGTTAACAGCCTCTCTTTCACACAGCTACGATCGTTTAAATGGACCTTTGTACGTTGATATCCGCAGAGTTTGAGTAAACCAGGCTGAAGGTGAGAGGCTTTATGGTCTCCTGTTGGAAGCTCCATTGTTCTATTCTTAGCTAATGCTAAAGTTAGCTCAACGACACGGTGGCCTGGTTGTCTGATTATGTCAGTAAACATGTAAGTCTATAATTCCCCTGATGCTTCTACCATTAAATATACTATTAACAAAAAATGGAGCAACGTACCTTTTAAGTCACGTTAGACTTTGATCACCACCGCGAAATTCCGCCTCGAGCTGAGGTATTCGGTAGAATTGTACGTCGGTGGAGAGTTCAGGTCGTATATATGCGGTCAGTATGACGTCATTCTTGCGTGAACCACTCCCTCGTTGGTTCTTTCCCCGAGCGGGCTTTCGGTATAGCCAATAGTTAAACGGGTTGGCAACTACGTTGTTAATATTGTCCCCTTTTATCCCTCTTATAAATATATAAATACAAGAAAAAAGAAATAATTCACGCCTACATGGCTGCTGGGTCGATAAAAAACTTTTTTAAAATATCTTATTTAAAAGCTAGGAATGTCATTCACTCAGGTAGACATGATATTGGACACTATGTATTCATATACCCACACTTGAATACAATTTTATGATGCAATACCTATGTGTTTCTTGAGACTATTGCAATGCCGCACTGTGTCCTATGAACAACTGATATTTTGCTGAATTGTCCTATAAGACCTGTGATTTGCACTGCCGTGCAAATCTTAGTAGCTAACATCATAGAAATAATCATCTCATTATGATAAAGGTTTAAAATGGACAACTAATGAGTGTAAGAAAAAAATCGTGGCAGTTTATCGGATTAAATTATCTTATTTGTCTGAACCATTGCATTTAATGCCAAAAATTTTGTAAAATACATTTATTTACTTCATTATTGCATATTTTATAATAGTTCTGAATCAATTTTGTAGAATTGTGTGGACTGGAGTCTGTTATCTTTTTTATGATTGAAAAATAGTAAAGGTGATTTGTCCTGATCTACACCACAGGAAAATGTTAATGGAAATGAAACACGTACCTAAACATATATGGAATGAAATCCTCTCTAAATTTGAAATCCTCTCTAAATTGACTGAAAAGTAGAAAACTCATCTCGGCTTCTAAGAAAAACAGAGTCTGTCAATCTCCTTTTTTGATAACCTTGAATGATATGTACTTGGCTCTACATTGTACATTTTGTACAATATCTATCCTGGTATTTGATAACGTTTTTGAAAAAAAAAAAGGTGGAAGCTGAATGTGTCACCTTTGTAATATATACTGTGCATGAAGAAATAACGTGAACATACCACTATAGTCGAAATTATTTGTAATACACCATATCCCATAGTTCAGTTCTTCTCTCGTTGTCCCTTTCCTACTACTTCCTCCTGTCTTGCGCAGGCGCACACTATAGTAGAATGCGGATTTCGAAGCTAATAAGAATAGGTAGCTAGTAAGCTAAAAACAACGTTGAGGTTGAAAGGCTTTAAACTTATAAAATGTCCAAATCTCATCCACAACCCCCGTTATCTTCGGCAGCGACGACAACCGGAGGGCCCTCTTCGTCCTCCTCATCCTCGCCCGCTGGGGGCTCGACATCTCCCGCAACCGTGTTGAACGTGCAGCCCGAGAAACCTCAACATTACACGTACGTAGCTAGTTAGCTGGATTAGCTTCAGGTGTACACAACCTCACGTGAAGCTATTTTTATCAATGACGAGCTCGATAATATTTGAAGAATAATTATTGGTAAATACCTAAGATTTCTAGAGGCGGATCAAAGTAAGAAATAACAGTCTAGAACAGTTTGATAACGTGATTTTGTTCTCACAAAGAGGCCCGACTTTACTAAACTGAGCCGTTTTATAATGCTTACTGTATGTACATTATGAGTAAATGTCTTACTGCCACCAAAACTCAGGGGCATTCACGACCCTGGAGGGACCTTGATATGAGCAGCATCTGATTTGGCTGGTATGAGGATGTTAAAGAAAAGTTGTGACCTCTCAAACACTCCTCAGATCCAGCAGATCGGGAGTAGATCTTGCAGCAGACTCCGAAATACTCAGTCCTAAGTTGATAAACTGGATTTATTTATGCAAATATAGGGTAATTTAACTACTTTTTCTGTCTAGACAACATTGGACTAAAGTTAATTCTTGTACTTTATTGACCTGGGTTAAATAATGACTGACGGTGTGAAAATATAAATTTATTTGCTTTTGGACAGGACAAAAGGCAGTGAAACCACTCTTTCCTGCATTTTGACAAATAGTACAAAGGTCCCACAATTATGAAACTGTGTCAAAGAAGTCTGTACACTATACAGAATAAATTAAACCAGGTCTGGTAAGTCCATGTACTAGAGTTTGTTGACCTGGTCCATTTAGTTCAGTCAAAAAAAAAACAAAAAAAAAACCGAACAAACAAAAGCTTTGAAATCACCGTTCTTTGCCCTTAAGTTATAGCATAAAGGTTTTATGAATCTGAAATTACATTTTGAAAAGAGTTGTTACGTCTCTAAGTTTAATGTAGTCTAGATACGAAGCGTCCAGGTATTATGGTTCTTGACCAGCACCGGGTCCAAAGATGGACAAAGCAGAAGAATTGCCCTTTTTTTGCATGTACCGAACTGTGATACAAAGATTTTATAGCCTTTCATATATTGAACTAGATCTAAAAGGGTTAAAAATCGTGGTTTTGGATAAGGACCCAATCCATAGTGGTCTTGACAGGGAAACAAAAACAAAAAACTCCCCTTTTGAAACCTTTTAAAATAGAGTCTGTGGCCTCTCAGGGATTACCTAGTCCAGATCTGAGAAATCCATTAGCTGTGGTTTTTAATTAAAACTTTGATACCATAACCTTGCCATGGCCATGTCACAATTGGTGTAGAAGATGAATGCTTCATGGTTTCATGCTAATTTGGTGGTTTTGGCTGCGGAATAAACTTCTAGACTAACTTGAGACTTCGTCAAACACAGATAATCAAATTGGAAATAGTATATTGAAGTAATATTTCTGCCAGTATTTCTGCCTTAAAGCCTATTTCATTACCAGCTGTTGTTTTTCCTCTCTTTCAGATATTTGAAGGAATTCAGAACAGAGCAGTGCCCTCTGTTTGTACAGCATAAATGTACACAGCACAGGCCTTTTTCCTGTTTCCACTGGCACTTTCTGAACCAACGACGCCGCAGACCCATCAGGAGACGTGATGGGACCTTTAACTATAGCCCAGATGTTTACTGTACCAAATATGATGAGGGAACAGGCACCTGCCCTGATGGAGATGAGTGAGTGTGACTGAGAGTTCAGTTTTGTACACGACTGAAGCTCCACAATAGAACAACATCTATATTCTTGAAAAATAGAAACATGACCAATTGCAGTGTAACAACCTTGTTAAGAACTAATTGGTCTTCTTAAAGGACCGGTATAGTCTGCTGAAGTGTCTTTACATCTCAATGGCTTGATTCTTTTGTTCCCTGACGACTTGTAACATCTGGTCTGTAAAATGTGAAAAGCTTTGACATTCAAATAAGGAAATACTTAAGATAGATACCAGACCACCTGAATGGTTTGTAACACCTTTTTAAAATATGGTCAAAGTTAGCCCAGTTGTGAATGAGGACACACCCTGTATGCTATTGTAAGTCAAGATGAACACTGTGGAAGAATAGTGTGAGATGAACCATCTATTTGAAGTGAGGATTGACCCCTGGACACAGTCACTCTGCCTCCCTGTGGGTTTTTTTTTTTTTAAATTAAAATGTGTTTAGCTTGTCTTGGTGATGTTCAAAGCAATGCAAATGTACAGACAGGCACAGATTGAGGATCAAACTGGAAGGCCTTTGGTACAGGCTACTGTTAAAAATACCAAGTGAATGTTTCAGATGTTTAAACTTTACCTTAGGTTTCAAGGGGCTGCTGGTTAGCTCGCTTATCAAAGTTCATTCAGGAATAACACACACAATGTGACCAACAACCTTCAATGGTAGTTTGGCTGCAAAATATTTGATTTATTTTTAACCAGTTTATCAAGACAGTGTCTGTAGTTTAGAAATAAAACCAGCACGTGGCATGTCTGAGGCAAGTAGAGCTTACAAAATGACTTAGTCTTTGAAAATAGTATAAAGATGACACAAATAAGAGGACTGGCTTTTTTAAAGGAATGTTTTTTTTTTTGACTACAAAATTTAATTCTGATTTTTAAACATAAATGCTCATTTTAAATTTGATGCCAGCATGCTTAAAAACAATTGGGATATGTTGGCTTTTGATGTTTCACCAGCTCTTCCTTTAACACCCTGTATATGTTTGTGAACTCAAGAGAACAGTTTCTGGAGTTTGGAAAATGGATTATTGTCCCATTCTTGCCTGATAGAAGATTTCACATATTGTAATCCCTGTTGTCAGAATCTGGTTTGTCATGGTCTTGCTGAAATATGAAGGTCTTCACTGAAAAAGTCTTTGTCTGGATGGCAGTAGATGTTGCTCCTAAATCTGTAAATATTGTTCAGCATTAATGGAGCCTTCACAGATGTGGAAGATACCCATTGCATGGACTCTTATGATCCCCATACCATCAGGGACACTGGTTTTGGACTGAGAGCTGAGAACAAACTGGATGGTCCCTCTCCTTTGAAAGTAGAATCCATTTGTTAGACCACACAGCAGCTTTACCACCCAACTTCAGTCCAGCTTAAATAGCCACAGACTCTGAGATGTCAACAGTGTTTCAGGATCGTGTTTCTATGTGGTTCCTTCTTTGTATGGTTCAGTTTTGTCCTCATTTGTGGATGCAGTAATGAAATGTGTCCCTGTTTTAAGTGATTTTGAGCCCATGCTGTGATGTCCACTCCAGAGTCCTGTCTGTTTTTAATGCAGTGCTGCCTGATCAGGATTACCCAGTCTTGGTTTTGCTCCTTGTCCCTTTAGTACAGAAATTTCTCCAGATTCTCTGAATCTTTTAATGATATTATGTTCTGTAGATTAAAAATCCACTCAAATCCACATTTGACACTCAGGAACATTATTCTGAAACTGTTGAACTATTAACTCGCTGAGTCTCTCACAGAGTGGTGAACCTGTTGAGCATATATATTTTCATTAAGATTTGATTTGAATGACTTAGTAAATAACATTTATAGAAGAGGAGAATTTGTATTGATCAAGAGGAATCTTTTAAATACAAGGAATATCTGAATCTTATTTTACATATGCTGTAACTACTTGTTTTGAAACACTTGTTGGTCTAAATGTTCTGATGAATGTTCTGTTGTGAATTTATGTTTCTTTTCTAGATGTCCGTTTCTACATCGAACAGCAGGTGACACAGAACGAAGGTACCACCTCCGCTACTATAAGACAGGATCATGTATCCATGAAACAGATGCAAAAGGTCACTGCAGTAAAAATGGCTCCCATTGTGCCTTTGCACATGGATCACATGACCTTCGCAGCCCTGTTTATGATATAAGGTAGGAAAGGAGAAACCAGCTTACCTTTGACTTCATATTATTCCACCTTGGTGTGTTAGTTTCTGTGAAACGTATAAGGTCTCTTTGCATGATTTATTTGTACAGGGAAGTGCAAGTCATGGAATCTCAGGGAGGCCCAGGAGCTACAGAGGGAGGTGGAGGAGATGGACAGTCGGGACAGGCAGCAAGTACAGCCCTCATAGAGAAGATCCTCAGTGAAGAGCCGCGATGGCAGGGTGAGTCTAAACTGCAGAACTTCAGTAGCTCTCAGGTTCTGCATTGAGTTGCTGATTATCTTTTCAATGCTTAAGTTGACATGTCCTTGTTAGAGCTGAGAACACAGTGCAGCAAATATGACAAATACTTAAAACAGGTTCTAAACTGTGGATAGTTTTCACAGGGCCAAGCTGTTATGATGTTCAAGTCATTATTACATGAGGATAAAGTTGTTTCAAGATAAAAAAAAACCATTTTCTTTTAAGAATAAAATCATGTTACAAAAATAGAGTCGTTAATTTAGTCAATGATGAGTCACTGTTTATAAGAGGGATCCCACATGTCTCATGGTAAATGGGCCGATGTCCACTTTGAAATGAACACTGCATGATATGTTGGTTTTTGTCTACCTGCTTCATACAAGAAACAGTCACCAAAGTGAAAGCAAACAGAATGCTTTACACCATAAGGGTTTATCTGATAGATACAGACTGCTGCTGCTGTGAGGGACATAGACAGGATAAGTCCAGAAAACTTCAGGGCCCAAATATCCTGAAGTTGTCTGGAAATAGCACACTTTAAACACGTGAAAGTGTGCTGTTGTATTTTCTGTTGTTTTGGAAAAGTTGGTCCACTTTTAAAAAGTAGTTATTTTGCAGCTGAGGATGCAGTCATCTTGATTTGTACTTCACATTAACTCTTGAGGTCTGGCAAACACCACACTTCTGGTCCTCTGATAGGAGGAACTTCTGTATTTTCATGTTTTAGTGTCCTATCTCACATTTTCCTCTGTGTCTTCATCTATGTTTGCATCTCTAGATAACAACTATGTGCTGTCCCACTACAAGACAGAGCTCTGTAAGAAACCCCCACGTCTGTGCCGTCAAGGTTATGCTTGTCCGTACTACCACAACAGCAAAGACAGAAGGCGCAGTCCACACAAACACAAATACAGGTGCCTTGTCCCTTGTTGTAATGTATTTGAACTTTTGTTGTTTTCTTTGTCTTTTTTTATACCTGGCTGTGGATTGTCTAACAGAGTTGTTGTTGTTGATCCCTCTGCTGCAGAGCCTTGCCATGTCCAGCTGTGAAACAGAGTGAGGAATGGGGGGATCCCAGTAAATGTGAGGGAGCAGAGGGGTGTCAGTACTGCCACACAAGAACAGAACAACAGTTCCACCCAGAGGTTTGTCTCTTTCAGCAGAGATTATTCACAGATCAGAGCAGACAGCAGACCAATATCAGTAATGTTTACATGCAGATCATTTTCAGATCTCTGGAGTTACCTGATTACTACAGAAGCCATGTAAACATCATTATATGACTCAAAAGTGTCAAACCTCATCCAATCAGAATCCTTTTGCTCTGTCTTTCGTAACATACAGCATGAGACAATTTAAAATGCCCGTGTTTTTAAATTGTTGTCCATGCCTGCTGCGTCTTCACATTATTTAAGAACTACTTTTTGCCTTTTTAGATCTTGTATTGAACTTTCTGTCTGTTATTTCTTTCTTAGTCATGAAACATTTATTCAGACATGTGCTGCTCACCCTTGTAAAATATATCTTGACTTTAATGCGTTATTACCTAGTTAAATAGAAAGACAAATAATCTAATAATCATTCTCTGACAAACGCCACTATTAGGTTGTATATAATCAGAGAAACACGCCCAGTTTTTTGCTCAATAATTGATTACATTGAGGGCACTTGTATAGTATAATCTGGTTTCTTTTGTACAACTACATTTTGCATGAGTAAAGCAGAAGCAGGAGCGAAAGAAGAGAAACGGCAAGCAGAGGGAGGATGTGGATAAAAATATTCTTCATCATCCAGAGCTAGGCACACATGCAATAAACCTGAATGATCAGCATTTATTTTCCATCAGCTGTTAACATTGATGTTTATTTGACTAGTGATTATCAAAACTTTTAATTTCTGTTACATTCATTTTTCTGTTTTACGGTCACTACTTGGTACCTGGCTTCAGAGAAGCACTGCCAGCTGATTTGCACAGAGGCAAGGAGTTTGTATATGTCTGCATGAACGGCTTAGCTTTAAGACATTAAAGGCTTACAGGTCCTGTAAGTCAAATAATACTGTGAAGAGCCGTTTGGGAGACTAGAGAGCCAGTTCTTGCTGAGTCAAATAAAGTATAACACCGAAAAGAGCCTGAATTCCCATCACCTGGAGTATTTATCCAGAGGTAGTTTTTTTTCTCTTTTTCATTAAGTGACCATAAACACGTGAAATTAAATTTTTACAATGACCTGAGTATTCCTAGATATTCCAGAGGTCTCAATTATTAAATTTAAGTAACAGTGAAATAAATGGTGCTGAGTAGTGTTACAGGACACCCAAACAGAAAACTGCTAATGTGCTAATTAGCACTCTAGCTTACAGATAGCCTTGCTTATGGCCTCAAACATGGCAGTCTGAATACAAACATTGTTGTAAAGATTCTGTTTACAAGCAGCAAGTCCACCACAGCACTTACTATTGCTCATCTACACACACAGCACAGATGTCCCCATGAAAGAGCTCATACGCTGTCAATGAAATCAAGTTGAACTGCGAGCTGCATCATGTAGTTTGCATGTATTGCCAAACCTACAACTAGGGGGGCAGTGTCCGACTCTCCAACACCAGTTATCAGATGAGTGTGTTCACGTAAACAGTCAATGTGTGTTTTTGTTCATTTCCACAGATCTACAAATCCACTAAGTGTAATGACATGCAGCAGTGTGGCAGCTGCCCTAGAGGGCCTTTTTGTGCCTTTGCTCATGTTGAAAGTGAGTATTCATGTTATATTTCAAAATTCTTTTCAGCTTCCACCCAAAGATTTAATTTACAGTTTACACAATGATTGTGCATACTTCCTCCAGAGCCCTTTGTTCCAGAGGAGCCATCATTCCCCACACCAAGCTCCCCTCCGCCTCCACGACCTCCAGACCCTTTTCCTGCCCAGGAAGTTTCATCAAGTCCCAGCAGACCTAGCATGGGGCCTGGGCCTGGTTTAGGATCTGTTTCAGTCCCTTTCTCCCCATCCGCTGGGCCCTGTGTCGCGGAGCAGGGACTTCTGGGTAGTGTTTTATCTCTGTGTGAAGATGTGAGTGGAGCAGCAGAGCCTCCGTCTCCTTGGGCTGGAGAGGGAGGCTACTGTCGAGCGCCGGGGTTTGAGAGGGAGGATCAGGTAAGAAGGCTGCCCACATGTTGGGACAGAGACAACAAAACACCCAAAAAGTTGGCTCATATTTAAAAAACTAGCTGCCCAAATAATGTTGCTAATTTGCAATATGTCAGGAATGGGACTAGGTATAAAAAGGTGTTTTCAAGAGGCTGAGTCTCTGAAGAGTAAAGATGGATAGAGATCTGCACCCGTGTGAGAGACTGAATAGGCAAATAGTTCAATAATTTCAACATCCCGCTGTCCAAACTGGACTCCTGAAGAAGAGCTGATGCAGCATAATAGTAAACATTTCCCTGTCCCAGCTATTTAAAACATCCTGTTGGAATCGGCAGTGAAATTATCATTTTTCCCCACATAACAATAATATAGTCCAGTTTTTAACCATTTGACACGTTGTCTTTTATTCTTGTCTGACCTGTTTTCAATCAAATAGTGGCTGTAAATGGTTTACAAACCACTAAAATCTCATTCTTTATTTTTTGTGATTTCAGGCCAAACAAAGGTGTTTTGCTCTAGAGCAGCGAAACAGAGAGTTATCATCAACGCAAAGCAAACAGGTAAAATGAAAACCTCCAGCAAAACAGTCTCTCTTCTCCTCTGTTGAAGTTCACTCTCATCTGTCTTTTGTCTCTCCTTTAGGATCTGTTAGTGTTTCTTCCTGTTGGTAGCCCATTGAGTCTGTCCTCTAGCATCCCCTCCAGTCTGGCTGCTACACCACCCAGTCCTGCTCCTCTTGGACCACCAGGATCCGGTATCACCTCAGGCATGAATGCTAACGCCCTGCCCTTTTACCCTACCAGTGAGACTGTAGAGTCAGTCGTTGGTGAGTTCAGAAAAATATTCCCATTTCAAGCAGCTATGACACTAAAAGACTTAGCAGCACAAAACAAAGAATAAAAATATATTGTTCTCTTTTTGTGCTGCAGAGTCAGCCTTGGATGATCTTGACCTGAATGATTTTGGAGTGTCAGCGTTGGAGAAGAGTTTAGAAAGCAGCTCTGCCCTCCCCAGTGTGGGAGTTGTTCTCGGTATTTTGATGACTCAAGATTAAACACACAAAGTGCATGCGATTTACCACAAACACAAATGTAGAAAATGTACATAATAAAGTCAGTGCAGGTTTAAGGAAACCTTACTTTTGATCTCCTTGCCTTTATAGGTGGTAGCCAGTTTCAGAGCTCTGCTCCTGTCAACATCCCAGGATCCTTTAGCAGCTCTGCTCCCTTCAGCTCTCCTTCACCATCCCCTCCTATCAGGCCACAAACTTCGCCCTTCTTTTCTACTCACCTGCCTCAGCCTGGCCAATCAGAAAGCACCTTCTTGGGACCATCTCATAGCTCTTTAGGTGTGTGAAATCACAGTCAGGGTGACAAAGGTGTAAAAACAGGGCCTTACTGTCATTAAGCAATTCTTCTTTCCTCTTCTTTTGCAGGCCTTAACGGAATGAGCACGAATATCTGGGAGCATTTTCCCTCAGGCCAGGGCTCTCCTGGTACTCCTCCAACCCTGCTGCCCTCTGGCCCCTGTGCTGAGTCCTCCAGACTCAAACAGGAGCTTGAGGAAGCTCATAGGACATTGAAGCAATGGGGCCACAGCTGGAGACACACAGCTCAGGTACATATAGGGTCCGAAATTAACTTAAATTGACTAATGTGTTTCACTATATCCCTCTGACATACTATGGTTTGTTATGGTATTGTGTTGAATTTATATTCATATTTCATTCATCATTTAATTAACCAGTCATTTGCATTACATTTTAATTCTACATTGCACCAATTTCCATAAAGCACATGATTCTGGCAGGATATTTGAGGTGTAGACTTCATGGATATTAAGGATAGGCCTTGGCTGTCCATATTTTTTTCTCACTCACAAACCAGTCACCGCACACTGGGGAGCGCATTGGACGGATGTGAGAAATGCAGAAAGTCAAACTTGTCCTGAGAAAAATAATGACAGGTGAAAGTTTTGGAGTCAGTTTGCAAACTTGTTTGACACTGCATGAGATAATATTTCTTTTAAACAAGCAGCTCAAACAAAAAAACAGGGTAACAGAGTCAGTGTACAAAGACCTGAAAGCCAGAAGTACACTTGTACTGGGGCCTTGCATTTGATACGTTCGGCTGCTTCATGAGTATTAAATGTTCACAAACTTGACTGTAGACCATGTGTTCTGCTTGGTGGATACCTGTAGAGGAGGCACATGAGCTCAGGCTGTATGCAACTACTGGAATAAGGGATGAAAACCAGACGTGGCTGAAGTTGCAGGGGTTTCTGTTATGTGAATTCTGGGTTTCAGTCTCCTAGTGACTAACAAAGTTTTAAGCCAGCTCAGACAACTGATGACCAGTGGTCAGATCACACACTGTAAGCACCATCCCCGCTCAGTTTTTCATCAATCAGTAAGACTTTTTTGCAAAACACTTTTCATGCAGCTAAATAAAGCACAAAGTGTTGTATGACAACAAAGATGAATAAAAACTACCAAAATGTAATAAAAAAATAAGAAGTAAGGGACTGAAGAGCAGAGGAAACACTGGGTTCATGATGAGGAAACACTACAGGTAAAATTAAGAATGTTTAAACCAAAGATAGGAAGTGTATGAAATAATATCAAGAGTAAAAAAAAAAACAGATAAAATTAAGATAATTAGCCAGCTCATAAATAAAACAAAACAACAATAGGATAGTAAAAACATTAGGGAATGATTGGCAATGTTGTATCTCATCGTTATTTATGTGAACATAGAGTCAAAACTAGAGCCAGTCAAACTCACAATGGGGCATGTTTTCATGAATAACAGTGTCATATTTGTACTCCATGTTCTGCCACATACAGTCGTGGGCTGCCTTGAAAGCAGATGCTGAGGAGTCCCGTGCCCATGCAGCTCGGTTAGCCATGGAAGCAGAGAGAGCCAGACAGGCAGAGGAGGAGGCACAGGGACAGGCTTCTCTGCTGCAGGAGGCGCTGGAGAGCTTAAGGAGTGGAGACAATCCCCATCTAGCACTGCACCAGCTGCAGCTACTACACCGGCTACCCTTGGAGTCAGTTCTCAGTTTGCAGGCTCAGCTCTGTAGCTGTCTACGCACCGTAGAACAGGTAAAAACCACCGACTTCTAATGGCCTGACCATGGTGTGTTTTAATTTTTATAGGAATCATGTTTTGACACTACAGCCTAAGTCCTGTTGCTAAGAAGCACTAATTGGCATAAAAGACCTGAGCGGCCTGGTATTTAGTAATGAATGTCATTTAGCCAAACAGACTTGGTAGTAAAGGAATATAATAATAATAATGTTTGTACAAGTGTATAATCATCTGAACAACCCAGTTTGTCGGGATTATCGTAGAACCAGAAACTGTGTGTTCAGGGACTAGCCACAAAAACTGCACCTGAAGGAAAGAGAGTTTCTTATTTTGCACAGTACAACCCTGGCTCTCAGGTTTTAACATGTGCTCTCAGGTTGGCTCTCAGGACAGTCTTGGAAATATACACATACATATATATATATATATATATATATATATATATATATATATATATATATATATATATACACACTCACCGGCCACTTTATTAGGTACACCTGTCCAACTGCTTGTTAACACTTAATTTCTAATCAGCCAATCACATGGCGGCAATTTAGTGCATTTAAGCATGTAGACATGGTCAAGACAATCTCCTGCAGTTCAAACCGAGCATCAGTATGGGGAAGAAAGGTGATTTGAGTGACTTTGAACGTGGCATGGTTGTTGGTGCCAGAAGGGCTGGTCTGAGTATTTCAGAAACTGCTGATCTACTGGGATTTTCACGCACAGCCATCTCTAGGGTTTACAGAGAATGGTCCGAAAAAGAAAAAATATCCAGTGAGCGGCAGTTCTGTGGGCGGAAATGCCTTGTTGATGCCAGAGGTCAGAGGAGAATGGCCAGACTGGTTCGAGCTGATAGAAAGACAACAGTGACTCAAATAACCACCCGTTACAACTAAGGTAGGCAGAAGAGCATCTCTGAACGCACAGTACGTCGAACTTTGAGGCAGATGGGCTACAGCAGCAGAAGACCACACCGGGTGCCACTCCTTTCAGCTAAGAACAGGAAACTGAGGCTACAATTTGCACAAGCTCATCGAAATTGGACAATAGAAGATTGGAAAAACGTTGCCTGGTCTGATGAGTCTCGATTTCTGCTGCGACATTCGGATGGTAGGGTCAGAATTTGGCGTCAACAACATGAAAGCATGGATCCATCCTGCCTTATATCAACGGTTCAGGCTGGTGGTGGTGGTGTCATGGTGTGGGGAATATTTTCTTGGCACTCTTTGGGCCCCTTGGTACCAATTGAGCATTGTTGCAACGCCACAGCCTACCTGAGTATTGTTGCTGACCATGTCCATCCCTTTATGACCACAATGTACCCAACTTCTGATGGCTACTTTCAGCAGGATAATGCGCCATGTCATAAAGCTGGAATCATCTCAGACTGGTTTCTTGAACATGACAATGAGTTCACTGTACTCAAATGGCCTCCAGAGTCACCAGATCTCAATCCAATAGAGCATCTTTGGGATGTGGTGGAACGGGAGATTCGCATCATGGATGTGCAGCCGACAAATCTGCGGCAACTGTGTGATGCCATCATGTCAATATGGACCAAGCTCTCTGAGGAATGCTTCCAGCACCTTGTTGAATCTATGCCACGAAGAATTGAGGCAGTTCTGAAGGCAAAAGGGGGTCCAACCCGTTACTAGCATGGTGTAACTAATAAAGTGGCCGGTGAGTGTATATATATATATATATATATATATATATATATATATATATATATATATATATATATATATATATATATATATATATATACCCCCGACCGGGGTGATCAGTTCCCGGCCTGTGTCCAAGAAGCACTCAACCACTGCTTATCCCTCTGGATCCACAGCCATTGCGAGGCTCTCTCTGCAGCCTCAGAGGCTGTAGAGATGGCTCTCCTCTTCCGTGCCCCTGTGATGCCCAGGAGACTGTAGGCCTTGCAGAGTGATTTCCCTGCAAAGCCTCTTCCCCCCACCTCAATCGGTAGGCATCGTGCACGCCACCCCCGTGTGCGGCACTCCTCCACCAGCTCTGCATATTTCTCTCTCTTTCTCTCACTTGCTTCTTCCATTCTCTCCTCCCACGGCACTGTTAGCTCCAACATGATGACTTGCTTGGATGTCTCTGAGACTAGGACGATGTCTGGCCTAAGTCTGGTTTCCACGATGTTTTCAGGGAATTTCAGTTGTTTTCCCAGGTCCACCCTTAGCTGCCAGTCCTTCGCTGTTCCCAGGAGGCCTGACTGGGCTTTAGGTCGGGGAGGTGGTTGATCTCCAGCTCTTACAAAGGAGATTTCACGCCTTGATGGTTGTAAGCGTTTGCTCTGGAAGATGGCAGCGTTGATGGACTCAGCAACCGCCTTCAGCACACGATCATGGCGCCAGCGATAGCGGCCATCACCAAGTGCTTTAGGACAGCTGCTGAGGATGTGCTCCAAGGTTCCTCTTCCTTGGCACAAGGGACATGCTGGAGTTTCGACCTTGCCCCAACAGAAGAGGTTCGACGGGCTGGGCAGGACATCATAGACAGACTGAATGAGGAATTTAATGCGGAGGGGTTCAGCCCTCCACAGCTCGTTCCACGAGATTTTTCTGTCTGTGGCTTCCACCCATCTGGTCCACGCGCCCTGTTGCCTCAATCCCACCCACTGGCTTGCACGCTGCTCTTCAATTCCGGCCCTCACCTCGAGCTGGACCTGGTCCCGCCTCTCCTTGCCCTTGAGCTTGTTGTACCGGGTTGTTGGAATGGTTCCCAGTCCTGCACGGCCGGCAGCCACCGATCCCACGAGGTCTCTGTGGCACAGCCGTGATTCTGCCTGGTCCACAGCCTCCTTCGCTCTCCACTTTCTGCCAGTCCTCACCTCAATTCCTGCTTGGGAAACCTTTGGGTCCTTGGATTCCCTGTACTGGAGAACCTCCCTCGCTCTGGCAACCATGAACTCCTCGGTGAGGCTGTTGATGGGGAGAGTCAGCTTGTTCTTGTTGGCGTAAAGGGCGATGCTGCTTAGGCTTCTGGGCAGACCCAACCATCGTCGCAGGCAGCTGCTGACCCTCCTCTCAAACCCTTCCACAGTGGAGATGGGAAACTCATACACCAGCAATGGCCACAGAATCCTAGGCAGGATGCCATGCTGGTATACCCACGCCTTGAATTTCCCCGGAAGACCTGACTTGTCGACTGTGGTCAGCCAACTCTCCAGCTGTTCGTTGGTCGCCCTGATGGAAGCGGCATCCTTTAGGGAGCAGTCGAAGGTTTTTCCGAGGCTCTTCACGGGCTTCTCTGTGACTGATGGAATTTGGGTACCTCCTAGAGAGAAGTGGAACCGGTCACTCACCTTCCCTCTCTTCAGGACTAGAGACCTGGATTTTTCAGGCTTGAAGCGCATCCGGGCCCAGGTGGTCAGCCTCTCCAAGCCCTGGAGGATCCATCTGCATCCTGGGACTGACACTGTTGTTACTGTCAGGTCGTCCATAAACGCTCTGATGGGGGGCTGACGGATTCCGGACTTGGATTTGGGGCCTCTGCACTCCGACTCGGCAGACTTGACCAGCATGTTCATGGCCAGGGCAAAGAGTATCACTGAAATGGTACATCTGGTGATGATCCCTTTCTCCAGTCGATGCCGTCCAGATGTAACTGTGCCGGAGGTGAATCTCAAGTTGAAGCTGTTGTAATAGTCCATGATGAGGACTTTGATGTTGCCAGGGACATGGTGCCTCTCCAATGCCACCTCCACTAGCTTGTGAGGTATGGAGCCGTACACATTGGCTAGGTCTAGCCATAGTACAGCTAGGTCTCCTTTCCCCTCTCGAGCATCCCTAATCAATTGTGTCACCACGCCACTGTGTTCAAGGCAACCTGGAACCCCTGGGATTCCCCCTTTTTGCACAGAGGGGTCGATGTACTGGTTCTTCAGGAGGTAGTCTGACAGCCGGTGGGAAAGAATACTGAAAAATATCTTCCCCTCGACGTTAAGCAGTGAGATGGTCCTAAACTGCTCGATGGTGGTTGCCTTCTCTTCCAACCATACCCATACCCATTCTGCAGATCTCCATTGTTGGGCAACCGTCCCCCTCCTCCAGATCACCCTCAGGATCTTCCACAGACGGTGCAGGAGCTTGGGGCATCTCTTGTACACTAAGTAAGGTACACCATTGGGTCCAGGTGCCGAGTTGTTTCTAGCAGCCTTGACCACCGTCTGGACTTCTTTCCAGCTGGGAACCTTGGTGTTTAATTCAGTGGCTGGTACAGGTGGGTTGATTAGGGCTCTGCATTCACCTAGGTCCTCCTCCCGGGCTGCATCACTGTAGGTGTCGTGAAGGTAGGTGTCTACTTCCTCCTTTGAGCATGTGAGATGGCCGCTGCACTTCTGGCCTAGTAGCTGTTTGGTGAACCCAAAAGGGTTCGCTAAGAATGCAGCGCGTCTTTTGGCTCTCTCCTTAGCCCGCCTTCTATGCCACTCTGCTCGGCGGAGGGTCAGCAGCCTCCTCCTAAGGACACCACGTAGTTCTGCCAGTCCTGGCTTCTCATCCTCACTTGCACCCTTGAACTGCTTCTTCAGGTCTCGGAGTTCCTGTCGTAGCTGTGAGATCTTTTCTGCCCTGCGGTTCTTGTAGTACTGGTTTGTGGCAGCACGCTTCTCCATTGATCCGAACCTTTCAGTGGCGATGCTGATGATCATGGTAGCCATTGTTTGGAGTTTCCCGTCTGGCCCTCCTTTCAAGGTAGCTTCCAGGATTCCATCCACGTCATCATCAAATTGCTGCCACTCACTCCCTTTGCTGGCTGGGGGCCACTTAACCCGCCGGTGGTGTTGTGGGATGACTGGCGTTTGGGCTTCCAGGGCACAGAGGTTCTGGGCACTGTGGGTTGACTCCTGGCCCGGGTCCTCCTGCGTCTCACGAAGGACCTCTGGAGCACGTGGGTTCTGGGTGCTGCGGGTTTCTACCCGCCCCGGTTCCTCCTGCGACTCTTTGAGGTTGATCCTTGAGCGCTGCTCTGGCTGCCTATTCACCAAGCAGCCCATCTTGGTCTGGTGGATCTTCAGACCCTTTGGGTTTTTGCAGCTCTTTCTGCATACACATACAGCATTCATTGTCAATTGTCCGTTTGCGTTGGTCGTTGCCTGGTTGACCGTCCGTTCGTGGTGCTCATTCTCCCCCCCTCTCGGGCTCCCCTGGGGGTATGTTTCTTTAGGGCTTTTTGTAGCTGAGTTTGGGTTCTTCCTCACGGAAGTTGCAGGTCGGGTTGCTGGCCCTTCCTGTCCCGGTTGCCGTCTTTCCGTGCTGTCTGCTGTCTCTCCAAGCTGTCACCACACTATTCATGGTCATCAACCACTCTATTCCTGGACGTCACTGGCCTAGCCAGAATGACATGGTTCTTACATACATCTAGTGATGCGTTTCTTGGACACATCTTCAGTGATAGTGCCTGAGCTCATCGGGGGTTTCGGGTATATATATATATATATATATATATATATATATATATATATATACACGCACACAGATATAGATAGATAGATAGATCTTTTTGATGGTAAAACCTGACAAATAAAATCTTAACCTCATCATGCACCATGAGGGGTTCTTGTCCTCAAAGGCCAGAGTAGATAAATTACACCATTAGCACCATTCCCAACTACTTTTTCTGACATTTCCTTCATGTTCACAATGGTCCCAGTATTTCAATTATGAAGGCAATCCTTATTTTCCTATTCAAGACATATTTCATTGGCATATTTTGACATTATAATCAAAAAACCAAACCAGGATGCATTTCCAAGAAGTCTTTCTATGCATCATCAGCACACAGTAGAGGGATGAGCAAGGAAGCATTTCAGTGTAGAATCTGACCACTAAATTCTACCCAATATTTCCATCTCTATACTTGCAGTTTAGTTGATGAAGTAAGAAAACAATTTGCTTTTGAAAAAATTGCATTTAGTCAGACCAAGCAGCAACCTCAAGGATGGAAGTCAGAACAAGTTTTAAAAACTGCAGTTCTTGAGTGGCCACTTGGGGCTGGCTCTTAAAGCTCCAAAAGGCACATATACATCAATTCTAAAAATGCCTAATTCCACAGTAAAGATAAACATATCTACAGCTTGGTTCAAAAAACAGCCTTGGTCTGTATAGCTCAGCTTTCTCTCTGCACACGGTATGGGGGGTTATTGTTTTATGAATATAGCAAGTTTTAGATATGGTAAGATCCAACAAGCAATGTCACTGAGACTACGTCCATCTTTTATGCAGTCCATTGATGTGACTCAAAACTTACACATGTTACACCAGATATTCTTATCTTGACAATAACAGCTTGCTTTAGCTACAGGCTCACCTAACAAAACATCGGATGTAAAAACATGTGCCGGTAAGATGATATATTTCAGAATAAAATACTCCCTATTACGTCCTGTGAGGGAGCCTTATTCACTAAACTGATGGACTTCAAGCTGTGAGTTCAGGAATTTGCTCCTTTCACAGAAAAGCTATCTTGCTCAAAGATATTGAACTTATACACTCACCGGCCACTTTATTAGGTACACCATGCTAGTAACGGGTTGGACCCCCTTTTGCCTTCAGAACTGCCTCAATTCTTCGTGGCATAGATTCAATAAGGTGCTAGAAGCATTCCTCAGAGAGCTTGGTCCATATTGACATGATGGCATCACACAGTTGCCGCAGATTTGTCGGCTGCACATCCATGATGCGAATCTCCCGTTCCACCACATCCCAAAGATGCTCTATTGGATTGAGATCTGGTGACTCTGGAGGCCATTTGAGTACAGTGAACTCATTGTCATGTTCAAGAAACCAGTCTGAGATGATTCCAGCTTTATGACATGGCGCATTATCCTGCTGAAAGTAGCCATCAGAAGTTGGGTACATTGTGGTCATAAAGGGATGGACATGGTCAGCAACAATACTCAGGTAGGCTGTGGCGTTGCAACGATGCTCAGTTGGTACCAAGGGGCCCAAAGAGTGCCAAGAAAATATTCCCCACACCATGACACCACCACCACCAGCCTGAACCGTTGATACAAGGCAGGATGGATCCATGCTTTCATGTTGTTGATGCCAAATTCTGACCCTACCATCCGAATGTCGCAGCAGAAATCGAGACTCATCAGACCAGGCAACGTTTTTCCAATCTTCTATTGTCCAATTTCGATGAGCTTGTGCAAATTGTAGCCTCAGTTTCCTGTTCTTAGCTGAAAGGAGTGGCACCCGGTGTGGTCTTCTGCTGCTGTAGCCCATCTGCCTCAAAGTTCGACGTACTGTGCGTTCAGAGATGCTCTTCTGCCTACCTTGGTTGTAACGGGTGGTTATTTGAGTCACTGTTGCCTTTCTATCAGCTCGAACCAGTCTGGCCATTCTCCTCTGACCTCTGGCATCAACAAGGCATTTCCGCCCATAGAACTGCCGCTCACTGGATATTTTTTCTTTTTCGGACCATTCTCTGTAAACCCTAGAGATGGTTGTGCGTGAAAATCCCAGTAGATCAGCAGTTTCTGAAATACTCAGACCAGCCCTTCTGGCACCAACAACCATGCCACGTTCAAAGTCACTCAAATCACCTTTCTTCCCCATACTGATGCTCGGTTTGAACTGCAGGAGATTGTCTTGACCATGTCTACATGCCTAAATGCACTAAGTTGCCGCCATGTGATTGGCTGATTAGAAATTAAGTGTTAACGAGCAGTTGGACAGGTGTACCTAATAAAGTGGCCGGTGAGTGTATACAGATACATATAACTTCAAACAGAATTAAAAGCTGCTCTGGAGGATCTGCCCCAGCTCTGTCGTCCCTGTATGTGTTTGCAGAAAGACTTTATGTTGGTACTTCACACTTTTCTTTTGTCTCAGTAGGTCTACATGAGAGGTCTAAATATCTTCCTCTTTGTTTTGAAGGTGGTTTACAGAAAACAGAGACAGTGCTGTGTGACGTGTGGAGAGCAGGGCTCAGTGTCGCTGTCCTGTGGTCACGGACTTCAGTGTGAGAGCTGCTCCTCCTCCACAGAGTGCCCACTCTGCTCCGAACAGACCCTGGAGCAACCGCTTTCTTGACCCCACAACCCACTAGGACCACAACAGATTCCAAACCAGTCAGTCCTGATTCCTCAAAAACCAGCCTTGGACCTCAATCGCCAGTCAAAGTCATGTAGGGGTCATTTGATAATGTGGTAACAACACTAGCACTGATTTGGCTTTGTACTTTAAAGACAATGATTACTGATTAGTGGTCAGTTTGAGTGATTAAGAGAAAACTCCAGATGTGGACTTGAGGATAAATTGTTTCATTAATCAGCCGTGCGTTTGACTAGTTCTCGCTTGTGACCAGCAACACTGTTTCTATCCCTGTTCTTATTGGTGAACATAACTTAAAGACCTGTTGTTCAGTCTTCCTCAGTTACTATTAAACATTGATATTTACAGTTAGATAATATTTTAACATATTCAACAGCACAAGCAAGCCAGGAAGAGTGCATGTATCTGGAGTGTTATCCATCCATCTGGTCAGGGGCTTGTTATTTATTATTCGCTCTTATACTTTCAAAAGTTATGGATTGTTATGCATTATTATTCAACAGACTTCTGATAAGATTGGGAGGATTTTTGGAGGCCCTCAGAGTCAACAGGGGTCACCCAAGGCACTTAAAGTCCACCCACAAGTAGACATATTAAACACACAGGAATCCAGATCAAAAAGCAAATTGATGTAAGTCTGCTGAGGACTCAATCTAGAGATTATCTTAAAGCAGACCTGTAATATTCATTTCATCTTTTATTAGGTATGGGCTGAGATTCGTGCCTCTAACACTGAAATAGAATAGTCATGTTGAATTTGAAAAGCAGGATTTGAATTTTAAATTGAAATTAACATTTTAAAACTGAATTTATTTAGGCTACATGAAAATTCAATTCTCTATTTTCCTTATATTCAGAAATAAGAAATTCAGTTTCAGTTTGTACAATTCAGATTCAGTTTTGCAATTCAGATTCAGTTCAGTATGATACAGCCATTACAGCATTTAAGTCTGTGAAGAAGAGTGATCAAGCACAAATTCACACAGCTCCTATTCGCATCTGCCAAAACTCGTAAGTAAGAGCTGTAAAAAAGTAATACTAATAATAATAATTATTATTATTATAATAAGTATTATACAAGAAATTTAAAATACAAGAACTGAGGGAACACTATCACAAGGGTTCATGAGGAAACACATTAGAAATATGCCTACATTAGAAAATTGCCTGTAATTTAAAAAAAAAAAAACAGTTAGTGATAAAAAATTTGTTTATTTATTTAAAAATTGTGTTAATTAAGAAGTGAGGAAAATATGCCAAAATACTGACACACCATCCATAGTATTGCAGCTGCATGGCTGAGGCTCTGACTTAGTTTGTGTCCAACCTCTTTTAACAAAATGCGACAGATCTAGTAGTTATATACTGTGAATACAGACAAGCCTCAGCCCCTCTGCCTACAGTAACACAGCTAACAAAGGCCATTTCTTTATATCGTCCTTTTACCCCTTGATAGAGGAGGGGGGCAGAATGATAACATTGTCCTGTTTAATGATTTTCCCACTTTGTTTTCATTCTCAATGACTTTAATATTCACGATTAACATACAATGGCCAAGGAAAATGCAGACTCTGTGCTCACTTTTAGAAGGCACCAGAACACATAACCATTGTGAAGCCACAGACCATAAAGGAGTATTGGCAGACAGGTAAAGGAGCTCTGTGAATCTGTGCTCGATTACTCTTCCTCACAGATGTAGATGATGTAATGGCTGTGCCACACTGAACTAAAATGAAATCATAAAACTGAATCTGAATTTTGCGAACTGAAATTGAATTTCTTATTTTTGAGTAGAACAAAAATGAGGGTCAAACTTTCTCATAGGTTAAATACAAATCCAAAGCAAATAAATTCAGTGTCAAATCACTAATTTAAATTTCAAAGCTTGCTTTTTCAATTCAGTGTAATTATTCAATTTCAGTTTCTAGAGACACAAATCTCAGCCTATATCCCGGACGCCAAAAGAGGAGACTTTTACAATTCAGCCTCTGCCTGAAATGGTTAATTATAGCTGCTTTTCCACTAATATACATTTTAACACAGCTTGTGAGTGTCACTTTTTACACAACTTTGTCATCACAAAAGGACCTGAAAGTGGCACCAGATACAAAAAAACTCCAAGGCTAGCATCTGGCACCTTTTTGATCTTTATTTATGGTGCAATCCATTTGATCATTACAGGTAGAAATTTCAATATGCTAGTCAGAAACGCCATCAAGAACACCCCCTCATATCAAAAATCCTACACTGAAACTTGGTGCAACTTCAGGTACTCTAAGCTGGAAATTGAAGATAGTTGCCCCCCTGCATCAACAATTAGATAGCTTTATTTATTCATTTATTCTAAGGTTTATTTTTGGGCTTTTTGCCCTTTTTTTTAGGAGGATGGGTCAGCAAACAGAGAAGGGAAATGGGGCCTCCAAATGATGGTGTTTATTATTTGTGTAGTTTAATCAGTTAAACAGATACCATAGTGCACGTTTTATCTGCGGTAATGTTTCGCTTGTGCACAAACTATCACACAGTCTGTCATGGTTGTCAGGTTTTGCTAACAATTATACAAACAAAGGCAACTTTCTGACTTTGTTTCCAGCCTGTAACTGGAACAGAATCAGCTCGGGTGCATTTCCAGCCCTGACATCCAAAGTGAACTGAATGCACTGTATGCCATGTTTGCAAACAGTAGCTGTTGTCAGATTAGCTTCTGTTCTCTTCCCCTTAGCTTATGGCTTTGATTCCTCTTTAGGGTCTTAGTAGGTGGACAGCCACAGGTTTCAAGTGAGAATCAAATCCAGCTCATACTTTGTTTACAAAGTAGTCATCAGTGAAGTGGATTAACAGCTAGATTGTGGCCGTTGTTTCGAAAACATGCAACCTCACATTCTTGTGCCTGTGTCTCTTGGTAGAGAAGTTACTGAGACTTTCTTAAAGAAACACTGTCAAAGTCAACAACAGACCAAATAAGCAACGTGCAGAATGGAGGAAAAATCAGGCAGTGAAACAGACTTCCTCGCCTCTTTGTGGGGAATCTTTGAGAGGGCTGCTAGGTTAAGTGATCCTTTAGTATTGTCCAGTACAACCTGAAAGCAGGCTTTAGATGTGCTGAAACAAGCTGTTCAGTGCACCAAGAAAATATATCTGGTAATTAAGCTGCAATGTTGTGTCATAATATGACATTTTATTTAAGTATAAATAACCTGTAGTGTAAAAATATATGTTGAAGCTACCGAGAGGAGTTCTTTAAAGTTTATAAAATAGACTGGAATTCATTTAGATGCCTTTCCATGATATCCAAAAGCAGTCAAGACCATCAGCAAGATGATTTGCGATTTTTATATCCTAGTTTTTTATGCCATAAATCCGTTCAATTTATGTGTTGTTACAATTCACACATAAAATGTTTACAACTAATAATAACTGTGACTGTTAAAAGTCAGCAGAGTGAGGTTTTTTGGCAGAAGACAAGACTTAAAAATGTAGAAGACAAGGTAAGCAAAAGCAGAGGACACCAAGTGTCAATCATAGAAAACATGAACCCCCTAATAAACCTAATCCTTAATGAACCCCCCTAATAAAAATGGAGCTGCACAAAAAAAAAGAGGACTTGAACACAAACCAGTCTTACAATAACTACATGTCAACATCACAACCAGAGGGGAGAAACATTTATATTCTGTGTAATTAATTTCTAAAGTTTGTCTACAGCTCCATTAAGTTTGCTGGTGGAGACAGGATTTGTGACCTATACTGTAGCCACCAGAAGTCCGCATGGAAAAACGAGCTAAACCAGATCCTTGTAGATCCCCTTAAAACTGTGAAATAGCCTACTGTGACTCTATTTTGTGTCCGCTAGCTGCGCGGCACACCCCAAGCATTTTGCGATTCGCCTCGCTGATGGCGCATTTAAAGGTGAGGAGAACAGCTTGTATGATTGGTGAAAACAGGACTTGCGGCGTTAAACCTACTCTGCAGCGTTAAACCCACTCTACGCCTCCTCACCTCCCTCTTTCCTACTTGCGCCGCTGGAAGGAGCAGAGTTAGGGGGGTGGTGTACTTGTGCTTGGCTGCGCCACTCACCTAATTATCAAAGTGTGCTTGGGCACGCCCCATCAGCGCTGCAGACCTGACTTGTGCCGCACCGGTGGCATGGCATGAAAATAGTGCCGTAATTTTCAGTATTTGACAGTTTTGGATTAGAAGAGGTGAAAACTTTTTAGGATTGAGCACAAAACAATCATGGGTAACATGTCACAAGATGCAGGAGGCCTATGTTTAGCAACTGAAAGCTCTAAAAGGTTCATTTAAATGTGAAAAAGTGAGGTCAAGATGCACGATAAATCAAGCTCCTGTTGTACTACATTTAAGACTTCATCTTATTGTAATGGGTGAAAATTAGATTTCCATCTGTTTAAGTTTGTACATCAACCACCGCTTGTGCTGCATTCAGTGCATTCACTTCATGACCACACAGACGTTAATGTAAAACTGAAGTTTTCAGTGTCTAATTTGAAGGTCTGTAACCTTCCCAGATGGATAGATGACACAGCAGGTTAGCAGAGTTTAGTTTCTGAGGTTGATGAGTTGTCCCAGCATAAACAGGTCTGACTGAAAACTGGCAAAGGGCACATCCGGTTTAATCAAGACAATAATCCTACACTGCTACAGCCCAAAGGGAGCCTTCATACCAGTCTGCTGGTAGCACTTGTCTAGATTATATTGAGTTTTTTTAGTGAAACTCCAATTCCTGTTGAATAAAAACAGAATTATTTAAGACTTTAGTGATATTCTTTAAAGTTACAACAGATGGCCTCTGTTAAAGCTCTCAGGTTTTCTCTTATATTCTTTTACATGAACTGGAAGAGGAAAGCATGTTAACACAATCAAAGCAAATGTACTCAGTCAACTTGTGTAGACTTTGAAATAACATTTTTTTATTTTTTACTTAAACACTTTTCATGTTAACTCAAACATACATCAAACATATATATTTTTGTTGAAATCAACCCATTTTGTTGTATCTCAAATCAACATGTGACATGTTTCTCTGCCATATTTTTACAGTTGTAGTAAACTTTGACATTTCAGTGTGCCAGGACATAGTAAAGTGGTATCGTACTTATCTCTTGCACTGATTAGACAGAACATTAGGAAGCGGACGGATGTGTGAAGCTGTGTGAGGTTTAAAGGCAGACATGAAAGTGTTCATGATCACTGTGATGGTCTTTGGTCAACCAGTGTCCAGCAGTCTGTCCACACGCAAATCACAGTGTTTCTTTCTGAGTGGACTTTTCTTTGTTTTTGGTACAGATCATTAAAACAAATTGTATATTTTTGGAGGAAGAGGTTGTCCGTGTGTTTGTGTGTGTCTTAAATCCCCTCCTGTGACTGTTTCTCTCTCAATCTCCTCTTCTTCACAAATGCCTGGGTCTCTCGCTCTCCTTTCCTTGACTCCAGTAACCTCAGGATGTTGTCCTCTGAAAATGTGCAGAAAGAGACAAATTCAAAACATACAGGGTAGGCAGATTGGAAGCTGGAGTCTATAAAGTTGTCTGAATGACACTATAGTCATTTTAGAAATCCCTGTAATTGTTTTGGCCTTATATTCTGCATATCTAGGTTTGTTTCTTATTAAATCTTCAGTACACAAGAATTAGCTCATATGGAGATCACAGATAGTATCGAACGAAGGACATTTATGTAAAGATTGCAGTGGAAGGAAAGGGAGATTTAGGGGCTGGCTTGTTATTATTCAAAAACCCCTCAGCAGGCTCAAACAAGCCTTTTTTTTTAAATGATTAGCACTGTATAAAGGCAACATATCAAATGTCACATTTGAGTTTAATTTTTAACAGTTCAACAGTTTCAAAATAATGTTCCTGAGTGTGAAAGAATGAGTGGATCTCATCATCTACAGAACATAATATCATTCAAAGATTCAGGGAATCTGGAGAAATCTCTGTACTAAAGGGACAAGGTCCAAAACCAAGACTGGATGGTCCTGATCCTCAGGCCCTCAGAGAGCACTGTATTAAAAACAGTGGGCTCAGAATCACTTTAAAAAACAATAGTGGTGAACAAAGTCTGTTGCTACATCCACAAATGAGGTTAAAACTGAAAAAATCAAAGAGGAAACAAGAGCTGGAAACTACAAACTCTTCTCTGGAAATGAGTTGTTTGGAGATGGAAATTAGTGAAGTGAAAAGCTGTTTTGTGGTTTAAACAAAATCCATATTTGACTTTTTTTTTTTTTCCAAAATCATTGATGTCATGTCCGACACTCCAAAGAGGGGAGGGACCACCCCAGCTCTCAGTCCAAAGCCAGCATCCCTAATGGTACGGGGATCATCAGAGTCCATGTCATGGGTATCTTCCACATCTGTGAAGGCTCCATTCATGCTAAACAATATCTACAGGTTTAGGAGCAACATCTGCTGCCATCTAGACAAAGACTTTTTTAGTGAAGACCTTCATATTTCAGTAATACAATGACAAACCACATTCTGATAACGGGGATTACAACAGCATGGCTCTGTAGTAGAAGAGTCCTGCTGAGAAACTGGCCTGATGCAGTCCTGACTTGTCCCTCATTGAAAACATTTGAAGCATCATGACAACAAAAAATAGTCGCTTGTGTCAAATTCAAAATGAGTTTTTTTAAAAAGTTTAACAATTGATATGTTGTTTGGGGGCTAAATCAAATATAACAGGAATTATATTTAGTCAATAATTTGTGAACCATCTAATCCTATTTAACAGAATCCCAATTTAGTTAGAATTGGAGGCTGCCATTCAAACTCTGTCCCTTTCTATATAAACTTCCCTACTGATCTCACCATTTGGTTTAGGATGCATCAGGTGCAGTCGGATCTGAGCAGGGACAGCGTCTGGCTTTGAGTTGAGTTCATCATCATCTTTTCGTCCAGCCACTCCTGGAATTCCTTTAAGAGCCAGGAAGGCCTCACCCTCAAAGTCATCAGAACTCAACGTATCGTGATCCAGGACTGTCACCATCAGACAGGCCCCTGAAGTCTGGCATTGCTCCAGAGACACTAAACTGTGGTAAAGAAGACAGAGATCAGCACGTCAGATCTAAAAGGTGGGATCAACTTATGTTAGGGTTGAGTAACTACTGGGGTTTACACCGTCATATAAAGATCTTATCATGGTGTCTACTATCTTACCTGTGAAATTAGATTGGTATGATATAACAATATCCCTATAAAGTCCACTTCCTTTGTGAGACCAGCAGAAGCTTTCCAAGGAAAACTCTTTTCTTTCCCACAGAGAGGATCAAAGACTGTCTGGGTCCAGTCTCTCAAAATCAAAGATAACTGGTAATGATTAGGGCATACTTACACCCCTACCATACTACCGTAATGTACTCCGACATATTTTACCTCTAATGACCCCATAGTCCAGGTTGTTTGGCCAGTGTGAGTGCTCCAGGTACTGTTTGAAGTGTGGACTTCACTAGGTTTGGTTACTTATGCATGCATACAAGCACAGAGCAGTGACACACCTGTTTTTTTTTTACTTTCGCCTAAATGCCACTCAATTACATCAACACAGCAGTATAGAGAAAACAGTCCAAACTGAATGCTGCCAGGCTTTTAGGTTTGCTCCACAAAAGCATCAGAAAAAAATCTTTTCTCTTACTTTAAAGACATGAGAGGACAGATGGTAAAAAGGTGACTCCAGTACTGCCAAAGAAGAAGGTTAAACAGAGAAGAACATGCACAAGTGGATCAGTGCTCTAGAGAGGCGTGATAAGTACCACATTTTCCAGATTTACACCACATTAATTCACAGGAGAACTCTGCCAACTGCACAGACTTTAAAAAAAATGAATGCAAACATCAAAGAAGCACTGTAAATTAACGCCTTTTCTCAGTGTGAGTGCAGGCCAGAGGGGGAACCAGGAAGAGGGGGCAGTCATACTTTGGCAGCTGGTCAGTGTTTGCATGCGCCCCCATGTATAAACTTTAGTGAGATAGCGTTATTCCGGTCAGCTGACTGTGCTCAACAACGATCTTTGTTATTGCCTGATGACTAAATCAGCTGACCTCAGTCCACTCACAGCACTGAAGTATAAAGAAATAGGTGCTCCAGTTACACCATCTTTTTTTTTATTTAACTGTGAAAATGTCATTTTTGTTGAAAGCACTCTTTTTGGTAAGATGTTGCGATAATCTTATTTCCTTTTTAAGTGTGTCCAATTTAATAGCTTTCTGTATAAATTCAAGATTCAGTCTTCTCTAAAAATCTGTCCTACATTTGGGTCATTGAGGTAGTTTACATGTGAGGGTGAAAACTGGGACATGAATAAGGAAATGAAAAAATCAACAGCTTACAACTCAAAGGCCTCATCAAACAGTGGGTTGAGATCACAGCTTTTGATCTGAGTGCTGCGAGGCTCCACCTCTGGAAAAATGTGGTTCGGCTCAAGACAGAGCTGCACAAAGGGATCACTCAAACCTGGAAGAAGGATCAAAACGTCACGCCAGGAGTGGTCCCACTGCTTTTACCAAAGTATATGTTTCCTGCGTGGGGTTCTGCATCGTCTTACCATTAGAGTCCATCGGTAAGAGGTTGACTGCATTCAACACCTCCACTCTAAGTCTTTGGTCTGACCTCCTGTAGGACGTGAGCAGAGTGACTGCTCCGTATTTTTCTCCACTGTACACTTTCTGTCATGGAAAAACAAGATCGAATTTAAGAGGTGTGTTTATGGATGTAACTCATGTGAAGGTTTCTCTTGGAGGCTGTCTCACCTGTTCTGTTATTTTCCTCTCAAAGAACTTCTCCATAAGCTGCCGACTGCTCAGAGCGTTGTGGGTCAGGTGACCTTTCAGAGTCTGGAAACAAGAGACAGATGTGCAATAAAGTGAAAGTGTTACCTTCTAAATTCTAAAGGAAATGTTAAAAATACATTGAAATAACGTCTGCTGTTGTGGTCTGTGGTCACTCACCTTGTATTCTTCAGAGTGGAGTGTTTTCAGAGAAAGTCCATTCCCCTCTGCATGAAAGCACTGCTCCAGACACTGACAGACACAAACAAAACAGGAAACAAAGAGAAACATCATACAGCTATAAAAGCTACAAGCTAGACAGGGTTTAACAGAAGAGATACAGCATGGGATCTTTGCAGGTGCTGTTTGATGGATTTATTTAAACTTCAGACAGAACCAGTTTAGGTTCTTCTCACTGCTTGGGTCTTTACCCTTACCAAAAAGAAGTATGTTGAAGTGTACCTCTAGTATACTGTTTTTAAACTAAGTATGCTTCCAGTTTACTTTTATGTACTTTTCAGAGTTATACTTGAAAAAGTTAATAAGTATATTTGGCTTGTACTAAGAATTATAGTAAACGACGTCTAAATATATTCAACCTATACTTATACATAAACTTTTGATCAAGATATACTTAAGTATGTATTTGTGCCTTAAGTTTAAGTATTTAAACATTTGCCCTGTTGATCTTGGAATTGGGTTTGTGATTATCTAAAGTGTAATTGTCAGCTCCTTAGAAATACTTGTCTATATTATGACCCTCAAGAAAAATGAACAGATGAGTGCTGACCTGCAGTGTATACAGCAGCCTCTGGCAGTACACCATGAGCCCATCCTGTTGAGGATGCTTTGTAGCCACCTGGTAGAGGATCTTCACTGAGTTATTCCACAAAGGAGTCAGGAGACTGGACAGAAAAATAAAAAAGACATTAGATATGATGTGCAACTACCAGACTTGACGATGAAAACCAACATAAGAATTTCATAATTATGCCTCTTACCTGTTAAAGTTTTCTTGAACCAGGTTTTCATTCATGTACTTCAGCTCTTGCTCCAGGTAACGCATCAGAGGTGCTGCTGCCTGATATAGAGAAGAAACAGGAAATCAAGTTAGTCCATTGAGCATCTGTGTTTGTGTTTATTCAGCAGTGATGGTCACCTACATCCTCTGTGGACTTGGAGGGAATCCTTCGCCTGGTTGCCATGCTTTTGACATGAGTTTCAATGTCTGTGTTTAACTGAAGAGTCAGACATAGAGCAAATAGAGAGGTCATTGTGAGGATGCATCGGTGATTTATCAGATCTAATGATGATTGAGTTCTTGAGAGAATAAACGTCAAACCCTTTTCCCCAGAGTGTCTAAAGCAGAGCGGATCTCTCTGCCGAGGACGCTCTGGGCCTGCTGAAGCTGTGAGGGCAGAGTGTTGTGAAACTGGTTCTCTCCTATGACGTTTTGGGTTCGATCTCGAAGTCCTGCCCAGTTCAGCTGTGTAGGCAGTTGGGTCAGCACTGACCGTAGGTGCTCCAAATCATTAACCACCACGCACAACTACAGCAGAGGGATAACATCAATGCTTTATAAAGCTTCAGGAGTATTTCTCTGTGGTAATTTCTCCTGTCTGCCATGTCTCACCATGTTGATGGCACTGCCGTGGTCAGAGTTCTCTGACAGCGTCCTCACCCGCTCCTTCAGGATGTGACAGTAGTTCACCACGATCTTACACACATCCTGACACACACGGGAAGCAAAGTTAGGATAGAGTACAGCCAATGACCAGCATCTCCACCTCCTGAGAACGATAAAACCTGTAGATCATCTGACTGACCTCAGTGAGTTTGACCATGAGCATGAAGGCCTCCTCAGGGTCTGGCCAGGACAACTGCTCCCAAAGATGGCAGATAGGCTGGACACACGCCACCAGGTCTACTGCTGAGGAGCTGTGTTTGATGGGTACAGCTCCTGACTGCAAGGGCTGCAGCTGAGAGGAGAGTTAAAACATACAATGATAACACTTCCTGCCAATTAAACTTGATGTTCATGATTACAATAAAGCATCAAAGCAGAGTGTTACCTGGTCTACCTGAACTGCTCTCTCCACCCTATCCTGAGTCGTGCTGAACGCCTGGTTCAGCCAGTAAGGCAGAGCCTCCCTGAAGCCCTCCTGAAAGTTTGTCAGCTCCAATAATCCCCTAAAATCACAACACAAAGTCCTGAAATTATGAGGTTCCCTGTTAAAAAACAGCCTCATTTAGATTGTATGGTCCCTGAAATAAACACATCAGAGAAGGCTTATAACAGTATGATATTTGACCACTATCATATAACTGAGGCAGAGGTTTTCACCAACATCAGTCCTGTTTGTATTCAAGAACTGTCAGCCTTTATATGTTTGTTTACAGTACGGGTGGTGTGTTTGCTGCACAAGAGACCCATGTGTCTGAAAAATGCCCTCTGGTTACTCTTGTGGTTGATTAAATGTAAACTAAGTGCCCTCTGGAAGCTTTTTCCTGTTGAATTGATGTATACAAAGTGCCATTTGAATACTTTTCCATTGAAAATTCTGCACTCTGGAGGCTTTTCCAGGGAATAAAATAAAAGAAGAACCCTCATAGATGCCCTCCAAGTGGACAGGACAAAGACAGGTGCTCTTTTACAACGAGCTTCACAGTCATATTCATTATTTCACTTGGTTAAAGGATGTTGTGCATCTCTGCTTAACAATATGTAGGTCATGTGAAGCTGTATTACAGTCTATTTATTGGAATTAACCACATCTTTGCATGCCAGCTGTTAATAAGCTAGTGGTCTACCTTTTAGTTATATTCATATACAGGATCTTTGTTAATGGTGGGTGCTCTCCTGAACAAGTATAGGAGTAAAGATCTGCAGACATCCTTCAAAGACATCCTACACTGTTTTAGAGTGAAACCGATGTCACCACTGTATGATTTCTCACCTTTTCTGTAAGAAGGCCTTGTCTTTGTGGATGGCCTGCAGGCTCAGGTAAACAGGGAAAAGACTGTTGGCGAGAGTCTGCTCCATCTGACCCTCCATCAGGGACATGGTTTCTATCACCTCATTGGCAAGCTGTGGAGGAGAGACAAGGGAGAAAAGGAGAGATAAGGCAGACAGGAAAACAAAAGGCTGAAATGTTAATAGTATGACAGCAACTTACCAAACTGTCAAACTTCTTGTAGACTACAGTGAACACGTCCACTTGAACCGCACTGCAATGACGGGAAAAATACAGAAAAGCTTGAGAAAAATCAGGTCCTGACAAAAATGGCTCAGACACAAACCTGAATCTACTGCAGCCTTGATTAGACATCAGCCAATCAGCTGACTCTCACACAGTTAATGAAGCGTATACCTGTTTAGTTTAGCTTTTTTGTTTTGTAGGTAAGCTATCTAGTCTTGACGGAGAGGATTAGGGCCACTGGAAGAAAAAAGAAAAAGGTCCAGTAAATACTTTTTAATCATTATATAAAATACATTGGAGCTTTTTTCCCCCCAGTGACTCTAATCCTCTTCAAAAGTCTTAACCTGGTTACAGATGTGTAGAATATTATGAAGTCTGATACTTTTAACAGCAAATATCTTAATATAAATAACAGATTTTAAGAACCACTTGGACCAGTTTAAGTACTGGAGGGGCTTCTTAATTACAATAGCATAAGTAAAAAGAATCAGTAACTTTCTAGCCCTATAGGGTTATTTATTACACTGAGCTCAAGCCCTTTTCTGTTCTTGGACAATGATCAACACTCAGACCTCACAAACACTCTGTTCCACACGTCCTTATTGTGTTTGATATCTTCCTGCACCTCCCCAATCAACCTGGAGAGGGCGCCAACAATCTCTGAAAGGTCCTGTGAGTCAGTATGAAAAAAAATAGACATTATTATGAAATAATGAAGATTAAGGTTTGACCAATATTTGTTTTTCAGGGCCACTATCAATCAATGGTGTGCCTTGAGACAAATAATCATTGCTTGGAATGGATATGAATTTACATTAAAAATGGGAACCTTTCTGTCAAAATTCAAACTGTTCTGGTTATAGATAAATATGCACAAAAGCAGCAAAAGGTAAATACACATATCTCAAATCTTTTACAGTTCAAGCATGTATGATCAACAGACAATGTCACTCCATTGAGAGCTTTAAGGCCAACAGACTGCCAACACTGGCACCGGCATTTACACTTGTGAAAACACAGCATGACTGGTAGCATCTTAGGTCTATAGGGATGGGGTTATACTGCAGCCAGTCAGCAAGAGGAGCTCTAAATCCTTCAGCTTCAACCAGGACTGAAACTTATAGATCCATTCTATAGAGAAGAACCTGGCTGCAGACCGGTTGTATCTCCATGACTGCAATTAATTGATCTCACCAGCGAAAGTTGCTCTTTTTTATGTATTTTAAGGCTTTTCCTGTTCAAGAATAAAGCAGAGGTAAACAGAGGTTCTGACTGTGCATGTGCCAACAGAGGTCTGAGTCCACTTGTGCAGAGCTACATGATTTAGATGACAGTAAACTTTACAATCTATAATATCAAATTAAGTTTACCAACTATGAAAGTTTGTGAAAACAGCAGAAGAACAAATGGTAGATCATACTGTATACAAGATCACTTGATAACTACTGAGATACCAGAGGTGACTTTCTGACTGAGCATATGCCAACACATGTGCGGAGCTACATGATTCAAATACCAGGATTGATTCCCAATAACACGTCAAAATATCAACCTCTCAAGAACATACAGTTACATAACATTGACTCTGGCTGATGATCAGATAATTCCAAACACAGCACAGAGACCATGATGATGTTCTGGTTTTTACCTTAGTCATAGGCTGATGCAAACCCTTCTTGATGTTGAACCACTCCTGTGTTCCTGTCTGTTATCAAGCACATTTTATGAGAAATCATGTATACATTATGGTGGTGATGATAAGTTCGACCCCTGACCTGTATGGCATCGCAGACTTCATCATGTAAGTCAAACTGGGCTGGGTTCAGTTTTTGAAAAGCCCGAGTTTTACAGATCTGGACCAGGATCCTGAGAATGACAGTTATGTTAATATGAAACATTAAATTAGGACAGTGATAACAGCAGCTGAATTGACGCGTTTGTTTGTGTACCTGAGCAGTGTGTGAAGTTTGGGAGTTGCACTAGAAGTCGGAGGGAAGATGTCTCTGTATTTGGCCACCAGACACAGTCCATAATGCAGGAAACCATGAAGAGAGTCCCCAAGTTCCTGTTTCTGTTGACAGAGAAGAAAGTCTTTCACCCCTATCCCTTCTTTCATGCATTAGCTCGTCATTCACCTCAGAATTAGTTTAAAAACTCTTCTGATTGGTTATCCATCTCTTCATGGTCCTGTTACTATATACAGGACAACTGTGTCCTGTTTGAGAAAGAAAAAGACCAGGGACAGGGCTAGTTCCTCATGAGCTGCCCTCTGGTGGTGGGGGACAGGAGGATGGTTGCTAAACTGTGATCTCTCTTGGACGTTTCCCACTACCTGCAGAGCACTGTAACAGCACTGCAACAGCTCCTTCAGTGACAGACTTCTTCACCCGCACTGTGTGACAGAGAGATACAGCAAGTCCTTCCTTCCTGCTGCAGTCAAACTGTTGAACTAGACCTGCTCCCAATGGACCCGTCACAACTCGACTGGAATAACTTAATAAATATGATAAGGCATCACCACCGCTAAAACGGTTTGAGTCACTGTGGGGAAATAATGCCAGGGAGACTGGCATGTCTGAAAGATGGGACTGTTCAGCTAAATTTAAGAAAACAGATTTTGGAGGATCTGCATTTTCAGCTGCATAAACTTCAGTGTTTTTTTTTGACAAAGCTGAAAATGCATCACTGGGTCTCATGGGGATTATAGATGACTTGTTCTAAGATTGACATCTGAATAGGTGAGTTGATGAAATGAAATCAGCTCCATGTATGCATGTGTTAGAATCACAAAGCAAGACAAAATGAAAGCAAAAGTTCCTTCTGTACCTGTTGGTGGGGCAGCTCCTGTTGATGCCAGTGGTACTCTATGCTGGTCAGCTGCTGTAACAATACAGATGAATCTACCTCTAGACTCTGGTACAGCTTACTGTAAGCCACCCACTTCCTGTCAGTCAGACGAACACAGACAAAAGTGAAAGAAAAATATAAAATTTAAACATACTTCGCTGGTATGATTTGTCCAACAAGCTTTTACATCACACTGGTGCGACCATTAACATGATGAAACAGTCTCAAATAGTCAATGTTGACATGGTGCTTACGCAAGGTCCTGAAGGAAAGGTGAGAGGTCATTCTGTGTAGCATAGAGCTCCAGCATAGTCTGAGCCTCACCACACAGAGCCCCTTTCCAAGGAGCAGAGCTCTGAGAGAGGTAACATGACATGAGCTTATTATTATGAGCAAAGAAAGAAACATCAACCATGATCATTTAAGAATGACTCTCAAAGCCTTTACCTGCTGCTTGGAGATATAAGCCTGAACAAACTGCTGCAGGATCCCAGAGTAGTTGATGTAAGCACTACGACCAGCACTCAGCGTCCCGTCTCTCTGAAAAACCACAAATACAAAACAAAAATTTGTCTCTTCTTTTAATACCAAAGGTTTGGGAGCCAAAGAGAGTACAATGTAGCTCTGTTCTCATCTGATATACTGCAAGTTTATAGGGACTTTATAGTCTGAGGTCCCCTTTGTTAAATGTCTTTCTCATGTTGTTCCAAATGTTTACAACGGGGGATAAGGACTGCATCAGGCCAGTCTATCAGCAGGACTCTTCTACTACAGAGCCATGCTGTTCTGATACTATAACAAGCCGGATGGTTCCTCTAATCTTTAGAGCAGAGGATGCAGCATTCATGATTTCCAAAAAGAATGTCAAATTTTGATGTGTCAGACCGCAGCACAGTTTTTTACTTCCCCTCAGGCTATCTGAAATAGGCTGAGTGGAAGTGGAGATATTTTCTTAAGCATTCTCCACCAATGGGCATTTTGTCATATTTTATAATAGGTGGATATTTTTTATATGAGAATAAAAGTTAGGTTCTCTGTGCACTATCTTCAACCTAATATAAAATTTGAGTCATTTGCAAATAAACAAAATCTATTTCTGGAATCAACATTTTACACAGTTACCAATTTGGTTTTAATATGGGAGGGAGAGTCTTTGAGCATTTATCATTGGATGACAGTATTTATCTAACAGAGTGGGCTTGATTTCTTTTTATGCTAATTATTTTGTCCAAACAGCTTAAAGTTTGGGTCAGCTCCATTTCTTTTAGTTTCTACTCACTGCTAAAGGCTTGAAGTACCCAGACCCTTAATTTGAGGTGACTTTGCTTAACTGAACTTTATCACTTGCTGTGCTGTAACAAGTATTTTTTTCGCTTTTGTTAAGGTTTAATGCAGATAGGAGAAGGTAAATGAGGAGAGAACATGCAGAGTAAAGTTGTGGGTGTATTTATTCTGACTTACATCATCATGTGCCCTTTGTATCTTACAGAGAAGTTATACTGACGAAGGATAGAAAAAGTGCCTCCTACCAACTTATGTATGAACTTGAGATTGAGGTGGCACTGCCCGCGGTCAGGATAGGTCTCTGTTCTGGGCTCCAGGTTGTACCAGTTGTCTTCAGTACAGTGGAGATCCTAGTTTGGATGGAAAAATTATCCTTAGAGGAGAAAGAGTGAGATAACAACTGTGCCAAAATAAACATAGACTACCTGTAGTTTTAGAACAACATGTCCCAGAAAGTCATCTGTGCCTTTCTCTTTCTTGGCCTCCTTGATCATCCTAAACAGATAAAAGCAGAGAGTTAAGCTGCAGTCTTTGCTTCAGAAAGTGTTTTTACATGAATCACAGAGAGGATAGTACCTCCTCAGGCTGTTGAAACTGGTCTTAAACTCCTCTAGTTTCTGAGAAAGTGAAACCTCCTCATCTTTGTCCCTGAAACAGAAGTGGTGCTGTTGAGGTGGAATTCAAAAAGAGGAAGCCAAAGAGGCAGGTGAAGAGGAACTCTTGACTTTTTCTCACCACATCTCGAGGTGGAAACTGGCGCCAATGATGTCTTCAAATTCTCTAAACCAAAAGGAAAATCTGTAAGAGGCAGATTTTGACCTGTTGCACCTAGTCTAGAGGTGGATACACTCTTTAAACTCACAGTATGAAGGTCTGGTTCCAGATGGGGTTCAGAGTTTGCTTCTTTACGTCTGTCTGGTAGATTTTGTCATCTGATACAGCGTCCTTTACGACAGATTTACAGGGCTTGGCTCTGGACTTGCGTGTTCGTTTCTCCTCCTCATCCTCCATTATCGTCAGCAAACAGTACGGGTCGCTGAAACCTGGACAAAAAAAAAAAAAAGAAAAAGGAAGTGACAGATTTTGTGGACAGGGTTAAAAAGTTGATGTACAAGAAAGTAACATGTTTCAAAAAATGTATTTTTATTCACTGTATCTTTGTCTTTGTCATGTTTAACCAAAAACCATGGTTTGAATCATTTAATATTGATTATGCTGTTTTCTGTGTTTAGTCCAGTGATGACACTTAGGATTTTAGTCCTGTGAAACATCAACCTATTTCAAAAACTTGGCAACTTCACTAAGAGCATGGAGGAGACACCAGGAGACAGACCAGTACACCAGGAGAGGTGGAGGGGGTCGTAGTAGAGCAACAACTTAGCAGCAGGACTGTTATCTGCTTCTTGTGACCTTCAGGCAACTATCAGAAACAGACACATGAGGGCACATCCACAACTGGGGCCTGTTCTCACAGCCCTGCTCTGTATAGTTGATGGGTGTTTCCCAGAGAACACCAGAATTGGCAGATCTGCCATGAATGCCCTGTTATCTCCCCAGATGAGAGCAGATTCACAGTGAAAGACAGACCCCTGGAGAGGCCATGGAGAATGTTCTGCTACCTGAAAAAAACTCCAGCATTAGCAGTTTGGAGGTGGGTCAGTGGTGGCCTGGGGAGGTTCATCCTTGGAGGGCTGCACTAACTCAAAAATCCCTTCTCAAACATGTTTTCCTGTTCAGACTCCAGTGGCCACCCAATCCTGCATCTGTCAGGGCATGTAACTCCACCTAAATTATATGTGCTATATGTGCTTCATTAAAGTCACTGAAACACATCATCAGGGTACCACAGAAGACTGCAAGTGGAATGAGATGAAGAGGTGTATGTAAATGTTTCATTGCATGGTCTTAAGAGGTAAAAAATTAACTCACCAGTAACATCTTTTCCCAGGATTCCCTTTGCTTCTTTGACAGTGGCCATCAGGCAGTACACCGGGGGCTGTAATGGTCCAACAGCTGTTTAGTCAGAGTGAAACTCTTGCTTACTGAGTTATCGGCACAGTCTTAACTGTGCCGATAACTCAGTAAGCAAGAGCTGTAAACAGATGTAGATGTTCTGTACGGGCTGGTCTGTTTGAATAGGACGGTTTCCTTTTCTCACCTCTGTGTTCTGTAGTGCTTTCTCACTCAGGCTGCTGTGCTCTAAATCTGTCATAGCAAAAGCCTGGTAGATGGGACAGAGACCAAGCGAGACGCCAAGGTTAGTCATAAACAAACACAATAAAGAGATGGTGATTGAGCCACGTGTGAAGGTGAGATGTTTACCTCCTTGATGTACTGGTGAAGTTCGCTATCTGTGAAGACTTCAGTTGATGATGGGTGACCCATTTTATGAGCGATGGTGTATAAAAGCTCTTTATACAGAGGCTTCAGCTTTACACAGAAATGAACAGTCAAAGGTTTATCAGAAAGAGAAATGGCAGAAAAATCTAAATATGAAAAGGCCACACATAAACAATGATACCTCTTGCTCTTTGTGTTTTCGAGCCTTTTCTTCTGGGTTTTCATCATCCTTAAAATCCTGATAGAGATCAAAAGCAGCACAGTTTATCCATGACTCTTTGAGTTTAATAAGATTAATCAAAGTTACCTGAAAATAGAATAAGAACTAAGTTAACAGAGTGGTGCATACCCTCCTTTCTCGTAATTTTCTCGTAAACCCCAGCTTACGAACATGACCTGGAGAAAACTAACAGCAGAGAAATGAGAGTACAAGTAAGATAACACAAAACAGACACTGTGAGGATAAATACTGAACTTACAGATGAATATTTTCGAAGCATAATGTAGTTTTTTAATGGATGTTTATGTATTTATTTATTTATCTAGTTAGTTAGTTAGTTAGTTAGTTAGTTAGTTAGTTAGTTAGTTAGTTAGTTAGTTAGTTAGTTAGTTAGTTAGTTAGTTAGCTAGTGACTATAGGGGACAGCGCACATGAATAAACACAGGAGTGAAGATGAGCCAGATTGTGGCCACACGCTAATTTCTGTCTGTTAATCCCAACAGGTTGGTGGAACAGAAAAAATGACATTAAGCCTGTCACAAAATTAAAAAGGAGTACTCAAAACCAAACAACAAGCAGAGCCCACACAACATGAACCAAACCACTTCATAACAGCAATGAAGGTGGCTATACAACTAGAATACATGCAAACATTTTACATGTCACATTATGTTAGACTGTGAATTTATAGAGCTAATGTGCACTCAGCTACTTTTGTCAAATAAATAAAAACATATCAGCATTTTATCCTGTCAAATGCAAAGGCAGAAAGAAAAAAAGATGCACGTCTAACCACAGCATTCCAAACTTAAAGCTCAGTGCTAAAATACTAGCAATGGAAAATCCTCAAGTGTCCACTTGAGGCTGTTTGCAAAAGCACCAGAAGTTGCATACACACTCGTTCAAAGAGCTTATCTTTACGGCAAAAATAAACATGTTCCCAGCCTGGTTCAAAAACTAGTTTTTGTCTGAATTGCTTAGTTCTCTGTCCACACTGTACATGCATTAATCCTTTGTATAATGCATTTATTTCATATATATTATGTTATGAGTTTTGCTGTTAACAAACTCATAATGATTTTTGTTAACAGGGATGCTAAATGTCTGCATCAACTCCACCTCTTTGGGTCTTGATGGATCAACTGAAAGTGCAGAATGAGTCAGCATTTCCACTGTGGAATCAACTCAATCCTCTCTCCTCTGACCAAAGATGGAATAAGAGGCAGAGCTTCATGTCTGAATCAAGAATCAGATCTTTAGTTTTGGACGTTGTCAGATTCAGCTGTAAGGCTAAGTCCTTTAACTCTGGACATTGATGACTTCATCCTGCTCCAGTGGACTGAATAAGGCACAATTATCTGCAAACTTGATATGTAATGTACAGGTATTCAGAATAAAAAGCAGAAGTGATGGCACACTGTCCTGTGGCATGTCAACTGACACAATGTCCCCCTTAAGGTCTGTCCATAAGGAAGTCTGAAATCCATGAATTGTTATTAGTTTAAGATCAAAACTTACAAAAGGACTTTGTTTCTGTTTGTACAAACCTTATTAACATACAGAAAAATCTGAAACAAGAGCTTTACCTGTCTTTGTCTTGAACCATGTTCCTGTAAAACAGAGGGAAAGGTGTACTTGTGTTTAAACAGGGATTTTGCTAAAGTTTAGCCCAGGATTCAATCGAAAGGAAGCACTTATTTAAAGATGACTTTGTCCTGTGTGATCAGCTCCTCTGATGAATTTTCATCTCAAAGTTACTTGATCTGAAAAAAGGGCATCTTGAAGCTCAAGATACAGTGAGGGTTTTGATCTCTGATAAGAGCTGCTCTGACTTCCTCTATTTCTGATAATGAAAATAAGTTACAGAAAACCACTGACTCAATGTTGGAACTGAGGAAATTAACTTCAAACTCTTAGTGACTTATAGAAATATACACAAAACCCCTCTACCTTGATCACACCCAGACATCTCTTTCAGTTTTAAAAATAGCACTGTGTGATGGCCTGCTGTACAAGAGAATCAACAAAAACAACAATCAGAGAAACAAGCTGTAAAACTGACCTTTTGCATCATCTGATCAAAGTTTACATATAAAATGACTGTGAATCATCGTCACAGCATTCTAAAATAGCAAGTGGGACATTGTGAGTCAGTGTCAAATTGGGGTTTTACACTGTTATGTCTCCTCTGCTATTAAAGGTTGAGGGATTTTTCAGTTCCACTGAGTCAAGCTTTAAATTCGGTGTGGATTTGAAAAAAAAAAAAAGAAAGAAAAATTTCTTCAGGCAAAAAGAAGATATTTTATCAAAGTAGAGAGCTTCATCACTTTGGATTCATAACTTGATATTAGCTGACACAGAGCCAAAGCTGTCCTACCTGTTCAGTTGCTTGCAGGAGATTATTTCTTGTGCTGGTGGGCTCCCCGTTACTCGACATTTTGATGCTTACCAGACCTCCTGCTCACTGAGCTGGTGTGCTGTGTGTGTGTATGTATGTGTGTGATATAGGGAAGCTGTGAGCGCAGAGCGCTTCTATGAGCTATCACACTGAAGCAGGAAGTCTTCACTTCCTGTTGAAGGTGGCAGTGGCAGTATGTGTGACTTGAGGCTTTTCTACATCTGGGGCTGCGTATTGTGTCTTTTGACCTCCCGCTCCTTTATTTCAGACAGCACAAAAATCAGAACACACACACACACGGACACACCTGACATTTAAAGCTAAACCTCAAACAAAAACTGTCACCACCTTGCTGCTGTCTTTGTTTGAATCATAGATTGTTTCTTTAATGCAAAGTTGTTTCTTCGGTGTACTGATCTAAGTCTGGGGTCTAAGTTTCACCTGACAGGCTGACCTGCAGTTGGATGGGCTTTATAAAACAGGATGTAACTTGAGGCTATGCAAAGAAGTCCAGCTGCAGTCTGTATATCATTGGCCCTAATCTGTGTGCCATTGTCCCATTCAGAAGTGTATTTACCCACCTACGCTGTTAATTTGCAAAGAGTAAATACCTGCTGCTCCATCATTGATTGACAGACAAACATATCACTAAATCTGATGGCTTTTTAACTGAATTCTGTCATGGGGATCTTTCACATCTGTGAAGGCTCCATTCATGCTGAACAATATCTACAAGTTTAGGAGCAACATCTGCTGCCATCCAGACAAACTTTTTCAGCAAGACAATGCCAAACCACATTCTGACAACAGGGATTACAACAGCATGGCTCTGTAGGAGAAGAGTCCAGCTGAGAAACTGGCCTGTCTGCAGTCCTGACTTGTCCCCATTTGACACCATTTGGAGGACCATGAAACAAATTAAAATAGTACAAAGGAGACCCTGAGAATTTCCCTTCGGGGATTAATAAAGTTAATAATAAAGTAATAATTAATATTAATATTTGATAATAATAAATAAAATTCTTCTTATTCCAAGCAGCTAAAATCCTCTTTCAGGCAAGAATGGGACAACATTTTGGTCTGCTGGGTTCGCTAATGTTTACAGAATGTTGGGGGAAAAAAGAATAATAAACATGTCCACCATGATTATCTATGAACTTTTCTAGTCATCTGCTTAAACGGTCTCTCTCTCTCTCTCTCTCTCTCTCTCTCTTTCTCTCTCCCTCTCTCTCTCTCTCTGTGTGTGTGTGTGTAGTTTAAGTGCCAAAGAGAGGGACAGACAGATAAAGTCTCCTCTTTTGTTTGGCCAACCCTCACCATGAATTTGCATCTTGTTTCACAAGCAGGTACTTTTGCACTTTTGCAACCTCACTGCTCTTGTCTTTTCTTTTCATTGGCTCATTTTGAAGTGTGTTTCCTGATTGTAAGGGTCAGAGACTGAGCAATGCATTATAATTATTATCCATAACCCCGACCTTTTCCTATGACTCATTATTAGTCTGAAATTGTCCTCACTGAGCAAAAAAGTGCACGTTATCAATGTAAATCTAAACAAAAATAATTTAGCGACATGCATGCAGACAGAAACAAACAATCTGATGGATGGTAGTTTACAAAACAAGGGTTACTGAACAGAACAGAGACAGATTAGAAATAACACTATTTGGTTGGGTGAGGCTGTAAAAGTTATTCAGGCTGACATAAAAGAAAATAAAAACAGACTGGAGTGCAATACAAATTAAGGCTAATTAACAAGTATCTGAGTTGCTTGCTTGGCCTTGACTTTAGAGTCTGCCCATTACACTGAGTTAGCTGACTGTAAATGAAGAGTAAGAGGGTATTTAAATCCCCCTGCATGGTCAAGTGTCATACAAGTGAGACCTTTAGTTGACTTTGAACTGCCATGGATAATGTGTCTGGTTTCTGGAGGCAAAAGTGAAACATAATGAGAAGACAGAGGAGTGAAGTGTGCGCAGCATTGGCATAACAGTGCATAACCATAGACTGTGTATAGAATGGACAGTGTCTGCCTCCTTGCTGGGTGAAGCCACTCCGAGAACAGCCCCCTCTGTTGATGGGTTGCAGTATAGGTCATAAATCCCGCCTCCACCAGCAAAGTTTATCAAGCTGTGGACAAACTTTAGAAATTTATTACACAGATCATTCTCCCGGTACATGTAGTTACAGTAAGACTGGTTTGTGCTCAAGTCCTCTTTTTTCCGTGAAGCTCTGTTTTTAAAAGTTATTAGGGGGTTCATGTTTTCTATGATTGACACCTGATGCAGTTTATTGGCGTTCAAGGATTGCGTAGCTCACCCGGGGGATACGCTGTTTAAGCCGAGCGTCATCACAGCGACTCTCGGTGACTCTCCTGCCGAACGCGCACAACACTACTGCGCAATGCTGGTTTCAGAAAATGAAGAAAAATCGCGGAATTATCGAGAGCTTTTTGGCTTCAAAAAGGTATACTTGGCAGGAGGTGGAACCAAGTTGTCCATTCTATATACAGTCTATGTTCATAACCTTAAACTGAATCAGCTGATATGTTTGCAGGACAATAATGTATCATGGATTAACTCTGGACAATTAAACCCAATTCCACATTACAAGTGTCCCTGATCTTTTCGGTGTGAGCTGAATAAAAAAATGCACATCGGAAAGCAGGTAGCCTCTCCAGTAATTCTTTAAAATCTATTTTTACGTTTTAGGCACTTTAAAAAAAAACAAATGCTTTTTACGGGCAAACTAACCGATATATTCACGTACGGTCGTAAATTAGAGATTCATCCTTACTTACTTTCGACCTGCCAGCGTATTGGGGTTGGTCGCTTCGGTTGCTAGGTACACATCTTTTTGGTGCTGATTGCCATCCTGTGCCACCCTGATGGATCCCCCCCCCTGTTTTTTATTATTATTATTTTTTATTTTTTTTTTATTTAGTGATGCGATTGCAAAGGTATTTGACGATTTTTTTTGACTGGAGTGTGGCAGATGACAGTTTCAAACGTGTTATTGATACAATGCACCCTATTTGAGCTTTACATTTTGTTGTGCTAAAAGTTAGATCAGAAGACAGGGGGGACTGTATTGAATCAGTAACCTTTTCTCCAGTTATAAACGTTTCTAGACACCTCCTTGGTTCCGTAAACATATCATTTTTAGTGATCGGTGACGTCACTTCTGGGCGTTTCTCGGGCTCGGCAGCGGAAGAGCAGGTGCATCAGCAAACACCGAGGAGGCATTTCACAACAACCGCTTTCAACGCAGAGGGGGTGGCGACCGATACCACAAACAGGCCTGCGTTAACATTTTAGGATACGGGAATAGCTTTTGATTTTGTCGTTGTGAGACAGTCTCGAGGCCCGTCGACATGACTCTGAACCAGAACAACTCGGAGTCCGGCGGAGTCATCATCAACAACAGTGAGAGGTAACGGAGGCTGGGGGGCAGCGAGCTAGCTAGCAGGAACCGTTAACCCAACTAACAAGCGCTCCTTCAACGGGGAACAATACCCAAAGAATCAAACAGGCTAATCTGACAGTAGTCCATGACATACCTAATTATTCTTGACTCATTTTCCCAACTCAACATCATAGCGTAACTAAAGCCAACTCAACAGTCACGACAACTTTTCAGCGTCTGTTAGCAATAAACGAGGCTTCGATTATTGATCCAACGCCATGTTTTAATCAGGAACTGTCGCGATGAATCAAACGGAACCGGGTCTGGGTCTGTCAGCGCAGACACGGCCTAACGACGCTGAAGTTAGCATCTTATCCAGAGCTTTTGGTTCGGCTGTTACAGGGAGTGTTTTGGAAACGAGGTCCTGATCCGAAACCGCATATGCTCATAAACTAAATGATCTTAGTGACCTTGTGAAAAATAGTTTTAGATTTGTGAAGTCTAAAATCTATACATGGAAATGTGAAAGAGTATGATATAACCGATAGTTTGTTTTTTCTTTCAAGGCCAAATTGATCCAAGTCCTGATCCAAAACCCTTCACACTAGACTCTCATACCTGGAGATAATTGGTTTTAAGATACTAAGAACTTGAAACCTTCACTCAACACTTGAGCATGCTAAAAAGAGGAACTCCGCTCCCTTTTCTCTCTAGACCACGTTGTACCAAGTCATGATACAGCCCCCCAATACCTATGCTTCTCAGAGCTGGATTTTATTATCCTCTCGATCAGCTTCGTGAAACCTTGATTCTATCTGTCATGCAAGAAGCTGATTAATTTGCTTTGTTTCACAACCAGACCTCCTTGGACTAGGTCCTAAACCAGAACCACAGTGACCAGACTTTTTAGATGTGGTCTTAGGCCTACTTATTGTAGAGGTTACTGACTCTGAAATACAGTTCAATTTAGTAAGACCTTGATTCTGTTTGTGGAAATGCAAAGAAAGGGGGACTACACTGCCCCCCTGAGAGAGGCTATGGACTCTGCAATACTGTTTTAGACTTGTGAAAGCTGTATCATATCTGTAGGTATGCCTAAGAAGCCAATGTTACTGATGTTACTGTTTTTTATCGCCCAGAGCAATCAGACCAGGCCTGATCCAGCACAGCTTAACTTTGACTTTACATATGATCTTGAATGAGAATAATAGATTCACAAATCTGAAATTATGTCTTCAAGAGTCTTAAGCTTCATCAGGAACTGATCCTGTGTCACCTGGAAAAGGAGCAAGGTCACCCTTTTATGCACTTTCACAAACAGAGTTAGGGTTTCACAAATCACCCACTGAGCAATAGACGGCTATTAGACGTCTAGTTATTTTTTAGACCTAATTTCAACCATCTAGATTCTGTATATCTGTAGACGGAATGTAGACGATGCACTTTCACCTGCTATTCGATAAGTATTTATTTAAAAAAGCAACTGTGAGTTGCATAACTGATCTCCAAGTACTAAACCAAAATAATTATGATAGCCGTGGGGCAATATACTGGTAGACCTCTGTTAGCAGGCTAGTCTAAACTCGGTCTAAATTTAGACGTCTGAAAACTTTCATTTTTAGACCTGTGGTATCCGGATTTTAGACCAGTCGTCTAGACTACATTTAGACGTCTATTAGACCTCTTTTGGACCAAAAAATGCTCAGTGGGCAGATACTGTCAGACGACTGTCTAACATCAATCTGGTTCTGTTTGAGGTTTCTGCCTGTTAAAGAAAGTTCTTCCTCTCCACTGTAACTTGATAAATGCTGTGAAGTGTTTCACTCGTGTGGTTAAAGATGGGATGGGAGTGGATCTGATCTTACAGGATGGGGCTCAGTGTGATCCCATCTACATTGGGTCTTGTAAACAGAGTCTGGTCTAGACCAGCTTTTTTGTTAAGCATTTTGAGGTCACATTTTTGTAATGGTGCAATATAGATAAAGAATGGTTGATTAAAACTCTACATTAGAAGGTCCATTACCTCTCTAAAATACTTAAATTCAGATCTGAGCAGCCTGAGAAATGTGGTTTTGGATCAGGACCTTGTTGCCCTGACTCTCAGTATCAGCTGAATTAAAGGGTGTGAATCAGATGCTAACTTCTGATTTGTCATGCCATAGTTTTTGCTGACCATAGCATGCTTCACTTTTTCTGACAATGGTTTTCTGTAATGTGTAGATGGTTGTGCTATCTGCTAACAAACTGAATATGTGTGTAACATTAACACAATGGTGGAGCGGTGGTACTTTGCTGCTGTCCAGCTTATCTTCCTCACCTGCCACACTTTGGTCCACTCATTAAGGGAAGGGTTTCTCATATTTTTCTAGAACATACTGGAGTGTAATGTTAAACCGATTACAGCTCAACCAAAAACAGTGGTAATCCCTGTCAATAGACTGCATGGAAGCATAATCCATTTACCAAACCGTTCACTAAAGAAACCGGTGAGCCATGTTTAGTAACTGGACAGTTGCACAATGACCTGGTGATCTCATTCTCAAGCTGCTAAGTCCAAGATTATGAAAGTAGGCTCTAGTCATATTGTCACTGATACATAGTCATGTTTTTGATACTTGTTATGAATTCAGTATATGAAAAATAGAAGACATGCCACAAATAGAATTCTTTTTAATCATCAATTCGTGTCATCTTTGGTAAACTGTGTTCTTGTTTCTACTCCTGTCATCAGTGTGTTGATGAACTACGATAATGTGGAGCTGCTTTTCTGTGATGCGGACCGTCTTCCAGAAGCCTTCAGAAAGAGCAAGAAAGGCAGCATCTACCTTACTCCATACAGGGTGAGAGATGAATCCAGTTATCTTCTTTGTTGTTTAGCTTAAGCTTCATGCTGATCGAATTCTGTCACTCTTTACGGTATGTACACTACCTCTCAGCAGACCTTGATACTGTTGTTTCCCTCAGGTGATCTTTCTGGCCAAAGGACAAAAAGATGGACTGCAGTCCTTCATGATGCCTTTCTACCTCATGAAAGGTTGTGAGGTCAAGCAGCCTGTGTTAGGAGCCAATTACATCAAGGGCACTGTGAGTGCAGAGCCTGGAGGTGAGGATAGATAGATAGATACATAGATACATAGATACATACATACATACATACATACATACATACACCTTCTTATTTAAAGCATTTTCTTTATTCTCATTACTATTTAAATTGTAGATTCTCAGTGAAGGCATCAAAGCTATGAATGAACACATGTGGAATCATGTGCTTAAGAAAAAAGTGTGAAATAACTGAAAACATGTTTTATATTTTAGATTCCTCAAAGTAGCCACATTGCTTTTTTGATAGCGCTGCAAACTTTTGCTGTTCATGCTCTTCATGAGGTAGTCACCTGAAATGGTTTTTACTTCACAGGTGTGCCTTGTCAGGGTTACTTCGTGACTGACAGAGTCAGTCACTAAGTTCCTCTGTCATCAAGAGCAACTTGAAAGAAACTAGAAAATAAAACATGTTTTCGGTTATTTCACAATTTTCTTATAAGTACAAAATTCCACATGTGTTCATTCATAGTTTTGATGCCCTCAGTGATAATCTACAATGTAAATAGTCATATAAAAAAATAAAGAAAAAACATCGAATGAGAAGGTGTGTCCAAACTTTTGGCCTGTACTGTACATACATACCAGTGGCGGCTGCTGGTCTTTCAAGGAGGGGAAGCTCATTTTTCTGGCCTACATCATAATTGTATTTGTTTATTAGTATGTAACAGAACAGAGTCGCCAAACAAAATGGCAGTCGTTTTTAACAAAGACAAAAGTCGCTGAGGATCGGTAAAGCCTTCGGAGCAGTTAAGAACAACGGAATGAATAACTTGGAAAATGCTCTGGTAGATGTTTTATTCTTCAAGATCGCTGATTCGCTTGTTTAGCTGTCAATCAAAAAAGGATTTCGCCTCAGACAGCTCATCCAATCATGGATGCAGAAGCTCGGAGTCCGGGAGAAAGTCGGGACTGCCCTCTCGCCATAGAACTCCAGTGAAGCTGAGCTTCCGATGGGCGGGACAAAGCCCAGCATTTATCCAATGAGCGTCTAGTTTCGCTGCTGGAACAACCCACTTTGAGCTTCCACATTGAAGTCAGCAGAAGCCCAGCGTCCGCCTGTTTAAAGCGCTGAGGCGCTGCGAGGATGAATGAGAACGAAGTTATGCCGGTTACCTGTGATTATCAGCTTCCTATCACAGTGTGATAAGAAGCTGATTCTGAACAAAAGATGAAGGCTTTCTAGTGCGTATTTAGTTAATGAAATGTACACACAGCAGTACATATTTCACCACTTTTTCTTTTTTTTGGGTGGTGACATTTTAAGGGAAGCCGAGCTTCCCTTGCAGTCTTAGAGCAATCGCCACTGATACATACATACATACATACATACATACTTTCATAAATAGACACATACATAGATACATACATACATGCATAGATAGATAAATATATAGTTTATTATTCCCAGGGGGAAATTCAAAAACAAAGTGTGCGTGCGTGTGTGTGTGAGAGAGAGCAAGAGTACAAGTTTAAGAGTGTGGAGGGTTACCCTGGTGCTTGATCACACAGTGTTTCCCATCACTTTGTTCAGCACACAGTAATTCCATGGATTCTTCTTGATGTCATTTCTCCTGCAGGCGGCTGGGAGGGCAGCGCTACATTCAAACTTGTCTTTGCTGCTGGAGGGGCGATAGAGTTTGGCCAGTACATGCTGCAGGTTGCAGCTCAGGGTATGAATGACGTTGTAACCTTTAACCAGTAATGCTGATATAAATTGGAGATATCAGCAATGCATTTTTTTGGTGGTCCCAATAAACCAAGTTGTTTTTCAATCAATAAAAATTTCACTTCATCTCTGGCCTCCTCCTTCCTGATGTGTCTTGCAGCATCCAGAGGTCAGCCTGTGACTGCAGGGTTCGGTGGATGCCCCTACATGGCCAATGGGGCCTATGCTTACCCTCCCCCTCCTGCTAATGGGATGTACCCTGCTGGACCTCCACCAGGCTACTCCTACCCAAACCCTCCTCCACCAGGTGAAAGCTGTCATAACTAGCTCCACAAACCACCATGGTTTCTTGCCACAAATCTCCTTCAGATCTGGTGGAAGTGTTTTGTTATAGTTGTCCTAATCTCTAAATTCTGTGCCTTTTGTCCAGGTGGATTCTATCCAAACCCTCCAGCATTTGATGCCTCTGCTGGCTACATACCTCCACCTCCTTACTCTGCTCCTCTGGGCCAGCAACCACCACATGATCCAGACCTTCCCTCCTCAGCAGCAGGTGAGCCTCGCTATTAAAATACTCCCTGACAGATAGAGGGACTAAGTGGTGCTAGATGTGCTTAATTCAGTGAGTTTATATACGAGTTGTTAAAATAAAAAAGAAGTATTGATTGCAATAGTCCTCTGGGCTGGGCTGATAAAATGTAACATGCTAGTTTAACAGAAATCATACGAATTTTTTTTTTTTTTTATGTTTACTTGTTTTGAATTTGATGTCTGTAACACATTCCTAAAAAGATGGTTAAGGGTCAACAAAAGACTGAAAACTGAGGACTGCTCCAAAAACACCAGTTTGGTGTATTCCTGTTCATTAAAAACAGGGGAGGGTCATGACTGGGTATAAAAGGCGCACCACTTTGTCAACAACTGCGTGAGCAAATAGTCCAACAGTTTAAGAATGTTTCTTAATTAATAACTGCAGAAATTTAGAGATTTGATCATCTACAGTCCATAAAACCATCAAAAGATTCAGAGAGTACCTTTTCTAGAGGTACTAGAAAACATGTCATGTCGTATCATGTTGGTATTAAACCGTTTATGACTAGATCAAATCATCACTGATCATGTAGCTGGAGGCTAATGACCTTAAACAGTTTAAAGTATGAGCAATCAGGGAAGCACATCAAGTTTGACATGACAGTGAGGTAAATTAAAGACTGAAATGATCAACTGGATACTGTGAAACAGTATACTTCCAACTTACTTTTTAGCTCTTTTTTATAGCTTTTTTTAAATAAATCTGGATTTCTAAAGATAGATAGATAGATAGATAGATACTTTATTAATCCCAGAGGGAAATTCAAAAATACTTATTACTTATCCTTATTAAAATACATATTTATTATATTGTCAATAAATAAAAAAAGAAGTTAAAGTTCTCTGAGAGTTTTTCTTTTATGGAGCATACAAGTGGAAGCTTCCAGCATTAAATATTATTTTGATGATGATCAGTTACAAATGAAGCCAAAATTATGAATTGAGATTTGCTCTCGAACCTTAGAAAAAGACCAAAAGTAGACCTTGCTTTTTTTTTTTTTTGGTCAACTTCTCACCAATATTTCAGTATTTTATCGGTTGCATCACTTTTCCCTTCCAACAAATCTTTAATATTGACTGGTTAATAAACCTTGGGTGTGATTAACTTCATTGTTATCGTGAAGCCCAGAGATAAGTCAACTATTTTTTGTCAATGACCCCATCCTCTCTCTTCCCCAGCGGAGGCTAAAGCAGCTGAGGCAGCAGCGAGCGCCAGCTCAGTCACACTGCCTCCTACACATGTGTACCTGCCACAGGTGAGCTACTTCCACTATTCGGTAATGTTTGCTCTTACCATTACTCTTTTTCTACTAGGTTACGGTTAAGAGACGGTGATATCAAAGGAAAATGATCAGCCAGCTCCTCTATTACAAAAAACAGCGACATTAACAATTCAGAAAGAGCTTTGCTCTGCTAAAACAACAAATAGTTTTTTTCTTCACCTTATTTTATAGCTCTTCAAAATGAGAGGTTGGACTGTGACTCCACATCACGTGTGGGCATGAGTAGCCTACATGTGATGGACATCCCCAATTGTTCAATATGTATAAAACAGTTGAACTGAGTGTTCAGCAAACAAAGAAATGGCCCTGTTTTTCAAGTGTACTTGTTTAGGCAGATGTTAGTATCCCTCGGTTTGTCTGAACAGCTCCCTATCAGACTTAGAGTACATGGGGGCTAACCTTGAAACAGCGGCTCAGAAACGTACTGTTTGGGGGCCATAACTGCACCAGCACTGTGATGTTTAAAAACCACTTCCTCTTCAGTGCAACTCTTCCAGTTTTTGGTGATTCCTTAATTGAAGAACCAACTCAGCACCCAGTTCAGATCCTAGTTCAGACCCAGTTATCAGCAAAGGCGGTCTACATGTGGGCTCCCAGCCTATAGCTTCTAATGACAGGTACTCAGACACACATGTCCAAGAGGGCAGAGGCCTTTGGCAGTGATTCTGGGCTGGTCTTTGCATGTACCTACCATTAAAGACTGTACATGCAAAGCGCTTCTCAATTGTTTCCTCATATCCGCTGAAAACATATTTTAGCCATCTTGATCGTTCAAAATTCCTAAGCGACACTTCCTATATTTACTGCACAGTCACTGTGAGTTCAGTCAGGATCATTTCGTCAAAATTCAGCTTTATCGTGCAAAGTTACATTTGGCGGCATAGTTCTGTTCTGGGTCCCTGCCCTCCGACGCGCTTGTGCGAAAGCCAGAGGCAGGAAGAGCCCCTTCCTGCCCTTTATGAGCCATCATGAAAAGATGATAGCTGGGAGCGCATGCGAGGTTCTGTTCGGGGCCCCCCTTTCTCCACGCAAGCATGCGTGAGAGGCCAGCCGCAGAAAGAGCACCTTCCCACCCTTCATGAGGCAACATGAAGGCAGAAACAACGGGGGGTAGGGCAGCGATGAACAGAACCCCCCCTGGAATAGGAGCACTTCAAGGGTAGGGGAGCAGTTAAGCTGACACAAGGGTGGAGCTGGGGTGGAGGTGGGTTGCAGGTTGGCTGTCGAGGAAGAGGAAGAGGCTGGGTTAGGGCATTTTTAAAGAGGGCGCTCTAAAGGCATAGGACCAATAAGAGCTAGGAGGAAATAGCTGGGCCATCAGCTGGTTGAGGTGGGTACTTGTCATTGGCGCGGATCAGCGCTTGACGTCGTGACCTGCTACGACGTCAAGCGCTCGTCGTGGCAGCCCATGCTATGCTTGTCAAATGTCAAATGTTAGTTATGTGCACTCGTAAGTGAATGATTGTAGAGTACCATTCTCTCTAACAAAGACTGTCTTTTCTTCACAGGACAAGCCTCCTCCATACTCTCCTCCAGAGGACAAGAAGAACCAGTAGACCTACTCCATCTCACCTTTATTCCTCACTGTATTCTGCAGTCCTTATCTCACTGGACCCCTCCTTTTCTCATTCCCTCTTTTTCTTTTCTCCGTACCTCCTAAAGCTCATTTTTGATCTTTGGTTTCAGCTTTTTTCTCATCTCATCTCCATTCTTATACATTCCATATAATAATTTCTTTACTGTAATTAGCTTCATTCTTTACAAAAGCACCTTTACTTGACGGAAAATGAAAGTATTGGTAGTATCTTTGAGAGAAACAAGAAAATGACCAGGTAGATGATCAGATCTGACATACTTTAGCATCCATTGCTGTGTGGGTTTCTAAGGATTCTTGCCCTGACACTAAACTCCAGATTCAGTGATGTTGTGAAGCTCACCTTTAATGGTCTGTCTATGAAACCAGACAAAACCAGATGACACTAATTACTTTGCTAGTCCTCTGAGCGGCGAACTGAATGCAGTGTTTTATTTTTCTATCATTTGTGTGTACAGGCTTTTAATATGTAGACTTTTAAGAAAGTGATATTTTCACACTAAAAAGCTAGAGAAAACAAAAGCACTTGTAAACACGGCCGACTGCAGAAAGGTCAAGTCTGCCTCATTGTGTTTAAGCAGACCAGAGGAGTACAAAGATTAGAGCAGCCCCGGCAGTGAATCCCTGATCCTGGATTAGAGCAGAAAGCGAGGGCGACCAGGGCTGCAATGGAGGGATGGACTGACAGGACGGATTATCTCTACTACTCAAGAGCAGAGCAGTCACTCAACGATGTCACTTCCTGTTTTGTCATGCGTCTGAACATTCGAGAAAACACACGGTCAGACTCACAGCCAGCCGACTTCACCCTTCATTTTGATCCTAACTCTCCAGCGTGAGGTCAGTCTTTGAACCTGATCACCTCAGTATCTGAGCCGACACCTCTCCCCCCTCTGTGGTTACTCTATTTAATTGTATCTGTGGAACGTGTGGCTGAATCTTTGCACTTTCAGATTGCTATGCATCAGGCTCTTCTTTGCTCTGTCATGGCTGTGTGTAAAATAATAATGATAATGAAGCTCTGTATTTATTTCAAACTAATTTATTGAAAAATTCATGTAAAATGGCTCAAGTACAACAAAGCATGATCTTAACTTATGCTTGTCCGCGTTGGACTGGATTTTATTAAATGAATCTTGATTCATGTGACATGAACTGTTGGACTTTTTTGTACACCACACACAGTATAAGAAGCAAACACTGCCTCTTTGTAAAGTTTTCATCATTTATTTGATTCAAAGTCGATGATGAGCAGAGTTTGCTTTGAGCATGGCTGCCTGTGATTGACCAGTCATTACCACCTGACCCCCCCCATCATGGTTTGACTAAAAATGGCAGCACACATCTGATAGTGTCATGTGGCCGTGTTCACTTCTTATACTCACTCTTTATTGGACACTGAGTATTGCAACATCACAACTATGAAAATGCTGTAGTGCAATAACATACTTAACATAAACCTTTTCCACAGTCAATCGAAGGGGGTGTAATGAATGCCTTTAGATGAAAGCAGCTTGTTAAATGTGCTTTTCCCTTCTCAGAGTCAGTAGTTCTTTCTTGTGCAAATCCTCAGCAGTTTCCCAAAGACTGATGTGCCTCAGTGCTCTGAAGCCACACCGTCAGAAGTGCTCACAAGCCGATAAAAGCATTTGTCCTGTACAGCAGATTCCTTCAAAACTGTCAGCATCACAGGCTCCACATTATAAAGGCAGGGTTTCATGTCTGCATTTATACAAACATCCCAAAATGAAAACAAAACGGTGTACGTGTTCACTTCTCCATTCTCAGTAGTAATAAACAATCCGTAGAAACTCAGTTACATCCACATTGTTCATGGTACAACAGAGTGGTACCTGTAACAGGAAAGTGTTACCTTGATGATTATATTCAAAATACTGTCCTATACACACAAAACACAAAATTAACTGGATCCCAGATCTGTGTGGATCAAATCCCAGAGGTGAAAACTTGCTGGAACAAACAAAATCTTAAGAGACAGGCTAAGCAGAAGTGGTTGATTTCCAGACAACTCAGTGAAATAATCTATCAAAACATTTCAATGACGTCCTCTTTTGTCTCTGTCCTCCGCTGCAGTGACCTCCTACATGTGTGTATCTACAGATTGTGAGGCTAAGGTAGTGTTTCGTTTACTGCCACATCCACATTATAAAAAACAAGACACGCTGAAACATGAAGGAACTGATTAGTGTGAGGGTCAGAGTCATGGAGGAAAAAAAAACACCTTTTGGCTTTCTTACCAAGGAGAAGAACATCAATGTGACTCAATATCTGTATGGTGAATACACCACAGCAACAAAGTGAGCTAATAAAGCACTAAGGAGAAACTGCAGGTGTGACTTTGTTGTAAAGGCAATAAACCAACAACTCTCAAACTCTGAATTAAACCTCTGTGTTTCATTTATGCAATGAGCTCAAAAGCCTGAAGTGTAAAACATGTTAGGTGATGACTGATTAAAGTCCCATCTGCTGCTCCTAGTTGGTAGGGAACATTCGGGTGCATCTCAACAAATAATATTGTGAAAAGTTCAGATTTTTTATCTAGGAAAATTACTGAAATATTCTTGACTCATCACACTTAAACTAAAAGGTATTAATCAGTATTTATTTAAATTTTTATAGTCCACAGCTCTTAAAATTTAAATACTTCATTTAGAATTTTCAAACAGAAAGAATACCCTGTATCTCTTAGTCTAGTTCAGTACAATTACAGCGCAGAGTGCTGATCTGACAGTCGTCCAGAAGACCCTCACTGACCCACTCCAGCCACAGAGGGTCCCTGCTGAAAGGGCTGGCTGTTCACAGAGTCTGTGATACATGCAAAGTGGACAAACGGGGAAAGTGAGTGAGGAAAAGGAGACCAAGAAACACGCATGAGTGCAGCCTACGTAAGGACTGGGCCCCGTGAGACAAAATTTGGGGATGTTACTTTTTACACAGCTTTGTAGTTACAAAACGATGCTCATGTTCATAACGGTGTTTATAGATGAACAGCACCAGGTTTCAGTAACAGTAACAAACTGAATCCATAAAGTACAGAGCGGAGGAAAAAGACGAGCGGTGAAATGGACTTCACTAGGGCAGCATGACCTGACGTCAGTCTGTGATCATGACTAGAAACCAGTTGTTTGGAGAAGTTGGGGAAAAATGTCTTGGGACATCCCATTAGTCAGTGTGTTTACATGTTGTTTAAGGAATCGATTAACTGTGCTTGTCTGACTGAAACTGGAGTTTTAAATGACATTTAAACGTGTTAGCCTCATCGGAACACATTAAATCCAGCTTCTCATTGTTGGACTTACATAACTTGATAATGTGGCTGAGGATCGGTTTTTCTCCTCTCTGTCTGACACTGAACTTAGCAGTCTGTGTGTATACTCAAGAGTTAGCATACCAGGCTTTGGCCCAGACGTCGAACAGCATAAATGTGTTGCTAGAAAGCCAGTGAGTAAACAAAACTTGAGAGATGAAAAAAAGACAAACAAAGACAACACTGTGGTATCCTTAATACAAAAGGTACAGAGCTGTAAAAATGACAGCGTTTTCTTAGATTGACGTACATGCTAATGTGTTTGTTGATTGTTTTGGTATATAAAAAGTCAACTGTAAGATGACCCAGTGGTAACAGGCAGAAAGAGGGCATGTTACCTCCTCCTGTAGCAGAGGCAGACTGTCAAAATTTGACTCCTGCTCGGTGCTTGTAAACTGGGATGAGGACGGTAGTCCAGTTAAATCACCTAATCAAGCTTTGACCAAAGCTCGACCTAACCCTACATGAACAGATTTTGCTGTTGTTCCATCTCGACAATTGACATTATAAAATGATGCGTATGGATCAAAGTACAGATCAGCATGATGGTCTCCTTTATAAGACTGAAATCTGATGTATGAGCTTGCACAAGCTGGCAGGACTGCACTTGCCACCCAAAACACTGTTGCAACACACAGTGATCTGACAATGAAATAATCAGAGAAAATAACAGAGGCTGCTGGTGGAGTCACGGCACAGTTCTCTAAAGCTAACTAAAGTAAAGTGAACTGCAGGATTTGATCCTAATGTCTAATAAGACTGATGCCTGTAATGACTGCTTGTTGCTTTGCAGGTCTCAAACTTGAAATAAAATCTGACATACTGAGACAAAAGGCCTGACTTCTAACTGAAAGCAGACACGGTCCAAAATAATCCTACTGTCATTTAAAATTTCCAAAAGAACAAAACAAAATAAAGGAGTGAGTTCCTCTTGGGTCTTAAGCCTTCCAAATATCAAAGAAAAAAGGGATAAAAAATAGTCTTGATGATCTCCTCGATCGAGAAAAGCGTTTGAATATCTTCTTCTGTTAAACAGTGTTTCAGCACCCAAAGACGCTTCTTATCACATACTGAAGGACACATAAAAGCTACAAACACTCCAATTTTAAAAGAAAATGTGTCGCAGGATGGCTTGGAAAAAGGCTAAAATCATTGTCTCATTATTGAAATAATTGGCAATTCTTATTGTTGTTCCATCCTTATTTTATCTCTTGTGTCCTTGAACAAGAGCTCTGAGGTTTTTAAGGACTGCTACCGTTTTCTTAATGTGTTGTAATGCTGTGAATAAGCCGGGGACAGTTTGGAGGGTAAAGCCCTTCACAGTTACTACTTCTGAGGAAGGCAATCATTGTTATTTGAAAAATGTGAAATCTCTATTAAGTTTGAGGGATCATTTCTACGTTGAGTGCCTGTGGCTGATAGTGCTTAATTTCTCTGAGCTCCCTAATTCCCTTCTCTCTCTCTCTGTGCTGGCTCATGTGGAGCAGAGGGTGATGCTGACTCCCTCTCCTATCCAGCAGGCGGGGAACAGCTCTTGGGTGAAGGCACAGTGGAAGGCGTGCAGCCTGGTCTGCCCGTCTCCGTAGTACGTGAGCGTCCCGGCCTCGTAGTCTAGCAGCATCCCAATACGGCTGTGGTGGGAGTGGCAGGCCAGATTCTCCTTGCGGCCGTTATGCCAGGCGCTTAGCTGATGCTCGTCCAGCTGCAGGCTCCAGGACAGTTCATTCATCCCTACCATGCACCTCTTACCCTTCTCCTTCCTGGGGATGGTTTCATAGGTTACCTGACGAGAGGAAGTAGAGAGGATGAGGGTGAGCTTTGTGCACTGCTGAATCCCACCCTGAGACAGACTAAAATCATCTGTCGAAAATTCAAAGATTTGATGAATAAACAAATACGACTGAGTTCCTTACCCCCAGATAGGCCCACGGCTTGGACACCTCCAGCTCCCAGTAGTGCTGCCCTTGTTTAAAGCTCTGAAAGCAGAGCACCTGCCAGGTGTGATCAAAGCGGGCTGGGTTGCCTGGGACTGGGCGTGGCCCAGAGGTCAGGTGTTCTGCTCTCCTGTTCTCCTGGGACAGGAACAGGTGCCCATTTGCTGTTCGTGGGTCAAAGGTCAACGCACATCGATCTGTTGAAGAAGAAAGGGATCAGACCAGTGGCGGCCGATATAAAAGGGCGCTGCGGGCGGAGCCCCACCTGAGTTGCGTGAGCAAAAAGAGATGTCTGCTGTCTCCCTGAAAATGATTCTCAAAGTAAGGAAATGGCACTATTATATTAATTATTCCATTAAATGTGTATTTCAGTCCGTTAGCGATCTCTCCACCCAGCACCGGGGCGGACTTGGAACATCTGTTGTCTCACTCATGCTCAGATCACAGTTGTGCATTAGCGTTAGGGGCACTACGGGCCAGCGCCCAAGCTTTCTGCTCCCTCACGCATGCTCAGATCACAGTTCTGCATTAAAAAGCTAATCCTAGCCACATAAAAAAAAATCCTTAAGGGGCGCCAGGGATGAGGGCCTCAGCGTCCCTAATTTGAATCACGTAAGCACATTCATAACCAGATTGGCCACGAACAGACGCATAGTTACAATGTGCGTCTGACGTAGCTAGCTGCTCTACTGGGAGCCGGTCCGCCCCTCACTCTGCACTTGGCTGCTAATGACAGAGGATGAGGAAATGATTACCGCAAACCCCCTACCGAGTGATTTACCGGAGAACGCTGCGCTGTCCAACAAGTAGGTCAATTTGAGAGAAGAACTCTACAGGAGTAACTAAAGCTGAAAGAGTTCGGTCCGGATCGACCAGATGTCACCGCTCAGCAAGTGACCACCGAGAAGAGCAGACAATATATGCAGACATTTTCAAGAGCAGGGTAGGCGCAAAGCATGGCTAACTGTTAGTCCGAAGAGCAAGGCTCTTCTCTGTTTCCCGTTTAAATTAATGGTGACAAAAAGAAATCATAAAGCTGGCAAAATAAAATTTCAGCTACTGAAACAGTCAGTCAACAAAATCTGTTTGTAGAAAAGTAGAGTATAAAGATTAAAACCTAATATAAACCATAAATTTATTATTGTGAGACATAAAAGCCAGACTAAAAAGAAAGCTAACAGACAATGTTCATGCCACAATGTTAGAAATAAATCATTTTTAAGGCAAGATGAAAACATCCTGGAAAAGTCCTGGAAAATGATTTCTATAAAAGAGTGGGAACCCTGTATTTGTTCACCCAGTTTCAATTCAGTTCAACTGAAATATCAAATATAATAAAACTGTTCTGTATTTAAAGCAAATGTTTGTGTTGTTTTCCATGGCTGATCACTTTGATATGCAGCCTGATTTGTTATAAATGAGGGTCTGCTCTTCACTATTTTTCTGCTGTTGTCTTTGTGTGCTCCTTTGCTGTAGCCTAACCTGTTGAGATGCAGGTGGATGTACACGAGTAAGAGTATGCTACTGTCAGTTTCTATATCATAGGATTACATTGAATGTAGGTAGGCTGTGTGTTGGCTATAATGCCCTGTTAATAAGTTGAAATACAGTATCCCCACCCCATTTGTCTTTGTGGGTCAACATCGTATGTTTCCTTAATTATTTTCTTAGAAAGCACCAGACTGCTTCATTTACCTTTTGAAAATGAAAAAAAAATCTCCCGGGGGAGGACACCCCTGGACCCCCCTACAGGGCTCTGTTTTCCAAACCTTCAGCCCAACCTATTATTTTTCTCACCAGCCGCCACTGGATCAGACGAATCAAAGGAGAAGCTGATTTCTTCACTGAGTCTTTGCCTTATTTGTTTTGGAATGAAAAAGTACTGATGCTAATTTACCTTCAGCATATTCCTGAAGTGACATACAGGATAGAGGATGACATTTTTGGGAATTCCCGTGGGTCACGTGATTCCCGCGGGAATCCCACGGAATGTGAGTCATTTTTAATTTAATCCCGTGGTCGGGACGGGACAGGAAAAAAAGCAACGGAAGTGGGCAGGAGCAGGAACAACATTAATAGATGATCATTTTCAGCCGATCACGGGATTAATTGAAAAATGACTCCCATCCCGTGGGATTCCTGCGGGAATCACTTGACCCACGGGAACTCCCGAAAAAATGTCATCCTCTAATACAGGACAATCAACCAGACATACTGGGCTATCAGAGCTGAGGCATGCAGAAGTGATCTGGATGATATACTTAGAAACAAGATGATGTAAAGATATAAAGGGGTCTTACATGCACTGAGGCCTTCCTTTCCACCTGGGTGACATGGAGCAGCTGGACTTGGAACAACAGCAAGAATCGGCCTCTTATCCTGAGGTGAACCTGCAGACCAACAATGACTTGAGATGGCAAAGCAAAGACAGGGCAACAATTGATGTTGTTTTTCATCTCAGAGTAAAGATAGAAGATCATTTTAGAGGTCAGATTACCGTCTTTGTCCTGACCAACAGCTGTGCTCACAGCTTTTTCCAGGTCCTCTGACACCAGCTTAGAGACTCGGGACAGGATGTCTGTGACACTGTTTAATCGTTCTGAGAGGTTGGCTGTTACATTTGTGGGAATATCCTCGAAACGGGGGACTTCTATGAGCATCGATTCCTGGAAAGAGATGAAAATGGAAAATAAATAAATAACTATAACTGGTGTTTTTGAGATGAGTCTGTAAAACCTAATCTTCCTAAATCTCACCTTTGCATGGGCCCAAATGGTGGCACATTAGCTCTTATGATTTTATCTTCTAAAGAAACCAAATGTACTTGACAGATTACAGCAATCCTTATTAAAATCACAAACAGGGAATTAACAAAGACTGGATTGTGACTGCTAATATCACCAAGAACTGCTTGCCATTTGCCCTCACTATCTGTCTCTGTCACTATCTATCTATCACACAGAGCGGATTGCAATAATGAACATCAAACTGCATGATGCCCACTAAGTTCTGCAGCAACCTGCAGATTAGCTTCAGTTTTGCATTTTACTCTGGCTGACTGAAGCTGTCCACATCTTTTCCCTCTGTTGCACAGAACAGTGCTGTGCACTCTAAAAGCAGTTTATCAGGCAGTGGTTTCGTCACAGATGTGAACAAATTCCTCTGTTTTAATTGGCAAAAAGCAGCTTGTTTGGATTAATAATGAAGACACTCCATTATATGTAATGGCAGAGGCTGTGTGTGTAGGAGTTGAGCCACAGACTTATTTAACACTGAAAATTACAAAAAAAAATGCCGAAGTCAAAGAAATTTACAGCCTTAATGCACATACATAATTCTTGGTCATGTAAAGGTCGAGTTGTTATCTATTACATTTTAACACTGGCTTTTAGCTGACATCAAAAATATCCCCCTGAGCGTGGCTGCTGATACCAGCAGACTTTGTGAATTAAGTCTTATTTGCTAAGAGACTATTTTGATAAAAAGAGACATATTATTTTGCTCCACATTAATTCACAATGGCTCATTTAAATGTAAATAAACAGCCCAAGAGCACAGAGGCGCTATTAGCGCTGCAGTGCCGATTAAACTCTTTGTGCATGTTTTGTGAATTAGAGGATGTTTTGTAGCATCTCTGCTCAGTTTAAACAGGCGAAAAACAAAAAGTCAAATATTCATGTTGAAGTCTTGCTGCTGATCCTCTTTTTCTTTTGCATAAAAATGTAATAAGGAATCATCTTTTTACTGCTCTAGTTGCCACCTGGTGTTACAGTGTTAACCTGGAAGCTAGAGGACATAGGTGTGAGCAAATGTGCAAGACACAATTCATCCATCACTCAGAGCAGTTGCACAAATCTGCTTTCTGGCTGGCATGGAACCAAATCCATCCTTTTTGCAGACATTGGACTTGTTCTCACATTGTTTGATACTTTTGCTGAAACATCTTTGCACTCATAAAACCTGTGCTTTAAAAAGCGTGAAGTGTGAACTTCATGTGAACTTTAGAAGACAGTTCCCTCAGTAAAGTATAGATTTGGCTTTTTAACTTAGACAATACATGGGATGGTAATAGAAATATTAATTTACATAATTGTTAACAGAAGAGACAACAGATGATACTTCACAGTGCATTTTCTCTGTTTGGACCAGGTTTAAACATGTGTGATAGTGGATTTACAAACCTTGATCAGCTCTGTGTCAGCCAGGCTCTGTACAGCTGCTATCTGCCCCTGACTTTCACGAAGGATCTGGGAGCGTCCCTCTAGTTCAGCCAGCCGGGCCTCTGCCTCTGAGATTGCAGCTTCCCTCTGTTCTTCAACAAAAAGCTCGGTGGCCTCCTGTTTCTCAGCCAGGATTTTTATCAGCGTGGAGAACTTGACATTGGCCCAGGCGGAGGTCTGCTGCAGAGTGACCTGTTGATATCAAGTGTGGAGTCATCAGAGTAAAAAATACATAGATAATTGTGTCCACTGCTAATTATTTCCCCCTCATCTTTACACACCGCTAGGCTTGTTAGTTCAGAATGGAACATTTCTTTTGAATGCATTGGAACCTGCTCTGCAACAATCAACAATGAGTGTCCCTGGACATATATCACTGTCCAACATTTGGTCAATAAATTCATCCCTTCAGCTGTTTCTCAGGATAAATCAAAGAAATTAAACTTTTACCGAGTAAATGTCAGGATTTGAAGCTTTTCTTGATCTTGGTTTTAGTCACTGAAGAGTGTTTGGAGATTTGGAATTATATAATTATATAAGAGTTGGATACAGCGTGAAACGTTCATAACAATAGGGTAACCCTTTCTTTTACGGTACACTTATTACCAGGTAATTAACAGGTAATTACCCAGTAACAACATGAAATTATCTGGTAATTACATGATAACTACTAAGTCAATACTGTCTAGTTTTTCTTTTTTTCTGTGCAGCTCCATTTTCAAAAGCCATTTGGGGTTCTTATTTTCTTTGATTGACACTTGATACAGCCTATGGGCGTGCGAAGATTGCGTAGCGATACGCTGTTTGAGCCGAGCATTATCACAGCGACTCACCCGCCAAATGCGTACAATGCTACTGTGCAAGTGGTGGTCCCAGGAAGCTGAGAAAATCCTGGAAATACCAGAGCAATTCGGCTTCAAATTTGTATGATGATGGAAGGTTACCTACCTGGTAGCTAGAAAGTATTGACTTAGTAGTTATCATGTAATTACCAGATAATTTCATGTTGTTACTAGGTAATTACCTGTTAATTACCTGGTAATAAGTGTACCGTAAAAGAAAGGGTTACCCAATAGACTTCTTTGGTTTGCAAATCATTTCAGTTCTGTGTTTAATTGAAAATAGTGCTTATACAACTTGTCAAAGTTATCACCGAGAGATGTTACAGTTGGATGAAAAATAGTCTTTTTATGTAAGAGTTGATGCCAGCTAAACATTTCAAAAGTCTTTGGACAAAAACAACAAATCTCTCAAAGATTAATGTGATAAAAATAATAACCTGCAGGAACATCTCTTAATTGATGAGGTTAATTTCCAATAGGTTAGTCACATGACTGGGTATAGAAAGGACATTCAGAGAGGCTGAGTATCCCAGAAGGAAAGAGGAGAAGAGGTTCACCACTCTGTGAGAGACTGAGTGAACTAGTAGATCAACAGTTTCAGAATAATGTTCTTAAATGTGAAAGAATGAGTGGATTTCATCATCTACAGAACATGATATCATTCAAAGATTCAGAGAATCTGGAGAAATCTCTGTACTAAAGGGACAAGGACCAAAACCAAGCGTGGATGGTCCTCAGCAGTGGCGATTGCTCTAAGACTGCAAGGGAAGCTCGGCTTCCCTTAAAATGTCACCCCCCCAAAAAAAAGAAAAAGTGGTGAAATACGTACTACTGTGTGTACATTTCATTAACTAAATACGCACTAGAAAGCCTTCATCTTTTGTTCAGACACTGTGATAAGAAGCTGATAATCACAGGTAACCGGCATAACTTCGTTCTCATTCATCCTCGCAGCGCCTCAGCGCTTTAAACAGCCGGACGCTGGGCTTCTGCTGACTTCAATGTGGAAGCTTAAAGTGGGTTGTTCCAGCAGCGAAACTAGACGCTCATTGGATAAATGCTGGGCTTTGTCCCGCCCATCGGAAGCCCAGCTTCACTGGAGTTCTATGGCGAGAGGGCGGTCCCGACTTTCTCCCGGACTCCGAGCTTCTGCATCCATGATTGGATGAGCTGTCTGAGGCGAAATCCTTTTTTGATTGACAGCTAAACAAGCGAATCAGCGATCTTGAAGAATAAAACATCTACCAGAGCATTTTCCAAGTTATTCATTCCGTTGTTCTTAACTGCTCCGGAGAATCTACCGATCCTCAGCGACTTTTGTCTTTGTTAAAAACGACTGCCGTTGTGTTTGGCGACTCTGTTCTGTTACATACTAATAAACAAATACAATTATGATGTAGGCCAGAAAAATTAGCTTCCCCTCCTTGAAAGACCAGCAGCCGCCACTGGTCCTCAGGCAGCACTGCATTAAAAACAGACAGGACTCTGTAGTGAAAATCACTGTTGTAAACATAAAACTGAAGCGTGCAAAGAGGAAACCATCTACAAACACGATCTAGAAATTTCAAAGCCCATTTAAGATGGACTGAGGTGAAGTTGAAAATGTATTGTAGACTGAGGAATTAGAGTTTAACCATAGACTGTATGTAGAATTGATGCTGTCTGCCAGTATGCAGGCAGACAGCATCTGCCTCCTCGCTGGGTGAGGCCACCCTGAGAACAGCACCCTCTGGTGATAGGCTGCAGTATAGGTCATAAATCCCGCCTCCTCCAGCAATCCCTATGGAGTTGTGGACAAACTTTAGAAATTTATTACACAGAATAGAAATTTTTCTCCTCCCTTGTTGTGGTGTTGACATATAGTTACTGTAAGACTGGTTTGAGCTCAAGTCCTCCTTTTTCTGTGCAGCTCTATTGTAAAAAGTTATCAAGGGGTTCATATTTTCCATGATTGACACTTGATACAGCCTTTGAGGGTATGAAGATTGCGTAGCTCACCCAGGGGATATACCGTTTGAGCCGATCGTCATCACAGCGACGCTCGGCGACTCTCCTGCCGAATGCGTACAATGCTACTGTGCAAGTGGTGGAGTGCAAACAACACTACTGCGCAATGTTGGTTTCAGGAAATGGAGAAAAAAGACGGAATTACAGAGAGGTTTCCGGCTTCAAATCCGAATACTAGCGGAAGGCAGAACCAAGTTGTCCATAGTATACAATATGTAATTTAACTTTCTTTTTGCATATACTGGACACATCCTCAGTTTTTAAACATTAAAGGTCCACCTGGCTTTTTATCAGCTCCGAGTCCAAAGCCAGCATCCTTGATAGTATGGGGATCATCAGAGTCCACATCATGGGTAGCTTCCACATCTGTGAAGGCTCCATTTATGCTGACCAATATCTAAAATCTATTCTGTTGCATGTCCCTGTTTTCTCTTGATTTATTTTCTCATTAAAATGATGTCAAGCAGAACTGACAGACTACATTTTCAACAGAATAAAAATAACTTTAAGTTGCATTCCTTTTCTACAGGTTTTCATTGGTGTGCAGAGACACTAATCAGCTGCCCCTAATACTCTCTCTCACTGTTGGACAGTTGGACTGGCAGTGCTGAGTTTTGCCACTGTGGTTAGCCTCAGGGAGCTAGAAGCCAACATACAGTGACTTGCTTTTCAACTAAGATCACTTGAAAATACTGAACAGTAGGAGATAACTTGGTTTAAGAAAATTTTAAAAGAGAAGAAACAAGTGGTTTAGTTTGAATATTCTAATTTCTGTACCACAAAACTTTCAGGATTTTGAACCATTTTGTTGTGTGAGCAAACATTTTCTTTCTGTTTTTAGAGCCTGAAATATATCAAATAGGACCTAGGCTAAAAATCTTTGTCCATTTCTTTAGGGCCTCTGTTACTTGCCAGAACACAAAAATGGTTTACATACAGAGAAATGTATGTAGGGCAATATTTAGGGTAAGATGTCAGGACCTCACCTTAGCTTGACTGATATTTTCAGCCAACTCTTTAATGCTCTTCTCTGTTTCCTCCATGAGTTTACCCATCTCTTTATTCTTCCTCTCTAGCAGCATCTGTAAAGAAAACATCAAATTTACAAAGCCATCATGAACTCTGTAACTATACCACTGTAGTCAAGTGTACAGCATAATAACTGGTCTGACAACCATATCACACCCCCAGCCAAGTAGTTGTGGTGGCTGGTGTTTGTTATTATACCTCTTGATATTCCCTCTCCACCTCCAAAAGGACCTTGTCATGGTTCAGACATTCTGAGATGCCACACTCACAGCACACAGACGTCCTGTCCTGCCTGCAGTAATAAACCTGAGGCTTTTTATGGCGATCACAAAGCACCATGGCTCTGGCCCCTTCACTTCCCCTCATTAGTGTCTCTCTGCTAGAGGGCCCTGAGTTGTTTGCAGCCTCAGTCAGGACTGACAGGGAAACGTTGCGTTTGAGGACAGGCCTGGTCATAAACTTCTCATTGCACATCGGGCACTGAGGTCCAATGTCAGACTTGCTCTTGGTGTCCCAGTGAGTTGTGATGCATGTTTGACAGAAGGTGTGACCGCAGGGGATGGTGACTGGGATTCGAAAGCGTTCCAGACATATGGCACAGATCAGGTTTGAGTTCTGAGACTCCATCTCTGAAGAAATCGTAGACTCTTCTGAAAGAAAACAAAAGAATCAAAGGTTGGTCATTCTGGGAGAACTCTTGACATCATGCAGTCTGACATCAACAGACCGACAACACTCTGAACTACTGCATTTTTATCACACACAACTCTGTTATTCATTCATTTTGGTTCTTTATATGCAGTTACACCCAATGTGGCTCCACCTCCTGTCATCACGGGAATTTGAAGTCAAATTGCTCACAGTGTTTTCAGGATTTTCTCAATTTCCTGAAACCGGCATTCACACAGTAGCGCTGTTTGGCAGGAGAGATGCTGTAACGATGCTCTGTTCAAACAACCCAGATGAGCTACAAGATCTTTGCATGCTAATAGGCTGTATCAAGTGTCAATCATAACAAACATGAACCCCCTAATAACTTTTAAAAATGGAGCTGCACAGAAAAAAAGTGGACTTGAGCACAAACCAGTCTTACAGTAACTACATGTCAATATCACAACCAGGAGGGAGAAAAATGTATATTCCGTGTAATAAATTTCTAAAGTTTGTCCACAACTTCATTCATTTTGCTGAAGGAGGTAAGATTTATGTCCTATTCTGTCTGCAACCAGTCACCTGGGGGATGCTGTTCTTGCAGAGGCTTCACCCAGCGAGGGCCAGATGACGTCCACTCTTTATACAGTCTGTGGTTACACCTTATGCTTTTTGCACTTTACCGTTTTTCCGTTTAATGTGCAGGGATGGCTTTTGCTCCACCTTTATACAGCATTTGCTGTGCATTCATCAGGTCTCTCTTGTACTGCGATTCAATCATTAAGACCTTCATATCCATCCATCTATCCATCTTCAACCGCTTATCTGAGGTGAGATCGCGGAGGCAGCAGCCTGAGCAGAGAAGCCCAGACATCCAGCTCTTCCCAGGGACCCCGAGGTGTTCCCAGGCCAGCTGAGAGACGTAGTCTCTCAAGCGGGTCCAGGGTCTTCCCTCTGGTCTCCTACCATTTTGCTTAGCTCCCTCTTTACTATGATGGATCTGTGCAGCGTCCACATCACTGCTGACACAGCACTGATCTGCCTGTCGATCTCCCGTTCCATTCTTCCCTCACTCATGAACAAGACCCCAAGATACTTGAACTCTTCCACTTGGGGCAGGATCTCATCTCCGACCCAGAGAGGGCACTACACCTTTTTTCCAGCTGAGAACCATGGACTCAGTTTCAGAGACGCTGATTCTGCGGCTTCACACTCAGCTGCAAACCAATTCAGAGCTGAAGGTCACAGCCTGATGAAGCCAACAGGACCATGTCATCTGCAAAAAGCAGTGACCCAATCCTGAGGCCACCCTGGCTGCACCTAGAAATTCTGTCCATAAAAGTTATGAACATAATCGGTGACAAAGTGCAGCCCTGGCGGAGTCCAACCCTCACTGGAAACGAGTCCAACTCACTACCGGCAATACGAAGCTCTGGCACCGGTTGTATAGGGAACAAACAGCCCATGTGAGGGTGTCTGGTACCCCATACTCCCGGAGCACCCCCCACAGGACTCCCCCGAGGGACACAGTCAAATGCCTTCTCCAAGTCCACAAAACACATGTTCTCCAGCTTGATGGCATCCCTCACCACTGGTGTCCACCAACAGGTTTAGGTATTACTGACCACCTTAAGGCGTGGAACATAGCCCACTCAGAATCAATGTTCCCCGCCTCCCCCAGGACATGGTCGAAGCTCTCCCCAAGCAAGGCTGCATGATATTGGAAAAAACTAACACTGCAATTTTTTCAACCGTGCAATATTGTGATATTAACAAACAGGAATTTTCACCAGATGACCTGAATAGCACTTTTTGCTATGCTGCACTGCTGAAATCTTGTGGACAGTTAATCTGCACTGATCTTACCTCTTTTTGTGAATGTTGGTAACCAGCACTGCAGCCACAGAGCACGGGTTTTGGTCAACATCATCCTTATTGAAACCAAAATAATTCCAGATAACTGACAGTGCTTTTCTTTTTGGCAACAAATCTTCATTTTCTGAGGTTTTCTCTTGTTCGTTGCTCATTTTGCAATCATTGTTGTTGTTACTGGAGTTGTGCCAAGAAACACGTGCCCGCCAAGAATTGCATGCACCTCGCAAAACGTGCACCGCTTATAGTAGAATGGTCCATGAAAATGTACAGTTTAAAACCCATACAGTTATTATTTGTGGGGCTAAACAGTGATGAGTAATATTCCGAGAGTAATTCTCGCTGGGCACATGTTTCTCAGCACAACACAGCAGCGCCAGCGACTCACTTCATGTACAGGCCATGTGCAGGGGCATGGTTTCCTCCTCTCTGATTCTGACTGACAGCTGGCAGGGTAGTCTGATTGGCAGCTGAGTAAAGAGGGAATGTTATTGGGGGATCGCTGCACAGCACATGCAGAGGCACATGCAGTGTATGTCAGTCAGCTACCCTTGAAATTAGATGAGTTCATTCGCCTCTTACATTGCAGGCTCTGCAATGTGACTATCACGCGCACGTACATCGCGATGACGATGCTCAAATGATATATCGTGCAGCCCTATCCCAGAGGTGGGAGTTGAAGCTCCCTCTGATGGAAGACTCTGCCAGACATTCCCAGCAGACCCTCACATTGCATTTGGGTCTGCCAGATCTGGCCAGCATCCTCCCCTCCTCGAGCTACCACATTACTGTGGTGGAGGGGTTTGTGTGTCCCAGTGATCCCAGGAGCTGGTATGCCAGAGCTATGATGCCTCTGGTAGGGTCACCCAAGGCAAACAGGTCCTGGGGGAGGGACCAGACAAAGCATAGCTCATACTGACCCCTTATAATGGACAAAATATATGGCACCCAGTTTCCCTTGCCTGGACGTGGGTCACCGGGGCCCCCTCCCCTGGAGCCAGGCCTGGGGATGGGACTCGATTGCAAGCACATGGTGGTCGGGCCTGCATCCATGGGGCCTGGCCGGGCACAGCCTGAAGAGACAATGTGGGCCCCCTTCCCATGGGCTCAACACCCATGAGAGGAGCCAAAGGGGTCGGGTACAATGTTAAATGGGCAGCAGCCGAAGCTGGAGACCTTGGCAGTCTGATCCTTGGCTGCAGAGGCTAGTTCTAGGGATGTGGAATGTCACCTCTCTGGCAGAAGGAGAGAGCCTGAGCTGGTGTGTGAGGTGGAGAAGTTCTATCCAGATATAGTCCGACTCACCTCGACACAGGGACTGCACTCTCTTTTACTCTGGAGTTGCCACTGGTGAGAGGTGCTGGGCAGGGGTGGCAAAACTTATTGCTCCCTGTTCAGTGCCTGTATGTTGGGGTTTACCCGAGTGGACAAGAGGGTAGCCTCCCTTAACCTTCAGGTAGGGAAAACAGATCCTGACTGTAGTTTGTGCCTATGCTCTAAGTATTCACCCTTCTTGGAGTCCTTGGAAGGGGTGCTAGAGTATGCTCCTTCGGGGGGGGGTCCCTTGTTCTGCAGGGGGACTTCAACACCCATGTTGGCAGCAACAGTGAGACCTGGAGGGGCATGTTTGGGAGGAACGGCCCCTCTAATCTGAACCCGAGTGGTGCTTTGTTACTGGATTTCTGTGCTCGCCACAGACTGTCCAGAATGAACACCATGTTCAGACATAAGGGTGTCCACATGTGCACTTGGCACCAGGACACCCTGGGGCCGCAGTTTAATGATCGACTTTGTGGTTGTGTCATCAGACTTGCGGCCACATGTCTTGGACAATCAGGTGAAGACAGGGGCGAAGCTGTCAACTGATCACCACCTGGTCGGACCTTCACTATGCTTATTCAATTTTTTTTGTTTTGTTTTGTTTTTTTGCCAACATTGGATATTAATTTTTATTCAGCTTTTTAATTAATTTTCACACTCAATCTTAACATTTTTCATTTCACTTTACACACATTTAATATTATCTTGCATGCTTAGGTTAAGTTCTTGCTACTTGCACAAATTCAAACTTGTAAATATAGGATGGCAGGAGTTGTTTTGAAGTGTCAGATGTCAAGTGCCTTGTAAACTATTGGATTTCTGAATTTCCCTGGGGATCAACAAGTATCTATCTATTAGTATATCCTGGGATAGAAAGAGTACTAAAATATTTTAGTCAAGTATAAGTGCAGTTTTTCTGATGACATACATTGAATTAGATGTAAAACTACCAACATACTCAATAGGGGTGTGCCAAAAAATCCATTCACACAAAAATCATGATTCTAATTTACTACGATTCAGAATCTATTTAAAATTTACCAAAATCGATTTTAAAAGATTAAATATCTGCTGCTTGTCCGCCTCCATTTTGGAACTACGCTGGACGTCCTGCCGTCATCAAGCAGCTGGTTCTGGAACGCACGCATGCACAGAAGGCACCGAAACGAAGAGGTAAATTCAAAGATGGAGGAAAAGGAGATCCAGCAGGCTCCATCATCACTAAAAGCCAAAGTTTGGTGTCTTTTCGAATTTTACCAAATGCCTGGACACACTGAGCTGGACATGACGTGTGCAGTTTACCGACATTGTAAGCCTAGAATAAAGCATTTCAGCAACACGACAAATGCGCGGCCGCACATTACAAGGCATCACCCAGAGATGAGAGACACGGAGCAGGAGCAGACTCAGCCACCAGCTGCAGACCAACACACACTGCAGAGCTTCACGAAGCTTTCCGCCAGCTCCAAGCGGGCAAAAAAAAATAACCCGGTCTATCGCCTGCTTCATTGCTAAAGACCTACAGTGCCTTACAGTGTGGTGGATAACGAGAGGTTTATCTGCATGATGCCATAAAATGAGGGACTGGTGTAATTATATTGTGCATCATGACTGATATGATTGTTGATTTTTTCTGTAGAGTCATGTGAACTCAGAGGAGGCTGAGGAAGAGTCTTAGACACCACAGCCAGACCCAGAAGAAGGCCCTGCTCCAAAAAGAACGCCCTCTGCACTGGTTACACTATTGGGCAAGACATTCACTGAGGTCAGTGTTGTCCATAGATCCTCCAGCACCAGAGCTGAAGAGGAGCTGAAGAAGTGTCTTGAAGCCCCTCCACTGCCTCTGTCAGAGAACCCCCTCAGCTGGTGGAGGACCCATGAGACAGCTTTTCCTCTCTTGCTAGACAGGCTAAACGCTATTTGTGTTGCCCTGGCACTAGCGTTGCAGCTGAGAGAGTTTTCTCCACTGCTGGAGATATAGTGACAGCACAGCGAAGCAGTCTCACTCCTGCACATGTAGACCAGCTTCTTTTCCAACAAAAGAACCTGGATGTTGCACCTGCAAATGGACAGTAATCTTGGACACAGTTCATGTCCAGTTTTCTATCATGACAAATTCACAAAATCAGCTGCACAGTTGTGAGCAGTTCTATTGTTGCACTTTCATGAAAAATTCAGATGCAGCCAGTTTACTAGTAACATTTTTCATTTAAAAAGAAGCACTTGTATTTTTATAACTCGTTATTCTTTAAGCTACTGGCTGAGGAATATTAATGTTTTTCATTTGTGTAGCAGTTGTGTTCCACATGATATTTTTGGTACCGCAACATTCCTGTAAAATGAAAATGCATCTTTTTCAACTGTACAATTTATTATTAGTCAGATTTTGCAAAGCATATTTTATTTTCTCAAACTGACTCCTGCAGTGTGACAGTATAAATGCATGAAGTCGATTCGGCTTTGCACCTGTCCAGGGTGATTTTTATCAGTATTGCTTTTTGTAGATGGTCAATGCAAACTTGAGCCATGGCTAGCTTTGCAAATAGCCTTCTATTACACATAAAAAATAAAGATTTAACTGATTGTCGTAAGTTAAAGTGGTTTAAGCAAATTACATTATCCTGACAAATCCCCTGAAACAAGATGTAGTACCTCTTTCAAGGAGCTTAGAGCTATTTTAGCATGAATTGTTTTCAATAAAGGCTTTCATTCAAACCTGCTGTATCAGTGCAGCCTAATTTAAAATTTGACTAAAACAGAGATTAATTCATATCGAAGGATTTTAGCTATTGTTGATATCATCCAATCAGTTTACTTCTGCAGCTTGTAAAAAGCTTTTATGATGTTTTAATTGATGGTGTTAATATTATTTAAACAAAAGTTAATAGCTTAAAATATCAAATCTGCAACAACAACAAAAATCACAAATCGTCAATAAGAGTGAGGTAATTTTTACTTTCATCACTACCTCATAATAGCAGTGGTATCACTGAACAGCTCTCTAAACAACAGATGAAACAGCTGATTCAATCAGAGCAGTCTCTGACAGTAACAGTTTTCCCTGTAAAAATAAGCAGGAGTATGAGGCTCGGTCCAAACCAAAATACGGAACACCAGATACTGAATTAGACTAATGGAAAGACCAGCTAAAGCTAGCTAACGTCAGTCTGTAATATGTTCACGTTTGCTAGTTCATAAGACAAATAATGATCAAAATGTTAAAAACGAGCCTGCACTTTGACAATAAATGGCGCAAATGCAAACATGCACTGCACACACATATAGATATAACACAATAACGACACAATATTAATTCTTACCACAGAGACATTCATGCACAGCATCTGTGGGAACACTGAACAGCGTCAGACGAAGCTTCCGTGATGACGACAGACCACAGACGCACAAATGCTGCCTTTACGTGCTGACGGAAAGAAGTGACGAACATAAGACACTTTAATAACGTTTTGCTTTTTAGAGCTACAACTAACTCATTTGGGCTAAAATAACTAATAATTATTTTAGAAAAAAAGTTTGAATTTCTATCAAAACATACTTATTATGAGACTTTTTTTAAAGGTCGTTGGAAGAAAACTAAGGTGTTCTGCTGTACCATACCTCAAAGTACAATAAAATATATGCTCTTGTCTTAGACAGTTTTAGCACTGTAGGGCTTTGGGGCAACATTCAGGGCACCATCCGCCAACCCACATTACATTGATTAGTGTTTATTTTGTGATGACAAACTGTTTTTGGATGTTTTCTTTCCTATCGTGCAGGCTGATTGCCACATTTAGCAAATGTGAATTATTGATTAGGTTGAAACAAGTGAGATAGAAATATGAAATACGTGTATATTTTTATTTTGTCAGAAGATAATAGAATTAAGAAACAGATGATAAAATAGATGAGTGTTCATTTTAATTTTACATTTGCAATTGTAAGGTTTGATTAACTTGGGTATCTGTGTAAGTTATTTCTAACAATGCAAATCAAACAGCGTATCTGTAATTCTCTGGAGACCGGAGTATTAGAACGCGCCTAGTGCTTTCGCACATTTTTGGTCTCTCTTTGCTTCCGTACAGAAGAGGAAAAACTCAATCCAAGATGGCGCTGCGCACGATTTGTGCTGTGGCTTTTCGAAGTGGGACAGAATTAGGGGTCAACAATGCGAGGACAATCACCACAACAGGTACTGTAATCATTTATTAAATTGTCTAAGATTATTATTAAGAGACTCTCGTCTCGAGCTTCAGCAGTGTGTGTGCGGTGTGCAGATCTCGCGCGCTGTTTGACATTCAGCCCACATACAAATCTGTGACCATTGACTATTATTAAAAGCATATGATGAACTGAGTGGGAAGTATAATCCAATTTACCTATACGGTACCAGATTCGGCTGTAGAACATTTAAACATATCAGTGCTAGGGGCGTACTCAGGCACCCGTCGTATGCCATGAGGGACCACCACGCCAAAAAAATGATTTATGAAGATGTACCCTTTTCATTCTTTTAAATACCATTTCGTAAACTCATAGCTTTTCTATCTCTTGTTGCACAGAAGGCAAAGGTAAGCTCTTTCAAAAGTGAGGGTGGACCGGTAAAAAAGTTTAATCAGGAGCTGCTGCAGTGTTTTAACCCCTGATATTCAAGAAGGATTTTAATAACTTTCTGTCAAAAAAAGAGTCATGTAAGAGGACACTTTTTATGTTTGTATATTTGCTGTAAAAGTACCCATAGAGCACTTTTTCTGTCACATTGTATCTACTCCAAGGGCATCTAGTTTTGTTTTTAACCATAGACTGTAGGACAGAGTCTGCCTCCTCGCTGGGTGAAGCCACTCCGAGAACAGCACCCTCTGATGGTGGGCTGCAGTACAGGTCATAAATCCCGCCTCCGCCAGCAAAGCTTATGGGACTGTGGACAAACTTTAGAAATTTATTACACAGAACATAAAATTTTCTCCCCCCTGTTTGTGATGTTGACATGTAGTTACTATCCGACTGGTTTGTGCCCAAGTCCTTTTTTTCTGTACAGCTCCGTTTTTAAAAGTTATTAGGGGGTTCATGTTTTCTATGATTGACACCTGGTACGTACAGCCTATGGGCGTTCAGGGATTGCGTAGCTCTCCCGGGGGGATACGCTGTTTGAGCCGAGTGTCATCACAGGGACTCTCGGCGACTGCGCGGCCGAATGCGCACAACGCTACTGCACAGCTCTGGTTTCAAGGAAGTGGAGAAAAACCCGGATATACCTAGAGCTTTTTGGCTTCAAATCCGTATACAGGCGGAAGGCGGAACCAGGTTGTCCATCTTATATACAGTCTATGTTTTTAACTCACTGGGAGAACGTCCAGAGGAGTGATCGAGCAGTTACAGTTCAATGGCTGAGACTGATACTGATTATGAGGGAATGGATCAGCTGATGGCTAATATATAATGCCAGTATCACAATTTATAATTTGTTTGGATTTGACACAATACAACAAATAAAAAAATGCTGAAATAAAGTAAACATTTGATCAAACAAATGCAATAATATTTTGCTCAGTTCAGTTTTCTCACAGAGGACTTTTGGATTCCTGAAGTTGTTTTTAAAAATATTTTTTATAAGGTAAATATTGAAGTCTAAAAATACAGCATTGGACAAATTCACAATACCATGCACATCAAAATCTAAAATAAATGGTTGTCTGACTTAGACAGTAACATGTTTTAGATGGTTTTCAAATATTAATGGTTGTGCCACAGATGTCTGAAAATGCTATAGATAAACACAGTCAGTGGAGATTTATGAGAAGTACAAACTAACTGTTTCAAATGTTTCCTGTATAACAGCATTCCTCTGCAGACGTAGACCTCCTCCGGGTCCAATGCCAAATGAAGACATTAACTATGAGGACCTGGAATCGTTAACGAAGTACCGTAGCTACACTCGTTACCTAACAGAAGCTGAGATAGCAAAGACAAAACCTGCCTGGTGGAAAACCTACAGAGGTTATGTGGAAGCAGCTGATCCTGAGCACGGTAAGGAATAAAAGAGGGAGCCGGTGAAAGTGATTGTGTGGCAGTGAGAGTTGGGTTCACAGTTTACAGGACTTGCACTTTGTTGCAGGTGTGGAGCGAGTTGACATTGGACTGCCGTACTATCGACCCTGCAGGACCAAAGAAGTCAGGGAAAGAAAGCAGGTGATGAAGAAGAACAAGGCGAACACTGAATTGGAGAGGGCTGCCCGACAGCGCACCTGTAAGTTCAAATATATCTATACTTAGATTTTAATAGTTGAGCTTTGATGAACCACTAAATCAATTTTTCTTTTTGTCTCACCAGTGAAGATCCCCCTCCATCGAGTACAGGGGGCCTGGGAGAAAAGCAGCGGCCCCTTTCAAATACAGAGACTGGCAGACCACTACGGCGTCTTCAGGGATCTTTTTCCCAAGGCTTTTTTTCTACCGCAAGTTACGCTCCGCATCAGCTATGACCAGGACAACAGTCATCAAGTGTTTCATGGGAATCGTCTGACACCCACAGAAGTAGATCCATTAATGTCCTGTCTCAGTCATGAGCTCTGATTCAGTTCTGAAGCTTGGGGAAATTTCCTACCTTTCCCTTAAGATTTTTACTCTTTAGCTTCCTTTTATATGCTTACCTTCACCGTTTTATTTACTTTGTCTCTGCTGTACTGTATTTTACAGGCAGCACCTGTCCCTAAGGTCAGCTTTGAGGCAGAGGAGGGTTCCCTGTGGACTCTTCTGCTCACTTGTCCAGGTAAGCATTAGCTGGAAGGAGGCTCAGAGGCCAAGTTCAGTAAGCACAAAGATATTTGATTGGCATAAACTTCTGTTTTTCACTTTTCTAGATGAGCATCTTCTGGACAATGAGGCTGAATACATCCACTGGCTGGTGTGAGTACTTACAGAGTTACTCACTCGCTGAAATATGAAGGTCTTCCCTGAAAAAGTCATTGGCCCTCATTTATCAAGCTTGTGCAGATCTGAACGCAGATCTGAGCGCAGGATTCATTGTACGATAGGACACACGTGAGATTTATGAAAGGGTTCGTATCTGACCAATCCCAGCGTACGTATGATCGGGTCTTGATAAATGCGGCGGCTGAAATCAATCATCATTAACATGTTTACTCCCTTAAATATTCGTGGTTCAGAAGCCTCGCCCACTGAGGTCAAACATGAAAGAGGAGATATATTAGAATGATGTGAAACTTTTCCGAGCTGAAAGTGGATATCCTCGTGTCTGTGGTGGAAACTAACAAGGATTTGCTCTTTGAAAGCATCAAAACTGGTATAAATGCAGTCCAGAAAACTTCTGCCTGGAGCAGGATTTTGGTGGCGCTGAACAGCGCTGATGCAGAATAGTGGACCGTGGCTGAAGTTTGAATCAATCATTAGTCAATAAGTTGCTCATGATGATAAATTAATATCTCATACATGCCTCATATTTTTACGTTGCTCCTATTATGTAAAGTATTTAGTTTTAACTTGTTGCGTCTTAGTAATGTAGAGCAGAGTAGAGTCTGACAGAGGCTCAACAAAAATATTTATTAACGTCACCAAATGGTGTGTTGCTGCCCCTGAGGCACATTTCTATGGATTTCTATTGGATTTTTATCACTGATTAAACAGCAAGAGCACTTTCTAAACTTAAACTTTACATGTCAGAATCCATCGATAAGGTCCTGTCTCCTCTGTACAGCACCTTTGTGGAGTCTCTCCTCGTTATTGTTCTCCGGGCATCAGGTCCTCACGTTGCACCGGCACAGCCAACGGCACTCCATTCGCCAGAGCAACATTGTGCAAAACTGTACCAGCCCAAATGATGTCCCACACCCTTTCAGGAGTGTACAACAACGTCCCCGCTGCTGGGCCAAGACAGAGACACCTGCCTTTTAGGAGTCATACGCAGCGCTCCACAGTGGCGCGTGTGCGTGTAATGTTAAAACAGCTCTCCTGCTCTGTGGCAGTGTTTCTGGGCAGAGTTATCAAATAGGCCTATTCACTAAGGACGTAACAAATTTATTTTATTTTATTTTATTTACGTCTTAATCTTTAATGAAATCTGTCAGATTGTGCTTAATGACAGCTTTGAGGTTTGTATATCAATTATTTTGAGACAGACATTTGCTGCACTGCAGATCCACACTGACTCAAACTAGCATACACGATATCAGACCTGTCGTGAGATTTGGTCGTAGCGTACGCTCACGTGCAGATTGATAAATGCTGATCCTCACTTCAAAATTGTCATACGCAAGGTGTACGCAAGTTTTCTGCCGTACGCAAGCTTGATAAATGAGGGCCATTGTCTGGATGGCAGCAGATGTTGCTCCTAAACCTGGAAGCTACCCATAACATGGACTCTGATCCTCCCCATACCTGCAGTGCTGCCTGAGGGCCTGAAGATCAGGACCATCCAGTCTTGGATTTGGTCCTTGTCTCTATTGTACAGAGATTTCTCCAAATTCTCTGAATCTTTTAATGATATTGTGATGAAATCCACTCATTCTTTTACATTTGACACTCAGGAACATTATTCTGAAACTGTTAAACTGTTCGCTTATGCAGTCTCTGACAGAGGAGTGAACCTCTTCCATCTTTCCTTGTGAGAGACTCAGCCTCTCTGAATGTCCTTTTCAGACCCAGTCATGTTACTGACCTGTTGGACATTTACCTCAGTAGTTTGGAAATATTCTCCCTGATGGTTCTGTACAGGCTTTTTCACAGTGTGTTGTTGGCATCATACAAGTATGTTTTTCATTTAATCCAATTTTCAGTTTCAACATTTGAAATGTCAGCTTTGCACCTTTATCAGTTTAATGTAGAGGCTAAATGACTTTAAAACCACGAAAAGCTGTTCTTCTCTACATATTTCACTGTATCCCAACTTTTATGGGATTGGGATTTATTTTTTAACGGTAAACAACAGGACGTGCTGGCTATGTTGCTTTTACACAGAGGTTTTTAAGATAAGAATCATGTGTAGGTGTTCATCTGGTGATATGTCAGAAACACAACTTACTTTCTTACTTTGGAATTATAATTTGTTCGAACAGAGACAAAAGTTTGAAGAACCGAGATGTGCCATTTACAAAACATAGCTCTGAGTAATCACAGACTTTTCATTGTGATGAAAAAACAGGAGAATAGGTTTGAATCTGAACCTTTACCTACCTGTTTGTCTGCAGGGGGAACATCCCAGGTGGAGCGGTGCAGGCTGGAGAGGAGCTGTGTCATTACCTGCCTCCCTTCCCAGCCAAAGGAACAGGTTTCCACCGCTACATTTACGTCCTCTTCAAGCAGGGGGGACGTATCGACTTTCAGGAGGACATTAGACCGTCCCCATGGTGAGAAATACATTTAAAGTACAGACATGAAGCTACATTTGTTGTTTTAAAATGTCACAGGAACAGTAAATAGTAATAATTGAACAAATTCAGCATCTAATACAGTATTTTTTCACTATTTTTAATGAAAGACGCAGTTGAAATGATTTGTAAATCATCAAATTGTGTTTTTTTTTTATCTTTCAGGATTAAGTGTACAAAAATGGGCCCTCTTTAAAGCTATAGTGCATAACTTATATCGCCCCCTAGAGGATTTCTGCGTTATTACAAAGATATTACCAGCACCTCAATATCACGTATGGCCCAGTGAAACCCGCCCCTCCCCTTCCCACCGCCACCCCTCCACCACCGTGCGCGATTCAACAACATTTTTTTTTGCTTATTTGAAGAAGTTACACAAAGCAACATGGGCTACACACCTTGTAACTTACTGCTCATTAGGCTAACGTTACACAATGTGGTGAACACCAGGCTGCTAACAATACATTACATTCATAGCACCATTTCCAAGAAGATAATAAAGTACTCGGTCCAGTACATGTGACAGCAACACATCCTGTTCATAATGAACTGAGTCACTTACTTTTCCAGCAGTATCACGGCAACATCGGTGTTGGACCTCAGTCCAATATCCTTTTCTATCAGCGCTTTCCTCCCCCCTCCCTTCTTGTTTTCGGGTAAAACTGAGTAGAACACGTCATCTCCTGTACGCCAGTGCGGGAATGTCGCCCTTCGACACCAAATACAAAAAGAACAAATCCTGAAAAATACAGTGAGTTGTTAGAGGAGCTGAACGGCTTCATCAGTGTTGTATCATCTCCTCTTGTAGTGGCTTGGCTGAAACAGATATTTACAGACATGTAGAAGTTACCCACTATAGCTTTAAAATACATGTATTTATGAGTCTTCGAACTGAGGTTTCTGGGCCACCTCTCTAAAGGTGTATGCCCTAATTTGCCTTTGGTTAATGTCTGTTTATGCATGATGTGAAGACTCAGCTCATGTTGGCTCTCCTCCTCAGCCACTCTCTGGTGGATCGTACTTTTAAGACCGTGGATTTCTACAGAAAGCACCAGGACAACATGACACCTGCAGGCCTGGCCTTCTCTCAGAGCCAGTGGGATGAATCTGTCACCAACACCTTCCACAACATATTCAGTGAGTCATGCTAGTGCTCATGTTTGTTCCACTCATATTTTATGAAAACAAAATTTGTTTCCACAACATGCATCCCAAGACATGTGTCACTTGTCTTATAGTTCCCTGAATTAAATGATTGCATAATAGTCTGTGTTAAAACACTAAATCCTGTGTTGTGTATTCTTTCCTTGCAGACATGAGGGAGCCGGTGTTTGAGTTTATCCGTCCTCCAGTATACCACCCCCCACAGGTCAAATACCCTCATGGAAAGCCCCTTCGCTACCTGGACAGATACAGAGATGAAAAGAAGCACACTTATGGGATATACTGAAGAGAAAACATTGATCACAGAACCGCAAAAATCTCAACTCATAGGTCCCATGAAGGGAAAAACACATTTCTTTATTTAGGCAGATGTACTTTACTCAACAACTCTGACAATAGGGAACTGAAAGAGCCTCTTTATTGTTCTAGAGCTCACCTACAGGCAAGGGCCATTTAAATTTGAGTCTGTGGTGATATAACGACAGGAATGATTTGTGCAGGCAGGCATGCAAAACCTCATTCCACAGGGGATCTTATTTTACCCTGCTTTCCTGTAGCTATCCTATGACACGGCCAACCACATGAAGTCACACACACAGAAGACAATTTTGAAAATTTATTTTTTGGAACTTAACTCAAAACCTCACCTAAAAAGACACCTGGAGCATGTTGTAAACAGCTAAAATACAATAATATGGGGCCTGTAATGTGTGAAGTAATGTTTGCCATATTTATGTTGAAATAAATAAAAATTGTTGTATTAGAAGAGATTATAAGACTTTTTGTATGTCTGTGTAGTGATGAGCATGATACTTTAATTAATGTCAAACCTGTATTTATTCGAAAAAGGACACTGAGATTTTCCTAATTTCTAATATAACTGAGAATACAGAATATTACGATAATAAAATGACTTCATCACAAAAACTTTAAAACCAGTTGAATCAATTGTAAATTGAAACTCAGTGGTGAGATATCAAAGTCCTGCTTTACGTCACATTCACACCACATTCACACTGATGGCAGAGGCTGATATGTAAAGAGGCCATCACTTTTGGATTAAATGCCATTCACACACCTCTGGGCACAGCCAGCAGGGAAGGGTGGAGTCAAGTGTCTTGCCCAATGATGCTTAGGCATGTTGACTGTAGGACCTGGAATCAAACCCCTAACCCTGCAATTTTGGGACACCATGTACAATTCAGTCACTGCTGCCCTTAATCCCATTTTCTGTTGACCTCATTAAAGACTCCATTTCTGAAGCTAAAGGGAAGTTTAAAACACCTCAGCCTACTGGACATTTACTTATTACGCTTTTCCGCCCCATTTCCAATCTACCATTCCTGTCAAAGATCTTAGAACATGCCGTCGCCTCACAACTCACAGCCCACCTCCAATCCAACAACCTGCTCGAACCGTTCCAATCAGGATTCCGCAACAAGCACAGCACAGAAACAGCACTGCTAAAAATCACAAATGACCTCCTGCTCACTTCTGACTCTAACCAACTAACCATCCTCCTCCTCCTGGACCTGTCTGCCGCTTTCGACACCATCAACCACTCCATCCTCCTCAACCGTTTATCATCTGACCTCCACATCACTGGCTCTGCACTCTCATGGATCTCATCATACCTCTCCAACCGTCAACAATTCATCCATATCAACCAGTGCTCCTCCTCCACCGCCCAGCTCCCCCAAGGTGTACCCCAGGGATCGGTGCTTGGTCCCCTACTCTTAACCCTCTACCTACTCCCCCTCGGCAATATCATCCGGCAACATAGACTCAACTTCCACTGCTACGCCAACGACATCCAGCTATACATCTCCTCCCGCTCCATCTCCTCCACCACCCTTGCCACCGTCACCTCCTGCCTGAATGCAATAAAAACCTGGATGCATCACAATTTTCTCAAACTCAACAGTGACAAATCAGATCTCATAGTCATCGGTCCCAAAACCCTCACCAAAACCACCTCAGACATCTCCATCCACGTTAACCAATCCCATATCACCCCCTCTTCACTCGTCCGCAACCTTGGTATCCATCTCGACCCCAACCTCACTTTTGACCACCATATCTCCCAACTTGCCCAATCCGCTTTCCTTCACCTGAAAAACATTGCAAGACTCCGCCCCTTTCTCTCCCCATCTGCTGCCGAAACCTTAATACACACTTTCATTACCACCAGACTGGACTACTGCAATAGCCTCTTCTACGGTCTCCCCTCCACCACCCTCAACAAACTTCTACACATTCAGAACTCCGCCGCCAGACTTCTCACTGGCACCCGCCCATACAACCACATCACCCCCATCCTCCGTCAACTCCACTGGCTTCCTGTTGCCCACCGAATTCAATTCAAGATCCTCCTCCTCACCTTTAAGTCCCGCCACGACCTGGCCCCCCCCTACCTGTCTGACCTCATTGTCCGCCACACCCCGAACCGCCCCTTCCGCTCAGTTGACGCAAACCTCCTCTCACCCCCAGCCAAAATCAAGCACTGTACCCTGGGGGACCAGGCCTTCAGCGTCTCCGCCCCCACCCTCTGGAACTCCCTCCCTAAACACATCCGTGAATGCCTGGACCTCATCAGCTTCAAATCTGCCCTCAAAACCCACCTTTTCACACTCGATTTTATTACCTGACCCCCCCTGACTCACCATTATCTCACCCCTCACATCTGCCCCTCCCACCTGTATCCTTTTATTCTTTTTTTATTCGATTTTACCGTATTTTTAGCTTGTTACTATTAACCTTTGCCTCATTGTATTTTTGTTATGTTTTTGTAAAGTGTCTTTGAGCTTCTGTAAAAAGCGCTATACAAATAAAATGTATTATTATTATTATTATTATTTATTTTCATGCAGTGATTTACTTTATTTATTGCATATAGATGGGAAACTGACGTCTGCTGCAACTTTTACAAACCACAAGATGTCAGTAGTTTTAAGGTTTAAGGTTCACGCTCACTGCTTAACAGTAAAATGAGGTTACATCCCCACAAATTTAGGTGCATCTCATTACATGGGAACAAGCATATTGTGAAAAAGTTTATATTTTCCATCAGTTTTTAAAAAAATGCTCTATGAAATGGTACCTTAGTCTTGCTCTGTGTACACAACCACGTTGACAATGATCTTATTTGGAAATCAGGGCTACAAGTAAAAATGAGTAGTTGTAAAATTCTTACTTCACACTGTAGTGTGCAGTACTTCACAATGAAAGAGCCATGACCAAGTAGTAGGCAGAAACCTTTCACCCCTAAAACCACCACTTTACAAGAAGTAAACAACTTATGTAACTAAACACGGTATCAGACACAACCTCAAGCTTTTGTTCATACTTTTTATCTGTTAAATGCTTGAAAGTCTGCTAACTGACAAAAAAAAATAATAATCATCAGCATTACTTAGAAAAAGTGCATTTTCCTTGGAGAAAAGGGTGAAAATGCTGCAGCCTGGAAACTGAAAATGCACTGCTGATATACAACAAATATGAGAAACGTGTGTAGAACTGCAATTTTACAAGTGTTAGTTTAATTAAAGCTGTATTAGCAATCGAGTTTCAACCAGAAGAAACACTGAGAGCATTTAGTAGTTTGAGTGGTATTGGTAAAGTTATAAAAAGCAAAAAACTTGTTGAACAAAGTACATGTAGGCAGTGGAGTTATGTAAGTCATTCAGCAGTTGTCGCAGTACATTATATCAGTTCATTATATTGAATTTCCCTTCAGGGATCAATAAAGTTTGTCTTATCTTATCTTATAATGGGAATTAATGGAAGGAAATACAGTCTGTTCATACTGTATTTGCAAAAAAAAAAAAAATTGAGAAAGTTACGATTAAAAAAAAAAATAGTTATGAGCCAAAAAAAAAAAAAAAGAAAAAAACGAATGAAGAGTAGGAGGACAAGGACTGACGGATAAGAAACATAATCAGACAGAAAATAAAGGTTAAGAGGAAAAGACCTTTCACTAGGCAAAGGACAAATTCATAAAGACATCAGATTTAAAGCCATACAGAGAAAATAGTTGACACAATCAACATCGCCAGTGCAAGATTACCTACATCCTGAAGAGTAAATAATGTGTGTGAAGTGAAATTTGTGGGCTTGGGGACGAAATGTTTTTAAAAATCTCTCTGAATTTAAAACCGCCTCTCTTCTCAAATGCTGATGTCACCCACCCTCCCTGACCCAATACAAGCTGTTACAATCCTGATCCTCAAGGGGAAATCGAAGCAAAATAAAACCAGTTTGTTTGTTTCATTAAGTGTTATTAAATACAAAGAAGTGAGATTGGAACATAAAAGAGTCAGGTGTTACAGGTCCCGTAGATGAGACCATGCACCAGTTAATAATTATGACGACGCCGTCTCTGACTCACGACGGGCATACTAATTTGTGTTGTGTTTCACGAACCTAATTTGTGTTGTGTTTCACAAACCTGCAACACATCAAAGAATGGAGACAGAGACAGACGTTCACTCTTCGCCATTGCATAAATACAATGAGGGCAAGATGGCGCCCCCCACTGCTGAAGCCAAGCCATTGCTCCACACTGCCCCCTAATGTTCTGGATGAACACTGGTTTTCATTCCCAAAACTAAAGAAATTATGGGCTGATTAACATATAAACAGAGAACATCTAGGTAAAATACAAATGGTTTATACAAAAAAAAAATATTTCATTTGTGACCACACATCCGTGGGTGTCACACAGGCATGGAAAAGGGCTGGAGAGTGCTGATCAAACAAATAAGGAAAAACAAAAGAACCCCTAACCAAGAGTCCACACAGAGACACAGCTCTTTCTAAAACAAAAATGGAAATAAAACCCTGCTAACTCGTGCTAACCAAACAAAAATGACAAACAAACAGCACCCCTAACCAAGTCAGTTTAACAAAGAAAAACCATACAAGTGAAATGTGCAAGGGACTTAGTTTTAAACCTGGCCCAAATTAGATGAGTGCCTCACAGAGAAACAACACAACCTAGTGTAAGTGTAAACACAGCTACACAGGGACAGATCGGCAATGAGAATGAATGAAATCTCCTCAGCGAAAGCAGCCCAATTTCTTAATACTGTGCACTTCTCCTTGATTGGTCAGGTTTTCTGCTCCGCACCAATCAGCTGTGTGCTCTTGAGGCTGGTCACCTAGGGGATGCACCAATCACTCAGCTGCACTCACACATTCATGCCATACACTCACACATGGGGTGGCCATGGACATAGCACACACCCATTATAAAATCAGAAAAGTGCCCAAAAACTTTGTGTTGCCTAAAGCCGAATTATTCAAATACTGTCAAAGTTGTCCAAAAGCTGAAACAAACACAGACAGTTCAAAAGATTGTGACCATTTTAAAACAAGAATGGAGTCTGTGGGTGAAAGTATGCTGAATTAATAACATTTCAAAGTTCAAGGCAGATTTCAAAAGTTTATTTAGCTGTTTCCATAGTGAAAAATTATTCAGAGTTGAATAAAGAAACGTATAAGTAATAGAAATAATACCAGCCACAGTCATCATCTCAGTATAAAACCAAACAAAATTATACTAGAGCAGTTTCCTTAGTATAAATTACTCCAGAGTTTCAGCTGTCTCGAAAGTGGAGAAGAAGAGAATAGAAAAATACTACATGAAAGAGAAAAATGAGAAGTCGATGAAGAAAATGATAAAAAAAAAAAAAAGAAAAATGGAGACAAGGTTTCTGCCCACAGTGTCAACTTGTTCATTTGTGGATTTGTTCGTCCCTGAGTTTCTGAGCTGGCAACAAAGAGCTAAACAGGAAAAAGCTCATTCAAGCAGAATGACACAGTAATATACTTATCCTGAAAAACTGATGGATTGTTATTGAGAGCATCAGTCGGGGATGTGTTTTGAGAAAAGCATTGGACATCTTTAGAGGATGGGCAGTTCACCTTTTTTTCCCTCTGTGATGGATCTTGTGGAAGGTTAAAATCCAGTTCATGCATTGAATCCAAACTTATAAAATCTTCTATAAACCGTTCCTGCTTTGCTGCACTCCTCTGTGTGGTCTACAAGTGTTACTGCTATCACTATGATGTCAGTGGTGGATAATAGTTTTATACATGGCTGCATCTATGCAGAGGCTACTTACACCAAATACAGTCTGTAGTGAAAGACTGAGATTTATTTTGAATATTTGTGCCAACATGGCTCTTTTTATTCTTAGGTTAATTAAAAGCTCTGCCTCGTAGACTAAACCATTTCTGTATACTTAATCAGAGGCCTCATTTCAAAAGCTGTATTTTGTTTAAATAAGAGTTGAATAAATAAAGCATACAAAAGCTCAGCATAATCCCACCAAAGGCTGATTCTTGGCCAGCAGTGTCTTCTCTACAGACAGACAGCTGATTACAGCTGATAAGCATCAGCTGTGTGGTCTGCAGGATGAGTTTTTAAGCCAAGCATGTTGCACACACACACAAACACACTCCTCTCTTTCTCTTGGTGATTGAAACAATGGGAGCTGCTTGGGTTTTCCTTTCCTGTGTCCTGACTGTATGGCTCACCAAAGGTTTGAATTTTTGTTCTCTTACATGATATCAGAGTGTTTGTTTGTGTGTGTTTTTTTTGTTTGCAAAGCTGCCAATGATTTTACATTTTTAAATGTCTGTAGCTGCAATGTAACTGTGTGTGTGTGGAGCTACTGAACAACTCAAATGTTTGATAAATGCCTGGTGCTCTGTTCACAGGATTGTGTTTGCCTGCCATTAGCAAAAATGAAAGACATGACAAAGAGATGGGTAAGATGATCTAACTAAATCTTTTTCTCTGAGCAATTTCAGGATTTTAATTCAGCTTATTTTTCTGAAACAGGTATGTCTCCCAATGAGATCTCCTTAAAGAAGGCCCTTGCTCTTCTCCAGTCAATGGAGTCCATGTTGGAGGAACAAGCTAGAGAAGGTAAACAGCTTCAGCAAAACTACATGGCTAAAGAGCAAGTTCATGGAGCAGGTTTGATTTATGCTTTGTTGTTTGTCTTTATGAATATCAAATATCTACAGAATGCTTCAACAAACCTTAACTGACTAAACTATCTGTTTATCAAGCTATCTAAAGATTTTGAATAAAGCTAAATGGTGGGGAAAAAAAGCTCTTTTCACAGTGTTAACTTTTTATTTATCTATTTTTTTTACCCAAATCCTTCAGTACAACTGGAAACCAATGAAGTGGAAGCTGAGGCTTCAGTTGGCCACTTGAAGTTTGTTCAGAAGCCTGTGAGCAATCAAGAAAATCCTGACAGTGATGCAAAACATCAGGTAGTGAGCGACAGTCACATTGCCAATGCACAGGACAGCCACAACACTACCGCCACAGCCAGCGACATGCACAACGCCACGGCCAGCGACATGCACAACGCCACGGCCAGCGACATGCACAACGCCACGGCCAGCGACATGCACAACGCCACGGCCAGCGACATGCACAACGCCACGGCCAGCGACATGCACAACGCCACCGCCAGCGACATGCACAACGCCACCGCCAGCGACATGCACAACGCCACCGCCAGCGACATGCACAACGCCACCGCCAGCGACATGCACAACGCCACCGCCCTGGACGGCCACAACAATACGGCCAGCGACATGCACAACGCCACGGCCAGCGACATGCACAACGCCACGGCCAGCGACATGCACAACGCCACGGCCAGCGACATGCACAACGCCACGGCCAGCGACATGCACAACGCCACGGCCAGCGACATGCACAACGCCACGGCCAGCGACATGCACAACGCCACGGCCAGCGACATGCACAACGCCACGGCCAGCGACATGCACAACGCCACGGCCAGCGACATGCACAACGCCACGGCCAGCGACATGCACAACGCCACGGCCAGCGACATGCACAACGCCACGGCCAGCGACATGCACAACGCCACGGCCAGCGACATGCACAACGCCACGGCCAGCGACATGCACAACGCCACCGCCAGCGACATGCACAACGCCACCGCCAGCGACATGCACAACGCCACCGCCAGCGACATGCACAACGCCACCGCCAGCGACATGCACAACGCCACGGCCAGCGACATGCACAACGCCACGGCCAGCGACATGCACAACGCCACCGCCAGCGACATGCACAACGCCACGGCCAGCGACATGCACAACGCCACGGCCAGCGACATGCACAACGCCACGGCCAGCGACATGCACAACGCCACGGCCAGCGACATGCACAACGCCACGGCCAGCGACATGCACAACGCCACGGCCAGCGACATGCACAACGCCACGGCCAGCGACATGCACAACGCCACGGCCAGCGACATGCACAACGCCACGGCCAGCGACATGCACAACGCCACGGCCAGCGACATGCACAACGCCACGGCCAGCGACATGCACAACGCCACCGCCCTGGACGGCCACAACAATACGGCCAGCGACATGCACAACGCCACGGCCAGCGACATGCACAACGCCACGGCCAGCGACATGCACAACGCCACGGCCAGCGACATGCACAACGCCACGGCCAGCGACATGCACAACGCCACGGCCAGCGACATGCACAACGCCACGGCCAGCGACATGCACAACGCCACGGCCAGCGACATGCACAACGCCACGGCCAGCGACATGCACAACGCCACGGCCAGCGACATGCACAACGCCACCGCCCTGGACGGCCACAACAATACGGCCAGCGACATGCACAACGCCACGGCCAGCGACATGCACAACGCCACGGCCAGCGACATGCACAACGCCACGGCCAGCGACATGCACAACGCCACGGCCAGCGACATGCACAACGCCACGGCCAGCGACATGCACAACGCCACCGCCCTGGACGGCCACAACGCCACCGCCCTGGACGGCCACAACGCCACCGCCCTGGACGGCCACAACGCCACCGCCCTGGACGGCCACAACGCCACCGCCCTGGACGGCCACAACGCCACCGCCCTGGACGGCCACAACACTACGGCCAGCGACATGCACAATGCAACCGTGCTGGACAGCCACAACGCACTGGGCAGCCCCAATGTGACGGCCACTGACATGCACAATCCAACATCTAGTGACAGCCACAATGCCAAGGCTGGCACAAAAAATGATGCTGGTAAAGCATCACCCAAGGTACCATCAGTTCTGGAAGCAGCCATGCCAAATTGAGAGAAAGTCAGTGCACCCAGCAGTGTTGATGCCTAAGAGCATGGAGCTTCAACGAAGAAGGCAAATCCACCAGGGCCAAAGCTGGGGTCTCACAATGTCCATTGAGTATTTTTAAAGTGGGGAATAGATTTTAGGATTTGTGCAAGAGTTCATGTACATACAAAATGTCTCTGCATGTATCCATCTTTTATCTCTCTGCTTTAAATAAAAGTGTTAAACAGTATTTTCTGCTCTCGTGTTTTTTTTCCAGGTTTAATCTTTGATTTGTTTTTGGCATTTATAGCAGTTGCTGAAAGCCTTTTGATTATCTGCACTGCTAACCACACAAACTCAGACCTGGGTTTATTGCTAGGCTAAAGATGACACATCTGAAACTATCACTTTTAGTTTTGATATGAGTGGTGATGGCCTACAGTTTAAAAAAAAAAAATCTCTATCAAACTATTTCATTTCAAGTTTGAATAAGTCATTGGCTTGAGCTATAGAGAATCTGTGGGTTATCTATCAAAAGGAAGATGGGGGGGGGGGGGGGGTATCCAACCCAAAAATACAGACCAGCTGGAGGTCTGTCAAAGCAACTTGGAATTCAGTAACACCTAAGCAGAGCTACATGCTTATCAGTTCCATGCCACACCACGCTGATGCCTAATTCATGGTAAAGGAGTATAGAAGTTACAAAATGATAGTTAGAAATGGACATAAATCCATCAAATCAATGCAAAAATAAATGTGAAAATAAAATTTTAAAGGCATAAAAAGAAATACTTTTTGGTCTGGGAAAGGGTTATTCAATCATTTATACATATTTAGATTTATTATATTTATTTCCACAATTGTACATTTCCACAAGTATTTATTTCTGCATTTCTGTGTCAGTGGTGTGTGTGGAGAAATTGATTTCTAAATGAAGAGGCTGTTCCTCACTGTTCCTCTGAAGCAGGACTGGTTGCATTGGTGTGTTTGGATCGATTACTGCTGCCTTGACTTGACCTGACCTGACCTTTGCCTTAACAGGCCACTAGCTGTGACCGCTCAGCTAACTGCAGGATGGTGATGGAAGGTTCAGTAGGAGCTGTTGCCAATGATTCTAGGTGCTTCAGGTGAATTCAACAACATTGCCCCAGTGGACTACATTCAGTTTCGTCTGGGTAGGTTAACAAGGACTTAATTCAGCTCAGTGCTGATTAAGTCTATGCAGCAGTTCTAGCAGGTCTCCAACAAGTCGCTCACCAGCTTCACATGATGTTGGAGACGTGGATTGATCACGGGATGTCTATCTATCTTCAGCCTCCAGATATCCTTAAAGTTCACCTCCTTTTAGGCCACATTGTTGGTGACACTGGGCAAGTAGGAAATATGGTAATACTTAAAACTGTTCCACCTGGTTTACCAGATTATGTCAGGTTGCAATGCATCAGAAAAGGGTTTAACAGTAGTTTACTGTTAAGATTTAGAATTTTTGATTATTTGTTTGTAAAATGTGTAAGTGTTTTACTTGCATATGGATGGATCCATAAAATGTATGTTTTGTTGCAAAAGGGGCTCAAGAAAGTTAGGCCACCGACTCCACCATTTTAAACATGTAAACATCAAATTGTGCTGTCAGTGAAAGCAAGTATAGAATGTTTGCCTTAGAATGATGATGCAAAAGATGATCTCTAATAAACGCTAATGTGTGGACTGTGGGCACTAACTCTATTTACTTTCTCAGGGTGGTCAATGCTACAGCCTTGTCAGTGCTATTAATCATGTGGGCACACAAGCAGGAACAGGTAAGATAATCTGTTTTCTTAAAATCATATTAAATTTTACACACAAAAAATGTCAGTTAAAAAAATACCGCTAGTTACAGCTTACAATTATGTTCTAATACATTATTTATGTGAACATTATGAATAGTATGATAGTATGTGGTTACAGACACAGCCGAGTCTTTAGACAACTTGTTAAACATTATTACTTCTTTGCCTGTTAGGACACTACATCTCACAGGGAGTGGATCCAGATGTGCCAGTGACTGAGCCAACGGGTCATTGGTTCACAGACGACGACACAGAGGTCATGGAAACAAGCAGTGCCGACGTATGTGAGCAGCGATGTCAAAAGGCCTATATCCTGGTCTACAAAAGACAGATAAGTACATAGCCCCATCACACTGAGGTGCGCCATGGTGAAAGGAAATTGTGATGTAGAAAAAGACATTGATGATCTCATCATTAATTTCGGATCATTATTGATCAGAGTGGGCAACAGAGCTTCTATTCTTACCTTATGTTTTGTTCAAGACACAGTCAAGCGCAGCTTCCTGATAACAGCTTCCTTGATAGTATTTACATCAACTGACTACATTTGTTTTATTCGCAGGATTAAGTGGCAGGACGCTCCAGGGAAACTTCTGAAGGAAGCAAAGGGCCACATCCCCCTCATGAAACCTCACCTCCCTCATCTACACCCCCTCATCCTACCTTACCTTTCTTACCTACACATGCTTATCCTACATCACCTCCCTCACCTACATCCCCCTCATCCCACCTTACCTCCCTCACCTAAACCCACTCATCATACCTTACCTCCCTTACCTTCACCCCCTTACTCTACTTTACCTCCCTTACCTACACCCCCTCATCCCACCTTACCTCCCCTATCAACCCCCCCCATCCAAAATGATCTCCCTCACATCCAGCCCCCTAATCCTACCTGACCTCCCTTACCTACATACCCTCACTATACCTACCTACCCTCACCTGCCCCCTAACCCTACCTTACCTCTCTAACCTTCACCTCCTTACCCTACCTTCAATCCTTGACCTACACACTCTTATCCCACCTTACCTCCCTCACCTACCCTACCTCATCCCACCTTACCTTCTTTACCTAGACTTTCTCATGCCACATTCTAACTCTATTTACTTTCTCAGGGTGGTCAATGCTACAGCCTCATCAGTGCTATTAATCATCTGGGCACACACGCAGGAACAGGTAAGATAATTACCTCCCTCACCTACCCTACCTCATCCCACCTTACCTTCTTTACCTAGACCTTCTCATCCCAAATTACCTCCATCACCTACACCACCCTCATCTTCCCTAAACCTCCTTAACATACAACATCTCACCCTACCTTAACTCCCTCCCCTACACCCCCCTCATCCAACCTTACCTCCTTTATCCACACACCCTCACCCTTCCTTGCCTCCCTCACCTACTCCCGCTCATCCCAACTTAACTTCCTCAGCTACACCCCCCTTACCGACACCTTCTTATCCCAAATTACCTCCCTCACCTACCCTCCCATATTCAACCTTACCTTGCTCTTCTGCAGCCCCCTATCCTACCTGACCTCCCTTACCTACACAGGTACTCACTATACATTAGTTAGTAACCTTTATTTAACCAGGAAATAAACCCATTGAGATTCAGAATCTCTTTTACAAGGGAGTCCTGGCCAGGATAGCAGCACAAGAAGTTCCACATAAAGAAAAGAAAAACACACACACAGAAACGCAAAACAGTTACAGTATAAAAAACACAACAATAAATCAGCGTTCAGTAAGAAGACATGTGCATTCAGTACTTAAAAACTCCTTAATTCTAGTTTTAAAATGTGCCATACTTGGCAGATAATCCAATTTAAAATAACCCTGTAATTTACACCAGGAGGAGGGTGCAAAAGCCTTGAAAGCGCTTTCGCCAAAAACCGTCCTTGTCAGAGGAATAGCGTACATGATCTGTTCATCAGACCGGAGATTACTCCTGTTGGTGATTTTGGGAGTTAAGAGGGAACATATTTAGGGGACCGAGGCTATCCCTGCCTGCCCTACCTCATGACCCCCTATCCTGACCCTGGTGCAAGGCCACAAACACAATTCAATGTGGCTCTCTCCCGCACCAGTCCACGTGGTCCTTCGCTCTCCAGCCTGCTCTGATGCTCCAGACCGGTCCATGTTCGCGATTGGTCAGATGCGGCGGGCTCCGCCTTATATGTGTGCACGCCCTCATAGCAAAGCTGGATCCACTTACGAGGTTGATAACCAGCATCGTAAGACCATTTAGCGAGACCGCTGGCTACCGCGCTAAGTTGAGCGAGGTATCTCCAAGGCTACCTCGCCAGGTTGAATTTACTTCATAGAATAGGCCCCAGTTTTCCCCTCAGCTCCTCCTCTCACCTTCCTCTCTGCTCCAGCAAGCCCCGCCCACAAACAGATGCTCCTGCTTGCTAGTATCGTTTCAATTAAATTAGATATAATGCAGATAAATATTTCAGATAATCACAAATGGAGCCCAGTCAATGTGAAAGTAAAAAGCACCGGTGCTACTGTACATGCCAACAGACTACCAGCAAACATGTTTGCAGAACTTCTACAACTAGGATAAAGTGACATAGTCCTGGACCCAAAGTAAACAGTTTAACAGTGCAACAACACACAGCAGGTCCCGTTTGACAAGAAACACTTCTGTTACAGACACTTGGCTTACTTGGTAAAGTGGTTTACCTGTCCAGCAGTGCCCCCCCATCATTTATGCTGATGTTGACCCAGCTTTTTGGCTCTTGTCCAGTCAACAAGTGAAGTGAAACAACAACAAGTGAAAGACTGAGATTTATTTTGAATATTTGTGCCAACATGGCTCTTTTTATTCTTAGGTTAATTAAAAACTCTGCCTCGTAGACTAAACCATTTCTGTATACTTAATCAGAGGCCTCATTTCAAAAGCTGTATTTTGTTTAAATAAGAGTTGAATAAATAAAGCATACAAAAGCTCAGCATAGTCCCACCAAAGGCTGATTCTTGGCCAGCAGTGTCTTCTCTACAGACAGACAGCTGATTACAGCTGATAAGCATCAGCTGTGTGGTCTGCAGGATGAGTTTTTAAGCCAAGCATGTTGCACACACACACAAACACACTCCTCTCTTTCTCTTGGTGATTGAAACAATGGGAGCTGCCTGGGTTTTCCTTTCCTGTGTCCTGACTGTATGGCTCACCAAAGGTTTGAATTTTTGTTCTCTTACATGATATCAGAGTGTTTGTTTGTGTGTGGTTTTTTTGTTTGCAAAGCTGCCAATGATTTTACATTTTTAAATGTCTGTAGCTGCAATGTAACTGTGTGTGTGTGGAGCTACTGAACAACTCATGTTTGATAAATGCCTGGTGCTCTGTTCACAGGATTGTGTTTGCCTGCCATTAGCAAAAATGAAAGACATGACATTATTCAGAAGAAAGAGATGGGTAAGATGATCTAACTAAATCTTCTTCTGAGCAATTTCAGGATTTTAATTCAGCTTATTTTTCTGAAACAGGTATGTCTCCTAATGAGATCTCCTTAATGAAGGCCCTTGCTCTTCTCCAGTCAATGGAGTCCATGTTGGAGGAACAAGCTAGAGAAGGTAAACAGCTTCAGCAAAACTACATGGCTAAAGAGCAAGTTCATGGAGCAGGTTTGATTTATGCTTTGTTGTTTGTCTTTATGAATATCAAATATCTACAGAATGCTTCAACAAACCTTAACTGACTAAACTATCTGTTTATCAAGCTATCTAAAGATTTTGAATAAAGCTAAATGGTGGGGAAAAAAAGCTCTTTTCACAGTGTTAACTTTTTATTTATCTATTTTTTTTACCCAAATCCTTCAGTACAACTGGAAACCAATGAAGTGGAAGCTGAGGCTTCAGTTGGCCACTTGAAGTTTGTTCAGAAGCCTGTGAGCAATCAAGAAAATCCTGACAGTGATGCAAAACATCAGGTAGTGAGCGACAGTCACATTGCCAATGCACAGGACAGCCACAACACTACCGCCACGGCCAGCGACATGCACAACGCCACGGCCAGCGACATGCACAACGCCACGGCCAGCGACATGCACAACGCCACCGCCCTGGACGGCCACAACAATACGGCCAGCGACATGCACAACGCCACGGCCAGCGACATGCACAACGCCACCGCCCTGGACAGCCACAACAATACGGCCCTGGACGGCCACAACAATACGGCCCTGGACGGCCACAACAATACGGCCAGCGACATGCACAACGCCACCGCCAGCGACATGCACAACGCCACCGCCAGCGACATGCACAACGCCACCGCCCTGGACGGCCACAACGCCACGGCCAGCGACATGCACAACGCCACCGCCCTGGACGGCCACAACGCCACGGCCAGCGACATGCACAACGCCACGGCCAGCGACATGCACAACGCCACGGCCAGCGACATGCACAACACCACGGCCAGCGACATGCACAACGCCACTGCCCTGGACGGCCACAACAATACGGCCAGCGACATGCACAACGCCACGGCCAGCGACATGCACAACGCCACGGCCAGCGACATGCACAACGCCACGGCCAGCGACATGCACAACGCCACCGCCCTGGACGGCCACAACAATACGGCCCTGGACGGCCACAACAATACGGCCAGCGACATGCACAACGCCACGGCCAGCGACATGCACAACGCCACGGCCAGCGACATGCACAACGCCACCGCCCTGGACGGCCACAACAATACGGCCCTGGACGGCCACAACAATACGGCCAGCGACATGCACAACGCCACGGCCAGCGACATGCACAACGCCACCGCCCTGGACGGCCACAACAATACGGCCAGCGACATGCACAACGCCACGGCCAGCGACATGCACAACGCCACGGCCAGCGACATGCACAACGCCACGGCCAGCGACATGCACAACGCCACGGCCAGCGACATGCACAACGCCACGGCCAGCGACATGCACAACGCCACCGCCCTGGACGGCCACAACAATACGGCCAGCGACATGCACAACGCCACGGCCAGCGACATGCACAACGCCACGGCCAGCGACATGCACAACGCCACCGCCCTGGACGGCCACAACAATACGGCCCTGGACGGCCACAACAATACGGCCAGCGACATGCACAACGCCACGGCCAGCGACATGCACAACGCCACCGCCCTGGACGGCCACAACAATACGGCCAGCGACATGCACAACGCCACGGCCAGCGACATGCACAACGCCACGGCCAGCGACATGCACAACGCCACCGCCCTGGACGGCCACAACAATACGGCCAGCGACATGCACAACGCCACGGCCAGCGACATGCACAACGCCACGGCCAGCGACATGCACAACGCCACGGCCAGCGACATGCACAACGCCACGGCCAGCGACATGCACAACGCCACGGCCAGCGACATGCACAACGCCACGGCCAGCGACATGCACAACGCCACCGCCCTGGACGGCCACAACAATACGGCCAGCGACATGCACAACGCCACGGCCAGCGACATGCACAACGCCACGGCCAGCGACATGCACAACGCCACGGCCAGCGACATGCACAACGCCACCGCCCTGGACGGCCACAACGCCACCGCCCTGGACGGCCACAACGCCACCGCCCTGGACGGCCACAACGCCACCGCCCTGGACGGCCACAACACTACGGCCAGCGACATGCACAATGCAACCGTGCTGGACAGCCACAACGCACTGGGCAGCCCCAATGTGACGGCCACTGACATGCACAATCCAACATCTAGTGACAGCCACAATGCCAAGGCTGGCACAAAAAATGATGCTGGTAAAGCATCACCCAAGGTACCATCAGTTCTGGAAGCAGCCATGCCAAATTGAGAGAAAGTCAGTGCACCCAGCAGTGTTGATGCCTAAGAGCATGGAGCTTCAACGAAGAAGGCAAATCCACCAGGGCCAAAGCTGGGGTCTCACAATGTCCATTGAGTATTTTTAAAGTGGGGAATAGATTTTAGGATTTGTGCAAGAGTTCATGTACATACAAAATGTCTCTGCATGTATCCATCTTTTATCTCTCTGCTTTAAATAAAAGTGTTAAACAGTATTTTCTGCTCTCGTGTTTTTTTTCCAGGTTTAATCTTTGATTTGTTTTTGGCATTTATAGCAGTTGCTGAAAGCCTTTTGATTATCTGCACTGCTAACCACACAAACTCAGACCTGGGTTTATTGCTAGGCTAAAGATGACACATCTGAAACTATCACTTTTAGTTTTGATATGAGTGGTGATGGCCTACAGTTTAAAAAAAAAAAAAATCTCTATCAAACTATTTCATTTCAAGTTTGAATAAGTCATTGGCTTGAGCTATAGAGAATCTGTGGGTTATCTATCAAAAGGAAGATGGGGGGGGGGGGGGGGTATCCAACCCAAAAATACAGACCAGCTGGAGGTCTGTCAAAGCAACTTGGAATTCAGTAACACCTAAGCAGAGCTACATGCTTATCAGTTCCATGCCACACCACGCTGATGCCTAATTCATGGTAAAGGAGTATAGAAGTTACAAAATGATAGTTAGAAATGGACATAAATCCATCAAATTAATGCAAAAATAAATGTGAAAATAAAATTTTAAAGGCATAAAAAGAAATACTTTTTGGTCTGGGAAAGGGTTATTCAATCATTTATACATATTTAGATTTATTATATTTATTTCCACAATTGTACATTTCCACAAGTATTTATTTCTGCATTTCTGTGTCAGTGGTGTGTGTGGAGAAATTGATTTCTAAATGAAGAGGCTGTTCCTCACTGTTCCTCTGAAGCAGGACTGGTTGCATTGGTGTGTTTGGATCGATTACTGCTGCCTTGACTTGACCTGACCTGACCTTTGCCTTAACAGGCCACTAGCTGTGACCGCTCAGCTAACTGCAGGATGGTGATGGAAGGTTCAGTAGGAGCTGTTGCCAATGATTCTAGGTGCTTCAGGCGAATTCAACAACATTGCCCCAGTGGACTACATTCAGTTTCGTCTGGTTAGGTTAACAAGGACTTAATTCAGCTCAGTGCTGATTAAGTCTATGCAGCAGTTCTAGCAGGTTTCCAACAAGTCGCTCACCAGCTTCACATGATGTTGGAGACGTGGATTGATCACAGGATGTCTATCTATCTTCAGCCTCCAGATATCCTTAAAGTTCACCTCCTTTTAGGCCACATTGTTGGTGACACTGGGCAAGTAGGAAATATGGTAATACTTAAAACTGTTCCACCTGGTTTACCAGATTATGTCAGGTTGCAATGCAGCAGAAAAGGGTTTAACAGTAGTTTACTGTTAAGATTTAGAATTTTTGATTATTTGTTTGTAAAATGTGTAAGTGTTTTACTTGCATATGGATGGATCCATAAGATGTATGTTTTGTTGCAAAAGGGGCTCAAGAAAGTTAGGCCACCGACTCCACCATTTTAAACATGTAAACATCAAATTGTGCTGTCAGTGAAAGCAAGTATAGAATGTTTGCCTTAGAATGATGATGCAAAAGATGATCTCTAATAAAAGCTAATGTGTGGACTGTGGGCACTAACTCTATTTACTTTCTCAGGGTGGTCAATGCTACAGCCTTGTCAGTGCTATTAATCATGTGGGCACACAAGCAGGAACAGGTAAGATAATCTGTTTTCTTAAAACCATATTAAATTTTACACACAAAAAATGTCAGTTAAAAAAATACCGCTAGTTACAGCTTACAATTATGTTCTAATACATTATTTATGTGAACATTATGAATAGTATGATAGTATGTGGTTACAGACACAGCCGAGTCTTTAGACAGCTTGTTAAACATTATTACTTCTTTGCCTGTTAGGACACTACATCTCACAGGGAGTGGATCCAGATGTGCCAGTGACTGAGCCAACGGGTCATTGGTTCACAGACGACGACACAGAGGTCATGGAAACAAGCAGTGCCGACGTATGTGAGCAGCGATGTCAAAAGTCCTATATCCTGGTCTACAAAAGACAGATAAGTACATAGCCCCATCACACTGAGGTGCGCCATGGTGAAAGGAAATTGTGATGTAGAAAAAGACATTGATGATCTCATCATTAATTTCGGATCATTATTGATCAGAGTGGGCAACAGAGCTTCTATTCTTACCTTATGTTTTGTTCAAGACACAGTCAAGCGCAGCTTCCTGATAACAGCTTCCTTGATAGTATTTACATCAACTGACTACATTTGTTTTATTCGCAGGATTAAGTGGCAGGACGCTCCAGGGAAACTTCTGAAGGAAGCAAATGGCCACATCCCCCTCATGAAACCTCACCTCCCTCATCTACACCCCCTCATCCTACCTTACCTCTCTTACCTACACATGCTTATCCTACATCACCTCCCTCACCTACATCCCCCTCATCCCACCTTACCTCCCTCACCTAAACCCACTCATCATACCTTACCTCCCTTACCTTCACCCCCTTACTCTACTTTACCTCCCTTACCTACACCCCCTCATCCCACCTTACCTCCCCATCAACCCCCCCCCCCATCCAAAATGATCTCCCTCACATCCAGCCCCCTAATCCTACCTGACCTCCCTTACCTACATACCCTCACTATACCTACCTACCCTCACCTGCCCCCTAACCCTACCTTACCTCTCTAACCTTCACCTCCTTACCCTACCTTCAATCCTTGACCTACACACTCTTATCCCACCTTACCTCCCTCACCTACCCTACCTCATCCCACCTTACCTTCTTTACCTAGACCTTCTCATCCCACATTCTAACTCTATTTACTTTCTCAGGGTGGTCAATGCTACAGCCTCATCAGTGCTATTAATCATCTGGGCACACACGCAGGAACAGGTAAGATAATTACCTCCCTCACCTACCCTACCTCATCCCACCTTACCTTCTTTACCTAGACCTTCTCATCCCAAATTACCTCCATCACCTACACCACCCTCATCTTCCCTAAACCTCCTTAACATACAACATCTCACCCTACCTTAACTCCCTCCCCTACACCCCCCTCATCCAACCTTACCTCCTTTATCTACACACCCTCACCCTTCCTTGCCTCCCTCACCTACTCCCGCTCATCCCAACTTAACTTCCTCAGCTACACCCCCCTTACCGACACCTTCTTATCCCAAATTACCTCCCTCACCTACCCTCCCATATTCAACCTTACCTTGCTCTTCTGCAGCCCCCTATCCTACCTGACCTCCCTTACCTACACAGGTACTCACTATACATTAGTTAGTAACCTTTATTGAACCAGGAAATAAACCCATTGAGATTCAGAATCTCTTTTACAAGGGAGTCCTGGCCAGGATAGCAGCACAAGAAGTTCCACATAAAGAAAAGAAAAAAACTCACACAGAAACACAAAACAGTTACAGTATAAAAAACACAACAATAAATCAGCGTTCAGTAAGAAGACATGTGCATTCAGTACTTAAAAACTCCTTAATTCTAGTTTTAAAATGTGCCATACTTGGCAGATAATCCAATTTAAAATAACCCTGTAATTTACACCAGGAGGAGGGTGCAAAAGCCTTGAAAGCGCTTTCGCCAAAAACCGTCCTTGTCAGAGGAATAGCGTACATGATCTGTCCATCAGACCGGAGATTACTCCTGTTGGTGATTTTGGGAGTTAAGAGGGAACATATTTAGGGGACCGAGGCTATCCCTGCCTGCCCTACCTCATGACCCCCTATCCTGACCCTGGTGCAAGGCCACAAACACAATTCAATGTGGCTCTCTCCCGCACCAGTCCACGTGGTCCTTCGCTCTCCAGCCTGCTCTGATGCTCCAGACCGGTCCATGTTCGCGATTGGTCAGATGCGGCGGGCTCCGCCTTATATGTGTGCACGCCCTCATAGCAAAGCTGGATCCACTTACGAGGTTGATAACCAGCATCGTAAGACCATTTAGCGAGACCGCTGGCTACCGCGCTAAGTTGAGCGAGGTATCTCCAAGGCTACCTCGCCAGGTTGAATTTACTTCATAGAATAGGCCCCAGTTTTCCCCTCAGCTCCTCCTCTCACCTTCCTCTCTGCTCCAGCAAGCCCCACCCACAAACAGATGCTCCTGCTTGCTAGTATCGTTTCAATTAAATTAGATATAATGCAGATAAATATTTCAGATAATCACAAATGGAGCCCAGTCAATGTGAAAGTAAAAAGCACTGGTGCTACTGTACATGCCAACAGACTACCAGCAAACATGTTTGCAGAACTTCTACAACTAGGATAAAGTGACATAGTCCTGGACCCAAAGTAAACAGTTTAACAGTGCAACAACACACAGCAGGTCCCGTTTAACAAGAAACACTTCTGTTACAGACACTTGGCTTACTTTGTTAAAGTGGTTTACCTGTCCAGCAGTGCCCCCCCATCATTTATGCTGATGTTGACCCAGCTTTTTGGCTCTTGTCCAGTCAACCTCAGTTTTATGCACCTGTTATTTTGCCAGAGTCACTGGTATTTATTTCATTTTATTGCTTGTGTTTTCCGTACTTTCTGGTCGATTTCTACTGTCCGATTTTGTGGCACGTTAACTTTTGTAGGACCTGGAGCGTGCCTCACAACACAAGGGAGCAGCGTCTGCCTCACACCCAATCAGCACTAAGGAGTAGCATCTGCCTCACAACCAATCAGGTTAGGGGAGGTGGAGAATGGCTTTGTTTACAGTCAGAAGGAGCGGACCACTCAAAATAGGTAAGGTAGGGTGATAGTGTGTAGGTTAAGGAGGTTTAGGTGAGATGAGGTTTGTGTAGGTGAAGGAGTTTCTGTGGGATGAGAGGTGTAGGCAAAGGAGGTTGGAGGTGCAAGTGAGGAAGGTTTTGTTCGGAGGTGTAGTTAAGAAAGGTAAGGTA